ATCGGTATAACCCGATTCTTTGGATTGATATAATAAGCGAGGAGACTATCCGGTCGAGTTTCATAAGATGCGCAGCAAAGATCGGGCTTCCAGACGCACTAGATAAGTAATAGAGCGCGGCTCTTATAGACGATTGGGTTATCTAGAGTGTGCATCGATGGCTTCGCGACCGAACCGAAGCGGATGATGAATGGCTAGTTATCGTCGATAATGCCGATAACGTTACCTAGGGCATCAAGAAGATCATGCCGAAGGGAACCTGGGGAAGAATTGTTATTACCAGCCGGGATGACTAAAGTCATAAGCTAGTCTATGGAGGCTATGAATAAGTTCGAATTAATATCATGTCACTATAAGAAGCAAGAATGGTTCTTTTGCGCTATCTATCCGACGATATCGACTTACTTCTATAGACTGTGTAGGACGGCTACGATGAAGTGGTGAATAAGCTTAGGTATTTACCACTTGTAATTGACCTTGCCGGGGCGTATATTGGCAATAATAGTCTTGCCCCTGAATAGGCTATTACGCAGTATTTAAAAGACTACGAGAAGCATCGTGATAAGCTCTTGTAGATGAATCATCTCTAAGGACTATCCCCTATAGAGAGGACTGTCTGGACTATATGGGATACCACCCTCAAGAAAATTGAAATAGAGTATACGCAGTGGCATCCTAGTCTACTATTGACATTTCTGGCACACTTCCACGGTAATATTATCCAGAGTGAGATGTTTCGTCTAGCAAGCCTTAGCATATTCGATGTCAACGACCAGCTTAGCGAAGAGAACTTTGCTAGACTTTAAATATTTATTACGGAGATCGAAGGGGAATAGGACGACTTCAATTATCGATAGAGCATAAATATCTTAGTACGCTACAGTCTAGTATAGCGAGTATACGGACAGTGGCCTAGTACCACAATACACAGCCTGGTTTAATGGCGGGCAATTCATCGCGATCCAGATCAGCAATGGCGATGTTGGTACACCAAGTTTATACTTGCTACATGCTATCAGATCACGGAAGAGGACCACATACCAGAGTTTCGTCGGCATCTTATATTGCATCTTCCAGATATAACAAAGGTAGATGTGGAGTGTATCAGTACTATAGAAATAGGCAAGATTTTCATCTAGAGAACAATGGCAGATATATACTATAGTGAAGGCCGTTAGGACGAGGCCGAGCAGCTCCTTATGCAGATGATAGAGACTCGTAAGACGAAGCTCGGCGAGGACCATCCCAACACACTGACCAGTATGGCCAACCTAGCGTCAACGTTTTAGAACCAGGGCCGGTGGGAAGAGGCTAAGCAGCTCAACGTGTAGGTAATAAAGACTCGCAAGACGAAGCTTGGCGAGGACCATCCCTCCACGCTGACTAGTATGGCCAACCTAGCATCGACGTACAGGAATCAGGGCCGGTGGGAGGAGGCCGAGCAGCTCGAGGTATAGGTAATGGAGACGAGCAAGACGAAGCTTAGCGAGGACCATCCCGACACGCTGACCAGTATGGCCAACCTAGCATCAACGCTTTAGAAGCAGGGCCGGTGGGAGGAGGCCGAGCAGCTCTTTATGCAGGTGATAAAGACGAGCAAGATAAAGCTCGGCGAGGACCATCCCTCCACGCTAACTAGTATGGCCAACCTAGCATCAACATACAGGAACCAAGGCCGGTGGGAGGAGGCCAAGCAGCTCGAAGTGCAGGTGATAAAGACTCGCAAGACAAAGCTCGGCGAGGACCATCCCTCCACGCTGACCAGTATAGCCAACCTAGCATCGACGCTTTAGAACCAGGGCCGGTGGGAGGAGGCCGAGCAGCTCGAAGTGCAGGTAATAAAGACTCGCAAGACGAAGCTTAGCGAGGACCATCCCGACACGCTGACCAGTATGGCCAACCTGGCATCGACGCTTTAGAAGCAGGGCCAGTGGGAGGAGGCTAAGCAGCTCGACGTGCAGGTGATGAAGACTCGCAAGACGAAGCTCGGCGAGGACCATCCCGACACGCTAACCAGTATGGCCAACCTGGCATCGACGTACAGGAACCAAGGCCGGTGGAAGGAGGCCGAGCAGCTCGAAGTACAGGTGATAAAGACTCGCAAGACGAAGCTCGGCGAGGACCATCCCGACACGCTAACCAGTATGGCCAACCTAGCATCGACGCTTTAGAAGCAGGGCCAGTAGGAGGAGGCTAAGCAGCTCGACGTGTAGGTGATAAAGACTCGCAAGACAAAGCTCGGCGAGGACCATCCCTCCACGCTAACCAGTATAGCCAACCTAGCATCAACGTACAGGAACCAAGGCCGGTGGGAGGAGGCCGAGCAGCTCGAGGTGCAGGTGATAAAGACGAGTAAGACAACGCTCGGCGAGGACCATCCCGACACGCTAACTAGTATGGCCAACCTAGCATCGACGTTTTAGAACCAGGGCCAGTAGGATAAGGCCAAGCAGCTCGAAGTGTAGGTAATGAAGACTCGCAAGACGAAGCTCAGCGAGGACCACCCCTCCACGCTAACTAGTATGGCCAACCTAGCATCGACGCTTTAGAACAAGGGCCGGTGGGAGGAGGCCGAGCAGCTCTTTATGCAGGTGATGAAGACTCGCAAGACGAAGCTTGGCGAGGACCATCCCGACACGCTAACCAGTATGGCTAATCTTGCTTTCACTTAGAAATCTTCAGCACATCATGCTAAAGCTATTACTTTACTAAGAAAGTGCTTAACCAAGCAGAAGCAAATACTCGGCCTTAGCCATCCCACTACTTTATCTAATTCTAAAACGTTGTCAGAATGGGAAACAGAAGTGACACTAAACAACGAAGGCGAATGGGAAACAGATTAGGAGTGGGAAACTAATAGCGAATAAATAGGTAAACAAGACACTAGATATAGATGCATAGATTCTAGGCTTTAGAATTTATTTTTACACTGCATTTTCTGCTAATTATGTTTTCCAAAGAAATGTTCCAGCATAAATTGTTTTAATGCGTGCCCCTTGAAATGTATTGGCCTTATTGCTCCAGTCAGGTGCTCTTACAGAATAATGAGATGATATGGATGGAATGTCGTTAAGATGTTCAAGACGCTGCAAGATGCTCATATCTTTTTGTAAGACGATTACGAGTATATTAATGGGACTTTGTAGCATGTGATATGCCTTTCAATACGATTCAATACTTGAGATTGAGCTAGGCCGGATATGGATTAGTATGTTTCGGACTAGGGTTCGAGAACAACTCTGTGAAAGCAAAGTGGTGAAACTGATTTCGATCCATCCTGTATTCTAGTGGTTCCCGCAAATGTCGGCATCCGTAGATTCGTGGCATCGGTAGATCCCGACGCCCACGTAAGCTGGGCCACAAACCATCAATCGGGGGCAACTATCCACAACAGCTCATGTTCTGCTAACAGAACCACCAGTCACCTCAGCCCGGTGGATCTCGACAAAATGGTGGCCAACGCGTCGAAGAGAAAAACGGGAAAACAGGAAAACGGCAAGTGAAGTGGATTGACTACGAAGACTGATAGATGAAGGAGAGATCTGTCTGGACACGCCTGGCATAGAATTTACGGGGTTTAGTTATGGTGTTTTCGCCCCCTAGGAACGTGACGGGCCTTCGGTACTTCAATTTGCTGCAATTAATTGAAATGATCACAATGGACAACCGTTTCATCAAGATAGAGACTTGGTATTTCCGAGACATGTTCGCAAAGTTAATAGCGCTTGTAGCATTGGTGGTTCGATGGCGGAAAGAACCTTAGAAAGTCTACCTCAGTTCAAAAGATTCGGCAAGGCGAGAACTGCTCGCTATATTTATCCTCGTCGGTGTTTGGAGACATAGTTGAGGGGCCTTTTATTGTATTATGAATTGAATGGAGCTTGGATGTATTTAGGACGAGGCCATAATGCAGAAGGACGCATGCTCTTTTAGGGGGGCAAGACTTTTTCTATGCAGGGTTAATTTAGAGCTTTGTGTAATCTTGGCGGGCGCAAGCAAGGTTCGGAACGAAAGCATGGTTCAACTTCAACCATGCGTCATGTAAGCAAGCATCATCTATGTGTATGACAGTACCTTGACACTCGAGCCATTTTTGCTCCCTGGGTACTAACTTCATTACACATGAGGGCACATGACGTCCCTTCAATATCCCCTTCGAAAGTCCAGGGTAAATATGAATCTCTGCTTTTTCTTATGGGCGCAAAGGAAGAGGGCATCATCTTTAGCTGGCATCCTTTCCACCTGCTAAAATACAGAGACATAATGCTTAGAGAAGTATCAAAAGGGAGATTTTTTCAGCACTCAAGAACATACGGCCAGATGAGTCAACCCTTATACCACTTTATTAGCCACTTCGAGGTCAGGGCAGGTTAGTTGTGCTGGCCCCAGAGCGGGAGGGCACGGAGTCTACTTGCTGTTCCATCGTCCAAGACAAAGTTTACGTATGCTATTATATTATGAATGGAGACAAATGTTTAAGGTTGATCTTATAGGATGTGGAGCATGAAGCTTGACGGTCTTGGCAGACCCTGTAGATCACACTTGACATCCTTGGCATTTGGCGTAAGGCAATACATTAATGATCTTGAGACTGAGTACTTTACTACGATTGTTTCATCATCTTGAATTCCCTGTGATAGTGCTCTGCTGCAAATTATTGGATGAAAGTTCAAAACTTTGAGCAACGATGCAAACCAGCGACTTCTCCTAAGGTACAGTGGATCTTTCAGTTGGTTTTCTGTTGGTCTGTGAAGCTTGAGATCGATAGTCTCAGGACACTTAGCTGAGTAGTAGCCAGAGAGCTAGCCGATGTAGTAGTAAACAAACAACTGGCCTGATACCGAAATACGAACAGAACATCTTTATGCAAAGGTTAGATATAGATTGGTCTATGGCCATAGAGGCAAGCAATCTTAATGAAGCTAAACACAAAATGTGGGATCAACGGCTGAAAATTGAGCCAAGCCACAATATAAGATCACCGGCTAACCTATCTAGAATTAAATAGTCAAGGTCGTCTTAAGGGGCAGGTCTCTGCTGCTGCGACCAACATAAATTGTATATGTTCCCCGTTGCAGCAGCCATTCCTGTGCAGTGGTATCCCAAGTACTCAAATCGCGGCGCGTCAAGCTATATCTAACAGTGACCGACTTTCCCGACTTGATGAGGACCTTTTCAAATCCACGAAGTTGGCGAATAGGGCCATTGGGAACACCGACATAAAGCTGTGCGACTTCCTGACCATCAACACCACCAGTATTCTTGACAGTGGCGGACACGGTAACCAGCGTATCGAAGAGACGGGGGTTTCCACCCGGAAGTATCGATGCTCTGGCCGGGTACTTGGAAAGCGAAGAAGACTTCTTTGAAACCTTGAGCTTAGAGTAATCGAAGGTGGTGTACGAAAGGCCATAACCGAAGGCGTATAGGGGCTCGATTCCATTCTTGTCGAAGGCGCGGTAGTCGATGTAGACACCCTCTGAGAATTCTGACTGAGGGAAGTACTCGTAGATACCGGTGGGCTCAGACGGCTCAAGCAAAGCGCCGTAGTCAGATTCAGTTTTGGCAACAGTGTAGGGGAGTCGGCCAGAGGGGTTGGAATCTCCGTATAGAATCTCCACCAAGGCACGGCCGGTATCCTGGCCAGGAAGATGGGCATAGATGATACCAGTGACATTGGTGTGGTCGACCCATGACTCAATAGTGCGGATACCGGCATTGTGGACCACGACAATGGTGTTGGCGCAGTTATCAGCGACGTTGTTAACAATTGTATCGCTGTGAGTATCATATAGACCTGCACGATCATAGCCTTCTGTAGCGTATGAGTTGATGAACACCAAACATACATCGGAAGTGTAGTCCACCGATGGGCTTTCGGAGGTGAAGTCCCAGAGGACAGACGAGCCATCTTCGTAGGCTCGGCGCTGGATGGCGCTGATGGGAGCATCGACGTAGGCGGGCGAGTTAGCACCGGAACCGCCGCCAACATACTGAGTTCCGTTTTGATAGAGGGCTGATCGGGTTGCAGAGCTGAAGTCCCAAGATGTCGAGAGGTCCATGGTCATTGGGGTATAAGCATCGTAGCCAAAAACGGAAATCAGTTTCGGAGACTTAAGAGGAAGTGCTTTGTTGGTATTCTTGACTAGAACGTGCCCCTCAATGGCGGATTGAAGAAGGATTGGTTTCGCTTCTTGAGATGTAGCAATGACCGCTTGATGAGCTGCGGAAGCGCTGGTGGGCATCCCAATGCCCGGGTTAGGGAAAACCGAGTCCTGGTCTAGATAGTACCATGTCGCCATCAGTCTGTCAAGTGAATTAGTACGAGACGGGAATTTTTCTCTGACCATGGCATGCACCTACCTCGTGATCATATCATCTAAGCGCGAGGCTTCCATTGTTCCGTTAGCAATAGCAGTGGTCAGATTACTGTTCCAGAGCGAAGATGAGGGCATGACAACGTCAAGTCCAGCATTGGCACTAGCAATACCACCATGCTGAGCTCCCCAGTCCGTCACCACATAGCCTATTCAGGGGTTTCTTAGTACTTCTCTCAATCGGTCAACATCAAAGTGGACCATTCTTACCCTGGAAACCAAGCTCAGTCTTCAATAAGCCATTAAGAGTCTTGCTGTTCTGGCAAGCGTATGAGTTGTTTAATCGGTTATATGAGCACATGACACAGGCAGCGCCAGCAAGGACTGCATCTTGGAAAGGCCACAAATAGAGCTCGTGAATGGTCTGATCATCCAAGTTGGAAGAAACAGATTGAACAGCATTACCATCAGAGTCGGTAGAGGGGTTGCGATTGGTTTCTTGTTCATTGCCGATGAAATGCTGCTTAAACATTAGATTCGACTTTCAACAAAGACGGGCTGGCTAACATACCTTCAAGGATGTCGCAACATTTTGGGACTGGAGGCCTTTGACAGACTCGGCGACCAGAATTCCACTGAGATAGGGATCGGTAGAGAATCCTTCCCAGTTACGTCCACCAAGTGCTACACGACCAAGAGGACCGACGACAGGGCCAAGAATCATGTTCACACCCTTCTTGCGGTATTCTTTGCCCATGTAGGTAGCCCGGTCATTTGCAAGATCACGATTCCAGCTGTGGAGAGTGTATGTTAGCAAGAACATGGAGAGCTCTCAAGTTAATCTCAAAAGATACCTGGCTCCAACAGAGATCCCCGATGCCCAACTGTTGACGTAATCTGTTCCTCTCTGTAGAGAATTTGTCAGTCCATGAACATTTGAGAGTTGAAAGAGACGAATGATGCAACGGTTGAAGGACTGGCACTCACAAGACCATTTCCAGCATCACTGACGCACATCCCTGGAAATCCCAAGCGTTCGATAGCTTGAATATTTCCAGAACAGCCAGTATTGGATGTTACACCAGCTGTGAGATTAACCTTCTCATCATCAGAAAGTTTCGCAACGAAAGCCTTGGCCTTCACATATGCAGCTGCCCAGTCTCCAGTACCAGATCCCACAGCTATTCGGCGAGTCAGTAAGTTCTTCAATTTAACTGAAACCGACTCATGAAATGACCGGGATCAAATTTTAAAAGGTAGACTTACGGGACGGATAGACTGCCGGAGATTCGCCATAGAAATGGCTGTCACTGGTAATGACATCTTCAGCTACAGCATATCTGCCAAGGGCAAGGCCCATCAATAGGCTTGTCGTTCCCCAAGAATTTAACATGCTAGGCAGAGGAACTGGAATACTCTACTGAATTCAAAGCCCAGGGTTTCTATCGAGAAAAGACGTCCCTTTTATACACTTTCCACTGCTGCTCTGCATGACAACTCTAACCCCTCCCCATGTTCGTCAAATTTACATAACTACATCATCCCACTTTCTCAAATCCAAAGCGGGTATATATCGGCAGAACTCAACCCTGTACTTCCCCACAAATGACAAAAAGAAAGTCCCGGGGCGTTAGGGTTCTTCACTAGCTTCTTGGTCAAACTTGGCGACCAGCCTCAAAGAAGCTTCGGGTGCGGAGAACCTTTCCTTTCGAACAGTCCGTGCGCCAAAATGGCTTGGTATAATCTGGGTAAATGGAAGCGAGACCGAAGACTATGTGTTGGGTTATGCAGGTGAGGTAATGCGTCGTTTCGGGCGCGAACTCGGTATGTGGGGAAATCTCCCCATGGGGGTCCGGATCTTGCGGACGGGATATCGATTGATGAAGCGGGGTATAAAGGTCATTGCACATAGTACTGAGGTTGCATTGCAGCTGACCAGTGAGACTATGTATCTCGATTAAGCAGTTAAAAACTTACATATTCCATGGCTCTACTAGTACTGACAAGTGGATTGTGGGGCTGCTCTAATGACAACAACTTCGGCCTCGCTCCAAAGTTCACGTCCTTGAACTCTGTTGCTTAAGTACTCGAAAGGCTTGCTAATCTGGAAGCTTGGCAAATTTTGCAAAACTTCTAAAGGCTAGAACCTTAGTTAACATAGATTGTAGAGTGTGTGAATATCACGAGATGTACCAGGAATAACATTATATAAAAACGATTTCCAGGCATTGGTATTGAATCACTCGACTCAACAGCAGCAATCAACAAGGCTGGAACATCTTTCTATCAGTGCTATTTCACATTGTATACCACTTTTTAATGGAGCTGCCCCACAAGAGTTCGGAAGTTGACCCTGGGCATGTGCACTTTCATTCAGTGGGACTCCAGAACATCACGTGCTGCATCATCTCTAAAGTCCTACCTCTAAAATTGGTAGGAATCTACTATTTGCTTCTAAAAAAGCTTCTTCGTCCCAAGATAGTCGAAGACGAACAAACGAAAATGATATAAAGTAGTTGAACAAGTTATAATCAGCCGCCATGGGTATTCTCAAAATCAAATCATAAATCTTGCGCATCATAATGTCAAGTGTATCCGCACGAAAGATGTGCTTGTGACCAAAGGGTATAACAAAATAAAGCCACCGAAATCACGCAAGCTGACGTTCAACATTCCGGGGCCCTGTTAAAAGGGTCGGTGGAATTGGCGACACACGACCACGGAAGCCATGGCTTTCCCGAGAGCCGGGTCGTGGTGGAGGAGGTGGAGGTGGAGGGCGACTGAAACCCGGATGGTGAGGATATGGGTGAGGATGAGGATGGGAGAAGGGATGAGGTGGAGGCATTGGGGGTGTAGGAGGACCACCGACAGTCAGACGGCTGAAGTCACCAGGAAGTTGTTGTGACGGATAGCGGTATTGGGCTGGTTGTTGTGACGAGGCATGAGAGATGTAGCCCATGGACCTGGTGGGATCACCAGGAAGGGAGACGAGGGAGGCGTTAAGGGTGCGTGCGATGTCTTCGATAGTGACTTCCATTGGGGCGATGTAGGTGGTGTTGCTCTTTTCGGACCAGGCCAAGACGTGGCCGCAGACTCGGCCGGTTGATCTGTCAAATACCCATGCGCCGGAGTCGCCAGGGGCTTGCATAAGGTTAGCTTCAAGAACATTTTACTTGATATATGGGTAGATTGGTCTTAAAAATCCGGTGGGATCGGTTATTGTTTACCGGTTTAACAGTAACAGGCATGGGGAATCACAGGGGTATAACAAAGCAAAAGCAAGGGTATCTAAATAACAATCGTATAGACATAAACATGGATCTGCGAAGTGCGCCTCTTACCTCCAAAGTTCCCATTGACACAGAAGCTCGTCGAAAAGGAGTGACGACCATGCAGCTTAACTAGCGTCATTGCCTTAGATATAAGGCCTGATTGTAGGCCACTTGTCCGGCCACAACAATGGACTTGCAAGCCACCCAGCTCTTCCATCCGAGCAATTTGATTGAGAAATATGGGTGGGCTTTGAGCCGCTCGTCCAGGAAGGGGCCTAGCAGGAGAGGACGTCGTGCTGTCGACGATGATATTGCGAGGGTCCATGCGAGCGTCATCGACTTTGATGAGAGCCCAATCAATCTCATGCTTGATCCCCTTCCACATCCAGCGCCGCACACCTGATGATGCATGGATGTAGCCTAAAGAATGCGAGGCAAGATGCTCGTCATCTCGATCTTCGGGTGACGGAAAAAAATCCTCATGGACGTCATCAATCGCAGGCTGGGTGACAAAAAGCCGTGGCTCTTCACCTGGCTCGATACCGGTTGTGTCGCCTATTGATGCAGCGTCATCATCTTCGTTGTCGGGATCAATGGATTCATCGTCGGAGGATTCATCGTCGGATAGCCAGTATTCATCATGGCCATCTCCTGGACCCTGTGATATTGATGCGCTATCATCATCCTCAAAATCCGATATCTCGAGGTCAAGATTTTCTTCTGATTGTTTATTTTCGGTGTGGGCATGAGTTAAATGCGTATTCGGGACGGTAGGGGTGTGCGTGTTACGAGGCCAATTACCTGCAAAACGAGCCGGTACATCTTCGTCGTTGTTCTCGGATTCTTCATCGTCGCTCGGAGCCTCAAGCATGTGATGAACTGTCAGACCATAGGGCATTCCATCAACTAGGACTGCACCGCCATACGAGACTGGGGGCAGATGTTCCTCATTTTGGAAGGCACCAATGGAAGCGCCACATAACGGTCGTTGCTGGTAACATGGATTCAGTTCTCGTTGACGAAAAGGCGTTTCGTTAGATCCGTTGGGGCGTGTCATCGCCGGCTTGCGTCGTTTATTACGAGGAACCTTGGATCTTTCGATATCACCCCGAATGACGATAAGATCCCAATCATCACGACCCAGCTGAAAATGTTTTTTCAGAGCAGAGCGAACTTTCTTGACGCTTGAACAGGTAACACAGATGGTGGTCCGTGCGGTTTCGAGCGATTCTCCGGTCATTATGAGATTAGCTCCACATGATTCATTTGAGTCTTTCAGGATTTTTTGTAGTAGGCGGCTCAACTTCGGCATCATCTGGAAATTCCATTCCTGTAGATGCGCATCAGGTATTTCGAGATTAGGAAGACGCCTGACCGTGCGTTTCTTGGCGGGTTTCTCTAGACTTCTTTCCTGTGCACCCCACTGGCGGGTCGGTATGCTCGGTAGCTTCTTACCAAGGTCAGCTGGCTGACAGGCAGACTTATAAGCGGACACTTGCTCATTTGCGGGTGTAGACTCTGGGGCGGGGACAAGAGCCAGTGGTAGGCAGTCATCCAGTTCCTCGGCAGGCGGCGCGGAGAAGATGTCGATCCGACAACATGACCAGAGAATCTTGCAGATGGTGTACATAAAGTTCATCGAAAAAGAAAATGTCCCGTCGGGATCAGACAAGTCGAGGACAGGATAGTGGTAGATCTGAGGAACACGGAGAGAGAGGTCCGTCATGGGTTGCGTAGAAAGATGGAAATTGGGTGCATCAAGACAAAGTTGCACGGCCTGCAGGTACGCACCACCGCACTTCGCCCCAAGCTTCTTGACGTAGAGATCCTCAACGCGGTGTTTGAACCAGGAACGGTCATATTTCATTTTCCATAGGCGCCCAACCGGTGCCCACAGACCAATTTCCAGCAAGATCAGACCGAGCGAGTAAAGATCATAAGCCCATGCACCATCATCTTCGACATTCCTCTTGTCTTCTGGGTGACGATACATGGCCGTACTCAATGGCTCAGGGGTGGGTCCGTCTCCGGAGAAGCGAGCTGGGGAGGTCAGATAAGGACGACGAAGGTCAGGAGACAAGCCACCATCCTCGTTGTTTGCATCTGTCCGACCGGGAAAGAAAATGACATTACTGCTATTGATATTACCATGCACGACGTTTTGACTTCTCAAGTGCAAGGCAGACATCAATAAATCATAGGCAAGCCGAAAGCGGGTCTCCAGGTTTGGCATCCGCTTCTCACGATAGTCTTCTGCGGAAGGGGAGGGGAGAAGTGAGACGAGTGGCATGGGCTTCAATTCTTTCAATAAATCACTTGGATTGGTGAGAAATGGGAAATAATCAACGGGCATCTGATAAAGAAAGGCGTAACGGGCGTTTGGCTCATCAATGCAATAGCCTAAGAATCGTAAAAGACCAAGATGTGATATCCTGGCATTCTGCAGCAGTTGATCGAGAGATTGTTGCAACTTTTCCAGTCGGGTATTCTTAGCGTCCTTCTGGGAATCCGCCATGATAGGCATAAACTCAACCAAGACGGAAACATGAGATTCTTTGATAGAGGTCTTAAGAGCAGAAGAGGCGGAAGTATTTAATCGACCAACGGCACGCGAGTTCGAAGACGCTGCAACTGGCTCATATGGTGGAGGATTGTTATCAACGGCAGCTCCATATAGCTGCAAAGCAGATCGTTGAATGATAAGATGATGGGGGGAGATGAATGATGCAGCGAAATCACGCTGCATAGTAGGAGATGAGGTATATTGTTCAAAGAGTTGCTTCGGGCTCTGGACCTTTTCTTTAGATTCAGAGAAAGAGCCAAGGGGAGAGTCATATGGTGAGGCCGGAATGGGTCGAGCGCGCCGCTTGGTTGAAGACATGCTAGAGGCCATTGTCCGACGCGAGCGGGAGAGGTCGTATAAGGTGTCAATACAGGCCGTCAAGTCACTCAATATTGTTTGCGAACGGCTGATATCATTGTCTGTCCACTGGGTCTTGAGAGGTCCGACGGCTTCTTTTGACGGGTCCACCTTGCGGTCTTTCGAGGGAAGCGGGGGGTCAAGGTGCTGAACTCGTTCGGCATCATTGAGCAGGTCCTGAATTGTAGACATGACACTCTCAACCACATCGCTGAATCCAGCCGCAGTCAAAGACTCATCGATATCGTTGGGCTGAGCGGCGCTGGCGTCGCTCCAGTCCAAACCCCAGGCCAACAGCCGGTCCCGTTGTTTCTGGAAACTCTGGTGGAGGGCAACGAGTTCCGGATCATCGAGTGCCTTTGAGGCGGTGGTGACACTCTCACAGGATGTTTTGGTATCGGTATACAGCTTGGTGAGGCGGCGCTGGAGGAAGCCGCCGCCTCCTCCGTGGCGCAGGACGGACATGGCGATAACGATTCGATCAGGACAAAGGGATTCGAAAGATCAAAATTCAGAGTCGCGTAGTATCACAGATCCATCCTGAGAGGTTCAGATTTCCAAAAATCCAACGCAAGCAGGAAGATCAGGAGAGAAGAGATGGACCATCCGTGGGTGCCTGGGCGCGGCGATTACAGTGATAGACCCGATGCGGGAGGATTGAAGGGAATCCTGTTGCCTAACCAATGAGAATGTCCGATCTGTGCAGTGTAGTGGAGTGGGCGGGGTCACGTGGCAGGCATCTAAATTGATGTATTTTGGTATTTGTAAGTGGTTTCAGAATCTGGTAATGTTACGGTGGCCTCGCACTTGAGTTTATTACTATTCTCAGGCAGCAGCATCACTTGATTACTAAATTCATATGAACTAACTTAACTAACTAGCTAACTAGTTGTCGTAAAATATCCCCTAAGAGTTTTCTAAATATACAGTATAAATGAAAAGAGAGGAAACAAATATCACACACATTTATTTGGGAAGGGTGAGAAATGAAAAAGCCTGCAAGAGTAGGCAACATTCCAACATTTGCATGTCACACAATGGTCTTCCAAGGTTAGACTTCGTCATATTGTCTCCCCATCTTCACCCTGTGATCACCCTCCGAGAAACCCCAACATCCCGAGCCCGTTTCTCACTAAAATTATGCAACCGCTCACCGATAAGGTATACATCATCCCGCATGTTGATGCGCCATATGGTCACCCAACGGAGCACAAGGTGGATAGCCCACGCTGCCAAAGCAAATAGTAGCGTGGCGAGATAAGCATAGCGGTAGATGTTCTGCTGCGCCTCGACCCTGTAGAGAACAGTGTGTCCCAGGATTCCGCCGAGGGAAAGGGGAACAACAACGGCAGCAGCTGTGAAGAGTAACAAGGGCAGGATAAGAGCCCGGGTGGCGAGGTGCACATTGGGACGGAGCCAGCCATCACGGAAAATGCCATTCAATACGGCCGCTGCCCAGGACTGAGGGTGCCACGAAGTCAACTTGATTGCCATCTGGACGTAAAGCACCCCTAGCGTCCAATCTTGAACAACATGAACTATATGGGATTTGCCGTCCCCGAAGAGAGTATGCAGGGGAATCAGCACATATAGTTCAGTGAGGAGTGCGAAAAGAGTCGGTAGCAAAATGGCCAAGGCAGCGGAGATGTAGAGAAGACGCCCAGCATCGAGTGCAACAGCTGCACAAAGGCGGCCGAACTGACTTGGAGATCGCAAGTGTGTCCACGAGTTGCCTTGCATAGCTCTCACTGCAGCGCGACAGTAATAGGCCAGGTAACCAAAGCTGAAAACAACACATAGCCCGCTAGAAAATGCGTAGATGTCATTCACAGGCACTGGACTGGAGAAAAATATAGTTATCATTTTCCGCCCAATGATGAGCGGAATAATTGTGATGCCTACCCCTGTGGTGGCAGCAAACAGCCAGATGAGGAGAATGAAAGCGGCGATTCGTAGACGAAAGAAAGGTGGGATATAGACTTTGGTGAACATGTTGCTGGACCGTCCGTGTAGACCTTCTTCCGAATCAAGATTCCCATCAACACGTTCATTGTTTTCAGTCACATCCAAGAAAACCTGAGTTCCTTTAGGTATGCGAACCTGGTCCGATGCAGGAGCTCGGACGTACCGACCGTCTCGTAGGAAATACACGTCACGGTTTTCGTTCTCCGCGGCAGCCCGTTGAGCTGCCCCGATTACAGGATGTTCCCAGTCACCCTTGCGTCCAGCAATAAAGGCCCACCAAGTCCGATACACGTGGTGTCCCTCCTCTTCGGGGTGTCTGTCCGGGAAGAAGAAATTGCTGAGGCGCAGGAAGTGTGCGCATTGGTGAAACCACCAGTCATACAAACCATGCAGCGCATCCGACGGCTTGAAGGATTGGATGATGTGTGGCATAATAAAGTTGTAAAACAAAAGATCCACTGGAAACTCAAGCATGGGGGCCCTGGCGGACCAATGAATGGGTAGAACACCCTCAAATGCAAAGTTTAGGCCCCAGACAACTCCTCCCAGACAGACAATGACTAGTGTCCCATAAACAAGGGCACTAAAGCCAATTTTACGAAGCTGGGTAGTAATGCTACGTTCCAGGACATCTCGAATGGGGTGGAAAGTAGGGTCATCGGGGTCTCGGATGAAGTCTGTTGGAAAGAAAAGTCAGTATTGAAAAGTTCTGCGACGGTAGACAGATGAAACTTACAAAGAACGCCTGTTCGCAAAATCTTTCGGCACATGGACACAAATAGGGCAAAGTGGAACATGTAACAAGTGCCAATAAACCAGTGCACGAAAAGCGACGTGAGCGGAGATCCGGTAGTAAAAGCGATGCGGGAAATGATTGTTGCCTCCGAGAAAAGAGGTAGCAAGGCAATGTCAAGCAATGTGCCACAGTAGAGAGGGAAAACGATCATCTCAATACCGATGATTAGGATGACTTTCATGACTCCCCCAGCCTGGAGAAGAACCTCAGCAACCACCCCTTCGATCCGTTGTCCACGATTAGGTCCAGCGAGAAATCCAGTGATTCGGAGGTAAAGATACCCCATAATCGTTGCAAGAAGATACCCCATGGATATGGCGATCACGCGGTCTTTGGAATCCCACACCGCGAGATCATAGTCAATAGGTACGGATCCTGAGACTACTTTGGCGGTGCTTGCATTTAGCAGCTTCGTTCCGGAACTGGAATACAATTGAGACCTGGTGAAGTTTCCGAAAAGCTGCTGAAGGTGCACCGCGTATCCCTTCACCTGGGAAAAATCCGGATCGAAGGAGAGCGCCCCTGGGACCCCAAGTGTGATCAAGCGCAAGGGAAAGTCGTGTAGAACAAACTTGATGATAGCGCAAATTGACTCAAAGAACGCAAGGAGACGAGCCTGATGCAGTCTAAGTGCCTGATGAGAAAGAACCGAAAACATGGGGATGTCGGACTCGTTGAAAACAAGGAAGGCTTTGACAACTTTGTTCAAACGATGAGTGCTAGCGTCGATAAGAGAGAGAGAGGCAGTTGTGACGGATTTGCCTCGTGGAATCCATTCACCAAGAGGAACAAATGCAACAAATGGGCTCAGCACCACTTTACAGATAAATGTCAACCAGTACATGACGTACCCAACAACACCTATCAAAGTATCGAGAGCAATGTCTGTCACGACAGTGAGGGTGGTCATTGGAACACCTACGATCAATTCCAACGGATTGGCCAGCAAAACCAGGGCAATCTTTCCCCATAGGTAGGGAAGCCAGATGCCAACTGTGACCGTGAAGGCGATGAGAAGAGCACAGAAGACACCATTCTGTAGGAGACCAAAGATGGGGCCTTGCATGCCGATCAAATCCATGATCCCTTCGAAATCATCTCCTTCGATTGCATCCATATCATTAGCATCTAACCCTGCGTCAGCTGGGATGGCCATGTCTCCATCCACGGGTCGGTCTTCCAATCGATTTGGAACGGGCACAAAAGGCTCTTCCAGCGCTGGGTCCTGAACAACATGTTCTTCATCGGCTTGTACTGCCTCGGCAGGATCATGTTCGCCTGGCGTGATATCTCCCCAAAACCAGTTCATCAGTCGCTCTGCAATGCTTTGTGGGTTCTCAAATTCCTCCTGCGGGGCTGTTGGACGTGCTGCTTCCTCATGGACATGCAAGAATTGGCTAACATGCTCATCATTCGTTTGAATCTGCTGACGAGTACTGTCGTTCTCTTGTGAATTGGTGGAATCACGCGGGCCGTAATTTTCACCTAGCGAAGGATTACCAGCACGGTTTGAAGGTCCCGCGAAGTTTTGATCGTGAGAATCCGGGGTCAAGGCGTTCACAATCCAGCCTAATTCCTCCTCTCGACCTTCCTCACGAATTAGTCGTAGTATCTCATCGCGATCACCATTGGAGCGAGCCAATATATCTCTGAAGCCAGCTACGCCAGAGTTTGTAGGGTACTCCTGCTGGAAGGATGAAAAGCTTGCAGCACCTTCACCTTCGCTATCTTGAGGGTATCTTTCGGTAGACATGTTGTTCGACGCAGGAGGTCTCTCAAGGAGAGGAAGACCATCATCAGAATCAGTCCAAGAGGGAGCGGGAGATGCAGCGCGAGCCCGAGGAGGGATTTCATGACGCTCCTGTTGAGCTCCGTCGTGCTGCTCATGGATGCCAAAATTCGGATGAGCAAGGGGGCGGGCGGGTTGAGGTGGTAGCAGTTGCTCATTCGCGCGATTGGCATTAACATTCATTCGCATAGCAGCTTCCCGTTCGCCCTCCGCAATGTTCACCATGGGTTGTTGTTGGACGACCCATTCTCTGATAAGGAACAGAAGAATAAAGGCGACGACTACCAAAAGGGTAATGAGTTGTCCCTCCAGGGTATCGATAATCATATTGTTGATGGTTGGGTAAGGTGTCAGTGTGATGAGAAATTTCACATCGGAGAGCCATGACGGATACCGAGCCTTTGATAGCCCAGTCATGTTAGTTTGTACAGAGCCATTGTGGCCACCGGGTGACGTCGAAGCAGGGAGAAAGAGACTGGGTATCACTTTCTTTATTAGCGTCAGCATCATTGGTTCTCCAGCAGGAAACCCATCGGTTGATGAATGTATTGCTGGTGGAGTACTGAGAGCGGATTGAACTGCACTCGAGACTGACGGGATAACCGAGCTGACTACAGCAGCCGTGGCTGCGGTGTTATTTGCAGCTTGCGCTAAACTACCCGCTGCGGTTTGTTGTTGGCCGGTCGTGGACCATCGTCCGTCCGCAAGCCAAAAGAGTGCTCTCCAGATTGCGCGCATCGACCATGGCAACCACCCTAGCCAGACGAAGGCAACGAGACCAAATCGCAGCCAGGTAATCAAGGTTCCGAAGGATTGAATCAAAGCTTGCTTCAAAAATAAGGGCGTCGGGAGGTTTTGTGGCATATTCGGGTCGTATAATTTGGTGAATCGGAAAGGTGTTTTGCACAGCTCGCAATGTTTCTTCTGCGAGTGTGCCAGCCATTCCACCAGACAGCTTTGGTGGACGAACTTAATGCTTCCACTGCATTTGCATGGATAGAACAGTGGTTCTTCCTCTGTAGCCTCTCCATGGCAAATACGGCAAGTATCCATGTCCTCGATACCCTTGTCCCTCTCATCGAAAGCTGGATCGTTCATCAAGTCTGGGAAAGACAACCCCGCTGGGTTGCGGAAGGGATTCGCATCCATTTTGGTGGCGGGTAATCTCGTCGAATTGACGGTCGCACAAGTGTTTTCACCAAATCCTCATCCTAGTCTCACTTATTCCATGTATGATAAAACCATCAACCGTTGGGGGGTGGGCGCGCACGGATAGTGTAGACGGGGAGCACGGAGAGTATCAAAACGCTGCGGAGAAGAAAATATTCTTAGATAAGAAAAAATATGACGAGAGATTCATGAGCAAGAAATCAAGATCGCACTTACTCTGCATCAACGAAGCCTCAACAAATCAGGCAATCACCGTCGAGTCGCAACTTCCCTTGTTCTTTGCTTCAATGTTCGGGCCACTTGGGCTGACTCAGCTTGTATATGCGTTACGGTAAGTTACGGAGATTACACTAAAAGTACCCGAGAATGCTAAAACGGCCTGCTCACACTCTCGCGTAATTGGTATCAATCTGTATTGGGTGATGCAGGTGGCACCGATGACCTCACTGCTTTCCTAGTCGCCAACTTAGCCCTTGCTTTTGTGTTGATTCAAGTTAACGCTTGTCAACATATGTGGACTCTTTCCTCAAATATCAGTCGCGTGGTGGTTGAGGTGTTTGATACCCCTCATAAATCTAATCAAGTGTCTTTCTGCCTCAGATCTCTCTCCGCGCTCTGACCGCGGCACCCCGTGAAGTTCTGCTAGTGCCAAGACCGACGCGAGCAGTCCGCCTAGCTTCAGCTTTCTTTCCAAAGGTCCTTATCAGGCCATCAGCAGCTCGAGAGTGTTCACTGTTCAGTCCAATGAGCCCGAGAGCTTTGGCCTTTGTTTGATACATCTGTTCAAGTGTGACGCGGTACCTGTAGTTCTGCAGAGCCTGCCTTTGCCAAATTTCGAAGCGCTCGCCTGGCCGAGAATAGGCCTGCCAATAACCATGGCAGCCGCACACGAGAATGGCCATGCTGAGGCAGTGGTCAAACCCAATGGGCGGAAAGAGTCTGCAAAAACCCAGAGGAAAAACAAATTCCTGGGATGGACCATCATAGGCTTGGTCGTGCGGTATGTATTGCAATTGGAATCGCGGCAACCTTTTGAGCTGTTCTAGTGCTGACCTGTGCTTGTTATTAGACTTGGGATATGGTACGCGCTTTTGACGCCTTTTCTGCAGTGCCCTTCGCACCTTTCCGACTTGAATGACACGTCTCCTCGAGTTTGCAAACCTTATCTCATTGTTCGATCCCGCGTGGAACCCTACGTTACTCCCTACTATGATACTTATGCTGCGCCCTACGTGGATCAAGTCCGCCCCTACGTGGATCAAGCCCGCCCATACGTGGATGTTTTGAACAAGCGAGTTTATGTGCCGGCATCCAAGCTTGCACACACTGGATATGAAAAGTACGGCGCTCCAGCATGGGAACAAGCTCAGACGTATGGCGCAGCTCAATGGAAGGGCAAGGTGACGCCGCGGGCCGAGGCGGCTCGGGATAAGGTACATCAGCTCTATCTGGCTGAAATTGATCCATACGCTCAGCAGGGATTCATGGCTGTTTCGCCTTACTATCAAAAAGCAAATTCTATTGTGCTTGCTGTTTATTGGGATCATTTGGTTCCCTTTTACACCCGGTCCCAACCTTTCATTGGCAAGACCTATGCCACTTCTCAGGATATTTTAGTGACCTACGTTGTGCCAAACGCACGATACACCTGGTCCTCCGTTGTCTACTTTGCCAACAGCTCCCTGTGGCCCCATGTTACCGGTCTCTACTCGGAGCAGGTTGAGCCGCAACTTGTTAAGATCGGACAGCGTCTGGCGAGCTATAGGGAAGGCAAGCGCCTCCGTGCAGTTGTCGAGGAAATGGATAGGTATTGATTATTCTTACCCCGCATATCAAATCGATATCACTAACATACCCTTAGCACCTTTCCTGAGCAGCCCAGCTCTTCAGCTACACTTACTTCTATAGAGTCTGTTCAGACTTCGAGTAGCGTGACAATAATTTCAACCACTGAGGTCCCCTATGTTGCCCCTACCCTCTCAGCAGCTGAGAAAGCAAAGCAAGCCCGTGAACAGATTGACTCCGATCTTCAGAGGTGGCAAGACAAGTTTGCTGTCGCAGCTGACAGTGGCATTGAAGATCTTGAAGAGCGCCTCGAAGAGATCGTCGGTGCCCTCGTCGCTAGCAGTGCTAATGGCCACGGTCTAAGCCTTTCAACGGCACTTCAAAGCGTGGCTGCGAAACAACTTACTACCATTAAGGACCGTATCAATGATCTTGTACAAACTCTACCCGAAGAGGATGCACCGGAAGCCGAAGAGGAAGCCCGCGATCAAGTCGTTAACGAAATTCGAAAGTCCGCCATCTCTGTCAGAGATCGTGCCCATGCTCTTCGCGAATGGTCATTATCATTCGACGATGAACTCATGCGTCGGGTTTCAGCAGCTGTCAACTCGACCCTCGAAGTACTAGACGGCATTCGTGATCTCGGTCTTCAGGAAATTGGCATGCGCTGGGCATGGATGGATGGTGTCACCTATAAAGACTGGGCAAGATATCGCACGGTCAAGGAACAACTCCAGGACTGGCGCAATCAGATTTATCACGTTGGTATGAACCACAGATCAGTTGCGGAAGCCAAGGCGGTGGCGGCCGATATTTTGGATCGTGGTATGGAGGTTGCCCAACAAACTGCTGTGGAACTTGTCAGATTGAAGGATGTTGGTCACTGGAAGTTGGCTGCCCGAGAGGTCAGCGACAATTTCGAGACCAGAACTGAGCCTCCGCCCCCGAGGCCGAAGCCAGAGGCCGAAGCTGAGGATCCTGAGGGGACTGCCGATCCTGAACACAATGAACTCCCTGAGGAAATTTCGGAACCATCAACAGCCTCTACTATCTACAACGAGCGAGAGAATTTGGCAGGCGAGAATGTCTCGGATTCCGACGAGTCTTTCGACAGCGCAGCTGAAACTGAGGATGATGAACTTATTGAGTCAATGTCGGCTGATGCTGTTGAGGACGATGAGTCAAGCCCTATCAAGGGCGCCTGGGGGGGAGTTGCGGCAGCTGATGCAAATACCTATCAAGCTCCTATTCTTGATGACGAGGAACAAGATGCTCTTCATAGTCTTGCAAGCAAGGCTGGCGACGCTTACTCTGACGCTTATTATCAGGCGAGCTCCGCTTTTGCCGATTCTACCTCAAATGCCAAGATTCTTTACGATATCGCCAAGTCGCAAGTCATGGGTCAAATGGCTCAGACCAGTGAGCCTGCCCATGCACAGATCCTCTCTTCTATTGAATCTGCCTACTCTGGAGCCGTCAATTATGCAACCAAAGAGTTTGACGCGAAAATTGCCGCGGTCAGGGCCACTCCTACTCCTGCCGGACCTATCGCCCAGATTTCCTCAATTGCTTCCTCTCGATTGAGCGAAGGTCTCAGCGTTGCCTCTGAGAAATTGGCCCACATCCAACCCATTCCATCTCAGACTAGTTCTGCGGGACTTCAGCCTTACGTACTAGATGCTCAGCGTCGCTACTATGAGGCTGTCGGCCTCGCTCACGATCATTACACCGCTTTTGTCTCCACGGCTTCCCACGCTGTCTATGGTACCCCAACTCCCACTGCAGCCCCTCTTGGCTTCCAAAAGCTTATCGAAGAGGCCGGTTCTCAATACGAACATGTTTCTTCTCTGGCTTCTGCCAGCCTTGCTGCAGTTGTCGCATCTGCCAGTTCTATGGCTTCACCAGCGCATGATGGGGCAGCGCAGACCATCATTAACGATGCCTCATCCAAGTATCACGCTGCCATGTCAGCGGCATCCGCCTCTCTTTCTCTTGCGTCTGCATCCGTTAGCTCTGCTGTCTATGGCTCTACACCTGGACCTTTGGAGTCTCTGTCCAGCCAAGCATCCGAGAATTGGGAAAGCCTCATCTCTAAGGCCAGCGAGCAAATCTATGGCACTCCCGCTCCGTACCTTCAGCAATTGCAAGAGAGATTGCCCCAGTTCGAGGCCGTTCAGGGAGTGGTGTCTGAGCTTCTTGTCGGCAAGGAGCCCTCCTTTACCGAAAGTGTCATGAGCAAACTCCGTGTTGCATACGAAACACCCTATCCTGCTGCGGCCCTCTCTTCTGCTTCGAGCTATGTGAGTGAGACGTACGAATCAGCCTCTTCGGTTGCCGGCGCCTATGTTTCCAGCGTTCCAAGCGTAGAGGACGTCTTGCAAGGCGTGAACGAGCAGCTCAAAGATGCTGTGGAAGCTGCCAGTACTGGGGTCTTTGGCACCCCTAAGGGCTCCTACGAACAGGCCACAGAGGCTGTGGCTGGCGCTTATGTCGCCGCGTCGGCGCAGATCAGCAGTGCTGTTCACGGAAAGGAGTCCGGCTACATTGATATTGCCAAGGAGCACATTGAGGACATTCAGTCAAAGGCCAGTGCTGCCATCTACGGGAAGGAGCCCGGTGCGGTGGAGAGCGCTACCAGCCGCCTTGCTGCCGCTATCGAGGGCGCTCAGTCTCAGTTAGCTGAACTGGCCGCTAGTGCCAGCAGTGTCGCTTCTGAGGCTGCTGAGACTGCTGGTTCCCATGTGGAGGACGCCACCAGCAACATCATGTCTGCCGTGTCCTCGGCCAAAGACGAGCTGTAATAGACTCACTCTCATGCCGGCTCATTAGCCTTTTTGTGATATTTCCCCCTTCTGCTACTGTCTTATGTCCACTCTTTTCTTCTAGATACTGTTGCGTTAAAATTGGGCTTCCTGCCAGCGGCATGTCATGCTCGGTTTATGAACGCATTATTCCCCATATAGTTTGTCACGACGGCAATATGTTCACGACCTACCAGATGCACATTGATGTTCCTATTATGCTGCGTTCCAAACTTCTCGTTCTCCGTTCTCATTATCTTCCATCGCTTCCGGGTGCTCGAGTTCATTTGTTGTTACTTCTCGAAGATGTAATCTGAATAAAGTGGGTTGATAGGAGGATGCTCCATGACCCTGTTCCATATATTGTGGAAATCATATCATTTTTGTTCAATGCCTAGGTTTTCTGGATTTGTTCTTGCAGCTGTAATCACAAATTCTTGGGATGACACAAGTAGAGTACTTGGAGTGGCTCCAGTGCAGAATGTGTTCCACAACCCTGGACTTCTTCGTCAAGATACCGCAAGCTTGGTCTGTTTCTTTCTCGTATTTGTAGGCTGTCCATGAATCTATTGCTGGCAAGAATGGCTCTGTGGGTTTGTGCCAATTTCCAGTATGCACATAGGTGACCCAGGACAATATGCACAGTAAGTCGTATGCCCAATCGGCGTAGTCGGTTGATAAGTCTCACCGGACAAACTCAACGAGTCCGGTGCTTGGGTCGATCTCCCCTCTTCTCCTTCTTCAATTCCCTCTTGCTCCTTGCGCCCTCGGACTCCCCCTCATCACCACCACCCATGCCTGCGAAGCCTTTCTTCACGCCCATGACTGTAGTATAGGCCAGGTAGACAGAGTAAACAGGAATGACGATCCAAAGCCACCAAGCACGGTCATTGAAGACACAGGCCGCAACAATGCAGCCTAGGGTCCAATACAACACATCCCACATGTACTCAGTCAAGCCGGTGGCATTCAAATCCTCACCAGCTGAGCGCAAGGAGCCATCCTCGTTATAGCTTGGGCGTCCAACTTTGTCAAGGTAGAATTCGATAAGCAGGGTCGGGAGAGCCAGAAAGAAGTACGGCTTCAGAGAGCGTGGTCGTTGGAACACCTGGTGTAGGACGATGAACAGGATATGGATTGCGGCTGACATAAGATGGGTGCGAGTAAGCACAGCTGCATTGCGACTGGCCAGGGTTTTGAGAGCTTTCTATTTGAGAGTTAGTTCGTCTAGGAATATACAGGACAGCTTGCGCCAGTAACTATGGTAGCTTATTGAAGCTCACCTGTGCCATCTTGAACACAGCTTCACACAGTCACGAAGAGAGTTGATGAGATAAAGAGATCTAGTATGTAAGGGATTTCACGCGACCTCGTTCACTCACGATACCCCAATGATGTTGAAAATAAGAGGGTCAGTTGCAGAAACGGCCACGAGGAAAGCGGAGCAAGCTGATCTCCAACTTCCGATTGTTGCCCTCCCGACCTTCACCGCCTGGCAGAAACCATGCACCTTGATCGACGCAACCAAAATAAGATCATGATGCAGCAACAAACTCCAACGTCTCCACTCTGGAATAACTTGCTATCCCCTTGACTGGATTACTTTCCCAGCACGATGAACATGATGCTATGAAGGACTCACACTGGAGTCTACAGCATAACTGACTTGGCTGGCCAATCCTGGTTTCTCTCCCCGTTCTTACCGTTTCCGTCAGTTTACATTCCGTGCTGGCACAATCCGTTGTCGTGCTCCGATTCAGATTGGTCGAAGATCCCTGCTTCCAGACGAGGTCCCCTCCGGCCTACAGACTGATCGGGTTCCATGTCTAGAGAGTGTTGATGGGCTTATGTGCTTTGTTTTCTGAACCAAACTCGCGCGTTGTCTCCCCGCGTCTCGAAGGGACACAGGACTTGCATGTCCCATCGACAGTGAAAGAACTGATACCCAGCAATCGCATAATCGCCTTGCCCTCACTCCTTTCCTTTGCCACCTCGACGCCTTTTTCGATCACTCAAACGCTGTCTCGCGCGCTAAACCCCACGCGCACCCCTCCTCACCATGGCTCTCTCTCCGAGCCATGTCGCAAGCCAGCTGCGACACTTGATCTACTACCACCTCGATAACAATCTTATTCGTAATGCGCTCTTCCTTGCTGACCGTCTCCATGCCTTCGAACCGCGATCTTTCGAGGCGCAATACCTGCTGTCCCTCTGCCACTTGCACAATGGTGAGGTCAAGGCAGCCTTTGAGTGTAGCCAGCCTTCAGGCTCCCGTGGCTTACACGCCGGCTGTTCATATGTTTACGCGCAGGCTTGCCTTGATCTTGGAAAATACTTGGATGGTGTAACGGCATTGGACCGCAGCAAAAGTCTATGGGCGTCTAAGAATAACTGGAGTGAGTGGACGGATGGCCTTGTTTGCGTCGGGGACTGGACTAATGCCAAAAAATAGACAAACATAGCGAAACACAACGGCAACATTTGCCCGATGCAGCTGCGGTCTATTGCCTGCAAGGCAAGCTGTTCCATGCCCACAAAGACTTGAACAGGGCCGTGGATTGCTATGTAGACTCGCTAAAACTCAATCCATTTATGTGGGATGCATTCTTAGGTTTAAGTGCGACAGGTTCGTTTTATCATCTCTTCCCATTGCTCATTTGAAAGCAGCCAAGGCTAATTCCTGGTTAGGTGTTAATATCAGAGTCCCTAATATCTTTCAACTCAGTCCCGAGCTACTTGCCATGGTCTCTTCTTCCCAGGAGGAGCTGGACATATTATCTGATCACTTTAGTCCCACCGACGGGTCATTTCCGATGCCCACTACCGCCAACTCTGCGGCCGACCCTTTTTTGTCATCTGCCGCGGTCACCGGCCACGATGCAACAAATGGTAGCTCTGCTCTCTATGAGAAGCTCAATTTGAGCTCGGTCAATGCTCCATCGGCACCGCCGCCAATAATTCATGAGGGCATGGAAACCCCTGGGCAGAGCAGCGGATCAGAAGAGTTTCGGATCGCAAATGGAGTTACTGATCTCTGGGAACCACCATTGGCCCCTGCGAGAAAGATCCGAACGATTCAGGCAATGAGCTTGGATCACACAGGTCAAGCTTCCCAGAAAATGCGACCCACCGGCATCCGTCCTCGACCGAAGACAAGGACCGAACCAGAAGAACCGCCAGTTGCGCCATCTGAGAGAGAGCCTCCACCAGCGCCACGAATTGGCGATCGTAAACGCACTGTTTCAGGTCAAGTCGCCCACCCTATTCCTCCACAGCCGATAGAACCCGGCGCACCTCAACGCCGCAGTGTCAGGCTCTTCAATCAAATCAAACCTACCACAAAATTGTCCAGCAGCACCTTGACCGGAAGAGATGGACGTGAAGTTAAAAAAGTTAGGAGTACAGCCTCCAAAACAAGGACTGGATCGACTTCTACTGTTGGCCGTGTTGTTAGTGGCAACCGCAAACCAATTGAGAGCCATGACAGCGATGGCAAAGATCACCACCGTGCAACATCCATACCCCCCGTCCCCCCTTTGCCCAGAAATGCCGAAAAAACGAAAGAGGTCGAGGCGCTCAGTTGGCTTTTGGGTCTCTTCACAAAACTTGCCTCGGGGTATTTCTCCCTGAGTCGATACAAGTGCACAGATGCTGTTCAGCACTTCAATTCCCTCTCACAGGGACAGCGGGAAACACCTTGGGTCCTGGCTCAGCTTGGTCGGGCCTTTTTTGAACAGGCGATGTATGCAGATGCTTCCAAATACTTCTCAAGAGTTCAATCCTTAGCGCCTTCTAGGCTCGAGGATATGGAAATCTACTCGACTGTACTATGGCACTTGAAGAACGATGTGGAACTTGCTTATTTAGCGCATCAGCTTCTGGAGGTCGATCGACTCTCCCCGCAGGCCTGGTGTGCGATTGGCAACTCATTCTCCCACCAGCGAGATCATGATCAAGCGCTTAAGTGTTTCAAGCGTGCAACGATGTTGGACCCTGAGTTTGCATATGCATTCACCCTTCAGGGCCATGAGTATGTTGCGAATGAAGAGTATGACAAGGCACTTGATGCCTATCGCCACGGCATTAAGGCCGATGCTCGACACTACAATGCATGGTACGGCCTCGGCACTGTTTACGATAAGATGGGCAAGCTGGACGAAGCCGAACAGCATTTCCGCAATGCCGCGATGATTAACCCCACTAATGCAGTCCTCATTTGCTGCATTGGACTAGTCTTGGAGAAGAGTGATAATTCCAAGACCGCGTTGGTTCACTATGAACGGGCGTGTTCCCTAGCACCACACTCCATCCTAGCACGATTCCGCAAGGCTCGTGTGCTGATGAAACTTCACGAAGACAAGTTTGCACTGGCAGAACTCAAAGTTCTCAAAGATATGGCCCCCGACGAGGCAAATGTGCACTACCTTTTGGGCAAGTTGTATAAAACCCTCCACGACAAGGCCAATGCAATCAAGCACTTCACAACGGCTTTGAACTTGGATCCGAAGGTAAGATATACAGATCCATGTCTCCCGTCAGTATTTCCTTTCTAACTAAGGCACAGGCTGCACAGTTTATCAAGGACGCGATGGAGTCCATAGATGATGACGAGATGGAGGATGACGATATGGCATAGGCCTGTGATGTTTCTAGGCTTCGTCTTTTTCACTTTTACGTTTGACTTGGGAGGAAATTGTCTTACGAGCTCGGCGTTTCCGGACCTTTTCTGCACAGCATCGCTGGGGAGTTTGTTTTCCACGTCTAGACGCCTGACAATCAGGGCGTTTTGTACATTAGTGAGGTTGGGGCATCACGGTGAACCCGATGATGGCATAGCATAATGCATTATTACCATTCGTCCTTTTCATTAAGATCAACATTGATAGTAAGCGCCTCATGCTTGGGGGGAAATAAGCCAAACATATGTATTTACCTGCCTGTGCAGGTGCGGACCATCTAAACCTTGGAATATATAGTTATAGTCTGCGTGATGCCGTCATCTGCCATCGTCAGCTGGCGGTGAGTCGGCGTCGGCAAAAAAAGCAGTCTCCACCTCCGCAGTCCCGCAGCATGGATCTCGCTCCTTGTGACTTCTTCCCCTCGATATTCTTCTAAGTTGAAGCCACTTTTTGGTGAACAGGTAAAACTCCTCAACAATTCCCGAGTCATTTTATATCTTACCTCGACGTTCCGGGGAACTTGAGCTGACCACCAACCTTCTCCCAACAGTTTGGCGTACTTGATCCCACCGCTATGTCGATCGGTTCTTATATCTTGTCGGGCATCAGCTCATTCGTGGTGGTGACACTATCGCTCTTCGCGCTTGGCCAGAAGGTGCCTCGCGCAGCATTTCTCGCCCGATGTCTCGCCGCATATGGTTCCCTCCTCCTATGCGCAACCTATGGTGTTGCCGCGTCCATCGTCCTCCGCATTGCGGGCTACGGCCGAATCTCCCAATGGGCCACCGCCCGCAGTTTCAAGTGGGTGATGCGCTTCACCACCGGAGTCTGCTTCGATATTGTTGAAGGCGAGGAGCACCTTTCCACCCGTCCTGCCGTCTTTGTCGGTAACCACCAGACTGAGCTGGACGTACTCATGCTTGGCAATATCTTCCCCCCTACTGCAGTGTCACGGCCAAGAAGTCTCTGCGCAATATTCCCTTCCTCGGTTGGTTTATGTGGCTGTCTCGCACTGTCTTTATTGATCGCGCGAACCGCGAAACTGCTATGAAGGCATTCGATGGTGCTGTGGATGAGATGAAAACCCACCAGCAAAGCGTCTTCATCTTCCCCGAGGGCACCCGGAGTTACTCCGATGAGGCCATGTTGTTGCCTTTCAAGAAGGGTGCCTTCCACCTTGCCATCAGGGCTGGTGTGCCTATTGTACCGGTTGTTACTGAGAATTACGCGCATATCATGTCACCTCGTGCCTGGCGCTTCGATGCAGGCACTATCAGGGTCAAAGGTTAGTTTTCATAAGTTTGGGCATATACACCGAGGCGTTACTAATATGAAACAACAGTTCTGCCTCCCATTGAAACTAAAAACATGACCTCCGCGGATGTTGATCAACTCACCACGTTGACTCGCGACTCCATGCTGAAATCCATTCTGGAAATGGCACATACTTTAGAAAACAAGGTCGAGCCACAGGCCAACGGCGTGTCAACTGCAATCGAGATCTGAAGGTCCTACTTCGGTTATGAATAGTCAGAAGCAATTTATGGAACCCGCAGACAAGGTCCCACGCGCTAATCCAAGCCTTGCTTGGTCGGCCTCCCCCCCCCCCCCCCCCCCCCCAAAAAAAACCGTCTTTATGAAGCCTGCCGTTTCAACCAAGCAGCACTTGACTAGTGTTACTGTATATACATTCCTCTCACGGCACATACCCTTTGTCGTTCGGGTGCAAACTGCTACGGATAGAAGAAGAACTTTGGCCTCGTTGTTTGAAACAGTTCAGTAATGGGGGACGTCATGAATTATTGTTTTGGGCTTTGTAGAGAATCTACCTTGCTGCAATCCCTCATTTTCGGCATTACTTTTCTCGGTACACATCATTATGCAAGCTTCGTCGGTTCTTTTTCTGTTCATGCCCACCTACAATTGTATATACCTTCGGCATGACAAGATTCGATGATCTGGCACCTGAGATATTGTCCAAACCCATCCTTGGATTGACGTTACATAGAAAATATATAAGAAGTCCAGTTACCAGTGCCTCAGGGTTATGGACCAAATTGCCTCTATTCACAAGAAATAATCACTCTCAACCTTATAGTCTGGAGGCATGTCGCGCTATACTGAATCACGTATATGAACACCGGAAAGAACCGATTCATGATCCTCAAGATGAGCACATCGACCCTCCGCACAGGCTCGAATATCAAGATCAATATCAACTTCTTGCATCGGGAGCCAAGGATCTGTGATTGAAGATGGAATATTCCACGGATCCATATGACCAATAACCTTCATAGTACTGAGAGGAATGCGATACTCTTCCTTGGCGTCCCCAGAACGCACAGTGATCTGTCCAGGCAGATGATGCAGACCCTCGTTACACTTCAGATCTGGGAAAACGCCAACAGGGAGGCCCCGACCAGCAACTGCAACGATATAGTCAGACTCGAAGGCAACTAGTTGAAGACGGACATCATCAAGTGCTTCCCCTGCTTTGGTGATTTTGACACCATCAAATGGAGGGCCCCAGTTTTTAGGTGACTGCGGGATATATTTCGGATTTTGAGACGGAACGTATGGTTTCGGAGCATGTAGAGGATCGACAGGGTCGGGAGGGATAACGTTTGAGAACTCAAGAGTGCGCACCCAAGGAGCCAGAAGGGCATCTCCGGTCATTTTCAGGTATGCTTCTTTGAGAGCCCAGTATGAATAGAACAGACGCACGCCAAACCTGACTATTGTTTCTTGGGTATTTGAACCATCAAATGCTTTTGCAAGACCAAGTGCTCGAGCTTGGCGAAGGGCGTCGGCTGGATTTCTCATGATCTCAAGCTCCCGATCCGAAAATACATCCACGAAAATCGATACATGGTCCAGGTACTCCGGCATGGTCTTGATTACCCTGCGGCGGTTCTCATTCACACAGGTTACGTCGATACCCAGCCGGGGTTGGTGTGGTAAAGCTCCTCCAATGGAGTGTCTTTGCATCTGTTCAGACTTCGGAGCAACGGTCCCTGCCAGCACGGTAAGCCCTGCCTGGTGGGTGACGTTAAATTCCACCTGAGTGTCTGAGGCAGATTTGTAGTATGGTCGATTTTCGGGCATTTCCGTGCGCATGAGGATTATTTCTTTCCATGGAATACCGCAAGCGTGGTGGATGTATAAATATTTGAGAAGATGTGAGGCCAGCGACATGCGTTTGTCTGTGGCATGATAATACCTTTTCACGGCTTTCTGCTCATCGGGACGAAGGGATCCTAAGAGCGGCAGATCCTTGCCATTGGACTCCCATTCTCGGACATCAATGTACCAACGTGATGTTGTTGGGAGACCTGCTAAAGGAAAGTTGTCGCCCTCCACGCTGGGGTTGTGATGCCGAGCATCTTCCAGGCTAATCTCATTGGTCCGCATATTGTTCATTCAAGACCAGATTTGAGACGAATGCAAGAGATAAATGAGTGAGTATGTGCTATATAATGTATGGCCCCCACTAGTACCGAGGGTTCAGGCAATGAAAAGTCCGATGGTCGATCAACGACTGATCATTCTGGACCCCACTATGAGATGCTGATACCTTGCGCCGTGTTCGCCAGGATAAGCTTATCGGCCTATAAGGTACGAGTTTCACGTGCCGATAAGATATTTTCCCCGCGGAAAGTCAACATCACGTGCTTGAAGAGTCATATCGCCACGAGGAGGCAACCTTCTTTTCTATACTTTACTTTTACTACAGAAATGACGATCACAGTGGGTGTTCTTGCCTTGCAGGGCGCATTCATTGAGCATGTCCATCTCTTGAAAAAAGCGGTGGAGCAAGACTTCGCACAATGGGACTTCATTGAAGTGCGAACACCACAAGAGCTTGCGAAGTGCGATGGACTTGTTTTGCCTGGTGGCGAGAGTACCACAATGTCTCTGGTTGCTGCCAGGTCCAATCTATTGGAGCCACTGAGAGAATTTGTCAAGTAAGTGTTCAATTACGACATTGATCTCACGAATGCCACTGGGAACTAATGTGGCGGTTGTGTAGGGTCCTTCGTAAGCCAACCTGGGGCACTTGCGCCGGCCTGATTTTACTCGCCGAGGCGGCGAACCGTACCAAGAAGGGTGGCCAGGAGCTTATCGGCGGCCTCGACGTTCGAGTCAATCGCAATCATTTTGGCCGACAAGCAGAGAGCTTCCAGGCACCGCTCGACCTTCCGTTCCTGGGTGAGACCGCAGAACCGTTCCCCGCCGTGTTCATTCGCGCACCGATTGTGGAATGCATCTTGCCACATCAGAAGGGTATCCAAGTGGACGAGGTCGGTCGGGAAGACACTGTCGTTGCTCCGTCCAGACCAACCAAAGACGCAGTGGCAGAAGCTGCGACGGCCGATAATGTTGAGGTGCTGGCCACCTTGTCAGGACCCGCAGCGCGCATCGCCACACAAAGCCGAAACATCAGCCCCGATGAAGAAGTTGGCGATGTTATTGCCGTGCGCCAGGGGAATGTATTCGGTACCAGCTTCCACCCGGAGCTGACGGGTGATGCTCGGATCCATGCATGGTGGCTGCGCCAGGTGCAAGCTGCTGTTAACAAAAGGATTAAACTGGGACAATAGATCGACTTCTAGACCGCGCTGAGAGGACATGTAAATAGAGTATCAGATGAATAGAAAATCTCCGGTGTTTTTTGTCTGCTAATCGATCTGACGCCCTCGAAATAACGCCATTTTTCCCACAACGCTTCATGTCCATGTTAGATACCTATCGTCCCTGTCCATATTCCTCCTCCTCTCGAGCCCGTTGCTCATCGTAAGCACGGCCGTAGCCACCTCTGCCGGGGTCGTATTCTTCGCGGTACTCGTCACGGACTTGACCACCTGATTTTCCACGTCTGCAAGAAGATGTTAATTTTTGTCTTCAGCAATTGCTTGGTCGGATCACGTACCCGTATTGCCGACCCTCCTCGAACCCGGGGTCCAAATCAGTTCGGATAATGCGCTCGTCCAGCTTAGTGCCTCCAATGTACTTCAGACAGTCCACGGCGTCTTGATGATTGTAGTATTCGACAAAGCAGAATCCGCAGGGTGTCTTATTGAATCGGTCAAGACCCATTACCAACCGCTTCACTTCGCCGCATCTGAGTACCGAAAATTAGTCTCGATAAGAAGTACAGCAGTTGGGTGAACTCACTTGGAGAAGAGCTCATGGATCTGTTCTTCTGTTGTGTAGAACGACCTATCGTTGAGTCAGTGGTATGTCCGCCAAGTATCAACCTGGAGCCCGTCACGCACAAGTTACCCACGTAGAGTGTTGTCGCATTCTGCAGCTTGGAATTGGGATCCTCCTGCTCTCTTTCATCCTCGCGATCTCTGCGGCGCTTATTCTGATTGATTTGTTGGTTAGCGCTGGTCTTTTGTAGGGCGCAGACCCTGTGAAGGTCGCAAGACCTCAGAAACACTAACCTTGCCGGCATAATAAGCACTAGGCCGGTCTAACCGATCAACGGTATTAATCTGCAATAAACTCATAGTTGAAGCGAAATTGGTAGGGGTTTGAGATGGGGAATGAACAAAAGTTGAAGAAGACAAGCAAGAAAGGCGGACAAGGGAAGGGAGCTCGGAGCTTCTAAAGATCTTGGCGCGCGCCCAAATTCCAACGCCGCATCAACACTTCCACTTTGCCTGACATCTTTTTGGGGAGGATGCTCTGAGCTTTTCCACCCTTTGTGAATATTCGAATCTACTTTGCTCCTCTTTGTCTCAACTATCTCCATGCCAAAGGTGAGCAGCTATGCGCCGGCCTGGCTATGCCGGCCCTCGCCCGGCGCCAGCCTTTTCACCAGTGCGTCCGACAAAGACCCTGCGCAGGTCCTAGAAAATGGATCAAAGGCTGTGGCACCGAACGCAGCAACTCGTACAATTGCAAAGAGAGGAAATGAGGTATTCGCCGTCATTGACAACGAAATTCGCTGGTCCGACCTCGCGCGACTGAAGGACCAATGGCAACAAGAAGCTCGACAAAAGAAGAGCTTTGCTAGTCCTGTGAAGGAGCAGGCAAACAGCACCAAAATTCCGCCTTACAGGGTAAGTGACTCCTTCCATCTGCTCGAAGCATTTCTTCTTCGACTACTCCCGAAGCTGGGGCTCATAACTAAGAAACACAGGTTCTAGCGGTGCCTGTCTATGGTCTCATCAAGCAGATTATACCCTCTCCGAATGGCGCGTTCCTCGCCATTGTCACTGAGCACACTGTCCATATCTCTGTACTCCCTGATTCGTCCCATCTATCCTCGACAGACACTTCACACATTCGGTTAAAGACCTACCAGCTTGGCCCAACTACCCACGTCATTCCAGAAGCACCCGTGGTATCTGCTCTATGGCATCCTCTAGGGCTGCATACGAACTTGAGCGGATGTATCGTGACCATTACTGCAGATGCTGCGGTGCGAGTGTGGGAGTTGGACCGGAACAACCACTGGTCTTTTGACCAACCGACTCTGGCAGTGGACCTCAGGAAGCTGGTTGACGGGACCTCGTCGGATCAGGATTTCGCACCCTCGGGATTCGGTAAAAACAAGGGCTTCTCCGCTGATATCATTGATATGGAAGTTGCTTCTGCCTGCTTTGCGGGCAGTGGAAATGAAAGAGAGGATGCTTGGGCGCCCATGACTCTCTGGGTTGCTATGCGGCCAGGCGACCTTTACGCCCTCTGTCCTTTGCTGCCATCCAAGTGGCAGGCTCCTTCTACAACTATTCCTTCGCTATCTTCAGCCATTGTTCCGAAACTGGCAGCCCTTGAAGAGGCCCCCGAAGATTTGGAAGAGCAATTAATCGCGTGCCGGCAACAGTATGATTGGCTGCGAGAGATTGATGAACAAGAGCCCTTGGATCCTCCCTCTGAAACCGGCAACATCCAGGGCGCAGATGTTTTTACCCGTCCGGCTGCCCCAAGCGCTATTCCACGTTTGCAGGGCCCGTTCCGGTTCGACCTCGGTGACGATTTGGATGATTTGGATCTCTGTGATATCCTAGTCATTGCCGCCAGGCTCAATGTTGAGGATCTAATGATGGGCGAGGATGAAGAGCTTGCAGTCGAAGTTGCTGAGAAAGACAAACTATCGGCAACTGTCATTTGCCTGTCGAGTGGCAACGGCCGTGTTAACATTTGCCTGGAACTCGATGGTGTCGAGGGCCAGTGGCTCCCAAAGTCCAAGAAGAACACTTTCCGAACTCCTGTCTCGGAGCCTTCTGATCTCGTCTTGGTGGAATCGCTAGACACCATAAAAACCACAGGAAGCGAGTCGGTGGCATGGCCCATCTTCACCAGGGATATCCATTCGCGTTATTCCTTTTTCGTCACTACCGCTACAAATGTAGTATCTTTCTCCATGTCCTCTTGGGTACAGAGGCTCGAGGCCGAACTGCAGGCAGAGGACCCCTCGGGGTCTGGTTTCCGTCTGCAAGTTCTGTGCAGTGGAAATGTTGCCCAGAGAGAACGAATCTTGCAAGTTTCGGAAACCGATATCACTTCCCCGAACGCGCATCTTGCTGGTTCTGTGGTTTTCTATGATTTTGACCTCGGCTATCTCCTACTCACCTACCACCCTTCAAATCCGTATGCCGCTGTAATGGATGCGCCAGAAGATTCGTTCTCCGCTGCATTGGAATCCCATCTTGAACAGCGAACAAGTGCCCCCGGTTCTCCTGCCGTACTACCTCGACGGGCTCCGTACCAAGTTCCGGCAGTCCTCTATGCAGCCTCCCCGTTGGAATCCTTTGTCAACACGCAAGTTCCTCACCGTCAACGACACACCCTCAAGGAGCAGGTGCGCCTTTCGCCAGCAACTTTGGATCTCGTTGCCACTGCTCACCGTCAGCTTGCATCTTATACCAATGCACTTGAGAGAGCCGCTTCAGATTTGTTCCGCAGATGTGAACGGTTGCAAGGTGAGATGAAGGACCAACTGAAGCAACTCTCTGATGTTGCAGAGCGCATCAAGGGTGTGACTAGCGAGATTGATGAAGACGGCAACCGCAAGGAGGGCACCCGGGATGGTGAAGCCTTGGATAGGAGGCTGCAGAACGCGAGAGACCGACAATTGGAATTGGTACAGCGTTATGATACACTACGCAAGAAGGTTATCAACTCAGGCGGACGGCCCTTGAGTGAGAAAGAGAAGGCTTGGGCGATGGAGGTTAACACTTTGTCTGAGTCGCTTGATGATCAGCAGTCCAAGGACGAGGAAAAGCAGCAACTTGCCGGACGGTTGGAGACGGTGGGATTTCCCTCTCTATTAATGACCAAGTTTCGTCAACTAACAAATTTCCAGGTTAAACAATTTGCCCATGAACTTATGACGGAAACCAAGTCGATTGCTGCCAAGACCCCCACGTCCCCAGATCTTGGAGATTCGTCTTCTGGCTCTCAGCCCAAGGTGCCGCAACGCCTGCAGCGCCAACGGGTCACAGAGGCCATGAGAATGGTCGAGCGAGAGTCCGTTAACTTGCCTTCGCCCTTTTGTCATCACAAGCTAACAGATTTTCTAGGTCTGCCGTTATCGACGCTATTACTTCTCGTCTTGGGCGCCTCAACAACAACATTTAGAGCGCTGAATAGTATGACAACGGAGTTGATAGCCAATAGAACAGTTATTTTTGAGCACTGATGAATGGAGCTATTCAGCAGCGAGATACGCCTCAAGCCCGCATGTTTACGATTTTCAATTACAATCAAACGCATATCCGTTTCACCAATCTCGCACTTGAGACAAGAGATCTTCCATCGTAAATGATCTAATACTCGCAATCTCTGTTCCTCCACCACTAACGCGACATGTCTTCGCGATGCCATTCGGAAATTAGATTGTCATCGTATTCATATTTCTCCGTCTCGGGATCGAGCCCGAGCTCGAGCTATTCCCCAGAATATCTAAAAGGCCAAAAAAAGGACACAAGAACTTAAGCCGAGAAATATTGACAGGTCACTAACTTATTAAACAACCCCATTTACTCTTCTCACGGGTCGGTCGAAGAATTTTGCACATAACCGAAAGCTCCACCGGCTCACAGGACCTGGACATATCACAGTAATACTCATAATAATGTGGAAGAAATACCAGGGAAGGTTATCAGGATCTAGATCTTCGTCTGGCATGGGTGTCTGTGGCCGTGTTGGATTTGTCAGCGTGATGTCGTCGTCCCCGTAAACTTCCTAGTCTGAAGTCTCGAAAAAGACGGAAACTTTCATTTGGAACAGAATTGCCTTGTGCACTCTAATTCTATGAATATTTGCGGATCAATCGAGGTCTAAATTCACGGAAATCGTCCCAGGTGTACGTAGTAGGTAGCAAGTATCTATTTATTGGTTCCCAGTAGCCTGGGTCATCTCTATCTCTGACGCTTTGGAAAATTGTCCAGTACTTCTTAGCAGTAGTGGTTTCTAAAGCACGGAAAACACAGCTCCCGCCACAAATCGAGTTCGCATATAAAGATTCAACGGAGACGTGGCTTTTCATTTCTCATCACCTTGGAAAAGTCCCATCTCAGAACATGAAAGCCCGAGAGTATCATCAGACGACGCAAAAAAAATATATCAAAATAGCTGAAAGCACAGATTCTTTGGCTCATCAGTCAATCAGCTGTTAAAAGAGTGAATTACTGGACACTGTTTCTCAAGTGATTAGTAGTTGCGATATCTCATTTAAGGGAACATTTACATACCGTTGGATGAGGTGGACACCCGAAGCAGTCTCAACAATGCCGCTGACCTGGCCAGGCGACAACGCAAACGCAGCATCTTCGAACTCCTTCTGCATCTCACCGGGACCGAAGAAGCCACTAGAAAGCATTAGTTCTATAATGAGTAATCTAAAATTTAGACATTTCAAACTTACAGATCACCCTTCTTCCGGGCACTGCTGCAATCGGACTCGGAGACGGCGATATCTCCCAGGGATTCGCCAGACTGAATGCGCTGCTGATAACCCTCAAGAATTTGGATGGCCTCCTCCTTAGAGCGGGTGATATCAGCCTCACGCCAGCTGCTGGGCCGTCGGCTATCACGATGCTTCACCAGCAGGTGGCTGCAACGGATCTTGCCCTCGGATTGTCCAGCAACATCGTTGCGGGCGGCAGGGGTGTGGTTTTGAGCCATGTAGACCTTAAGCTTCTCGGTATCGGTATCGGCAGGAGGCTCCCAGCGAGATTCTTTGGTGGAGGGGTGGAAGTAGTAGGGAAGGTTCTTAGAGTTGGAGTGACGAACTTCCCAGCCAGAGGGCAATCCTGTATCGGCCTTTCAAAACATAGAAGCGTTAAGAAGATTTTGGATCAAACATTGAATGTGGGTCGGAGCTTACCATCTTGAATGAGATCGTGAATAGAGTGTTGAATAGGGACAAAAATAGTTTGCGATGGTTTTGGAGGCGTGGGAAGCTAGCAATTGACTAGGAAATGCGGGACAACGCAGTAAATTAAGCAAATTGCGGGGGAGGTTCAGTGCAAACAGTGCAAACTACATCGCCACGGCAAAGGGAAATCGAATCGAACTTATCATCTCATCTCTCACTACCTTCTATAATTTTTCGCCATTCACTTCTCGACGCGTTCTTTTACTTACAACAACGCGCTTATCCATTCTTTCGGCATTACAAATTATCACTCTTTTCGAAGAATGTCTGCTAGTCCCTCTCCAGCTGCCGGTGGTGACGCCAAGCAGGCCGATCAGATTCACTTCCGATTCTGCCGCGAGTGGTAAGTCTTGAGCTTTCCCTCTTAGGAATCAATTCCCTCCCCAAAAGGACTCGTGCTAACGAAATTCCCAGCTCCAACCTGCTATACCCCAAGGAGGACCGTGCCACCAACCAACTCATGTTCACTTGCCGCACCTGCCATGTCGGTGAACCCGCCAGCTCCTACTGTGTCTACCAAAATAAGCTCAACAGCCAAGTTGGTGATACCGCCGGTGTCACCCAGGATGTGGGCTCCGACCCCACGGTTTGTCTCCCAAGATTTCCCTTTATCGATGGCTTTTGCTATCTTTGCGGGGATGAACTCTCCTGCTATATTTGCGGCGAGCTGCCTAACCTGGCTCACGTGGAAGATGACGATGATAGCCTGGAACGCTGTTTCGAGAGCCAGTGCAGCCTCAGCTCAAAACGCCTTTAGGATGCTTCTTTGGATGTTTCTTTGGATGTATCTTCTGGCTGACACTATTTTGTTCTCCTTGTCTTTTAGCTTCCCCGTGCGAACAAGTTATGCCCCAGTTGTGGTGAAAATGAGGCTGTATTCTTCCAGTCCCAACAACGGTCTGCTGAGACTGGAATGGTGAGCATCCCTGGAGTTTTTTCCCTTCATTTTTGTTTCTCTTTACCAACGGTCATACCTTGCGATCATGCGCCAACTCTTATTGACAGAAACTCTACTACGTGTGTTGCGCGTGCGGTAACGTTTTCATGTGATGACCCTTTACGATGCGTCCCGATTCCCCCGGATACCCTTTCACGGTCTTTTTATTTGCAATTTCAGCATGCTCTGGAGTTTAGCGAGGAACACTTCGTGCATATGCTCAATGGTTTTGTGACGAAGAAAAATTCTATTGATACAAAATATGCTTTCCAAACAACGCTTTCCCAAATAAAAAACGAAAATCAGATAGCTGTAGTATTACACGTGCACCGGGGCCAACGACAAGATCTTGGACCACTTTTTATCGCGCAGTTCTTGTCCAACAACACCTGAAGTGAGAGAGAAAGATGTTAGCTTCCGTCATAGAGCACCCCAAGAGTTATTTAAGTTTCAAACTCACCGTTCATTCTTGTTCCGATCGGATCTCCCGACTTGTTCACCAACACACAGGCATTGTCACCAAACCGCACCACGGTTCCATCGTTACGCTGAAGTTCCTTCTTCACACGCACCACAACGGCATGACGAATATCACCACGGCGGACCTTGTTCGCAAGAGCAGTACCAGATCCCTCGGATCCAGCAGCTCTCTGTTTCTGGACAACAACGACTATCCGGTCACCTGAAGAAACCACCAATATTAGCTTCGGACTCCATTTCTCATCCAATGTATTGCAAATCAATTATTCGGGGGTTCTTGGTTCCGGAACTGACCGATAGTCGCGGGCCGCTTCTTCTTCAAAACGTTGACGCACTCGACGACCGAGGCACCGGAGTTGTCGATGCAATTTAGTAATGTCTGTGTGAAGGAGGTTAGCAATGACTATTTCCTGGTGGTCTTGAGGTTGGTAGTCACCTTTAGTTGAATCATGTTGGCGTATTGGCAGAGGGTATTTGTCGCGGAGTCGCATCAACCATAATTTGATCGGGAGGTCGGATGTGAGTTTCCCCGAACAGAAGGTTTCTCCGGTCACCATCTATACATGCGCCGGTTGACTTCAGCCAATTATGACGAATAAACATTTCAATTCTATGTATGATTGGCTCTGTTTCTTTTTGTCTCATTTTAAGGTTATGCTTCTACGGGGAAATGATAGCATGGCTTTGCAGTGACACCTGTGAATACCATGCTCATCAGATCTGTGGATACATATAATCGTACATACATAAGCGCTTGCCCATGTGTCCAGCTGGCAAAGTTCCTCCAAAGATCTGTACTCCTAGACTTGTCTCATTAACATTGGAATAAGTGAATGAGCAAGTGATCATGCTTGTATACTGATGAGTATCCTAAGGATGTTCTTAAATCAATTTGACCAACAATCAAGGCTATTGTTCGCGAGTGATTCAGCCCGTAGGACTCGATCTAACTCCGAATCTCAAACCTCCAGGATTTCTGGTGGAATGGGAGGCTGTGGATACCAATTTCACATATGGAGTAGAGAATAGGGTCGAAGTACGAGAAAACATCCAATGAATTAGGCGTGCAAGGGCTATTTTATGAACACCTTACACCAGGTGGCATGCAAGGCCTGCGGCGGATGTAAAAGCGGCGAGGACGGCCCGAGTTCCAGGAACGCGGGAAGCGTTGGTTTTCCCCTTGGATTTGCGACGGGCATAGCCTACTCAGCACCAATTGGCGCCCCCATGATCATCTTTGTCGCCATGCTGGGGCTGTAATACTGTCTTTCTCGGTCGTTTGTTCATTCACTATTACGACTTTGGTTCTATCCTCCTACCTACACACTACACCCCTCCCTGTGGATCGCCGCGTGCTCTGAACGCCTCCAAAAACCGCGCAAAACGCCCTACATTTCATGTTCACACGAATTCCTCCTTACCCAAGTCGCTCAGCCGCTGACTTTTGATATTAAACATGCCACCTAAGAAGTCGCGCTCGGTCTCTCCTGCGAGTGAACGCCGTGAGCGCCTGACATTGGCGAAACTGGCCAGCTATGACGATGTCGCAACGGATGCGCTAGTTGACCATGTAGGCTCCTCATGTCCCACTCGCTCCTAGGATCTATCCTCTGACCCGGTCTCTGAACAGGCTTATTTCTGGACCACTACACGCAAGAATCGCAACAAGTACAGCCCGGCCCGCGGCATCCACGATGACGACGTAGGACGCATCCTCCTTCACGATGTGGTCGTTGCCAAAGATGTCCCACAAGGCGAACGAAAGTTACTGGAATTGCCGGGGCTGAGGAAGTACATGGCCAATCTCCCTAGTCCTCGTGAGAAGGAGTGGTTTCGCCGCCATCTGCGCAAGTATGTGCAAATGTACCACCCGGACTGTCCCTTCGAGGTCACTACGACCAACCGGTATATCATCACGCAACACGAAGCCGCTATATGTGCCCGTAAGTTCATTAAATCAGGCCAGGAGATCAAGTTTCTTAGTGGGACGCTTGTATCTATGACCAAGGAAGAAGAGCTAGATCTTGGCTTGACCCGGAAGGATTTCAGTGTGGTGATGTCCAGCCGCCGGAAGACGCCCTCCTTCTTCCTCGGACCCGCTCGGTTCGCCAACCACGACTGTGATGCCAATGGTCGCTTGGTGACTCGGGGCACCGAGGGCATGTCAGTCATGGCCACGCGTAATATCTACGAGGGAGAAGAAATTACAGTCTCATACGGAGAGGATTATTTTGGTATCGATAATTGTGAATGTCTGTGTTTGACCTGCGAACGTGGCGCCCGTAACGGCTGGGCGCCACAATCACATTCGGATTCGGATACGAGCAAGGAGACCACTCCGGTCTCAATGGATGAAGATACGACAGAAATCCCCAGCAAAAAAAGGCGACGAGATTCGGACTTGGATCTGGAAGACCCACCCGCTATTTGTTCTTCTCCACGAAAGAAGGCCAAATTCCAGCGTCAAATGTCCAAGCTCCGGGAAGAAATTTCTCTCACTGAACTCACTATGACCCCGGAAACTGATCTTCCTTCTACACCTGGCTCCGATTTCGATTCAACTATCGTCGCGAATCCTATCCAGAGCGATCGAAAGTCTAAGTTGAGACAGGAGTTTGTTCTCGATACCATCCCTGATTCACTACCAACAGTGTTGGCTTCTGGTCAGTCCAGCTTTCCAGTAATCACCGACCAGGCCGCTCCCATCGAGTCCATTGAAACCACTATTGCGACCACAGTCTCTCCCATCGATTTTGGATCGCCTGAATCTGCCACTGGGGAATCCCACCGGTCATCCACATCCAGTGTTCCTACTTCGGTGATAGCGACAGGTCTCAAGGCCCAGGCAGAAAGCCTTGAAACCGACCAGAATCTATCTAAATCGGTTGAGCCAGATGAGCCCACTGAAAATGATACCGAAAAGCCCAAGACTCGTCGAAACCGTCGCAAATGGAAGATTATTGCCTCGATTGAAGAGAAAATGCCCCTCGTGCGAGTCCCAGGCGACTACACCAAAACCTCACGACTTCTTGCCCAGAAATATGACCGCTGGGTGGACTGTCAAACATGTGATGTGTGGTTTGTCCAATCTAATTCATACCAGACCCGCCGCGAGTGCCCTCGCTGTGAGCGGCACTCCAAGCTGTATGGTTTCCAGTGGCCTAAAACGGACAAGGGCAATGACGGCGAGGACCGAGTTATGGATCACCGCACCATCCATCGATTCCTTTCTCCCGAGTCTGAGGCTCGTGTTTCACGCCGTGATCGAGGCGTCAGCTTCGGAATCACGCCTGAACTCTCGGATAGTCACACCGAGGCAGAGACCAGTGACGTTCTCGAACCACGTCGCAACACCCGTGCGAGCCGCCGCCTTACCCGAGAACTGCGGATGACGATGTAAAGAGCTATTTATCTATCTAGTGGATGAGTTGAGATTCTGCATTTGTAACATTTGTTTTACGCATCGGACAGGGTGTTTGGACGGCTGGTTCATGGTGCATTTAGGAATTCTATTGGATAGGGCATCAGGCATTTTGGAGTCGTTTGGAGTCGTTTGGAGTCGACTTATTTGGGAACAAACTTCTATTACAAATACATGAACATTTTCTTCATTAGTTCAAGGAAAAAGCCATCTTCTGACTGCAGTTTTTCATCGGGTTGATCGACACCGAAGTAGCAATACCTTATGCATCCCCGCATCTCGGCCCCGCGACTTTCATGGTTCCGTCAACAATAACTGCACCAATAAGGAACAAGATGCTATAGCTTGTTAGTGTTCCATCGATGATCGATGATGCCCGACGATGGTCAGCACGAGACCCCATGCAGGACCGTTGCGTCCTTTCCTCCGAGTGAATCAAGATTTCTGGGTCGCAGTTTCCAAAACCAGGCATATATAGTCCCGTCGAAGCAATGCGGTGAATAATCTCATTAGTATCATTTCGAAGGCAAAGAACCATATTCGTATATCATTTACCGCGATGGGGTTCTTATTAAAATTTGCCTTGCATATCCTGACCCTGGTTTCCGTCGTGAGCGCATACGATGACCCATCGGTACAGCTCAACTATGGCAACTTTCAAGGAAAATATGACACAACCTATAACATCTCGTACTTTCGCAAGATCCCATTTGCTGCACCTCCAATAGGCCAAAACCGCTTTCGTGCACCCCAGCCGCCTCTCAAAATCAACGAAAGCGTCTATGACACAGATCAGACCTTCGACATGTGCCCTCAGCGCACGGTCAACGGATCCGAAGACTGTTTATACTTGGGCCTCTACTCTCGCCCATGGGATCCATCACGGGAGTTGAAAAGACCCGTTCTGGTCGTGTTTTACGGAGGCGCATTCATCGAAGGCGATGCAGCTTTCGGCATACCGCCAAATTCATACCCCGTTCTCAACGCGAGCACTCTCAATGATTACGTGGTGATCTATCCCAACTACCGCACAAACGCATTTGGCTTCCTTCCCGGCAAAGCGATTAAAGAGTCCCCCACCTCGGATTTGAATCCTGGCTTGTTAGATCAGCAGTCCGTGCTGAAGTGGGTGCAGAGCCACATAGAGCAGTTTGGCGGGAACCCGAAGAACGTTAGCATCTGGGGCCAATCGGCTGGTGGAGGCTCTGTGGTGGCTCAGATTTTAGCGAATGGACGCAATGGGCAACCGAAGCTTTTTTCGAAGGCTCTTGCTAGTTCTCCTTTCTGGCCAAAGTCTTACGCTTACGATGCGCCCCAGGCTGAGGCAATTTATGACCAGCTGGCTAATTTGACTGGTTGTGCTGGGTATCATCATGACCATGAGACGCTGGCTTGCTTGAAATCTGCTGAAGTGCAGACGATTCGGGATGCAAGCCTTATCATCGATGCTGATAATACATACACTACCAGCTCGTATACGTGGGCCCCTGTCATTGATGGCGAGTTCCTGGCTGACACCTTGACTGAAGCTGTTGACAAGGGTAATTTGGATACGGAGTTTATCTGGGGAATGTACAACACCCATGAAGGACAGAATTTTATCCCGCCAGGACTGGCTGACACTGCTTTGACCGGCGGGTATAATTCATCTGCTGAGAGCTTTCACCAGTGGTTAACCGGATTTCTGCCTGGATTGTCAGCGAGGCAGATCAAAGAAGTGGAGAATACTTATTATCCGGTCGATGGCAGTTCCGAGACGATCACCGAGTACAATACCACCTATATTCGGGCTGGACTCATCTACCGGGATGTGGTGCTCTCTTGTCCGGCATATTGGGTAGCTTCGGCGGCACCAGGGAAGGGATACGTTGGTGAATATTCGATCTCTCCGGCAACACATGGAAGTGATGCTATCTATGTTGGTTGCCCTGATAGCTATATGCAAACAGTTGGTGAGCCCTGACTAACAGAGGAATAGTGGAACTCTGTCAATGCAGTCCAAGAGACAAATCGCGTCGTCTATGAAGGCTACGCTGGCGCATTCGCTAGTTTCTTCCAGACAGGTGATCCGAACGCGCACAAATTGACCAACTCCTCCGAGCTCGGTGTACCGGAGCTGCAGAAAACAGGAGAGGAATTTGTCATTGTTGATCATGGATTCGAGAACGTTCGTTTGGTTCAGTTGAAGAAAAGATGCGAATTTTGGCGCAGTATAGGGAAACACATCCCAATTTGATTGGATCAGGATAGGTCGGACAAAGTGGAGGCTATCTTTGACTTCCACCGAGTTGAAATCACATTGTCATCCTCATTTGCTCTTCGCTCGGGTACAGTGTATCTCTTAATATTCCGAATCGCCCACCTCATCAGTTAATTCAAGAACAGGGGGGATAGTTCCCTGTACCGTCAAATATAGGCAGACTCGCAGTATCAAAGAGTGCTTGTAGATACTGAATCGTTCCCTCACTGTCTCACGGTATGTCGAACGGCTGTCTTGGATTCGGGTCGCATATCCTGATACAGAGATTGGAAATCTTTTTAGGTATCGAGACATTTTCTAGAGCAACCTTATTCCTATTACTGTGTATCCTTTTCCAAGGACCCTCATACTGCCAAAGCACCTCTTTGCTGCGAGATCTGATGCGGCGACTGCGCCTGTATCTGCATGTTAGGTTGGAAGAGGAGAGATGAACAAGGAAATACATTTATTACCTGAAGCACCCGCTCCAACATTAGCCACTAATTTGATGCGTGCCATGTTATAGTTGATCATAAAAGCCGAATGTAAGATACTGGAGCTCAATATTATATATTTCGAGATATCAGAGTATTCTCAGCAATGTTGATGAGGGAAAGCGCTCCGCAATTCTGTGCACCATGACCTGCTCTCAACTTGCAATAGAGTCCAAAAGATACTCCCTCTAATCATTGGACAAAGATTACGAAGGTCACGGCTCGTGTGCAGCATCTAGAGAGTGAATTAAATTACACTTACGAAGGAAATTCTTTATCAAAGTTCAATAACAGAGACGAAGCCAGTTATAGAGATACCGATGGCACAAACTTCAATTCTATTAAGAAGATGGATGAATGATCGTAGGAGCTTTGACTGAAAGAAACAATGAATCCCGAGATCTCTTAAACTTACATAACGGACAAATTGCAACATAGATATGGAGCACATCGGCCTTCAAGCAACATCCTCAATACAGAACATCATCTCCAACTCAAGTCCAATATACCAGGTAATGACTCGTGCAATTCGCTTAAAACCTTGACCATAAGCAGCCAAAATGAACGACGCAACACACTTACCAACACCACAGCCCACCAGAGATTTAAACTCTGCAGTAGAAGACTCCCATGAGAATTCATCAGGTGAATGCAAGTCAATGTTATTAGTGCTGTAGATGTTGTGAAGAAGCTCTGTAGTGTCAGTATTCACAACGCAACCCGCAATAACATACCTCAAGGTGTCAAGAGGAAAGAATTCTTCATATGCCGCCTTGGTCAGGTCGCTGATATAGCAGGTGTTACCCTCCGCTCGAACAATAGCTTCAAGGATAATAATACCTTTCCCAACTCGGCCGATCCAGCTCATTGGTGGAAACTCACGTTTTAAAATTGAGACATATTGGTATGGGGAGGTCTCGTCGTCTACCATGTCCTCGGGGAGTTCAAATTATTCAATCGAACCCAAAAATTCTGAAGGTATACACTCGCTGAACCAGTTGGTTCTCCAAACCTTGTTATCCAGATGATCTAGGGTAAGTGTACTTCTTGCGATCGTGCATCCCGGGTCTTGAGCATTTTCCATCTGATTCTGTCGTTTGGTCCCGTCCCATTCCCACTTAACGTTATAGACCTGATGGGTCATTTTGCGTTGATGGTAATAACAAGAGTTAGATGATTGGCGGAGATAGAGAGTGATGGAAGAAGAAACGATATCCTAAATAGTTGAGTGTGTACCTGATGTGATGTTGAGTTCTTGTTAGACTCGATATGTGTGCCTCGAAGGTGTTTATAGACTTGAAGCCGGGATCTGTCTACTACTAGTCAAAGAAAATATCGCAACAAAGGGTAGATGAAATAAAAACGAAATGGAATGGAATAAAAAAGATTGTGGACAAGGACAAAGGTTGTGACGATGAATGAATGGGCTCTAATATAAGCCAGAAAGAAATGTATGCATCAATATCCACTGTCTAAAACAAAGATTTTTTAAACATATTATTGATCACAATAGAATGCTCATTGTACATCAAAGCAATCATGAAAGAAGGATGAGTCTCGAAACAACGGAAGAATGGGATATCAGCGCTTGAAGAGGAAATGTGAATTTGTGAACAGCATAAATCGAAGTCCTTGAAATAAAAAGCATCCATCCACTGTTTTTTTGATAGGGTTGTGACTAGACACGAAGTAAACACCTCAAACTATGAATTTGCATACGAGTTAATAGACAATCTCGAGAATCAATTGGGTAAAGTCCTATATTTAGGTCGTATTTTCCATTGACGGATTCTGGAACAAAACCAACCCTCCCTTTGTATTTTATCTTTCCATGAAGCCCATTGTGATATTTATCTTTACTTTTTCATTCATGATGAATGCAAATCAGAGTTTCACTTGAGTAGTAGAATGACGCGGGCTGACGTCAAGAATGTACTAGTACGTGGTTGGCCGGGAAAGCTTCATATATTTTGATTGTTTGGATGACTCGCTATTGCGGCTCAGTCGAGCGACAATCCCAGGCAACTACGTCGCTTGCCTCAATTGGGTTAAGTCTAAGCGGAGACCGGTTCTAGGCATCAGCGGGGCCGTTCAGCGGGGAGCCTGGATTTACCCGAACCAAACCAAAATATAAGTTCGGCTCAATCGCTATTCTAAACATTCAACCACAAAATGCACGCTCATCCAAGACGAATCCATCGAGGAGGGCATCGTCGTCTGCCGGCCGTGGAGACTACACCAGATAAGACATTGCCCGACCTTGTCCCATCGCTCCCAGCGATCTCGCAGACGTCATGTCCGCTGTTTACCGTCCTGCCCGCTGAGATCCGCAACCACATTTATGCGCTATCTCTCGAATCCGAGGACACTTCCACAAATGACGACCCCGATTCTCTCTACCGCCGAAATACCTTCTACTATCGCCCCGGATACAAGCAGCCCAAGCGTATCCAAACCGCGCTCCTCCAAACATGCCAACAGATCTACAACGAGGCATCTCTTCTCCCAACTGCTGTCAATGAACATACATTCTGGTTCTATCGCGCTCCCCCACATGTCAAACATGCATCCTCCCCAGTGCAATACTTTCGCAATATGACACCGAAACAACGCGCGCAGGTGCATGAACTGCATTTCTTTACTCAGCAGTATTTCCTGGAAGATAACCCCTGGTCGCGTGTTTGGACCGGCATGAAGATAGGCGAGGATGGACGGAATATGCGCGGAGAGTGCAGAATTGCGCCGAAGAAGATCACCTTCACATTTCGGCATACAGATTGGTGGTTTTGGGAGAATAATGATCCCTTGGGGATGGATCCGTTCCGAGCCGGACGAACACGTGCGCACGAGATGGATAGACCTGCTGGTCCTAGCCCGGAAAGGGCGTGGGGGAATCAGTTCGCTTTCGTCCCCAGCCTTGAGGAAGTGGTTATTGAGTTTGAGACTATTATGCGGAAGCGGGAGCAGCTGGACGGCATCATAGAGCGGGCTTTGGGATGGAAGTTTCCAATGCAGGTCGATAAATCTGTGTACCTGGTTGCTGATCCGAGCTCCCGGAGCACATACAGTTGGATCGGCGCAAAAGAGGTGGACCTGAAGAGAGCTGCAGCCCCGGCTCCAAGGATAATCGGTCAGGACAGTCGGCCAGAGTTGAATACTATTGCTGAGCCAGAACCTGTGCTTGCGGTTCCAATTTTAAAACCATTTGACTCCCAGTCTGCATTGAGAACTGGTGATAGCACTACTCCAGGTGGTCAACTTGGGTATGATCCACAGACGGAGGAGGAGTTTTATGTGGTTTTCTTGACTTGGAAGAAGCAGCGAGTTGAGTAGTTTTCCTAGCTCCGGTTGTTTGAGTTCAGATATAATATAAGTATATGAAATTAAAAATTCATGAAAGTCTTCTATATTTATTTCCTTCTTATTCTTAACTTCATGAGTATTAAGCACCTTGCATGCCCAGATCCCAATGAGGTAATTTGACACCTGAGCTGTAAGCTTTCTTTATCAATCTCTAGTCTTGTTACCCCTCACTCATCGAACCCCACATCTTGGCGAAAACCCAGTGAAGTGAGCGAGTACGGGATTCTCTGGTGGGCAAGGCAAAGTGTGGAACTTCCCAAGAAGAGAATATTGGGGTATGCTTCACAGCAGATGCACAAATATTCCCCGAGACATCAGGAGCGTTATTGCACGGCGTCAACTATCCATTTGGCCGCGGAGTTCATTCTTCCATATTCTGTTTTTCAATTTTGGGCTTACAAAGTTACCGTGATATTCCGTTCGACTAAAAGCTTTGCATCAGTCGAAGTTGCTTGCGGCAGACATGATCAACTTTTTTGTGGTAACCTCGTGCTGGGCGACCCTCAGATGGCCGATCTAGTAGACACATGCAGGTGCCAAGAAGGTGGTATCCTGCCATTTTCAAAAGCGGGACATGAAATGTTGAAGGGGAGTCCCCACCACCGCGATAAAATCGTGCTATTAAATCATGTTGCTTCATAGATTAAAGTGACGATGTGGCTGAGAGGACCGGGCTGGGGGTAAATCTTACAGGGTTACGTGGATTCTTCGTCGTCTCAAGTGAACTGGAAAGAGATGGTACTGAGATAATTAACTAGTTCCTGTTTTTCCGATTAATGAAACAATATCACCGTCTCAATGCATTATGCATCGATATTAATGCAAGCCTGATGGAACCTCCCCCTGAAATTCCATTGCACAAGAAAGGCCCTTTGCTGAGATAGGGTGAGAATTGCTACCAATGAAAGGTTATATCCCCGCTTATCAACAAAATCATAGACGGGTAAATCCGGAGTCAAATAAGCCCACAATAAACCAAAATCCTTTAGCATCCAAATTTGGAACAGCCATCTGCATCATGACGCGCACGAATCTCTACCTGCCATCATGAAGCATGCCCCGTTGGTAGGTGGATAGTCAAGTACGCTAGTCCATTAGCAGAAGCCCAGACGCCGAATCAGAGTTTAAAGTGGGTCGACATGGGGGTTGCCAAGTCTGATCTAACAGGTATAACATGGGAAAAAGAAATGATCAGGCCCTGAACGCAGATTTCGATTCCTAATCCTGGTTTGTCATGGCACCTATGCTCGGAGATCAACAAACGCTAATTCTATACTTCCGCAAACATTCATTATAATTAGGGGGGCAGATTTCACTACATCTCCAGATTTTTTTCTTGAAAAGAAATTTTGAACCAAGACACACTGTACTCATTAACATGCCACCAAAGCTACATCTCGTTCGACATGCACAGGTGCGTCTCCCAAGGAGAGCTGAGTTCCCCCGCTTACTTGGTATTGCCAGGGTTACCATAACCTCAGCCCTGAACATTGGAACCTTCTTGACCCTGATCTGACCGAACAAGGAAAACAACAATGTCACGAACTAAGGCGTGAGATTATGTTCAGTGACTCTATTGACTTGGTCGTCGCCTCACCAATGCGACGGGCTATTCATACCGGACTGGAAGCCTTCAGCCAAACATTTGAAGCCAAACCCTGGATGAAACTGATTGCACTCCCGGACCTTCAAGAGATTAGTGACTTCCCATGTGATATTGGTACCGAGCGCGCCGATTTGGAAAAAGAGATGGAGAAAGCAAATCTTCCGGTGGATCTGAGCCTCGTCGAAAATGACTGGACGGACAAGGTAAGTAGTCAAATGTGATTTTATGTACAGAGACGACCTAATCTGGTTGCGATATAGACTGGTCGATATGAACCAACAAGAGAGAAAATTCGAGCCCGAGCTCGTGATGTTAGAGCTTGGCTCAAAGGTCGCCCGGAAAAGGAGATTGTCGTTGTCAGCCATGGAGGTTTCCTACATTTCCTGACCGAGGACTGGGAAGATGCATGTAAATACGATGGTATGTTCATATCAAGATTACTAACATAGACTCGGTCTGTGCCATGGACTAACATTGTATAGGAACCGGGTGGGCCAATACAGAGTGTCGAACATACGAATTTGTCGCAGACATTGGTGAGTTCAATGAGAAAGGCGACGAAGCTCCGATGCAGGAAACAAAGGAATCGCGTCATATGCGGGGCCAAACCACCCTCTCACCCACAACCAATGACCAAGAGCTGCTAAGTGGAGAGATGTTGCTGGGTTGGGCAGACCAAGGCTACCCAATCGAGTAATTTGAGACAATGGAACCCTCGAAATATACTCTCAGGCCAAATCTTAAAACCCGGATTTCCAAAAGTATATTTAGAGTTCTTCAGAAACAACAGAAGTAGGTATGAAGTTCAAGAGATACTTGTCTTCAATGTGTTGCTTTTAAATTCACCGTTGTGAATATTCACTGCATCTGGCGGGAATGATAAATCGCTAAGCGCTTACTAGAACCAGATCTTTCCTGGTGAAAGGTTCGATATCATCGATTGGGAAGCCTCCTCTGTTCTAACCCCAGTTCAAGGCCGCGGATTTAGTATCCGAGCCGGACGCTGTTCTTTGGAAAAGGTCAAGCAGGGGTTAGAGAATGGAGACGAGTTGCGCCTAGGATTCTCAGGATCACTCACGACCAATCTAGAGATCTGCAACGTTGATTTTTGCAGGGCCTTGAGCCCTTACGGCTTTCATGCTCCTCACGCTCCGGGAACCAAGGGAAGTGATTAGTGTTACGAATGTCTTGAGACCTGTCTCCACACTCGACACATACTTGTCACAATAGCCAAGCTTTATTTCACCTAGTGCTGAAAGAATCCTCAAATGTCACTGAGGATCTTTCAATGTCCACTAATTTTTCAGCCGATTTCCTAGGTCAGAATTCAGATAAAGAAACTTGTGACATGAGTTTAGCCAGAACCGGCCGGAGCGCAGTCTCAGAAGGACTTCAAAAGCAAGTCTTGTAGTGGGATTGGCTGATAGCCAGCTCTGGGAACAACACTTTGTATTTAGGCCTTGATTAAAATATTGAAGGATTGAAACATTCGATGTAATTTCTTTGCAAGAGGCGCAAGGTGTTACGAGGTTAGAAGGCCAATTGAGTTATGTTTGGTAAAGATTGGTGAGTATAGTACCGAATGAGGGAAAAAGCAACCAATAAGGTGCTGTGGTTTAATGGCAGAATGCCGCATTGTGGTTTCTTTGGTGTCCTGGACCCATAATTCCCAACCTGCGTCGATCCCGGTTCGATTCCGGGCAGCGCCATTCATTTTTTGCCAATTCTTTTTAAACCGGCTTATTGTCTCTCTAACGTTTGTGGAATTGTTCTGCATGAGGTCTTCCTATTCATAATTATCCATCTCTCATCCGGGTAAACAGCCTTTCGACTAGTGGCCGCATATAAGCCACGCGCCTGGACCACATGAAAATACTGTCCGAGATCTATGACCAGCTCTTCCACAATAGATAAGTCATCCAACGGCAATATTTAGGCTAATTTGAAAGTTACGAATTGGAGAAGGTGATCCTGCCTGGATAACACGGTAAGCCCAAATTGGGAGACATGAATCGAGATACATAGTCCACAAAGAGTCTATCAATGTCAAAACAAGCTTTGTGATATGATACATGTAAGTGCATAGTGACAAAACCTAGTCAGCAAATGCTCCGCTTAGTTGCAAGTGGTATCGGGATGATCTCCCTTGAAGTCGCAGTAGATTGAAGACCCATCCTGCACACAAACAAGACCCGAGGGACATTTTTGAATAGCCCACTCCCCATTATCGCAAATCCCATAGCTATTACCATTGCAGGCATAAGTACCGGAAGTTACGCAAGTTCCTCCAGAGACGGGGCAGACTTCGGAACTTTCATCCACTGTCAATGAAGCAGTGGTAGTGGTAGTGGGCGCAGCAGTGGCAGAAGTCAAACTGGTAGTCGAAATGGTCGAGGTAGCCTTGGCATCCGTCGTGATCATATGAACTACCGTTTTTGTGGTTTTAATAGTGACGGTAGTACCAGTCTTCCGTAAGGTTGATAACGTAGTGGGGACGGCGGTAGTGGTCACCTTGACAATATCAGTAGTGCTGATGGAGCTTGAGGCGGTGGAAGAAGTAGTCATCGTCGCTGGGGAAAGGGTGGTAGCCTCAACAGCGGTGCTGGTAGTAGCAGTGATCTTGCTGTTGGAAGTGGTGCCAGCAGACGAGGTTCCCAAGCTAGATGCAATGCTAGAGAGGAAATCGTCATTGGCATAAATCTGACTAGCGTCCCACATCATAATACCACCAAAGCTTGTGTATCCTTCCTCAACAATGAAATCAACGATTGAAGCGATGGTTGATGCCGACTCATATCCAGTTCCAGCCGCAGTGCTGCCACCGGGGATACCGAGGAAGACCTTTACATCGGGGTTGAGAGAGATAGTAGTGGCCCAGGTATTCCAACTGTCGAAGTTGAAATCGGCCTGCGTGGTGGAGCCGGCGGTGAAGTAGTTGACGCCACAGTAGTTGTTGTAGAACTGAACCCAAATGGCATCGAAGTAGACAGCGCCGTCAAGCATTGGGTTGTCGGCGGCATCTGGGTAGGGACATTGAGGTGCGGCGGTCAGGTAGTATGTCTTAGAGGTGTCTTCAGCGAACAAGTTACGCAGCTCGTTGGCGAAAGCAGGCATGTTTTCAACAGTAGACTCAAAGTCGAAATCGAATCCATCGACCACTGAGTCGCCGAAGGGACGATTGATCGAGGTGTTGGTGGAAACTGGTCCAAAGGTTTCCCAGATCATCTTAGCGCCAGCGATAGCGGCTGCCTCGCTAGTAAATCCTCCCTCGCTATAAGTAGCGCCACCAATTGAAAGGAGAATAGTCTTTCCAAGGCCCTGGCAAGTGACTATATCTTCCCTGTTCCTGAATTAGGCCCGTGAGACATTGGTGCATAGTATTTAGTACTCACGCGATTGCAGGGCAATTAAGAAGAGAGGTACCGTCAAAAGTAGTACAGGAATCACCTGAGTTAGCGAAGTTGATTTCGGGGGCATCGCCCTCACCGTTAATAACATCTAAAAAGGCAAGTTGGATCACCTAGATAAGCTGAGCGTTAGTATATACTACCTTAATAATTACAAGTAATGAGTTTTCATACATCGATATCCGAGCTTATGTGCCAGAATCAGTCAGTTATGATGGATACAATAGTAGAAACTAGAAGTACATCCATACTCTCACAGTAATAAGCAAGATCTTGTTGAGCAAGGTCTCCAGATGCTTGACCATAAGAGTTTTGACCCCAATAAACAGCAACGTTGGAAGAGCTTGTCACGTCGAGTGCAGCATGAACGCCTTGGAAGGCAAAAAGGGCCACCAGGGCCGCAGCAGTATTCGCAGAATACATGATGAAATTTTAAAGGAGAGATGTTTATTTCGTCAAGAAATAATGAGAAAGCCGGCAAGCCGGAATCAGAAAAAAACGAAGGTAAGAGAATGACAGACGGAGAACCGAATGAATGAATGAGGGTTAAAGAGAGAACGAGGCAGTAGGAAGAGAGCTCTACCATTATTTTATATACTGATATAGATGGAGTACAAAATAAGATTGGAAGCCCCTTGTCAATATTTTACAAGCATCACGGATCTGCCTAGTGCGCGCCAATTGTTCAGTTTCCCTGTGATCTCCCTCAACTTGAGTCTGCCATTGGGAAAAACAATACCCATCACACATTTACAAGAATTTAATTGGCGCAATATATGAACGGGATTCCAATCGATCTTTTCAGCTGGACCCTGTTGGGTCAGGGTCCACTCTATAGCTCCTCATGGGGCTCTGACCATTCTAACCGAGATTGACGACGATGCGGAGTTCAGTAATCGAGACCACTTAGGCGCCTCAAAACGCCATAGTGTGTTTCATCAGCTAGATTGGGGAAGGCAAAGGCAGGTTTTTTGTTTTCTAGAAGACAAGTGTAATTTCCACCAAATCTACAGATTGAAACGAACTACCGAAGCGGCTTCTCTGGAGCCGAACTTCGAAAAAACTCTTTTTTTTTTTTTTTTTTTTTTTGGCTTTAACCTCGGGGTTTACGCCCTCGAATACGCACGCATTGCAATATGTTTATTACCAAGTGAATGGAATCGAGGCACTCCATATAACGCTCCTTTCCAGCTCTGTGCCTTTGATCGTTAAAAATTTCTCGGTCGCAATCATTGTTCGGTTGTTTGATCCCGCTAGTTCGTTTGACATGTATAAAGTGGAGATTAACATATTCAAAGCCACGATAATTGGCTCGCTTGCCAGTCCGGTATCCATGTAATTTGCCAGAGCTTTCCGATTTATTACGAACTATGTAGGGTTCTTTTTTTATCAGAATGTTGTACGTGCCATTTCCTGTAGTAGGTAAAGGATTCTGACTCGAATAATGAAGTCAAAGGTCAACCCTTTGTCTGACTTACTCCTTGACCAGCATCTTCAACTCACCAAAGAAAGATGTTGTTCTCTGTAAGATCCAGACCCCTCTGCTTCAATAATTCTTTTAGTGTCTCTTTGACTTGAATTGCTATCCGCTGGCTGTACTCAGGTATCCCCGGCTCTGGACCTCTCTTAGTTTTCTCAATATCTGCTTTCAGCCAAGGAACCGTGACGGCCCCGGGAAACTAAGAGCTGTCTCTTGAAGCTTTGCCAAATCATCATCGCTGTAGCCGCCACCTAAAATGATAGCCTTGGGGGGCTGAAAGTAGTTCTTTGAGCCAATGTTACTTTCTTCATCCGCTGGTGCAGAGCCCAGAAAGGATGATGAGGAGATTGCGTAGACCACCCTCAAGGCTCATGACGAAATGTACCACTGTTAATTAAGTACAGTAGTATAAGTTAACACGGCCAGACATGGCGCGGGTGGTGAGCGCTGTTGGTCGTTCCTAGGAACCATTGGCCCTTATGTGTTCGGAATGCCTTGTGCCAAGCGGGTCCGTAACAAAGGTCCTGACAGTCTGCCACATCCGATCGGTAGTGGAAACATTGTTTTATGCAACGGTTACCACATAGTTACATTTCTGCCTTAACAAGTGTAATCTATGATTCATTTCCCTTCCTCTACATTACTAAACAAGGTTATACTGCTCTTATAACTGTCCTGTAGAGTTATTCTCGCATTAATATACACATAAGTTTGGAATAATACTGCGAAGTTCTCTCGACTCTTTATGAATAACTTTGTATAAGTTTTATATCATGTATCTTAGTGTTTCATTTCGCATTCAAATCTTCTCTGAATGTTTAGGTCGAGAACACCATTGGAAATGCTGCGGACCGGATCAAAGGCGGAGGCAGCAAGGGTGAAAATCGGGCCGTTGACGTGTTCTATGAGACAAAAGTCCTAGAGGAAGTCGACTGCTACTGTTACTTTCTATATCCTAAGACATGTTCAGATAAAGGGGCATGCCCCCTTGACTAGGTCTTGTTTACTGTTAGGCAAGTCTTCGTTATTCAGCTTTGCCCATCTGCCCTTTCGACTACAGTTGAACCCAAAGCGACTTTCTTTTGGGGTTTCATCAATTCTCTATTGATATTCAATCAGGATGCCGATACATTTCTACCCTCCACCACGCAAGAAATTCTTTGACTCGGCGCACTGTCCACCAGAATGCGTAATTCCGACATGCGACACTCAAGCGTATCAGCTCCATCCAAGGTTTCGCTGGATCTACAACAAGCTTACAGTCGCTGAGTTACAAGGAATCAAATGTGGGCCTCATGCGACGGAGCCAGATGCTGATCTCTATCCAATTTTCAGCAAACCCTTGTTGAGCCTCTGGGGAATGGGGACAGGCGCACGGATTATCAAAACACGGGAGGAATACTGGGGGTCCATTGAGCCAGGGCACATGTGGTGTACTTTGTTGACAGGGACCCACTATAGCACGGATATTGCCGTTGTCGCTGGCAAGCCAGGTTGGTTTAGTCACACGATAGGTGTTCCGGGTACAATGCAAACATTCGATTACTGGGAGGTCAATGCCACAGATAAGGATAATGTGCAGCGGAATCTCGTTGCATTTATCGAGGCCCACCTGGGTGAATATACTGGGATGTTGAATGTGGAATCAATTGGAGGGAAGATCATCGAGATCCATTTGCGTTTCACCTCCCAATGGCCTGATCTGTATGGATGCTGGTTCTTCTCTTCTTTGGCAAACCTCTACTGTGGCAAGGGTTGGACCGGGCCTCAGACAAGTGGAGAAACTGCTTACAGTGTCCCTCTATTTGATGATGAGAAATACGCATACCTTTCGCCCTCCATACAGCGATGTACTCTCCAGGAAATGAAAAAGGTCTTCCATCTCAGCAGTCTAGTGGTGGATTATGATCCGACGGTCCCATTGGAGTCATGGCCCAAGCCGAAGGGCGGTTTCAGGGTATTGACTATCAATGGTCCTGACCTTGACAGATGCAAATTAGTAAGACGAATGTGCCAGACCTATTTGCATGATCTGTATAACAAACAGATCACTATGGACTTCAATTCTTGGATTAAGGAGAAGCTTAGTTACTGCATCAGTAACTTCTCCTAGTCTTCTACGGCTGTGGCTTGAAACTACACAATTAACTAGGCTTGTGGCTAGGAACTAGTCGATCGGGGTATTTGAAATCTGTTGGATCTTACAATACCATAAGGAAATAATGATATTTTACTACTGCACATGGATTTAGTTCTTCGCGTTTAATCACACATTGTTACTTGGAACCTACAGTTCTAGCTTCACACTTGTTTCGTACATAAGACAACCACCCTACTAGGAGAGGTATCCTTAGTCTCTCGTCCCTTGACGCAGATCCTAAGTATAGTTTGACTAGGCGCACTACCCGGCATAGCCCAACAAGAGACTACTCTATAGGCTTGAGTCCGTGTAAGGCCTACAGGCAACGGTACAGCTGCGACTGAGACTTGCGGATGAGCCTCGACGTACGTATAAAGGACCATACGAGCGATACTCACTGTGACCAGTTAGCACCGCGTAACTGTAAGGCGGCAGGTGTTACGCGGTGCTAAGTCTCAGTCGCAGCTGTACCGTTGCCTGTAGGCCTTACACGGACTCGGGTCTATAGATTAGACTCTTCTTAGTCTGCGCCAGGTAGTAGCGCCTAGTCAAACTATACTTAGGATCTGCGTCAAGGGACGAGAGACTAAGGATACCTCTCCTAGTAGGGTGGTTGTCTTATGTACGAAACAAGTGTGAAGCTAGAACTGTAGGTTCCAAGTAACAATGTGTAATTAAACGCGAAGAACTAAATACATCTATGGTAATGACCGTCCTTATATATCTAATCCTATCGCATCGTCGATGAGTCCGGGACTCATCGCTGATCTGTTCCGGCCTCATCGGGTGATGAGTCGTTACGTGATCCTTTCCCGGGATCCTTGCCTTCCTAGGATCCTGAGCTCCTCAGGATCCTTCGTTTCGTAGGATACCTATGGTTGTTAGTAACCATGGTCCATCATAGGGTGTTATTGATCCTAGGATATTCTATATCCTAGGGATCTCCCTTTGGTTTCCCAAACCGTGGCTTATCGTAGGGCATCCTTGATCGTAGGGCGGAACCCGTCGTAGGATTTTCCCATCGGCGATAACCATAGTGCGTCGCAGGATACTCCCTATCCTGCGATTTTATTCATCGTGCGATCAGCCTTTTCCCAGGATGGCACCGAACCGTGGTCTTTCCGTAGTGACCCCCCGTTATTGTGTATTGTGCATCCTGATGTGGAGAGGCCATGGTTCTCCGAACCATGCCTTGCACGTGACCCGCACGTCGTCCCGTTCATCCAGGATGATTAGGTATAAGTGCCCCGCGGGTGGTGCGGCCCCCTGTAGGTCCGTAACAGCAGGTACAGTAGTTTCCCCCGCCTCCGCATATATCTACGGAACCCATTCTGAATGATGAAATGACGCATTATCCATGACAACTACTAATTTAGGTTCGGGCCATCATTTATAGTGCTTAAGTAGCTGAGCTAAAACGCCCTTAAATATAATGGCATCGGTTAAACCTCGGAAAACACGCGAGAGGACGATTCTATCCTAAGGGTACGCGGGTAGTATTTTATATCGCTAGTCGCGATGGTTATAGGGGACCACGCCAAGTGGTGACCAGCCTATACGCCTGAACCTAGCCCTCTTGCCGGGTCATCTTTTTAGACCATCCTTTGGCGATATGGGCTCTCCTGTGCTACGTGTTATGATCATAGTGCGGAACTCATTCCAGAGGAAGATAGCTATCTCATCATGGTACAGGCCCTGTTTCTCCGATTGGTCGCAGAGCGAGTCGATTATTAGCGGTGTTACGGTTGATTTCTGACCTATGCGAGTTAGGGGTGCGTGGACGCTGCCGAACCGCCGCAAGTTTCTGCGAATATTGATGATCGTGACTGCATTTCCTACACGTTTAAACGAAGTGGCGACCAAAGTAATGAGCTGATGACGAAGGTTCCGGCGAAACTTCTATAACCCCGCATTCATATCTGCCAGCACCTCAACTAGATTTCTAAGCCGAGAGCTGCGCGCAAGAGGCCGTGGGATTCATAATTTCCAGAAAATCACCGCCTGAATGCTTTTCGGCAATATACTTACCTAATTTGGTTCAGACCATTGTTATAAGCAAGATGAGATGTCGTTATTGGGTAGCACCAGGCTTATTGTTAAATTCCGTTTATGGGTCCATTTCTATTAGACTATATCCAATAAACAAAACGAGTGGTTGTCAGCTTTACTCAGCAATATGACAAAAGCTTCCTACGTCGCTAGTGAACTCGGAGATGTAGAAGCCGAATACCGAGTATTGCCTCCGAAAGCCCGAACTGCCGCTGGGAAAATTACGTACAAGAAGGCTGCAAATATGCCCCCTCCATAAATTGAAATTCCGTATGCCTTCTAAATGACAATATTATACTCTAGCAAACTTTCATAATGGCTTCTTCTCTCACTACTATTATCTTCGGCCCTACAGGCCAAGTCGGCTCTGCGACTGCTCGAGCTGTGCAAAGTCTCGGTGCAAAGGTGGTCCTTGCTTTGCGTGATCCCAATAAGCCTATTCCAGACCTCACCTCAGAACAGGAAAAGGCCGGAGGATATCGAAGGGTTCAAGCAGATCTTACTAAGCCTGAGACCATCGAGGCTGCTGTGCGCGCCACCGAAGCCAAGCGCGCATTCATATATCTCGCCTATGGTTCTCCCGACTATATGAGACAGACTATTGAGTCGCTAAAGGCCTCCGGTATCGAGTTTGTTGTTTTCTTGAGTAGTATCTCAGTGCAAGGAGACATCAGGAAGGTTTCAACGGCAGAGTACATACCATATGCACATGCACAGGTCGAGGTCAATCTTGACGAAGTCTTTGGAAGCGATTGCTATGCAGCCATTCGACCTGGTTTCTTTGACTCCAATGCACTGTGGTGGCGAGGTATGATTCAGGAGGGGGATGTGAAGATGGCATACCCAGATGCCGAGCTCGACTGGATCTCACCCGACGACATCGGTAAAGTGGCGGGAACGGTCCTGGTGAAAGGGATTCTGGCAACTGAAGGCGCCAAAGAGCGCACCATCATTCCTCTTTGTGGACCGAAGCTAGTGTCTCAAAGAGATGCTGTGAAGATCTTTGGCGACGCGATTGGAAAAAATATCACGGTCACTGAGGTGGACGAAAAGCAAGGTCTTGAAGTCATGTTGGAAAATGGTGTACCAGAATTTGCTGCCGGGCCAATAATCGAGTCGCTTAGACCAAAGGCAAATGGCAAGGATGTCTTTGATCCCTTCCACGGCGAAGGACACACAAAGGCGGTCGAAAATCTTCACAAGTATGCCTGGGCTGTCTCAAGCCTGGAAGAATGGGCCAAGGCAAACAGACATATCTTTTTATGAGTCTTTGCTGTTTTATATGAAGTAGCAAAGACCAAGCAAACTGGGTGGGTCATCAGTGAATATTGAGCTGAAATCTGATGGTCAATGAAATAGCTATTAAATAAATGATTTTGTGGCTTTGGGTTCTGTCATTCTGTGACCCGTACGTAAAGGTGAGGCTAGTGATATTGAATAGGAAAGTGTTTCTCAAGAGGTTGCCTTTAAATTCAACCCCTGAGGAAAGCCTCGCAGGCTTCAGATGGCCTAAGACGAACTCGATATTCTCATACGCCTGCCGCCACACCTTGACCAAATACCATTTGATCGCATTGTTTTTGAGGATATGGAGTCTCGGGTCTCTAGAATTTACAACGGAATAGTCATCAGGTAGAACTCCTATCAATTTGAAGGTGCCAATCCCCTTTCAATTTGAGTTATTACAGCAGCTTACCCGACTCGTGGATTTCCTCGCCCGAGAGCTAGAAAGAAAACAAAATGATTCCTAAGTGCAACCTTCGGATTTAGCGTATCTGGTTATGGGTTAAGTAGGTCATCATGCAGCTTACTTGGGAGGTCTTGTGTCATCACGGTATTAGTGTCGGTGTTTATCTCCTATCACCGAACCTCAATTATTTGACGTCATTAAGAAAATAATAAGACAAACAAATAGACCAATCGGGTTTTTGGTTTCAGAATGCTTGGGCCCCGATCGCAATCCTCTTGAAATTCCCAATTACATACATTACCTTTTCATTCTCACAAGAAAAGCTGAAAGGAACAGTGAATCCCAGCAAAAATTACTTCTCCTCGCAATCAAGCATAATTTTTAACTTTCAACACGATGGGAGACCTCACAAGTCAATTCGCCCTTCCTCTCCAAGGCAAGTTAGCGATTGTAACGGGATCATCACGTGGTATTGGTGCCGGCATCGCATGGGAGCTTGCACGTCGCGGTGCGAATGTAAGGAACCATTTGCTATAATGCACAGTCATTCTATATTTGATAGTTTTGGGCGAGAATTTGAAGGCTAAAGAGAACCAGGTGTGCATCACCTATGTCTCAAACAGTAGTAAACTTCCCGTCGAGGATCTTAGGGTTAAGATCGGCCAACTCCCCCACAAACCAACCACATGGGCCTGCCAGGCCGACCTGTCAACGACCACGGGCGCTCAGGAGGTCATCTCGCAGCTCAAGACTCACTTTGGCAGCCATGAACTCCAAATTCACATTCTGGTGAACAATGCCGCCACCGAGACAGTGGGCGATATGCAGAGCTTAACGCTCGAGGATTACGATAAGGTTTTCAATCTCAACGTGCGTGGTCTCATGCTCATGACACAGGCCGTGGTTCCGTACTTAGTACCCAAGGGCCGTATTATCAACTTAAGCTCCGTAGGAGCGCGATCCGGCTTCAAAAACGTCAGCCTTTACAGCGCTTCCAAGGCCGCCGTCGAAGGTTTCACGCGCAGCTGGGCTAGCGAGCTGGGTAGGAATGGCACGACGGTCAATGCTGTGGCGCCAGGACCTGTGCCTAGCGATATGCTGGACAACATCCCTAAGGAAATTGTCGATATGCAGAAGACGACGACGCCTATTGAGCAGCGACTTGGCACAACGGAGGAGATTACAAGCATTGTTGGGTGGTTGGCAGGGCCCGATGCCTCATGGGTGTCGGGACAAGTCATCTGTGCAAGTGGTGGTTGGTCAATGTATTAGGTTGTATAGGCATCATTAAGTGTTGTTCTTATCTTGTCTTAGGCCGTTTAAAGTCACATCCTAGAAATCACATTCTAGAGATAAAATTTAATTTTCAGCCATAGGGAAGTATGCAGATGAAGTTTTAGACTGATATAATATAAATTACTACTGTAAAGAAGGTACAGCAATCTTCACTGCCACTGACATATCACAGTCGCACAACATTAAACGCTTCTCCGCGAGGGCTATTCATAATTCCCTGAAAAAGGAATCAGTGACCCCACTGAGATCGATGGGTCAGATCACGAGGAGACATACTGAGCGAAGAAGAATTCACCTATTCTACCTCCATTTTGCTCCGAAAGTGAGTTTACAGGCTATGGTCGTTTACAGAGAAGTTTGGATACAAGGCTTACAGGCGTCAGTAGATGATTTTTCCACCGAACGACAACGCCCAAGCGATGCTGACGACCACTACAGAAAACACCTCGAGCCACTATGAGGCACGCTTTCTGGGTGTGGTCAATGGCCACCGCGGCTTTGGGCTCAGTTGCTCAAGACTTGTAGTTCCATACTACGCAGGAGCCTAATCCAAGTGGTACTGAAATCCGGAATTTCATTGTGATACTAATCAGGTATGTGGCAAGGATCCCGTTGCTGGTCATCCGCTTTTGGAGACGTGGGACCCAACTGGGCCCCATTGTCGAAGTCTAATCGTAGCCATATGTTTACCCCTAGAAAGGCGCCGGCAACTGGCCCACTCCAGTGCGATGATTATCAAAACGCCTACTCGCATATAGATAATTTGAAATCTGTGGTTCGTTATCTGGGATTCCGTAGAGGATTCCCGAGCCACGTTACTCAGTATTATTATTCTCATTGTCCATAGTTGCAAATGTAGCTAAAGCGTAGCTGCGTGGGTAAATTGCTACGCCTGGTCGACATGCCAATATTCTTGCTATTCAAATGATTCCATATTTGGTTCAATCTTTGTGGAAAGAAAATGTCTTTATTAAGCTTAAGCAGCCAAACTTAAACCAACATTCCTCGGATGACAGCCCTGTTCGACATCTTAATATATCTGCTCACAATGACCAATTTTACGAGAACACTTACCACATACGACCATAGGGTGTGGAGAACAGGGCTTCCCGTCCGCTCAGCCGTACTGAAGCCATGTTAATTCGCATAGCTAATACTTTCTAGAGCCTTATTACAATAGAGCCGCGATGAACTTTGCGTTAGTTAAGTATGGGTGATATCAATTAGAGTTTTATAGACTAGGTAGTAGAGGGGAAGAATAAGGTAAGAATAGGGTAAGAATTATCACTTAGGGGGTGATCGGCCCCGCCAGATTTTAAATATTCCTCCTAGTGTATTATAGAAAAATATATAAACTAATAGTCTAGAGCCCAATCACTTTCGAGTAGTAAGCACAAAGTAAGTCTATGACGAGAAATATCGATTTGTAAAATACATATAAAGCACAACATGCAATGCAAACATGTGATATTCTAGTATAAGTTATTATCACCTTACACATCCATATGCAGCTCCTCCGTTTCCTGTTGCCCATCTGTCTCCCATTCCTCTTCCGTCTCCGATTTCCCTTCTGTTTCCCATTCCAGCAGTGTTCCGGAGTTAAACAAAAATCCCGGATGGCTTAGGTCAAGTATTTGCTTCCGCTTGGTTAGGCAATCTCGTAGCAAATTGATGGCTTCTGCATCGCGAGTTAAAGATTTCCAGGTGAAAGCGAGATTAGCCATACAGTACTGGTCAGCTTGTCGGGATGATCCTCGCCGAGCTTCGTCTTGCGCGTCTCCATCACCTGCACCTCGAGCTGCACCGCCTCCTCCGACCGGCCTCGGTCCCAAAACGTCGACGCTAGGTTGGCCATACTGGTCAGCGTGGATGGATAATCTTCGTCGAGCTTCTTCTTGCTCCTGTCCATTACCTGCACCTATCTGATGGGGTTATGATCGTGGCACTGGGCGCGATTGAGATGAGCATGTCATTATACATAAAAAAGTTTAATTGACGGAAAGCAAAAGTAAAGTTCAATACACTCCAGCTACACCAGCATCACCCCCGCACTCCATCTCAATTAAATCCATCTCATCTAAATTGCTCGAAGGTTCAGGACGAATGACGCGATACTTTCGGTACTTCCGATGCCCCCAGTTCCACAAGCCAGCTGGGGTGATGTTGTGCGATATGCAGATGATCATAACTTTTCCGAGATATTCACCAATGGCTTTCATCACAATGCCCGCAATGCTCATACTTTCATTCCTAAAAGCGTCCCCCATCTTTTCTACCAATTGGCCTGTAGCCCCGAGACTACTCTGAGCAAAGTTGCCCAAGTCTTCCATTACCTTTTTGTCAGTCTGTATCTGACTCTTCAATTTCATAAACTCGTCTCGTACAGCCGGGTCTGCACTAAAACGTAGCTCGTCATGTTGGTCCATGATTTCATCAAGTTCTGTGAGGTGATGCTTCAAATTTTTCTGGAGATCCTTGAGTGTCCGCATCTGCTTCTGCAAACCTTCCTCGTCATCTTCGGAAACAGGTCGCGATTTCTGAAGGTCCTTCATGAGCCCTTTGAGGATTTCATGACGTTCCATTAGACTATCACGGGTTTGTCTCAGCTTCTCCATCCCACTGCCAAAAAACGCGTCTGGGTTGCTGGTCGCACCTTTCACATAACGCTCGACCTCCTGTCCCTGGATCGTCAGGGGGAATTGACTGACAACCCCAGGAGGTAGAGCTAACAGGAACTCTCTCGCACAGGTTGCCGCTGCTAAAGAGGCATATAGATGCCAGACATCATTCTTGTGTTCATCCGCGTAGTCTGAAATCCCTCGGATGGGAAGACAAGGGATGAGATCCATCACCCCCCAGGACTCCATTTCATAGCACAGGATGTCCTCCCTTCTGGCGATGGCATCGCGGTTCCGAGAATTCTTCATAACAGCGGCGTCTGACCCCATTCCACCGTGAAACAGCCGGACCAGGTCGCCTTCACGGTCCCGGCGGTAGATCACATTTTCTGGATGTTGCGACTCGGGCTCCAGGCAATCACACCCCGAGTCTTTATGGGCGAAGCCGAGTTCATAAAGCCGATCCCTCATAGGACGAAGGAACGCAGCTCCGCCTCTGGCGGCTTTCGCACGAATATTCTCGATAGACACGGACAGATCCAGACCATCAATGTCAATGCGATCATCCAAAAACCTCACCGCTGTTAGAAGCTCTGGAGGTGGGGCTCGTATCATGCCAGTCCGTTCAAAGCCATTCTGGGTCTCTTTGCCGGTGCGGTAAGGGACTACCCTTTGCCCGAGAACGACATCACCGAGGCGAATGTCTTCTTTCCTCGAGGGCACCCCGCCTGCGATTCCCACGAGAAGGACGAATCGAATTCTTGGGAAAGTGCTTTTCATGTCACGGGCTATCCCGAATGCTTGTACCGGTCCGTTCAATCCTGTCGGTGGGAGATTGATAATCACGTTGTGAGACCCGACCCGTCCGAGGACATATTGGTTTTTATCCCTTTCACCCCGAACGAGGCTGGCGGTGTCGTACCTCTCGTCCAGGATTGTCACAGCTGCACGGTATTCTTCTTTGAGAACACATATCCAGCCGATCATAAATTCTTTGGGTGTAGGAGGAGCCTTGAGGACCCTCGATGAGGTGGCTGCGGTTGCCATGTTTTGGTAGACGGTTTAGAGAAAGTATATAGAGCTTAGTTGTTTGCGCCGGGTGGCTCTCTCTGAGAAACACAACTTTTGTAAAATGGAAAATTTCTGCCTGCCTCGAAATTGAGAAATTGAAGAGGGGAAGTCGCTTTTAACAGCGCAGGTGTCACTCGCTTAGGGCTCTGGGAAAAAGGGGTGTTTGATATCTTCAACGTACTATCTTTGGAGGTTTCACTTGGCACTCGTATCGGGGGCGCAGCTTTGTCGCCTTGGCGAATAAGTGTAATTGGTCCTAAGGCCGGCCTTGCCACATTTGGCAGGTAGTAGATTTACATATATATCGACATCGTTGCGCGTCTCTCCCCTGTTCATACACTAAACAGGGTTTAGCCGAACTCCATGTGGCTGCCCCTGATACACTAAATATGGGGGTTGTCTCAGCCTCAACTGCACACAGTATGGCGAACTACCTTACTAATATGAAAAGCAAATGTTACCTCGGCTGCAGATCCCTGCAGGCCTCGTCACCAGTTAACGTGTTTTCACCCAGCTCCTGAAATGATATGTTTCAAGTGAATGGTCGGACATCTAGTACGCGGGAACTGCGGCTCTGTATGCTTGAAATTAGCATTACTGTAGTTCCTTCCAAGGTTTATGACCTATCAACAGACACTATGACTAAGGCTACTCTCCCTTTAGGCAAGCCACTTCACGGAGCACGAACCCTATTTGTTTGCACGCCAGTTCCTGGTGGCAAACGAAAGAGGAAAGTGTACATATGTTGCGCGACGTCAAAGTTGGTTCCACCTTCCTAGAATGCCCGAAGCGAAAGCCATCATACTGTAATCAGCCAGCTCCCGCCCGATGAAAAGCACGCTTTGACTTCGAAGGCCAGTTGCTACTGGCTGTTTTCCGAGGTTCGCCACCTGGGCTCCCAGGAACTGCAAGATCGCCAAGTCACCTGCATTTCCTTATATCTGGCATTCCCCAGACTTTTCACCCAAAATCATATCACCTGCTCACTAAGCAGAGGGGTGAGTAAAGGTGAGCAGATAGAGTCCATCGTCACCCCCTCAGCGGTCTTCCACCGCTCCCTGTCAAACTCTCCTCTATTAACACACAGATTTCTTTTCGCAACATAGTGCCAAGACTCCGTCTCTAAAAGCTCGAAATGATCTAGCATATGATATTAAGCAAATCACTGACTTCCTCGCAAATAGCTAAAGCTACTGAGTAGAGTAAGCGTTCAATCATCAACATCAGCAACAACCTTCGCCGGTTCGGAAATGTTAAAGCACCCCCAACTCAAGTAGCTCGACGACGGACCGTAACACCTCCGATGATAGAAACACTATGCGATCGCCTCCTCGAAAAGTCCAGCCTATATGTAGACGAGATAGCAATATTTTTAGGGGATGAGTTCCGTATCTAGGACATAATCCAAACCTCAAACGGGCTCTTATTTCGGTAGGTTGGTCAAAGAAGGTAGCTCGACAAAGAGCAAAGGAACAGAATACGGATCTACGAGACTTCTATACGCATAATCTGTCCGACTTTCAGTCGTATCTTAGTCTACGTAGATAAGCCGGAGTGCGATAAACGAATTAGTTTTAGACGAACAGGCTAGTCTCCGTTAGACACGGCACTATTGCAGGTAGCCAACTTTCATCGTGACCAGCGGTACCAGATACTGCCTACATACTACGAAGATGGAATCTTACTATCTCGTATATTTCAGGGCTCCACGGATGCTATATCGTATACTAGATACAGCTTGCTAGAAGCTCGTCGTATAGCATACTATCATCCTACTTAGATAGCTAGAGCAGTCTAGGTCTTTCGGGTCAGTGTTAGGATAGGTTAGGCTTTGACATTTGGATAAAAACCATTGGATATCCATGAATATCTTACAAAAGGTGGGTCTATAATTATGAGTAATTGTCACACGCTTTGACCACTAACGTATTTCACTACCGAGCGGAACACCCGGTCGGCCGGAACACCCCAACTGAATTATAATAATCAAACTAGTATAATTCAACCAGAACAACGTAATATTGAATATCTAAGCTATTTAATTAAATTTGGACAATGTGTTCTCTTATGACCCTGGATATTGCACTCTGAGCATCTTGGTGGCGCCCTAGGTCGTCGTTCTTGTGCTTCTGGTTGACCGGTTGGCTGGTCGAATGGAGGTTCAAATTGAGCATTTCTATCATTTTGAACCAATTATCTAAGCTCAGCGACAGAAAGGCCTTCTGGAGCTGCTATCTAGAGCTTAGAACGTGCTTTTTTTTGCTTAATTTTCTCGTGTCCAGCGCGCAAAAGCTCGTTTTCTCGAGCTAGAAAAGCGGTTATTTGCATCGTGATTTGACACGCTTTAAGCACCTGATCTATAGTAGAATTCAATGGGCTTGGTGGGCTCTTAGACCGTTCTTTTAAGAGCTTTTTGATTAAAGAAGCTTACTTTTAAAGCTGCTTATAATTTGATGGTGTCTTAGGCTCCCATATGCTACTACTTTGGCTATCTCGAGATGGTGGTGGTGTAGGCGTATGGAGTCGAATATTGAGCTTTGAAATCACTCGATTTAGGTCATATAGGACTAAGCCAGTTACCGAGAAGCTATTTTTGATTGTTTCCGCCTTAAAAGCTTTATTTCGAGCGGTCGGATAAGCGTTAAGAAAGTCTAATTTATCGATATAGTTCCGACCACACCGCATAATATCCTCGACGCACTTCCCATACGCACGCTTTAAGACCGCAAAACAACCTACATCAAGAGGTTATAAAAGATGTGATGAGTGCGGTGGCATATAGATTAGAATTATATAATTTTAAGAGCAAATCTCGTCGAATTTTAGAGTTAAATGGCTTCCATAACCATTAAGAACCAGAAGTCGATATATTCCCTTTATTCTTAAGGAAGTCGATGGAATAAAGACCTTTTTAAGCCAGCGAAGTCCAATTTCGTCGGACGTCCATCCATTTAGACTAACTTAAAATTGCCAGTCATCTAGAAGCATATCAGCCCAGCCTCCAATTATCATTTTACCCTTAAAGATAATCATTAGAGGAAGGCTATATCCAGACGCGCCTATACACTCAATCGAGGTCACCCATTCGCGATTTCTAGGCTATAAAAGAGGGCGTCGACTATAATATTCCGCTCGCGTAACGACTTTTACGGTCGCAGTTAAGCCCATTACGAAGCCTATCTCGTCGAAGTTATAGATATCGTCGGAAACGATCCTATAGTCATGGATCATCTTTTAAACTAGGTTAAACCAGTTCTAGATGGTTTTAGGGTCCTCGCACTTTACACGCTCATAATTATAGCGTCTTAAAAACCTTATATCGAGCTCTAGGTGTCGTTTAACGAACTTTGTGACCTAATTCTTGCCAATAGTTTGAACTAGGGTCGTTCCGCGTGTCTCGAGTAAGAGATTAGCCATTTCTTACACCATAGAAGGTCGTGGTGCCGCTCCACGTATATCCATAGAGATCACCCAATTCTTTAACGAATTCTCCTCGATTTCAGTCAATTTGAACGAATTTGCGCGTAAATCGACGCGATTTTGACGTCCATGAAGGCGGGCGTATAACGTCGTATGCGGGATGTCATATATGCGTGCTGCTTCGCGAATCGACAATTTTTCCTGCTTATTAATAGCCTGGATAGCAAGCAAGATACGCCCCTCTTGTTCTGTCAATTTTTGACGATTTTGAGAGCGGATTGGTGGCATGGTGGTTGGTTGAAGATAGAAGGTCTAATTAATTGACGCGTTTTGGTTGGGGTGTTCCGGCCGACCGGGTGTTCCGCTCGGTAGTGAAATACGTTAGTGGTGTGCTGACCAAGACGGGAGGCTTGGTCAGCCACACTAAAGTGTCAAATTTTCACCTTTTAATCCCATTTCTCTACCAAAACACGTCAAATATGCCATCTGAACTCGAAATACGTTACCAGCAAGCCCTAGCTACCATATCCGACCAAAATGAGCCTAATATAACGGAATTAGCCCGGTCGTTCAGCCTTCTATATCGGTCGCTACTCCGTCGGTTCCACGCACGCGGAAAAGTTAAGACGAAAATATCACCACAACGAGCGCTGAATATGATGCAAGAAGCTGCTTTAATCCGATATATTAAGTAGCTTGATGATCTATGGGCGCCTTGTACGCTCCAAGAGATTGAACGTTGCGCAAATTCAATTTTAGCACGTTCTAACCAGCCTCCGGTTAGCAAGATGTGGTCTAGCCGATTCGTCCGACGTCTTCTAGAAGGCTTCTTTTGGATTAAACAGAAGCCTATAGATAAAAATAGGCTAGAATCAGAGGATATTTCACGTCTTATAACCTGGTTTAACCATGTTGGAGATTGGATTGAAGGTATTAGTCCCAAAAATATCTACAATCTTGTCACGGTGTGTATGCGTACAACCGTTCTGCCTGAGTTCTGCCTATAGATTAAGGTATATATATGCGAGAGCAGTGTAAAGCTTTGGCTTTACATACTAGTCTTTTGCTGATAGCGCAGCGGTTTAGCTTCTGAATGCTCCCAGAGGTCACGCCGTGACAAATCTCGACGAGACAGGGTTCTAATTAGGTCAAGGACGAGCTCAAAAGGTCGTGACGCGCTATTAATATAGCTTAGATAGGCTCTCTTCGACCGATCGGGGTCAAATTGTCACCTCAATTGAGTGTATTGCCGCGGATGGTTGGGTTATGGTCTTATATTTGATCTTCCAAGGTCGGACGCATATGGAGGACTGGTTCCGTGACAATCCAGCGCTTAATCAGCACTATAAAATTCAAGTCTCTCTAAACGGCTGGTCGTCTGATCTAATTGCCCTAGAATGGCTTCATTTATTCCATGAAAACACGAAAAATCGCGTTGGGACCAATGGAAAACGCGTGCTTTTCTTCGACGGGCATGGATCCCACCTTACGTTTGAATTCCTCGATTTTTGCGAAAATCACCGAATTATCCCAATCAGCTTTCGACCCCATACCTCTCATTTTGCTCAACCTTTAGACTAAAAGCCATTTTTGAGTTTAAAACAATATTTTCGGAAGGAAAATACGCTTATAAACGCGTGGTTCCAGCCCGATTCAGCAAAGCGGGTATTCCTTCAAAATATCACTTCAATCCGACAGAAATCATTCCAACCACGAATTATCAAGAGCGCGTTTCGAGATACTAGAATTTGGCCTTTTAATCCTAATATTGTGATCGGACCAATACAAAAAAGATAGGATGAAAGGCATAAAAATGACCCAATTCTCGAGCTCTTAGGCCACACACCAGAACCACACTCTTCACCTATTAATTCACCACCTCGAATAATTAAAAGGCTGAATTATGTGGGAAATAAGCTTGAAAAGCGTATTAGAAAAATATCGGACGAAATGAAAGATCAGACCGAAGAGCTTAATCGGTTAAAACGCGATTTCAAGCACTACCAGATAGGCCAGGTTATCAACACGGAGTATACTAATGAGCTTGAGAGGAGATTCCTCTTAATTCAAGCTCGTCAACGTCCAATTCAGACCAAAAGGTCTAGAAAGCAGCTATCAAGCCTTACTGCTTTAACACCTCTAGATGCCAACCGGCGAATTTGGAGACGTGACGAGGAGGAGAAAAGGTTGGACCATATGCGCATGCTCCGAGTCGCTGCAAAAGAATTGGTCCCAATTCCACAAAGATCGGACGAAAACGGAGAAATTGAGGATTCTGATAGCTGGGTCATTGGAGATGATGGAAAACCACTTTATACAATAGATACAGAAGGTGTGACGCTGGAAAAGCTCAAAAAGGGTAAAAAATGACACTTTAGTGTGGTTTGACACTTTAGTGTGGCTGACCAAGACGGGAGGCTTGGTCAGCACACCACTAGTGGTCAAAGCGTGTGACAATTATAATTCATAAATTATGTAGAAACTTTGGTTTTGGTATTGTAAAAATAAGCTTAATTATTAAAGATACCCATTTCTTATGAAAAATTCAAATCTTTTTGGAATTCTTTCTATATCCTATGCTATTCAAGCTTAAATAGAGCTATTCATTTATAGAACTATCAAAAAAGTGTATCAATTAGTAATATAAGAGGGAACAATAGAATGGTAGAATGATAGTCAGGGCTTAAATGCCTAAGATATATTTATCTTTTCTCTGACCATGGGTAGTGAATAAACTGATGATTTATTTTACCCTATATCCTCTCGTCTGATCTTTTTTAAAAGCTCTTCCGACCGGGTAATATTAAAAAAGAAGCTTATATTTATAGATATTACATAGGATTGAGATATAAAATCATGAAAGTGGTAGATTAGTACACTTATGTGTAAAATGAACCCACACCTACCAATTGCAGCATCAAAATCACTTTTTCGTCCTTTCAAGGTCCCATCTGAATAGAATTTTCATCCGTCCTGCTGAGTAAAGCATATATGATGTTTATTTTATGTCTGGCATGTTTTAGCTTTTCCATTGCCAAATATGTGTATTATTACAATGAATTTCGCTTGCTTGATTACAAGTGAACAGGTGTGATAAAGTCAAAACCTGCCAAGCAGGATTGAAGTTCAATCGAGGGAAAACGTAAATGCAATCGGTCAAAAGTACTATGCTAAGATGCTATACAGAAACATGAAGTCGGAGTTCGTTATTTGGGATGCTACTTTCGTTGAAAGTACTAGGGCACCGGCTGATAACTTTGACGACCCCATCTCGACTGAGCCCACTGGTTTTGGGATTTCTCCATCGATGCGAGCTCTTCGCCATGGTTTCCATCGTTGAGTGCCCTTTGCAGTCGACCCTGTCGTCGCTGTCTTATGCACCACCAGCCGAAGAGAGCAACCAAGAGTCCTCCGGCGGCAGCAGCACCACAGTAAACACCAATATGAGCGCCTTCTCCCAGGTCGTCCCATTTTTGGGCTAAAGTTTTCGATGGTGTCTTCTCGATTTCTGCTTTTGCGGTTGAATTTCCACTGCATAATGTTAGACCAGGTCACTTCAAGTGATTTTTCATAACTTACTCGACAATCTTGATGCTATCGTATGTGCCGCTGGTTCCTTCGTACTCATACTCCTTTCCAGAGGAGAAGTCCTTCACGCGGATCCGTTGTATACTCATTGTGAAAGGAAGATCGTCCCAATTAACAAGACCACCACCCCATTCAATATTGCCAACGGATGAACTCGCAAGGCCAACTGGCCAAACACTGGCCTTGACTCGGCAGGGTGTCTGCGGATAGTTCTTTCCATAAAGCGTCTTCGGCTCGGAGTAGTTGACAGTCCTCACGAGATCGCCATCAATCCACCACTCCAGTCGTTCCTTATCCCAGTATGAGGTGTAGTTATGGTATTCGGTATCGGCGTTGAGGACAGTATGGAAGCCTCCGCGGTCGCTCGTAGTCGTGTTGCCCTTTCCGAAGAAATTAGATTGCACCGAGCTCGTATTATATCCCACCCACTCCCAGTCGATCTCATCCTCGTCATCTGACATCAGGATCACACTGCTGACGATACCCCTGCCTGGAGACATTTTGACATGTGCCTCCATGACGCCGAAGAAAATGTAGAAGTTCGAGACTAAAAGAGTGGATGCGTTCTCGGTTTTGATGGAGAAGTCAGCGCCTGTGCTGGTGTAGTCGGCGGTGCCGGTTTCCATGTCCCATAGCTTGCTGTCGAGGGTGGAGTTGAGCCACCATGTGTGTTCGGTACTAAGAGCGTCATCGGCAGGACATGTTGTGTTAACAAGAGGATTACAGGTAGCGGATGCGATAGCCGTGAATCCTAGAATAGCAAAAAGAGCGTAAAGAACGTTGAAAGGAGAGGACGCCATGACGGCAAAGAGTGGATAGTAAAATCGGGGGATAGAATTAGCCCAGTCGATTCCGCATCGCTTGTACAATTCTTCAACCCCTAATGAGTGAAGGAGTGGTTTAAGGAATGAAAGGGTTGCTTGGTTTAATTTTAGGGGCTGCAGGCACCCGCATGCATTTAAGGGGAATCGCGCATGATTGCGACCAGTAGGAAAACTGGGAAACATTAATGGATCGACGAGGGAAGCTAATTTAGTGTAATGGATAGGTCTCGGTCTTGGTCTTTGCCATGATAGGTGACCAGCCTTGATTAGAAGCTGGGCATGTCTTGGCTATCTTTGTTTTTTCCAACATGATGCAAATTATGCAACCTGCTATTCACTCGACCAGCTTGAAACAAGAACCTCCGGTTTTATCAACAGGGGAAGAAACACACGATTATTTGATTGTGTGCATGTTTATCGGCCAAACCCAGGGTCCACGGGGTCCACGGGTTAACCCTGAAATTACTAAGCGATCAAAGTCGTACGTACCCACCTTCTCAAGGGGGTTAGTGTTGAGTTGATCCCCCTGAGTTGACAGGAAGTCAAGAACTCTGCCACACTGTGGATAGAGCATGCGCAGAACCGAAGTTTGAACCAATCATGCAAACCCAGGTTTGATTAGAGTTGACTGTATCTTTCATTAATACGAACTGCGATCTAGGAAGAATTTGGGCAGCAGATAAGGGCTGAGAGTATATCACGCACAGTACATGTGACGTGGAGAATATTGAACTTTCAAGACAATAGATCTTGACATGCATTGTACATCAAATCTGAAATCATTTTCATCAAGCGCACGCTCCCATAAGTCGGCAAAAGCAAAAGGAAAAGCAGAGAGATTGCTACTCTTGAACAGGAGATCAAAAGATCAAAATGCATCTAGTGTTGGGATATTTGGAGGACAAGAAGAGGGAGCGAGAGCGAGAGCGAGAAGTCTATGGGATTTACTGTTTTGTTTGCTCCTTGCGTGAACTTTTATCATTGATGACCAAACACTGCAAATATTTCTTAGCTGTAGTTGTCGCGATGTGCCGCCGGTTTGTCCGTTTCAGGACGTTCTATTGGCCGACGAAGTGGGTACCTAAAGGCCAACACAATTTCGAAACAGATAGGGGAACGAACACATGATATGGGGATCTCAGAATCAGTTGGCAATATAGCTGATGATAAATACATGGCATGGAAGTAAGAATTATTCAAGAGTCGAAGAAACCCCGATACTGGTCTTTGCTAATATGCAAAATCTAGACCTTCATCTAGAAATTTTTATGTCGCTGTTTAAGCGGAGATTGCCCTTCTTTCTCAAATGTTCGTATTCCTGCTCTCTTAAATTCGTTGCGGGAAATCATGTCTGAGGTAATCATGTCTGATGAAAGCAATGTCGCAATCGCATCTTATGCCCTCGGGGCCGTTGGCACTACATGCTAGTGAGTCTAGCTGATTCCCCAGCTATGGTATACTACTCGGTGGTAGTTAGGTACCTGTCTACCCTGACTTATGGAAACGAAACGGGAGAGCTGTTGGGCTCAATGAAGCTCTAAAAATTGCAAAAAGGAAACACAATTTGGGGCTAATCGATTGACCAGACTGAGTACTTCTAAGCATTGATACATCGGAAGGACCTTTCTCCTTATTCGCACTAGGTTCGAGGCTCCGTCCCTTTCCTCTAAAGCCCAGAGCCAGCCATTACAACAATACTACTAACTAAGCAGGACCGTCTGCCAAACTCATAGCCCGGGCAAGGGCCCATACTTAGTTGTGGGGTACTATTCATCAGTGCGAGGGGTAGAGAAACAGCAATTCGCGGGGTATTTTTGTGGGTCGAGAAACTGACTTTGAAGAGAGTGGAAGCCCATAGTTCAATTTTGATATACATTGTATCCCTTTGGGTAGAAACTTGTAATTCTGCTGAAAGGTCTGGAATGATAGCTAAGATATGGTGAGGTTTACGTGACAAAGTTCGCGGTAAATCGAATGAGAAGGCGCGATCTTCCTCGGCATATCACCATTCGGATCGACCTAAATCATCTCGCGCCACAAATAGCCGGAATACATACCATAGCAACTCTGAGAAATGTACAACCTTATCGCCTACTAAAATGCGCGGTAATTCGAAAATTTTCACATAGTTGCATTGGTCTAAATGCCGGGATTGCCCGATACGTACAAAAGATCAAGGCCTGATCACCACTCTGGTGACTGTCAAATAGGGGCTATACATTATGATCGTTGTGTTTCACACGCAAAATGCCTCTGTATTGATTGGGATTTGAGACATTCCCGATCCCTGAATCCGGAGCACCTTTTTTTTATTTGCCGACTGCCACGGTATCCAGAGCAACGCTCATGAATTTAGCACGTGGATGGTAATTAGCACATCGAACAACGATAGCTTCATTTCAAAGCTAATGTCTTTGGGATAAGATGACCCGTAACGTTGAAATATATGTGTACATCTCGGCACTTAATTCCCTAGAGTATCTCAAACTTGACTTGAATAATGTGATGATAATTCCCAGGTACAAAACCAACCACCAGAAACCAACATTAAATGCGTATTACCATTAGCGTGTACAACCTGAAGCGGCTCAAAGATAGCCTCGGATGATAAGACATTTAAAAATTCCGATGCTACCCAAACCTGCAGGGCGCCTCACAAAAGGCGGATGATCAATTTACCAGCGTGTAGTCCCACCTTGAATGCTGCGGGAAGAAGAGTGACTGTCTAGTTCAAGACTTGGCTCTTCTTCGGCATGACAGGCCAATATTGCACAATTGTTATTTGTCAATGATGGATTTTGAACAGTCAGTGTAAGTCAACAATGTACTACTTTATCCCCCTCCTTTGTTGGACTTAGACGTCCATTGACCCTTCATAATCTGTTTCATTTGGTAAATAAGTAGAAGCAAATTCAACACTCCATTTGCATTACAGATTGTCTATTAAATTAACCAGAATAGAGCCTATTAGCGCCGCGTCTCAGGATAGGATGTGATTGGTACCAGGTTTTCGAAGATTTGATTGAATTGGTAGAATTCATTTACTCAAAACCCTTTTATCTATCTCTTCTCTGGATTTTGTCTTTACCAATTGCTTCTCTTGAACGATTCTCAGCTATTTACGTTCCTCTTTCCTCTAGGTAACGATGAGTGAAATTGACGCGTCAGCTAGCAAGGTAATTGAGGTGGAGCACAAGGAAAGCAAATTGACGGAAAACGATATAAACTTCAAAGAAAAAAGGGTTGAGGATTCCGCTCAAGAAGAACACGTTAAAGATGCAGTTGCGTTCCAAGGAGACGTTCATGAGGAGTATGTCAAAGGCCATCCGGTCATTCGAAATGGTAGCTGCAACCAGCCCCATCTCATACCAACCAGTCACTGACACAACCAGGCCTTGACGTTTCCAAGTTCCTTGTATCGACCAGAAATGATGGGGACCCCTCACTTACTTTCCGCTCCATCGTTTTGGGCACCATCTTTATAGCCTTGTCGAGTGTGATCACTATGCTTTATACTTTCAAACCAGTCCAAGTCTCAGTTTCAGCGGTCTTTTTGCAATGTATGCCCCAAGGCGTACACTTTGGCTTCTTTTCTAATGTCTAATACAGTGCTTGTTTTTGTATTTGGAGAAGCATGGGAATTCTTTACACCGAGTCCCGATAGGTTTAAGACAAGCTGGCTACGAATGACACTCAAGTTTCTCAATTCTGGTCGATCATTTGGCATCAAGGAGCATGTTGTCGCATCCCTCATTGCCTCGTCTGGCAACAATGGTCTTTCTGGAGTTGAGGTTTACGCCAACGAGAGATTATTTTATGACCGAGGCATTTCCGCCACAACTGCCGTTTTGGGGACCTTTTCTATATCGCTGTGTGGGCTTGTTTTGGCTGATGCCTTGAGGTCACTGATTGTCTATCCTGCTGAGATGGTATATTGGTCAACTCTACCGCAAGTCGTGCTCTTCCAGAGCCTTCATTTCGATCAAAAAGTCAATCAGGTACGGCTCAAGAAGTTTGGTTGGGCCCTTGGTTTAGCTGCAGCTTGGGAATTTTTCCCCGCCTACATTGTGCCTTGGGTTGGAGGTCTTTCGGTTTTTTGTCTCGCATCGATGAAAGCTCCAACAAGAACCCGCACGATTTTTTCAATTATCTTCGGAGGTGCCTCTTCGAACGAGGGAATGGGACTCTTGAACTTCTCGTTTGATTAGCAGTATATTCAGAGCACACATTTGTCGCTCCCGTTCAAACAACAAGTCAACACGTGGGTTGGCTACATGATCTGGTACCCCACTATGCTTGGGCTTTACTATAGCAACGTTTGGAGTGCTAAAAATTTTCCATTCATGTCGACGTCGCTTTTTTCGAGCAACGGAAGCACGTTCTCGACCACATCTATTTTGAATAGTCAAGGAATCATCGATGAAGCCAAGCTGGAAAAGATAGGATTGCCGCACTTGACTTCCAGCACTGTCTGGGGGTATTTCACACAAAATCTTGCTATCGGAGCACTGATATCGCATGTGTTAATATTCTACAGTAGGGACATGCTTCTTGCATGGAAGCAGGCGCGGTCCAGAAAGCAACCTGATCCACATTATCAAGCTATGCTGAGGTACAAAGAAGTACCAATGTGGTGGTATATTGTGTTCTTCGGCCTAGCGTTCATCGCTGGAATCATCGTCACTGCTAAAGGTGAAACCACTCTACCCGTCTGGGGATACATTATTGCACTCCTCGTGGGCGCATTTATTGCCCCATTCTCCTGTATACTCTATGGACTCTACGGAACCGGCATTAGAACCAATCAGTTATCCAAGGTGGTTGCCGGTGCCGTTCACCCAGGCCGACCCTTAGCCAATCTATATTTCGCCAGCTGGTCGCATCAGGTTCTCCTGCTCGCAGTCAATCTATCAAACTGGCTCAAGGTAGGCCAATACATCAAAGTGCCCCACAGAGTGATGTTCGGCACGCAAATCAATGGGACTCTTCTCAGAGCAGGTCTGAATTACGCCGTGATGAGTACAATTGTCAATAGCCAAAGAGAAATTCTTCTCGATCCCAGGGGTAACAATATCTGGAGCGGCTCGACCCTACAAAGCATGAATTCATAAGCCATCACGTGGGCCATGGCAAAGAAAAATCTACAGTCTAAGTGGGGATTACTGGATCGTGCCAATGGGAATTGTCATCAGACTGGTTCTGCCGGTCATCCACTGGGCTTTGAACAAAGTTTGGCCTCGTCTGCGCAGTTGGCCCATTAATACCCCCATGATTGCGTTGTATGCTGGACTGCATTACTACGGCAACACCTCGTGGATCTGGTCTTCTATTGCAGTCGGTGTGTTCTCTCAGTTCTATCTCAGACGCCGGCTACCAAGTATCTACAACAAATACAACTACCTTATCGGAGCCGCGATGGATGGAGGATCCCAGATTGTTATTTTTATTCTGTCATTTGCCGTTCTGGGTGCGAGTGGAGCATCACATCCATTTCCTACGTGGTGGGGAAACCCTTTAGGTAATGCGGACCATTGCTCTTAGGATATCTACGGTCTTGGGTATGGATTAGATGGCTTCTAAACCTGCGGAATTTCCAGATATTATACGTTCTATAACAAAACATTCATTTTTCAAATTGCTTCATTCTTCACACTTCAATGCAAGATCTGATGAATTGAATAATCCCAACAAGCTGCCGTTTGCCGCCGGGGATAACATGTGCACCAGGATGCCGAATAACGCTCGCTTTCACATCACCCTGGCAACAATCCACCAAGCGCATCGATGTAGCCTCATCAACCACAGTGTCCATACCCCCAATAAAATGCAAGCTTGGCGTCAAAATAGGCGGTTCATAAAATGCCCGGTAAGCCGGATGTGAAGCCTTATAGCCAGAAATAGCCACTACAAACTTCAGCGGCGGATGCCCACCATTGGTAAGGCTAGCGGGGTACGGCATCCCGCCCTCGGCCTCCAAGCGACCGAATTCCGCACTCCGATCATTTTCCAGAATGGCAGCGACCATGGCGGCCAATGCAGCTCCCTGGCTGAACCCAATGATTCCATCAAATGGCCCGGATGTCTCCAGGACTGATGCAATGAGGTCTAGACTCTTCTCTAGTCCATGATTAACACTTTCAAAGGATTCAGACTGGAACCAACGCCATGTGCCATGTCGATCGCGTAGTTCGGAGACGTCGCCTAACGGCTCTAGTGCGAATGGAGCTGTCGGATAGACAAATTCAACGTCAGAGTTCAGGGCTTGCTTGGTCAACTTTTCTATGGCCTGGATTTTGGCTTTGAAAAGTTCGCCCGATTGTCGGGATCCTAGCGTGGGTCAGTATTGTCTTCGGCGCTCGGGATTGTGGGAAGACTTACCGTGGAGCATCAAGATCTTCATCTTAGTGGGTAGTTTTCTGATAGCAAGCAAAACTAAATGATGGGGGTGACTCAATCAGCATGGCTGCTGAAATCGCTTGATGGACCCCACTAAGTATCCACTAGGCCCAAAATATACACGACAAGCCTCATGTGTCTTTGCTTGCCTCTGGGAAATTTGGAGCGAAAAAGAAAAGAGAAAAATTTTCACACATACAACCCTGAAGAATAGCTGCTTCTTGGCCAGGTATTTTAGTTTGTCACAATTATTGGAATTTGTCAGATGGCTCTTCGGCGGATTGCCCCGAAATACCCTTGCGATTAAAACTAAATTACGTGCAGCATATTGTATCAGTCACTTCAGAATAGAGAATTCAATGATTCCAGCTTAATCAAGCCTGGAGGAAGCCGAAAGAATAACTATAATAATAATAAAAGCCATACTATGCTGCGTTCTGAAGTAAACATATAATTCCCATGAAACAGCACATTGCCATTCCTACCGTCGAAACTCTTATTCAATCCTCCTCTCGATGTTCCCGTGGCAGCGGGATCTCTGGTCTTGTGGTACTTGAAGGAAAGAGTAGCTTGACAAGAAAGGATGGAATATGCTGTTTCCGACCAATCACGAGTCCCATCTCACGTACTATCCCCCTTCTTTGCTCTATAGCAGGGACATATCCGTCTGTGAAGAGTATCAAACCTGATCTTTCTTGGACACTAAGAGCAGCATTTAGTTTCTCCGTTTTCCCCTCTTTGAAATCAAACGAAGTTCCAACTAGTTTGAAAATCCTGTTTACAGGGTGTACGTCTTTTGAATGCCAGTCCAAAGATGAGCACTCGGGCTTGATCCTCCACGGAATGCGACGTTCTTTGCCAATGGATGGCATAATATCGTTGAAAACCGATAGGCGATCTCTCTTGCCACTGACTGCGTGAACTATTCCATGTGTCCCGTAGGCTAAGTGCACAAGGAGTCGGTCGACAACAACATCAACTGGAACTTCGTCCAAAGTCGATTCATAAGGGCTAGAGGCTTTTGATGAGAAGCGAAAATGACGTCCAAATGAAATGTTGACGGCCGCCTGAAATCCCGCTGCAGGTGTGGAAGAAGCCCTCGCATATCCTTGATACGGGTAGCTTTTAGCAGGAGATATAATGGAGGGCTTGACGATCAGAAGTTTCTGCACGGCGCCATTCTCCCCAAATCGCTGCAGGAGAAGTCTCTCTGTCAGATTTTTGGCGTACGAATATGACCAAGGAAAGTCAAAGGTCTCCCAAACTTTGCTAGTGCCTTTACGCTGTACTTCGGCCCATTCATCGGTCGCTCCTTGGCTGATGTGCTCCCATGAGTCACTTCGGGGCTCAGAGACCAAGTTCCCAGTATCGAGACTGTAAAAAGATTCTTCAATTGTCACTTCGTCTTTTTTGGACAGAGTCCAAAGGTGAGTGTTTGCATAGGCTGTTGAGACGAATACAAAGTGTTGAAGATATGGCATTTGCAGGGCAATATCTGCCAAGAACATTGTTGGGGAGACCACTAGCTGCGAAATCTTCCCTAGATGTGCTCCCCCTAAGCTAATTGCAGAAGCAGTGTGGATAACAATATTCACTGACTCCTTAAGACATTCCCAGTCTTCGTCAGACAAGCCCAAATTGGCTGCTTTCAAATTGCCGCTAACAATTCTGATGCGAGGATTTTGAATGAAATATTGGGAAACCGATTCAGATAGCAGCTTCCGCCACATTTCATCGGCATTCCTGTCCAGACATTAGTTGAAGCGTACGAATCTTGTCAAATCAAACATACTTGTGACCACCTCGGGTAAGCACGAAAACACGACGGGGGGCCGCCTGAGTAAAGAGTCTGTAAAGGATTGTAGTGCCTACAAATCCAGTTCCTCCGGTAAGAAATATAACTTTATCGTTGTAGAATTCCCACATATTGCTGACTCGAAACCAAAGATTTCATGGAATAGAACTTTAAGCGTTGCGATGGGGGATCTATTCCAAACTATTTATGTTCATAAAGTTCATTCTCAATTATTCGTATTTCGACGTCATCTAAATGTATATTTTATCAGGATTATGTCAGTAGCCTTTGTGTGCTGGGCTGTGCTGTGCTCAGTTGTGCCACCCCCCATTCATTACTTCATCTATGTCGTACAATCAACTCTATTGGTAACTTCCTACATAATGCGGCTGCATGTGGCCTAGATAAGAGAGTGAAGTCATGGACCCGGCGCGAACAGACCACCTGTTCGCGATGATCTATGTACAGGGACTCAAAATGAGTTAAGGAGCGATTCATGTGGGGGAACAATTGAAATAATCAGCTGATACCTGAAGTTTCTAAGGTTTTCTCACCGCAACCTTTCTGCAAAAGTACCTGCCTAATACATGCGGTGTGATGATGCTAATCAATCTTTTCCAAAAACGAAGGTTATAACAAAGAAAGGATGAGAGCCGAATAAAAAAAATATGACTTTCAAACTATACCCGAGTTATTAATCCAGGAAGAGTATTAGTCAAGTGGGAGTACTTCAAATCTTGAAAGCATATGGTAGCAGGGTACCCAGAAGGTTTGGAATTACATGACCTTAGAAATATCTAAGTTCAACGAGCAGGTAAGTATGTCCACTATAGAAAAGTTTTGTCAGAAGTGAGAATCGTTGAGCTTAGCAACATCATACAAGATCCACATAATACAAGAATCTTATTGTGCGGAAATTACGCTCACTTGTGGTAGACTCCCACAGGGTTGACCATGACCAACCGAGGTTTGAGTGTAGTGATTGGTATGTTTCGAGATAGATGTATATATTTGATGAGGGAGGGATAGAAAAGTAGGTGGAGTGGGAATCGTGGAAAAAAAAATGAATTCATACATGTAATCAATATTCTGATTTGGGTTATGATGTCAAAATACTGAAGTCAGACATCAACCAGTACCAAGTGGTCGAGCGGAAACTCGACTATCTCATCTTCCTTGGTCTAGTGGTCATGATTTCCGCTTGTCATTAACACCGATAAGCGCGGGAGACCGGGGTTCGATTCCCCGAGGGAGAGATTTCTTTTTTTTGTCCTTCCTAATCTACGATCCATTAATATGGATGATATTGCCTTAGTGATCAAACGGTAAAAGTTTATTGCACTCAGCCATTTTCTAAATTTCATGTCTCTAACAGAAGTGGATATAATTCAACTGTACCCGGATGCGCTGCTGCTTGAGAAAGCCAAAATTTGCACAGCCGTCAGAATTCCGGTGCTGTGGTTTAATGGCAGAATGCCGCATTGTGGTTTCTATGGCGTCTTAGACACATAATTCCCAACCTGCGTCGATCCCGGTTCGATTCCGGGCAGCGCCATTTCTTTTTAGATCTTCCTTTTTTTTGCTGCCCATATGGAGTACATATAGCGGAAGAAGCATTTTGATTATTTTTTTTAGTTTTGGAATTTTTTCAATGTTGGTAAAAAGCACCACTGGAACATAATAGCAAAATCTGCCGCATTTGAGCATATAGGTGCTGTGGTTTAATGGCAGAATGCCGCATTGTGGTTTCTGTGGTGTCTTTCCCACAACTCCCGATCTGCGTCGATCCCGGTTCGATTCCGGGCAGCGCCATAATTTTTTCGATTCTTGGAATCACTCTTTTTTACTCAGACCCTGATCATGCACTATCGATGTACACCACTCACGATAAGTATATCCATCTCATCAGCCCAAAGTGAGCTGCAAAGCTTTCAATTTGGCGCTCTCGATCTCAAACAATCCCATACTTACCTGTAGATCCAGGCCTGAGACCCGATCGTCCCGCGAGGACAGACTCCTCTCTCTTTTTCTCTATTTCTCGCTCTTTTTAGTCAATTCCTACCACCGTCCATGTTTTATTCAATTGTTATTTGACCAACGTCGTGGAATAATGATGCATCGGAGTTGGCCCGACGTGACGTAGCAAGAGCGCCAAGCATACATACCCGCTCTTGTTAGCGCATTGGCATTCGATTCAACATACAGGACAAGTGTTCATCTGTCGAGCATTTCAAGACTTCCTTTGTACATACACATAAGTGACACACTCGCCTGTCCACATCTATCACGCCACAAACATGTCCTTCAAGAACAAAACGAGCGACATCGGATTGCGCATCGAGCCCATCAATCAATCTGAAGATGTGATCCAGGCTTTTGATTGTGTTTGCGAGGCATTCGGCCGCCAAGCCCAAGACGGCGTCTGGATAGCTATGACTCCAGGGTGGGAAACACCCGCAGGACGAAGCCTCGGAGCTGCCCGTATGGTAGCCCGCTGGCGCAACACCACCAGAGACAAGAGTGGCAGACCGAACACGGTTTTTCTCAAAGCCACACTTCCTTGTCCACACCAGCAAGACAAACGCATTATTGCTGGCTTCGCCATTTGGGTGCAGGCGTCTAGTGTTGCGGGGTACGGCAATCCGGCGGTGAGAGAGGAGGAGCTCTGTGATGATATGAATCTCGAAGAGATCTACCCTGGAAACGAACCCGAGCAGCGTTATCTTTCTCAGACGGTTGCTTCTCTGCATAGACAGCGCGCCGAGGTTATCAAAGAGAAATCCACGGCAGACCCGCCGGCCGTCATGATCCTTGACATGTGCGCAGTTGATCCAGCACACCAGCGGAAAGGCATTGCGAGAGCACTAGTGCAGTGGGGGTTAGATGAGGCTCAGCGACGTGGAGATTTAGAATCCATCACCGAGGCATCGGCTATGGGGCGTTATGTGTACGAGCAGATGGGGTTTGTCCCACAGGGCGCTGAAATCGAGTATCTTGTTGACGAAGAGTTTGCGTCCCGCAGCAGACCTTCCAACATTTTTATGCGCACTCAAGGGAGTCTCGTATAAGTGTCCACAGCGGTGTTCCAAAATAAACAAAATCTCTACAGCAAGAACAATTTAGGCTCTCAGCTACAAATGTGACAAATTCCCGAGCAGACTCTGCTTACCAATATACCTGATCTGTATGGCTGTATATTAAATTAAACAAAGGCGGTTTCAACACATGTTCTGGTTTCTCGATACACATAATCGGTGCCTTGGTGCAGTGGAGGCGAGCAAGTATCCGTTTTCGTTCAATCTGACGTGAACACGATCTCTTTTCGTCTGCGGCACAATAATTATCGTTCTCGAGTCTCTGCAATTAATTTGTCGACAGGAAGTGCTGGGAGCTTGAGCATTTCAATACTGTATGCTCTATACCTTCTCGTGTTGTTCTTCACAGGGAGCCATAATCCACTTTATACTCAACACCTTAGCTTCATAGCTAGATTCCATGCTTTTCACAAAAGTGAGTAGGGAAAGAACATGGTCAGGCGAATTCTCTAATTAGAATGGTCACTTATAGCCGATAATTCTCCCATTAAAGTCAGTGACATGTAGTTCACTTCTTCCTAGAGAATATGTTCATCGATTATATTTCCCTAATCGTTGACTGAGTCATAATCAATGCCAAACCTTATTAAGGGCTAGGGCTTGACTTGGGAAAAGACGACTCACCTGTGTTGCTGCAAACCTATCGCCGAATGACTTTTCTGCAGACTCGGCTGCAAAGACCGTGGATGCACAAACGAGACGACAGAGAGAACTTAACATCGCATTGTCAATTATAGAGTATATCTAGGTATCATTGAGATAAATGTCATATATCATCTAAACATAATACATGAATCGAATATCTGACCAGGAAGCCCACTCATTATCTAGATATCCAAGATCATGAATCAAATAAAGGCCCCATCGCCGCTATGCCCCGGCTTTTCAATCGATACAATATTTCTTCTGTCAACCGCTGATTACTGATAACGCATACCATTTCTGCTTGTGACTCATGATATATGTCCGCAATCATGGGAACCAAATCAATCCGCCGCCCACATTTATCCGTATCTACAACCGTCGGACCAGGATCAAGCCGATGAACGAGGTCCAGCACCTCCGGCCCATACGTTCGTGAGGGGGCTCGAGCTTGCCACAGCAGGCGCATAGCAGGTCTCTTGTGCTTTTCTTCCAAAAATGCCAGACAGGGCCCAATACCGCTTCCTGTTGCAACGAGGACAATGCGGTGGAAAAGGCGCATCACACGGGTGAAACCATAGGTCTTCTGCCCACGGGTATATAATATTGTAGGAGGGTCGGCAATAAGGGAAGATGTCCAGTCACCGGCGCGTGAAACAATAAGGGAAAATGTGGAGTCGATATTCTGTGTAGATGCTGGGTCTGGGAATGTAGCGAAGCTGTGCCAGTCGCGTAGGGGGTGTCGCGACAGCGAGATGACTTTTCCGAAACGGGTGGACCCTGGGAGATACAGACGCAGGGCGTGAGAGGAGAGGACCTCAGCGCGGACTTTTATTCTGCGCAGACGGGTCCAGGGTTGAATAATAGCTAGAGCGGAGATGCAGACACACCAAAATGCGGGAAAGTGGAGAAGGTATTGTGCTTGGGACTGAGAGGAGGCTGTTTTCGCGAAGACAACGAGGAGAGCGAGGAAGAGAGCCACGACCACCCAAGTGCAGTACCGATGGGTGAGTTCGAAGGTGTTGTGGTAACGAACGCGATACGCTGGGTAGGAGACCCCAATAATAGCGAGGAGGAACACGAGGATGGTATGGGAGAGAATGAATGAGATGGTAAATGTTAGAGTGTGAGTTGGCGAAAGGCAGAACTCGCGGGTCATCAGTACAACCAATGCTAGATACCATAATAGGGAGGCAATTCCGCATCCACTGTGTACGCCACCATATTGATAGATGTTGGCAGCAGTGCGTCGGACCCAAATAGGCAGAGACTTGGGAATTGTACACAGAGTAATGAAGAAGCCATTCACCACCAAAGGCTGGCGAGCAAGACCACAAGCTAGGAAATTTGCCGCTGCAGCATCGGCCACGCGGACGATACTTCTATCAAAAACCAGAATGCAGATCAACGTCGCTAAGTTTGCGAGGAAGACAACGGAGAAAATTTGCCGGTAGATGGTCCAAAATATGAACTCTCTGGAGGGTACTCTTTCAATAAAGGGAGAGTCCAAATATAACTTCGTAGTCGGTGAAGGGGTGTTTATCTCGTCTGGGACATAGGTGGTACTAGAGGACGCAGAATGGCTGAACCATGCTTTCTCAAGATCTGCCAACGGTAGAATATTGGAGAGTGAATGCTCTTTTTCAGTGATCTCCATTTTTGCAACAGGTCGTCCTTCTATGATTCAGGTACCACTGAGCCTTCGAGGCCCCCGATGATAAAGGTTAATTTCCTTCATCATGCCAGCTCGCGAAGCAAATACCGCCCCAAGAAGCTATTCCGAGTTAGTAAACATTGGATTCTAAAGATACAATATCATATTCTGGCCCCTCAGTTTCGTCACCAAGACATGCTGCCATGACTCTGCCAAACTGACGAGCACCCGTGCGCATTCTTGGCTCCAAGAGCATGGCTAGAGTGGAGCCTTGAATAATATACACATAGTGGAGTCTCTGCACATGAAAAGTCCGTGTTGGGGTCAAATACCGGACATAGATTATCGTACGTGCACATGTTTACCACTGGTAATTTTCAAAACACCCGATCCGCCCTGGTGGGCCCACGGTAATTAATGACGCTTATCATTTCCTTCACAAGGTTGCATGCACAAGAATCCTTCCGATAATATCTGCAGGGACCTTAGAAAAACTATATTCACTAAAAATGCGACGTTGATCCGTCTAATCGCTATGGACCCCACAGCCTCAAGCCACCAAACTCCGATATACCTGCTCAATCCTGCTGATTCCCTCCACCAATTCATCCGCAGTCACGGCAAATGTAACCCGCATCCAGCCCTTCTGCCCTTCCGGCATATGATAGGCCTTACCCGGTACCAGCGAAACCCCCGCCTGCATGTAAGCCCGAAAAGCCATCATCTCCTCGTCCCAGCTAGTTGCGTGCGGGGCTAGCCGAGCTAATAGAAATACCGTTGTGTTACAGGGGAAGTACTCAATCCCGGCTGCCCTGAATGCGGTCGTCAAGGTAATGTAGCTCGCCCCCAGTCGGTTCGCACTAAGCGACAACAGCGCGGGTAGCTGCGCTGAAGCAAGGACCTCCTTCGCAAAAACTGTGGACAGCGCCGAGACATGCACAGATGCCACGAGTCCGACCACGTTGCGCAGGGATCGATTACGTGTCACCACGCAGCCCTAAAAGTAGATCAGGACCTGTTTCTTGGCGATCCCCTTCCCATGGTAAGAATAAGTAAAAATAATTTAAGACATACCAGTCGAACGCCACTGGCGGCTAAATCTTTGCTCATGCTCCAGACAACATGGACACGCTCTGGATCGCATCCAAGCTGAGCCGGATCAATGCTCAAACAGGAGACAAATGGGTCCGGATTCTGGATATCGGGACTGACAAAGCTACTGAGTGCAAACACTTCATCGGAAATCAGGTGGAGATTGCGTTCTTGGCAGAACTTGATGCATTTCTCCAGAATGGGCCGAGGGTATGCTCGACCAAGGGGATTGTGTGGGTTTGACAACACCAGCGCCTTGATCGGACAAAGAGCGGCCCCATATGACTTCTCTAGCGCTGTAATGAATGCTTGTTCAAAGGAGTCTTCGAGTAGAGGAACGACTACCCCAATTGGGCGAACCTCCGAATGGAGTGTAAAAAGAGCATCGTATCCACCTATGATTATTAGTGAAGAAAGGGAGGGGGCTGGATCAGCCACTTACTCCAATATGGACAAGGAACCAGCACTCCATCACCTGGATTACAAATGTTATAAAGAATAGCGTCGAGACCAGCCGCAGCGCCGGCGGTCACCGCGATATGGTCAGATTGCACGGGTGCATAGGGGCCAAAGCTATTCTGAAAGACAGTGGATAGTATGTTGAGTAGTTCTGCGTCACCAAAAAAGCCCTTAGGCCAATCCAAATGCTGCCAAGGTCAGCTGTGGGGTGCGTCTGCGCTGAAGGATGACATACCTTGGAGCGGAGACTATTCTCGATTGCCGATCTCGCCAGCTGCAGGATTTCTTCCCGGATGAGCCGATTTTCTGCCATCGACAAATCAATCTCATCGCGGCGCTCTGTTGGGTTGAGCAATTGCGGCGGTATGCGGCCGAGGACCTGAGTCAGATTCAGACTTCCACGGGCTGACAATAATGTCTGAGGCTTAGACTCGGACATGATGGTAAAAGTAGCTGAGTATTCTTTCTTGGTTGTGGCCAAGTGAAGCAATATGGCACGGGCAAGTTATATGGGCTGACGGGTGATGTCAGTAGCCCGTGCCCTTCCATCAGCCCCAATTGTTCATTCATCAACCCGTATCCGGTGGCAACTCCGTTATATCCACTCCACTGCGTCTCGTATCTGTCAGAACGCCCTGGTACGTGGTCTATACCATTGTGGATAGCTGTAAGATCATAATGTATCGATGTAAAAGCATGCATGACCTAGCTGAGTCAGCCTTGTAGTCTTGCTCTGCGACGTAGGATCATTACTATAGCACTGTCGACTTAATAGAGAGGTGGTATAAATCCCCACTCGATATGACCTTTGACGCATTGGATTCGCAATTTTCCGTATTGCGCACAACACGATTGACCAATACTTCGAGTCTTCTGATCCTTCCATGATGGCTTCAACTATCACTCGTCTCCAGCATGTCATCACAGCCGACAAGACCACCTTGAAGCTCAATGCAGCGGCTTCTTCTCTCCCCGCAGTACCTACTCCAGCGAAGAAAGGCGGCCTCCTCGCCTCTTTACCCCCTTCCCTAGTCCCATATGCCGAGCTCATGCGGCTTCACCAGCCCGCAGGAGTATACGCCTCACTCGTGCCGACATTAATCGGACTCTTTTTGGCAGCCGCATCTCCAAAGTTGACCCCATCATCGATTTCGCGCATATCTCCGCTTACTCTCCTAACCATCACAATCACGCACATTGTGGGCAATACGCTTCTCCGCGGCGCTGCCTGTGCATACAACGATGCCATAGATGCGCCATATGACCGTCTTGTTGCACGTTGCAAATCGCGGCCAGTTGCGCGTGGAGCAGTGACCTCCCTTCAAGCTCATATGTTTGCACTCCCTGTATTTGGGCTATGGATCGTCACATTGTTTACTCTTCCGTCACCCGAAACTGTGGTTGCTCCAGCAGCTCTTCTCACTGCCACAATGGGTATCTACCCCTTCTGCAAGCGTATCACACACTTCCCACAACTGGTACTTGGAATTTCACTTGCATTGGCGCAGGCCATCGGATACGGCTCATTGGGAGTCAGTTTCTCTAACACGGATCTTCCCACGCAAATTGGTCTCGGATGCCTTTATGTGTCATACGTGGTGCATACGATGATCTATGATACGGTGTATGCTCACCAGGATCTGGAAGACGATCTCAAGGCGGGCATTCTGAGTATGGCAGTGTTATGCCGTGGGCGGACGAAAGTCGTCTTGAGTAGGTTAGCAGCTGTGGAGGTGGGGTTGTTGGCAGCAACTGGATGGACACTAGGATTGGAGGGACCATCATACAGGGTTGGCGCGGTTGGGGGTACTGCGATGGCTTTGGGAACCATGGTTAAATCAGTACGGCTGGATGAGCCCAAGAATTGCCGTATGTGGTTTGCGAGGTTGTTGTGGTGGATGGGGGCCTGTGTGGTGGGGGGATTGGCAGGGGAGTATTGGCTCAGAGTTTGAGGATTGGTATTAGACAAATGGCCAACGTATATATAGAGTTATTGGTCATTATAGCTGATGAAATGTTGAGGGCCTCGCTCTCGGGCTATGTTTAAGAGTCGGATGGGAAGATAGAAGATAAATAGACATCTTTCATCTTTTGCAAATATTTTGCTTTTCATGCTTCATTTAATTTTCAAGATCTCATAGCCATAGTTTGGATCGTGTGTTATAGCAGCTCGCGTAGCTCAGTTGGTAGAGCGCGGCACTAGTAATGCCGAGGTCTTCAGTTCAAATCTGGACGTGAGCATCTATTTTTTGGATGCTTCTTTTTTTCCCCGCATTGTATCAATATTCAGACGATATAATTAAACTGTATCACGGGTGAAAAACGGTCCCAGCTATCATAACAGCTCGAGTCATCTATCTAGCAAATAAAGTTTCTCTCACAGCCCGTTTTGGGATGTGTGGTCAAGAATTCGTGGTGAACAAGGACCCCCGTCAAGTTACTTGCACATTATAACAGCAGAAACACAATAGACAGAGCAATTAGGTCTGTCAATGTGTATTCGTCATTTAACCTGAAGAATATAGTACAGCCAAAAGTCAATCATAACCTGTTTCCCGAGTCACGGACCAGGCCTAAAAGCGTACTAAATAAAAGTGGGTATGAACATTGGTCTTCCAATACAGATCTCATCAACTTAAGCCTTCACACCGTTCTCCATGAGACCCAGGATCCTCTCGACAGAAGGATTGTCATATACAGCTTTCGGCTCCAACAACTCCTTTCCGGGACACCACTTGATGATGTATGCATTCAAGGCGTTGGCCAGTTCGGTTACTTGCAAAGAGTCCAGTCCAAAATCAAACAGGTCGGAATCGTCCTTAGCCTCTTGGACATCCAGATTCTCTGCCAGTTGGTCATAGATCAACTTCTTCAGGTCCGGAGGACCAGATGGAGCGGACTCTGCCGCTCCATTCGGCTGTGCTGGCGCGTGTCCATTCACAGCGGGCGGGGCAGTTTCTGGCGCGCGCTCCACAGGCGCAACTACCTGTTGCTGCGGTGCAGAAAATCCAGCCAGCATCTTAGCCAACACAGCCTGCACGGCTTTCTCGACTGCGCCCGGCATTACGCGGTCCAAGGCCTCTTGGACTCTGCGATCCAGATCATCACTGGCCCCGTTGACTTGCGGCTGTGGCTCTTTCTCCGTAGCTACCTCCTTCTTCACATGCGGTCTCATCCGCTCATATAGTTCCTGGAACTCTTCTGCATACAGCTTCAACACTTGGTGTCGCTGCACAGTACCCTTTCCAGCCACTGGCATCGGTTTCTCGGGCTTAGTCAACATGACAAACCCGCGCATGATGCGTCCATGAGCTGGACAATCGCGGTTTGCCTGCAGGATACTGGGCCAAATATCCCTGATAAAATTCTCCTCCTCCTCTTTGTTGGCAGGATGGATGTAAGGCTCAATCAATACCGAAGCTTGGAACTGGCCCTGTCCGCCCACGACTGCGCCCTTGACCTTGGGATTGGTGGCGATCACACTCTCCATAGTGATTGGATTCAGTTTCTCTGCAGTGGTAAAGGCGATGATATCATCTGTGCGGGCGCGGAAGACCCAAGCTTCTGGCCGGGTAGGATGCTGTTCGAAAAGATCGCCCATGGCGAACTCAGTCCGATCCGGGAAAGTGCGGAAGACGCCCTGGAATGGCTCATATTTTGGATCAGAGTCACGAATAAAGACTAAGTCCGAGAGCCCATCACGATCTTCACGGAAGCTGTGGCCGAGCCAGGGACTGATGGTCAAGTATTGCCAGTCATCGGGGCTTTCATTTAGCTCGAGTGGGTGCAGTGCGGTCTCGCAGGAGCCCATCATTGTGAGCAGCTTGATGCGGGTAGTGAGTGCGTTGCCGACAGGCTCAGGTAGAGCACCACCGACGTAGGCGAGAAATTTGAGGTTTTGGACCATGTTCACACAATAAGTGTTATGATTGTAGCAGTCAACAATGAGGGAGGGAGCCATCACGGCACCATCGAGGTTGCCATGTAGGAAGACTTCGTTGGCCAGATCTGCAGTGAGTGGACCCGGAGGTGGAAGCACACAGGTCACCCCGCCAAAAATGTTGAAAACAAGTGTGAAGGTCAGGCATGCGGCGTGGAAGACGGGTAGAGCTAGGAAAAGGCGCTGGCCGGATAAGTAGTTTATCAGTGTAGGTTTTCCTCCCAGGAACGGGATGAGTTGGTGCGCATCATTGCTGGCAAAGGTGCCGTATGTGACGAAGACAGGCTTAGGAATGCCAGTGGATCCGGAAGTGTGCAGAACGCAGAAAGGTTTAGTCTTGGCCTCCTCCCATGTGAGATTGAACGGCATCGGCTTGACCTGGTCTAAATCCTCGAAAAAGAAATCGACTTCGGGTGTGGAGATTTGCTGCATTGGCCGAGCGGCCAGGATAGGATTGAGGATTGCGGGGGAGCGGCTGGGGATAAGGACAGTGTCGCATCCACAATTGTCAAGTAGAGAGAGGTGAGCTTCTAGACTGTTGCGGTGGGAGCTGAAGAATGCCTACATCGAGATGTGAGCATGATAGTAACACATCGAGAATAGAGCGTACCTACCATATGGCCTGCTTTGGCAGCTGCTAAGATAATGATGAGATACCGAACATCCAATGGGCCCATGTAGAGCATGGTCTTCGGCATCGACTTCTCTCCCAACTGCTCGCGAATCCACCACGCGCACTTGTTCACAGCTTTCGCAAATGTGCTGAACGTGATGTCTTCAAATCCCTCCGCAAGGCTTGCGCTCTTGGGTACAGAAACGAACACGCGCTGGGGGTCAGTTTCCGCAACTTCATCCAGCACGGTGGGCATCAGCCGCCGGCCGCAGTTAGGAGGAATCTCGATCTTGGGGTTTTCGAATACCATTGTAGATGATGTGATTATCGAACTCTATCACAGCACGACCAATGGCCCAGATATATACGGTCTAAAGCAATGCAGCTCACAAGGCTCCTAGTTTTTGACTATGAGCCTACGCTAGATTTTCAGCCCTTCGGGTGGCTTTATCCACACGTAACGGTATGAACAATACTCTGTATACTTACGAGATTTCGCCCCCATCATGCACATTTTAGAGTTCAATGATAAGATTATATTTCATGGCTATTCATGTTCTGATAACAATCTATGGGCCTAGTGGGGGCCGGATCGTCCCGCCAATGACCGCCTCATAATGATCCATGCACCTGGGGTAGCCCTAGTATACAACAGTACCTTGGTGGGAATCCAGGGAATATACCACCAATTCTACCAATCCTCCGGACTTGGCGGGCGGCTTACAAGGTTTTGGCGGAGTTAACCGATAAGCCACCTCGTATGGTTTGGAGACCGGGATTACGTCCCAAAGTGGCCGCCAAGTGCATTTTAAAATTAGTGTGCGGGGACGCTAGCTAGATACCCACGTAAACACAATGTCAGCTACAGGTCACTATCAGCCTTGACTGCGACGTCAGCTGAAATTTAGGGCTTACTATGATGACCAGCCCCAAGCAGATAACAGCGGGGTAAATGAGGCACCGGAGTTGAGACTGGGAATTTGTGAATGAAAGATCAGATGATCGAGTGAGGCTGTTCAATTGCTTCAAGCGGGCTAAAGTGTATGAGCTGGCATGGTCTACCTAATAATTGAATGATGGGATCAAAATTTGGTACTGAAAGCATTAGAAAATCGTGACACAAGAGGTTGTAAGACAATTTCGACTCCTCGAGGAGAATTGAGCTACGCTTAAGTCGATTTCAACGTATATAAATGTCACAAAATGGAAAGCAATTCATCAGGTATCAAATAACACAAGTAAACTTATACACAAATCTTTGTAATAGGCCTTTAGACAATATCCCGAGGTGCCATCTCTGGTAAAATCCTCTCCAAACTCGTCGACCTATCCACTGCCGCAGTGGAAAACGACTTCTTGCCTGGATGCGAGCTCCCCTGAGACTTATTCTCATATGAATTGCCCGAATTGTTCATTTCATAGGTCTGTTGGGTCTTTGATGAGCGAACGCCCAAGTAAGACATCGTCTGCGAGGTCAAATTGGCTACAGGCCCCGCCAGCGGGCGCAGTGCTGGTACGCTGGCGATCATCATAGCAATGTTGCGCTCCATCCCTGCCCACATCAAGCCCATAACTGTAGTGTAGGAAACATCGCTAGTTCCGTTCTTGAGGCCCAGGCCGGATTCGATGGTACGGATGGTAGCGAAGACTCCGGTGCTGTATAATACCTTATGGTGAGCATAGCTATAGAGAAGGTGAGAAGGGTTGGATAATAAGACTTACATGACGCCGAGGCCCATCAAACCACATAAGACTATTTTGTTGCTCCGGCTGACTTGGAGGTCTTTGAAGAGGAAGAAAGGAAGAATGGAGAGGAAATAGTCGGTGACGGCGGACCAGGCTGTGAATGATATGTCAGTTACTGCGAGCCGAAAATGCATGAAGAAATGTTACCTCCTTGTAGTAACACCAGTCCAATTTCCGTTCGGTACGCCCAGCATTTACCTGGAAGGAATGGGTTCCAGGACTTGTGGGGTGGATTGCATTGCCCATAAAGCGAGATAATCACCACGGTGTTGACAGCAAATACCAGAAATGCGGTGAGATAGCAAGCCACGCGCAGTACATAGTGACGGGTACCCTTCAGAATTCGCAGGTAGGACAGACAGATTGAGATCTTTGCAAAGCTGAGGGCGTTAATGCAGAAGACCTGGGACAACAGATCGTAGTACAAGGCGGAGACCGCATCGTTTTTATGGATATAAATCAGGTGTCTACCGAGTCCGTAATTAACGGAGATATAGTCAAAGACTGTTGCAACGAGGGCAAGGACCTTTCAAGTGAACATAGATGTCAGTGTAAATTGGAAGATAGAACTGGTTTGGAGGCTTTACCAGAGCGAGAAGCATCAGATAGTCGTCCCAGCTCATCTTTGCGTATATACTACGCGCCACCATGCGTAGGCTGACAACAATAACGGCGCAGACAAAAGTGACTGTCGTACCAACCTCCAATCTGTAGCCGATGCTCACATCTGGTGGAATATGTGTTGTTGTGGATGTCATGGTAGCGACGGCTGGGTCAATACCAGCGAGTCAAACGAACACGATGTGATACAATAAGAAATGAAGAATAACAAAAAGAAAAAGCAGAACAGGAATTGCCAAACGAAAATTCAATCAAGAGATTGAGGATTCTTCGCTGATCCCACCAGCCCTGCATTCAACTACCCCTCATGCCGAATATAGTCCAATTGCCTATCTAACCTAATGCGGGCCAGGAGGCTTATGCTTCCCTGCAGAAACGCCACTTATGCGCTGTGGGGGCTAAACCAAAATACCATACAAGCCAATCGACACGTGCAAGTCCAAGGGCCTATCGCTCCTTCGAAACCACAGTGCCAATTCCGCCCCCAAGGTAGAATGGGAGTAAAGCGCATAGAAGGATCCTTCAAGTGAGAGTAATCTCCGCTAGAGTGGGGCGCTGATTGCTGTACTTCATTAGCTAAGGAAAAGGATGGTTTAGCGCAAGGTTAGCGTAAAGCCTATATGAATCCAGACCGATGGATTCTAGCCTCTCAAGGAAAATAGCCCCTCAATTTCAAGCCACCAAATGATTAGGCTGAGTCAACTTGGTGTCCAGCAGGTTGAACTAAATTTGTATACGAACTCTCTTTTTTTACATTGGGTCAGACAGTAAAGATTGTAGGTTAATTCCAAGCATACCGCCCCCATGTTCTATAACAATGCCAAGGTTGATCTCGGAGCTTTTCTCGATTTGCATAAAAGAAAGGCGATCGTATATACCATATTTCTGGTTTGAAAATTACAAGTGCAAAATTACAGTTTTGTGTCACTTCAAGTTTCCGCACCTGCCGCACCTGGGCGTCGCCCCCGCAGTCAGCAAAGGTTCGTCATGGCATGATGTGCTAAGTAATATAATCAACTGGGGTGAAACCCCTTGGAAGCAGCTGATTAATCCCTTTCAAGTGCCAGTGGCTAAGCCAAAAGTTGGAGGCGGGATTCTGACTCTGGTCTGTGCCGTGGGATATGAGACGTTGCACCAGCTAATTTTAACACATCGATATACATCTACGCGGCAACCTGATAAGATCAAAATCATTTCAATTTAGTGCACAACTTTATTCATTTAGATTCATCACATTCTTGATTCAATAATCTTGTCATTACGCATAATCTTATAGAACCTTCTCGAGCAACTCATTAAGCTCCTGTGCCACGAATTCCGGGTTGTCCTTCTGCACAAAGTGGCCCGCATTGGGCGCAATGATGGGTCCTTTGCTATAATCCGACTCTGTGATCTTGGCCAGTCCTTCATTGTAGTGCTGCCAGTAGGGGTTAACAAAGCGGTTGGTCACTGGCTTAGGAGGACCCATCTTGGACGACTCCTCAGCAAAGGTATCAAAATCATGGCCCACCACGGTTACATAAGGACCGTGTCCATCAGGGCCTTTAAGCAAAGGTCCATCACTAGCAGGCAGCAACTCGCGCAAGTTGCGGCGACTAAGTCCTTCCTTGTTGCCAACGTCAGGATGGAAGATGCGACGGGCACCAGCCCGAACCGCGCGGATAGCCTCTGCAGGAATAGGATGAATACTGGCAGGGTCGAAATCTGCGGCATCCGGGTCGGGGAACACTGAAACGAAGTCGGAGTTGGCCAGAACGCTGTCGAGAAGCAATAAGGCTGACACAGTGCCTGGGTATTCTTGGGCGTAAAGACGGGCCAGTGCGCAGCCGATAGAGTTGCCGACCAAAACCACGGAGACGGAGTCGACGTCGGATACTCCTAGTTTCTCAGTTGCGATCTGAGTGATCAATTGACGCACATCCTTCACGGCGACTAGGCAGTCGTGCCCGTGGGTGGGATCCTCGGCATCAGCATCCTGGGGGTCGCGGTCGGCGGTTTGACCTTGACCGAAACGATCATAGGTCAAGAAGCTGGGAATGCTCCGACCTTCGCGGATGGTCTTCAGCTGAGCAATCACGGGGTGCCAGAAAGCTTGGGGAAGCCCTAGGCCGTTGAGGAAGACGACCAGCACGGGGCTGGTGGCTTGTGGAGAGGGTTGGAAGCTGTAGCTTAGCTGCACCGAGGGCTTGGTTGTGAGGGCAATAAACTCAATGTCCGCCATTTTGGAAGTGGGGGCTGGTGATTTGGGTGAGGATGAACGGATGCGCGAAGAACAACAACAAAACAAGCTCATTCAAAGGATTCAGTCTTTATAGCCGTCTTGTCTGCAAGGCTGGGAGGGAAAACAAAGAGACAAGTGCGTGACAGATGAGGGGTGCTGACTGACACAGTAGGGGAATTTTGGCCCCCCTGCTATATCCTGTTGTCCGTTGACAAATTCAATAATTTCCGATGAGCTAGGCACCTTTTCATGCTAGTGAGGGGCTTTTCTTTGTTCGTGTTTCAGGGTATTCCAGGCGGTAATTTTGCAAAACAATCATACGACCCAACTAGATCGGGATTAGACTTGGCCCCCAATCTATAACGGTGACAGCATATGATAGCAGAGGTATTACATCGAAGCTGAACAGCTTGATAGCAAGCTAGACAAAGCATCATGTGCTCAGTACAAATGGATTCGATTATCCAGCTGGAAACAATTTGGTCTCGCCATCAACTTGGAAAATTGCACAATTTCCAAGTACAAACAACCTACGGGCCATGGAACTTATGAGCATTAAGCAAGTGTTGGCAATCGGAGCTTTAGCGACGCTCTGGCTTCTATGCAGATATCTTATCCCCAACACTTTTCTATGGCGACTACTAAGCCGCGGGCGCAAATTGCCCCCTGGGCCCCCGGGACTCCCAGTTTTTGGAAACATGTTCCAATTCACTAAGGCACGCGACGCAGGATTATGGGCCCCCTTTGTAAGCCCCAGATTGGAACGCCCGTCATCCTATAGGCAAATGCTGACTTGTCACATACAGCTCGCATCTCTCAGTAAATATGGAGCCATGACCACCCTTCGCATGGGCTCCCAAACTTGGGTAGTACTGAACGAGCCCCAAGTCGTTACCGACCTCATCAACAAACATGGAAAAATCACTAATGAACGTCCCGAGATGCCCATCGCTGGCGACTTGGTCAGTCACGGAATGCGAACTGTGATTCGTCCGACCGCATCCTGGACGGAAGGACGCAGGGTAATGCACCATCTCCTCAGCGGCTCCGTGCTGCGCATCTACGGGAACTGGCAAGAGATCGAATCCCTCCAACTGCTTTCGGCCTACCTGGATGATCCCAAAAGATGGTACGCGCATCATTATCGGTATTCCATTGCTGTGTTGTACCGCCTTGTCATGGGAGAGAATCTGGACAAGACACAAGCCGAGCTAGATGACTACCAGCAGGTCACCATGGAATTTACCTGGAGTCTGCTCCGCAATTTTGTCGATTATTTCCCGCAGTTCAACCACTGGGTCCCTACTGCCCTGCAGTGGTGGCGGCCTGCATGGGCAAAAATGGGTGACTTCCACCACCGAGTGTTCAAGGACTGGTGGGATCCAATCCGGAATGCCGTTGAAAAGGGCACAGCCAAGCCCGGGTTCGTTAGAGACACGCTCCTTCACCCAGAGATGCGGTATAAGGGGTCGGAAGAGGAAGCCATGTACTTGGCTACCTCTGTCATTGCTGCTGGAAGTGACAACACACGTATGACGCTCAACACTTTCCTCATGGCTATGATCAGCAACCCGGAGATACTGTCGCGAGCTCGCAAAGAGATGGACGCAGTGTGCGTGGGAGAGGACGGGACACTGCGTTTACCCGGTATGGCTGATCTAGAGCAACTGCCCTACCTTGCAGCCATGGTGAAAGAGGTTCTGCGCTGGCGGCCTACCACGCCGATTACACCGCAGCATCAATTGACTGAAGATCTCGAGTACGAGGGTTATTATTTTCCGAAAGGGACATGCTTCGTGATAAACGGAATTGCGTTGAGTCAACAGTGCGATGAGCCTGATCGGTTCGACCCGTCGCGCTGGCTGGATGGAAATGAGGGGAACATTACCCATGGGCTGTGGGCTTTTGGAGGTGGAAGGCGTGTTTGTGTTGGTTACAGAGTCGCGCAGCAAGCCTTGTACGTTGCGATGGCGAGGATCGTTTTTTGTTTTGACTTGACACCAGTAAGACCTTGTCTCAATCTTCTGGAAATAACGACTAATAAGCTCTAGGTTGGACCTGTCAACACCCGGAAACTCAATCACTTCTCGCTTGATAAACAGCCCTTTCCAGCGAAGGTCACTGTGCGCAGCTCTGGACATGAAAAGCTGATTCAACAAGAAGCAGCGAAGGCAGGGAACCTTTTTTGATGAGCTTCGGGTACAAGTGGTTCTATTGTATATAAGATGAAACTGCATTTCCATTTCCCACAATGTGTCTTGATAGATTGCATGTCTGGCATCTTCTTAATCCTTGTTGCCGGAAAGATCTTAAGGTCTTCAGGCTCTTGTATCGTTATGAATGTCTGAAACTGTTAATTGGCCTTATGTCATTCAAGAATAGATTTCCATCTCATAATGCGAAGAAGAGCAAAAAAAGGAAGATTGAATTAGAGAGTAAAAACAAATGGCGCTGCCCGGAATCGAACCGGGATCGACGCAGATCGGGAGTTGTGGGAAAGACACCACAGAAACCACAATGCGGCATTCTGCCATTAAACCACAGCACCTATTTGGTGAAAGTGGGGCGGTATTTCTATATCATAAAGCATTAATTCATCTCACGCCCTTGATACACATCTACACCACCTATCTATGCACCCACTTCACACCAAATACAATTTCACCTACACACACTACACCATACATATAATGGGCTGAGTAGTATCAGTGAGATTGAAATCAGCGCATATAAAAACTGGCTTATTTAAAGGATACCGCTGATCATTCCTGATTTTGCCCGATAGAGTCCTTCTAGGAAGAATCAGGGCCTTTATCACGCTCGTCATACTCACTAGCACGATTATAACTTATTCTGTGATTAATTAGAAATTCATCTTTGCAAACAAATAAAATAATAATAATAAAAAAAAACATGCGGGAGGAAAGAAAGGGCATAAAAAAGAAAGGTAAAAAAAATGGCGCTGCCCGGAATCGAACCGGGATCGACGCAGGTTGGGAATTGTGGGGAAGACACCACAGAAACCACAATGCGGCATTCTGCCATTAAACCACAGCACCTTGAAAGATGGTTTTTTGGAAACAAATTGCCACTATGACCCTGACACCATATGCCTAGATTAATTCCACATCTCTTACTTCGTACTTGCCCGACCATAGAAATTCTTTAGAATTCCTTCAAGTTTGGCAGTCTCATTCTTGTAGGATCTAATAATTACCCATTTCATACAGTTACCTTTATATAGAGGCATTCACATATCCAGTTCATCTTGCTGTAGACGCTATGGACGCTGAAGATAATCAATCTGCGGTTGGCACATCGCATGGTGATTCGGTCGGCACTTCTTCTCATCAAGTTAGCTATTCATGTATCCCATATCGGTCATAATTTTCTCATCCTCTGCGATGAAAGGTGAGTTACGGAGATTTCTACAGTGCGCTGTTCGTAGGTACACACTACGTACGTAACCATAAGAACAACATTAATCTGCGGAGACCCCTAAAGATTTTTTTATTTGGGTTTTATTAGGGAAAGGTTTCTTGACCTCATTCACTTCAATCGAGCTTTGCGGGTTTTTTTTACAGGGCATGTATGGGAATATCGGTACGGAATAAAGGTAGCTATATGGTGCAAAGTTTGAGAAAACAAGCGCGCAAATGACAGATTGGCAGGTGGTGAGGGAGCTAAGCTGTTGCTTCCTAGCAGTATGACAAGCTCTAAATTCTTGGACATTATTAGGCAAATTTTGACGACTTTTCAGGGTGGAATGAGATTATATGAAGGGGTTAACGTCTTAACTCCGCTGTCTCCGCTCAAGCACTGCAACATATAAACCAGCGATTGACACCTTTCTCTCACTATCCATTAAATCTAACGACCGCAAATAAATCAACATGGCAGCCACGAGCCAGACTTGGCTGATTACTGGTGCCTCGTCAGGCCTGGGCAAGTCACTTGCTTCCGAAGCTCTCAAGGCTGGCTACAAAGTTATTGGGACCACGCGTGACATCGGCAAGGCTGAAGCCTCCTACGCTGACTTCTCAGCCAACGGTGGGATCTGGGTAGGTCTAGATCCTGCCCAAAATGATGCGTACGATCGATTCGTGAAGTGCTCCCAGGAACACAATGTGGATATTCTGGTCAACAATGCAGGCTACGCTTTCATTGGTGGCGTTGAGGATACAAGGTATGTGGCTATAAGGCGTTCAAATGCTTCCACTTTACTATGAGTCTCCTGGCTGAACTATCTTCATAGTGAGTCTGAAGTTCGTGATCAAATGGAGGTGAACTTTTATGGGCCCCTTCGTGCTGTCCGGGCCTGTTTGCCGGTCATGCGTGCAAGGGGCTCTGGTCACATCATTCTTATCAGCAGTGGTGCCGGGTATGTTTACGTCATTAACTCTTGCTTCATTACATTATATCTGATCTCACATTTTCTATGCACCATAGTTTCATAGCACGTCCTGGAAGAGCGACTTATTCGGCCAGTAAATTTGGGATTGAAGCTATTCATGAGTCGCTTTCTCATGAGGTCAAGCCTCTCGGCATCAAAGTCTTGATCGTGGAGCCGGGCGCTTTTCGTACCCCATTCTCGAGCCGTATAATTACTCCTTCCCAGTTTGAGAATGGCTTCAGTGAGGCCTATAAGGGCACCGCCGTGGAGCAGATGGTCACTTTAACTCAACAACTTGCATCGATGCCGGACTATGTCAAAGGCGACCCGGATAAGGCTGCACAGGCAATTATCAAGGCTACTGTGACTGGCTATAATTATCTTCGTATGCCACTTGGGACAGATTGTGTAGTCGCTTTGGAGTCAAAGATTGCAGAGCTACAGAGAGACCTGGAGGCAACTCGATTAATTGCGACAAGCACTGATGTCGATTAAATCACATAGTCAAAGCACTCAAACAATAGGGGTTATATACTATAAGCATGTTTCGTGTTCTCTCATTCTCAAAGCTTCAGATACTGTAAAACTAGTGTAGCCAGCTACGGTCTTAGCTCCCTGAGAATCGGTATTACATATGAGACCAGTTTGGCAGCTCCGGCAGATTCGGCTTTGAAGAGACTTGGAATTCCAAAGTCAAGTCAAATGATAAATAAGTTTTGAGAAAAGACACGAATTTCTGAGCCTCAAGCTGCTTCAAAAGCTCGAATACTAGGTGCAAACGGAGAAATGACTACCATGGATTCCAAGGTTGAGACCAAGGTCAAAAGATATCAAATCGCCCGGGCATTGATAGAGCTAAAATCTCTGATTTCAAATTTTCAAGAATGATCTGGTACTTCCATTGAATGGATAATCTTTGTGATTTTTATTTACCTGCAAGGTTGGGCACGTATTACCTCAGCGAATGGGATGAAGTGCATTACTCCATGGAGTGTTGCTACTCAACATCAAATTGTTTGCGAGAATATATATATTTTCATGGGACAGGATTTCCTATCACATCCATTGAACTTGCGCTTATTTACACACAGAGCATTGCAGAATTCCTCTTCATGCTACAATGGTCTTTCTATACTGAAAAGTTAATATATATTGGACATCTCTAGGTTGCGCGTCGGGACGTTCATCTAGTCGTTTATTGATCTGAAAGTGTGTTTGCGTCCTATCGGGGAATTAGAACGTATTTTCTTATAACATGACTACGTGTGACTATCGTAATCGGGCCCGCTTGGCTCAGTGGTAAAGCGTCCCACTCGTAATGGGAAGATCGGCGGTTCGATTCCGCCAGTGGGCATTACTTTTTTCTCTTTCCTTGTTTTTTTTTTTTGCCCCGCACTTGCCGCATCTCAAGTTTATTGCATGTGGAACCTGGACATTCTTTATGATATCTAATGTTGAAAACTTTGTGATCCCTTTCCCTGCGACTCAAGAACATAGGTACAAGTCTGCTGTAACAAAAAGCTTCCAATAACCAGGATTGGTTTTTTTTTCGGTCCAGGTATCGGACGTGTTGGTAAATCGTATCGAACAAATACTGGTGAGAGCTTCGATTGGGCAGCTATTCTCATAGAAACTGGTGATCCTGAACGTTGTAGCTGGCCAGGGTGGGGATGGCTGCCATTCAATAATATCGGGCCAAGACTCTATATCGGAGATGCAATTAGTGTACATGACTTAGACTTGTCGATGCATGAGATATTATCATGTAGTGATGAAGACCAGGGTGATTCCAGTAACCAAAGTATATTTTTTTAGAAATACGTAATATCTCGTAAAAGCAACCCTTTACTTGATTCCCCCCGGAACCGAAACCGAGACCGAGACCAGGCGAAAAAAAAAAAAAGAAAATAGGTTTGATCCTCTACTTGAAGTGTTTCCAGGATTAATGGAGTACTCAAAGAACAAGATGTTTTGATTTCACTTTGATACATGAATCAAGTCCATTCAATGCGTCTTTTAGCAGGCCACTAATGTGGATTATAGGTGATGGGATGGAAAAACCGAGATACGGAGATACAGGCAAAAACAAGTGCGCGCATGAGAAAAAAGGCATGAGCCATTGGTAAGGTTGCACAAGGGAGCTAAACCCAGATAACATACAGACATCATGCTTCAATGGATATGACCTTTCTCAACAAACAGTAATGAACAGGCCCAGACTGGAAAATTAAGTTGGTTAGTGAGATAACATCTCATTATTCAGACGAGATAACTTACGGAGATGGGTTAAAATCTTGAAAGAATGTCAGATCAGTGCTGCCGGAATTTTTCATCTCAAATGCAACAGCCTCGCCTGCTGGGCACGAGAAACTCGTGATAGCATACGAGTGGCCAGGTGAGACGGTGAATTCACCGAGGTCATGCGACACAGAAGGAGCGTTATTAAAAGTCGTAGACCCTGAGGCAACCTTGGAGAGCTGAGCGATTTCAACTTTGCCATCACCACTAAAAGAAAAGTCCGAAGTCTCGAGGTCGGCTTTTTCGGGGAAAAGGAAGACCAAGCTACAAGTCTTACCAGAGTCAGCGTGTGGAATATCGAAGTTAAAGATACTGGAAATGCTCGAGGTCACCTCGCCGTTAAATGAGGTGCCTTGGGCTTTGTCGGGCGATTGAGAGTCAATCGGGATGATCAAGTGAGGAAACTCAAAGTTGCCTTGTGACAGCGTGGTGCCACAACTGCTACTAGCTGGCGAGGATTCTGAACCAGAGCTCAGGGCAGAACACGAGTCGGCCTTCAACTCGATGTCCGAACATTGACTGAGATCAGAACTTTCCACGGTATAGATGTTCATACCGCCATTCTGGCCAGTCTCACAAGAGATAAATTTAGAATTGCCTTCGAACTCCAACAAGCCAGAGGAACTGATAGAGAACCCTGGGGTCGGAGTGGCACCTGTATCACATTGAAACTGAGTCGTGGGAGCTAAAAGATTGTTTAGAATGCTTATCTCAAGATTCAAATGCATCACTTACGAGTCAAAATACAGCCACGACCACTGTGATCAGTGATAGAACCATCAGAATTGATGCAAAACTCGGCAGGAGGTAGGCTGTCATCCCCGATACGATTTTGTCCGTCACTTAACTGGCCGACATCACCAGAAGCACTGCCAGAGGCAGTGAGATGAAAGCAGCAGAGCTGATTGCGGCCAACAAGGGCATGAGCACTGGCAATAAATGTCGCCAAGGTGGTGATTCCCTTCATGTTGATACAGAGAGAGAATAACCAAGTGTGATTTGACTTGACGTATGAATACTTTTTATAAATTGAATGATGATATTCAAAATATGATTATACAGTGGGAAACGAAATTCTGGTAGGAATGCAGCATATTTATGCTCGAAAGGGTTGACGACATGTTCCTCTTTCACGGGGGCAAACCCAGGCTGATCAGACAGCGATGCAGCCATCTAGCAGACGTCATGACTCGAATCTCGAATCATTTTGAACCCCGAAAGCTCACCAAGGCGGCTGTTTCCTACGATCTAAACTATAATAGTGCAATCATTAGTGAGGGTTGAGTGGCGACCTTGTTTACCACGGCTCACAGCCTAAGTGGAGCTTACTAGGACAATTGGTCTGACCGCGGATTGTCTACATGAATTAACAAACGACTGTGGGTTTTTTGGGGTGCTTTGGTACTGTGTAATCCTGATTTTTGTTGATTCTGGGAGCTGCAGTAAGTCTAGATCCCAAAATAGTTGAGTTTGGAGGAAGGGTTCTCCGTGGCTGTTATGGCTCAGTGAATGAGATCATCAGTATCTCCCAAAGACAGGATCATGTATCTATGAGCAAGTTTTGTATAAGTCTTTCATTGGATAATCTTGGAAAACTGTCTTTCCAAATAGGGACCCCAAACACGTCACTTACTATGTAGATGATCGAAATACATAAAATTGAGGAAAATGGATCGGTAATGATGAAGCCGGAAGTTGATGACTAAATTATCGCGAGTTGGCTGGAAACCGTAGCCGTTCTATTTTTGATCGCTCGGTACGAACCACGAAACAAACAATAGGGTCGAACCGGGTTTCCTTCGCTAAACAACATTCACCTATACAAGCTCAGTCTACCGACTGCAGTCTAATCTCCGGCCAATACATATTCATTTCTCATAATTGGGTCACTTGTTCGGTGGCCGTTCAGCATTTCACCTAAAAGTTGCCACCTACGAGAGCTTTTTGTTAGCTATAATCTTGGCCAAAGGAGGTACCATGGAAACATGGAAGGTGGAGTTGATTTACCAAGCGAGAGAGAGAGCGAGATCGACAAATACAAATCTGGGGCGGAGGCCTGACCCACAAGGCAACTTATCTCCAACACTTGGTTTTGCCACAGCGAGCAGCTTCTACAAAAATGGGCTTTGTGTCTGGATTTACCCCGCAAAATTCAAAATGCGGTTTTTTTTTCTAATTCAAGAATGGGTATGCATTGACAGGAAATCTATCCATGGATTTCCACAAACCGACACCTATGAACTTCAGGGCCGTGCGAGTGCATCTCGGTGGATCCAGACCATGGTGTGAACCATGGAAGTGGTGTGCTAGCTGGAACTTTTGTTTTTGGTAGCAAAAAACTCAGCCTACAAGATACAACCTTTGGCTTTGTTGCTAGGTGGATGAGGTATGAGAAAGAAAGGCCGGGGTACTGACTGCATATGCCTTTATCACCCAGCGATCTTTACTCTATAGAGTCTTTTCCGTATTTAGACGTAATTACACAAGGTTGAAAGAATACGAAGTTACTTCGATTAAATCAGGCGCTACCGTGGACATGATAAGGTTTCCACTATATGATGAACAGATTGGGATCGTTTCAATGAATGGTACTGGTTTCCGAGATCTGGAGTTGGAGTTCCGGCCATCTAGTGTCATAATGTCGGATAGTATCTCCCAACCCGTAGATTGAGCCAGTAACAGAGATTTTATAGAACCTAGGATGCATGATGGAAGAGCCCCGGGCTTCCGCAACATACGGCGAATTCGATATCCCCGGATGTTTTTGACCGGTCCTGACTCTAGAGCATGTTGGCGAATGATTGAAAGAAGGGTAAATAAGCGTTGAAAAATATTACGTGGCGTTTTTCTGGAGGTAGCGTTGAAAAGGGTGTTAGGCGCATGGCGTAATTCAGTAAGGCAGGTCGATACAGAAGCATGCGAGAGTTCAAGTAACGCCATTGAATGTTTGTCTGGATTGTAGAGATGGCGGCAGTGGTGGCTTCCTGTGGACTTGTCAGGAGTAATGGTAGCTGCTCGTACCAGTCTACAAGCTTCTTGTCCAGCTCGGCCACCTGATCGTGCCGGATTCGCGGGGAGGTAGCAAGAGCCTCTTGGATCTGAGTTGCAATAATACAAAAACGAGTACTCTCCACCAGGTTCACTGTGGCGAGAGACCTCTGCGCAAGTGCAAGATCAGCAGTTAGCGTGATATTGCACCAATGTGACCAGGAGATTAATGAGACTTGACTCACGTCATTTCCGCACAGCATAGGTAGTTTAATGTTAATGGAGGGCCCACACCTCCCAAATGTTGGTCGGCCGAGGGTCATGCAGCTAAATGTGTCCAAACAGAACAGGGACCACCATACACGGCGCCATAAGTCAGCAGATGACCCGGATAAGCCAAAAGGTTCCTCGTGCAGGCCCAGTGCGGCTACCATTCGAATAGCAATGCCCATGAGGGAGTATGCTAGATTAGGCTGGCTCACAAAATGCAGATAGTAAACCGCTATGAGTCCCAATATTTGTATAGACTCCACGTGCGGCTGAGCGAAGTATTCAAGGCCAAGAACTACCTGTGCACGTTGGTAATAGCTGCTATGAGAAGTGTCGCCTGCCGAGCATATCGCAATGCTCCCCAATGCAAGCACTGTATTCATAAGAGCTGTCCAACAATTGTCGTGCCGGTTGCCTGACTGGTACATTGCTCGAAACTGGACCTCATCTAAAATGGTGACCAATGGCTGAATGTTTGTAAAGAATGCGTCGACCAACTTCAGTTCGGCGTCAAACATGAGAAGGGCGACTTCCTGGACTAATCCGGTAGAGGGCGCATTCAATTCGATGCCAATGGTCTATGATTTTCACGGTAATAATCATGATAATCGGTACCGACTTGCAGCTGTCGTTCGAAGCCAGATTGACTTTTGGCACTAGGGAGTGAGGATAGATAGGAGATGGCGCTCGGATCTATCAATATCATCACTTTCATCACAGCATTGATTGATGAGACGCCTAGGTAGCAAGAGGACTGTGCCACCGGGGAAAGAGAATTGAAATCATCGGAGACCATTTACGAGATCTTGCTGTAATTCGCGATTCGGCTCGGGTTGAACTGGAACCGTTTCAAGTGTTTCAAGGCAGCACTCGTCGCCATATGTATCGCTCTCAAGCTCCATCGACGCGTGTAATGCGGAAGCTGTGTCTGACGAAAGATTGGAGATTGTGTTTGAGCCGTCTCTTTGATCGAAAAGCAAGATATTCATCAGCTGTTCGCGGGTAAGATGAATTAGCGACTCGAGCTGTGCAGAAGGAAAAAGGCGTTTGAGGACCGCCCGATATTGCAGGGCGACTACGGATAGCTTTCTGTGATACTTTGAGCGTTAGAATCACAGGATATCTCAAATTGCCAATAGTTTCCTATACGACCTCGCCGCACCGGGAATCCGAGTGAAGGGTGGATTATGCGTACCGCGAGGACAGTCTTTTCTCCCTATACCGGCAGAGATGTGGCTTCTTGTAGTATACACAAGATCCACAAGGCTACAAGCGATCACAGCGAGCTTTGCGGCGGCAACATTCTTCGCAAGCGCGACGGTCGCATAGAAACGCCGTATTTTGCGGTTTACCATCCTCCTCCGATGGCTCTGGTGGGCGGTTTGACCGGAGAAGCTCGAAAGTGTGAAACATTGAGGATTTTCAGCTCTGCGACAGATGAATAAAAAAAGAGCTTGGTTGTGTGTGCACAAGTAGAGATGAAAGTCGGGAACGGTCGTCGCGCTCTTCGGTTTCGATCGCTTGTGAATACTGTCAAACGCAGGGAGTGAAGCAATGCCCTCTGCAGCCACAGCGGCAGATCTATCTAGAGCATGCATTTCGGCTTAATAGGTACATATTGTGCAGGGCTGGGGCAGGAGATGTTGACTATAGATTACGTATGTATTCGGCCTCTTCCGACTCTCGGATGGTTCCAACCGTTCTATGGACCTTCTCCGGTAAGCTTTTTGCGGGGGAACTGGGGAAGGGTTCAAACAGAAGCACGGTGAGCAGGCTCTAGACTAAGCCTGTCCAGGGTGATCTCTCGTACTTGAATCTTATTCCTCTGACCAGACTTCCCTTGATCCGGCACCGACACTCTCCTCTTGTGCGATTCGTCGGAGACCCCTGACGGGCGAGTCTCCAGGGAACGATCGTGCTGGACTGTTCCAGCTACGCCGAAAATGGCACGGGGTTTTGTTTTCCGGATACAAGAGAGTATGGGCCAACGGTAAGTCTGTCGAACCAGAAGCCTGCAGTGCCCAGCCAATCCTTGCCTGTAATCCTACCCCGCATTAGTGCTGCACTCATCCTGCGCTCCTGCCCTGGTCCTGCTTTTTCGTCCATCGTCGTTATCCTCTACTGGACTGGAGTATGTCCTCGAAACTGCCGGCCTGCTGAATCGCCACGAGCACGGATCTTTGCCCGGGCAATCCCCTGCAAGCGCAACGTAATTAATCACTTCCCCTTCCTGTCACGGAGTGGCTGGGATGTGTGACTCTTAAGATCTCTGGCCACTACCCCTAGTGGGCTAGGCCAGGGATACGCACGAGGTGTGCACTTCTCTTTACACTAGAATATCGAAACTAGTAGGGTCTTCACGCAGATCCCAGACAATGGCGATCTCGATCTTCGTACCTACGCAACAACCGCTCTGTTCAATTCCAACCATAATCGATAAAGTACACTGGGATGTTGCCATAAAATTCCTACGTCATGATGCATGTCGTCCTCGTCAACTTCTTCAAGCTGCTCTATGGGAGCAATGCGGCTATTCAGAGACATGATGCGTTGACAGACCGATTAAATGACGATGTATGGATATGGAGTCAGCAGGGTTCCTCGTTCATGCCGCGCTTGGGGGTGTGATATACCACAATCCTTCCAAGGGCATAGCAGTGGAGACTTATTATCGGATCAAGATTTACTTTGAATGAGCTCAACAACTGATCGAGAATCTTATTCTTCTATCGGACGCCAGGTAGGTATATACATGAGCAATGTCGTCAAGAATTTCAGTCGGACTTCACGACGTCTGCATTCTGGGTTAAAGAAGACCTTCTTGTAGACAAGTATTATACTGCAAGTTCCATACGGGTCAACCTGCTCCGAAGTCCTATCATCACCAGCCCAGCGCTGAGCTGATCGCGGAGGCAAGAATGGCCGCCCCCGCAGCGTGCGTGGAAGCGTTAGGGTGATAGTCACAGCCAACATCCGAGCCCTGCGTGGGCCAATCAACTAGATAGGCATTGGACCCGAGCTGCGAAATAGCAGACTGGAGCGCAGTCTTCTGGGTGGTATGTTGAGCGTCTGCCGTCGTTGGAAAGGAGTCACTCAACATGGGAGAAGTGAGCAGGAAGAACTTGGTGTTAGGATAGTGCTCCTGGATACTGTGGACAAAGTCGACCATCTCGTTGGTGAAGGTGGTAGCGTTGATGGGCGAACGCGCATTGTACGACTGTCCTGAGGAGTCGTAAGCAAGATAACTAAAATCATTCGTGCCGAGATTTATGACCACAGCGTCCGGCGTCCAGTCCGAAGGGAAGGTGTAGCTATTGTCAGCATCATTGGCGCCATAGCGAGTATAGAGCTCCGGCATGAGAGGGCTCGTATCGGTTGTGTCAGTAGCAGTGTTACGCACCAGCCCCTTGCCACTCCAGGCCACGATACTGTAGTCGGCTCCCAGCGACTCCGCCGCCAGGGCCGCATAGGTCTTGGGGTTGTCTTCGAGAGCAGCCGTGTTGGTGCAAGGGTAAGTGCCATCGAGGCCATACCCAACGGTAATGGAGTCGCCGATCACCTCGATCTTCTTGGCAGGGACGGCATTCGCTCCTAGAGTTCCATCCGTAGTAATATCGCCAATCACGATCGTACCATAGAGGGCCTCTGAACGTTTCCGGAGCTCGACAGTATGGGTTCCTTGGCTCAGTCCGGCGGGCGTGGAAATTGAAGTTCCAGCAACATTGGAGATGACTGTCGGCGCGCCACCATCGATGATCAAGTCAACGCTGTTGGTGCCAGTGACTGATAACAGGCTGATGCTGGCGGACGTTCCAGTAAAAGTGAAGGCCACACCAGTACCTGGCCATGTCAGCTCCTTGGTCGCCGGATTGACGCGACCAAGATAACGAACTGTTCCCGTGCTCAGGGTAGGACTGGAACCGGAAGATGTAGTGGAAGATGTCTTGGATGTCGTGGTAGTTAAAGTTGTTCCTGATCCACTGCCACCAGGCTGGCACTGAGAGTACCAATCATTGGCAACGACACACGTGTAGCCGGACGTACAAGTTGTGACGCCTGTGTACCCTATGCCCCCGCACTGCGCCCATGCGGCAGCTTGCGCCGCAGCAACCCCTAGGACGAGCGGAGTAGCCAGATAGAACTTCATTGTGAGTCTAGTATATGATGGGCTTGAGGTCTGCACCAGGACTTTGATAATGCCTGAGAGGGTGTGTGAAGGCTGGGCAACAGATCTGGGCTTTCTTCATGGGGAGAGCATCGTGCTATTTAAAAGACTCGAAGCGATGGCTTCTCGCGGGGGACTGAATTTTGTTCTTCCGTACAATTGGTGGAATAGTTGAAATGAGCTATAACCAGATTATGGAGACACAGTATACTCAACGCCACAATGGACGAGCGGAGCTCAGGATGTCGGCGTCCCTCGATACGCTTCTTACAGGGTCTACGCCCACAGACATAGTAATCTTTTGCATCCGGGGCCTAGAGAAAGACCCCGCACCAATTTGAGGCATATTGCGGAGTATGACATCCCAATATGGTAACGCGTATGGGAAGAATTGCGGAGCTAAAACGCTAGGATGTCGTATTTCCGTCACTGCACCGGATTATGCTGCAAGTTCCGGTTCTGCAGGACTTTGAATAATATGCTAACTTTTCTTGGGTTAGTGCCTCACAATAATATACCCCATATGCCTACATACATCCTGACCCTTAATATACATCAAAAGTGGGATCAGATGCCGATGTGAGTGCCTAAGTGCTATGGTCAATCTGGGCGGCTGATGAAGCTTTTGCTCATTCCACAGTTGATTCAGCTCTGTATATGATGGCGGAGGTAAGCCCGGAGGCTGGGTGAACGCTTTTACGTTATGATGCAAGGGTCTTTCGCTATGGTAATAACGGAGAATGCGCGCACGTTCACAGGAGAAGATAGATTGAGGATATGTGCCGCAAAAATTCCCCCGCTCGCTGAGTAACCTGTAAAGATAGGTTCCAATATTGACTCTTCACTAGATATTAACACAACAGTAAGCTAGCTAAATTATACGCCTCTTTCGTGAAGGAGCGATGTGGGGAGATCAGCGACCAGACTAGGAGACTAGGTTTCGCTCCCCTGGACTTCATTCCTGTTCACGATACATAACATTTAGGGATCCATCAATTGAGCTATTCCCGGTTGTGCGTGCTGTTTGCTGCGATAGCACGGAGTTCTTGCCCGTTACCGTGACGTTTCTATCTCGGTGTCGGCGGCCATTTTCCAACAGCTACGCCCTACGCACCAAACCTCTACTCGCATCGCAACTGGCTTTTTCTAAAGATCACCATTTTTGCGAGGGGCCGGTCAGTCAACTGATCTTACCTATTCGCGAATAGAGAGAAGCACTGTCCTTGGTGGATAGTGACTAGCCTTGATTTGGTCTAGTACCCTAAGTACGTGTCCGCTCAAGCAGGATATGTTTGTCCTCCAAATCAGGACTAGCTAGCTTCTGAGGATAGAAGGCTCTTTTCCCCTCTTTCCCTCTTTTCTTCTCATCCCGCTGATCATATAGCAACCTGAACTCCTTCTTGTTCTACGTCATCTTTCAATCTCGACAGTATCACTATTAGCATTTTTGGCCTAACAACTTTTTAACTCGTCTTTCACCTAGGCAGCTCGGCTCGATGTTCAATGCATCTAAAAATTTGTTGTCTTGGGGTTTCAATATACAAAGTAATTCTACCAGTTTATGACCTCCCTGCGTACGGTCCTCGAATCCATGGTAGACGAATGGCTGAAATATACCAAGGCGCTAGGTTGATCGACATCAAACACGGGAAGGAGGTGTGATAGTCGTGCTGAGGCGGGTACATCTTCGGAACTCGTCACGACACCTAGCCCTTCCTCTTCGATCTCAATCCATTTTTCTGCAATGTTGGCTACGAAATGGCTGTTCCATACCCCTTCCTGAACAGAAGCGGTTCGAAGCACGTGTACAGCACGCCGTCGGATGTATGGGTCGCGACACTGTGAGGCGACATTGAACATGCACGAGATGATGCTTAGATCGAGCGAAAAGGTTTTTGGCGACAAGGGGAGAAGAGAAGAGGAGGATTTGACGATTGACTCGCCTAAAATTACCATCTGTTCGAACGAAGAACAGTACCTGTCGAACTGGATATTTTTCCCAGGGTCCAGCTCGTCTTCCGGGCGGAGTGTATCTAGCATGACAAAGCATTCCATTTTGCGCAGCTGGAGAACAGCAGCCCCACGCTGTTCACGATCTGTGAGGGAGGCGCTGTGCTTGCGCAGATATTCGTCTAGACCAGCGGCCCACTGCGCTAGGAGGCAGAGTGAAGTATCGCGGAGAACGGTGCTTGCCGGCGCGACATCATTGAAACTCATCTGTGTATTTAGATTTCGCAGCTGTGTGCTGTGCTGTCGGTAGTAGTAAGTATAGACCTCGAGCATCTCACGTGCATCGGCCAGCGAATTAAACACGACGGGCTTGGAAACGTCGATGACCAAATTAGGCCAAAGGTCAAATCCAGTTGCGTTGATTCCGTTGACAGTCTGTAATATCGTGTGTTTAGAACATATTCCTGTGGTGAATGCAAGTATGCTTAGGAAACCCATACAACACTAGTCTGCGCTTGGAGACGGGTGAACAGTCCACACAGTATGTCCACAGAGACGTAAGGGGTACGGCCCAAACTGAAAGCCACGTAGTCCCTCGAATTGCTATTCCGAAGCTCACCAAGAATTCTGAGTCCGCTGGTGATATGCGTGATGGCTGAGCCATAATGGCCGCGTATAGACTAGAATCCAGCTAGAACACATCACTCGACAAAATACGTAATATATGCACGCACCTCAAAGCAAGCAAATAGGACACAAGATATCAAACATACGTCAATAGACTGTGATACACTGGGTGAAGGCGTTAAGCACCGTATGGCGCGGAGATACTGGCGTATGGCGAAGGAGTTGTCAGCGACTGGCATGCGAGAGCTAAAAGAAGCGCTTTCGTCACGTTGAAAGTGCTCATGTATCGAGCCCAGAGCCACTGTGACGTGGCGAATAGCCGGTTCGCGGTGCACGGTCTGAAGCAGCAGGCGCTCCCAGAAGGCGCACTCAAAGTCGCCAGCTAGCTGTGGGGCTGTCTTCAGCAGGAAAAATTGAAATGACCGTCTCTCCTGGTCGCTGGAAAATATGTTGTGTGACGGGGTGCTAAGCGGCCGAGCTATAAGCGCTCTTTCAAATGTATTCGATCGCGGAGTCGACTCTCTAGAAGACGCCGGATATGCCGATACCCCATAGCCATCGCAAAAGCGACCAGTTGTCGTGCATCGTAAACAAGCGGGGCGCTCCTCACCGCACTTAATGCGTCTTTCTATGCATCTCGGTTAGTAACATTGAAGATCTCCATACAAGTTCGATTTCTCTCACTCCTAAACTCGATCAGCAAGGGTGTCTTAATATGTAGAGTGTGGAGCACGGACCTGCAGGTTAAACATCCGGTGCTCGTTTTAGGCCGATACGCCCGTTGTCGCTTTTCCGGAAGGACACGGGGCATTATGGCGCGAGTGCCAAACTCTGAGCTTGGAATGTCGTGGATGACACCCAGCGGCGTTGAGAGGTGGAGAGGAGAACCCGTGGACTGTAATCAAGTGCGGGAACTGCGGGGGCCGAATGACTTTGTCAGCGATTCATGGATCAATTATTTATCTTGATGCCTGATTACTCCTATGTTGAAATTGACGAGTCTGTTGTTTATAAAATTGGGTCCTAACACTGAAGCAAAACTTCGAGGAAAAGTCTTGACTGCCCGCGTACGTATGGTAGTATTTACTAGGAAATTTTCCATGGCAATATTCTTCAGTGCCGCACAAGAGGAATACATTGATGTGAGTGTCTACCGCTTGACTCTAGCTTAGAGAAGTAGACTGCATGGATTTAAAAGATTTCAAAGTAAGTAATATTGAGGATCTATGATTGAAAGCTGCGTCTTCCTACACGTCATTCTGATTGTGTAAAACCTAGCATGATAGTCAGCAATCTTGGACTGGTTTGACCTTGAGCGCTCTAAAAGACATACCATGTCATCTCCCACCTGCAATGGTCTCGCTTTGGTATATATATTCATTTTCTTGCGCTCCTTGCGACTTGGAATTTCACTTTCCCTGCCTGGCATGATGCGACCAGGATGCACGAAGTTCAGCATCACAAGCGCCAGCAGCATGGGCAGCGAGTCGAGGCAATACTGGTAAGCCTCATGGAGGGGAATTTCGCTATCGAGGCCTTGAGAGTATTCGCATAAGCGAAAAATAATTCGCATCTTTTTTGTTAGCTTGATTTTCCATCATAGTCAGAGCTTTTGCTTACTGTGACTAAGGCGAGACATGCGTAGAGTATATAGAGGAGGACCAAGGCCTTTTGCGCATCTGAGCACCGCTGCCGAATAACCTTGGTGTGGAAAGAAATTGCATAGATGATAAATAGCAGAACGAAGAATTGCTGCACACCCACACCGGCCATGTAGATGTGCAGGCCTGCCATTTCCGTGCCATATGAAACGTTGTTGCCGGCAGCTTGTGCTGCTCCGTAAACCTGGACAATGAAGGCACTATTCTGATGTTAATTCGACGACCCAGATGATGCATGGAAAATCATACATTATGTCAAGAATGACGAAGATGAGTCCAAATTGCCACGGTCGCATACGCAAGACGCGCGCGTCGTCTGTGAAGTTCCACACCATTCGCCCCATCACCATGTAGACAAATGCGTTGGTCCACAGCGGTGCAATGAGAATCAACACAAACCATGCGGCGTAGTCTGGATAGCTGGCAGGGTTGAGGATGCTCAGCACTCGGAAGATATAGGTCAGCGTCTGGATGAGACCGGATGTGGCGATCACCCAGCAGTAGAATTTACGGTGCAGGATCGCCTGCACGATGTGGGAGATTGTCGTTATTCCAAAAAGCACGATAAAAAGGTATGCAGCGGCGACCGAGGGACAAAAGTTCCACATCGTGTCGGGTGTCGTAAAGGCTATTAATTCAACGTGAGCTATTCTGTATCTTGCACTGGAGCTGCTGCCCACTGTACCTTGACATTGTGTCATAGCGAGGGTAGAGAAGTCTCTATGTGAAGGAAAAAAAAAGATCCTGTTCCAGTCATGACAGGGGGATCATTGCGTTAAATTTGATTCTTCCTTGGGCTAAGAAATGTTTGTGACCCGCAGAGTCCATACGATGGTGGGTCTTCATAGATCTGAGCAGATGGTTACTATTGGTTCGCTCGTAGGGACACACCAATCATGTGAGAAATCTAATCCCCACCTAGATCTTTCACTTTCCAATTTTAGCTACACGATCTTTCCGTTGCTGACAATGACATTAAGGATATTCCAGCGGGAAGGCCGGATGCTGGTTGAAGTCAGTATGTATGGGTCAAGAAAATGCGTACATTTCAAGGGACTACCCGAAGGGGCTCAGACCAATGCCTGACATTTTCTACCATGATTTGGCAGGTCGACCGCCGGAAAGTGCTTGATACAAGCCGTCTCACCATCTCTAATACACGCTCACCGTCCAACAAATGCCACAGTTCACTAAATTATGTGTCTTAATTCAAGAAAGCTCTTGCACATACGATGATATGCCCAGCGTGGATAGGAGAGCTTCCCTTCCGCAGGTCCTTTCAGCCTTATTTAAGCCAGGTATTCCGCATTGACAACTCTCTGTAAGCCCAAACCACCAATGCAGCCTTCGAGTGGCGACAGGGATAAAGTTGGGGTGAGCGTGCCCAATGGTGTGATATGGGTGAGGGGGGCCGCGAATTCTTTAACCTCGCAGGCTAGGATAAATATCATGCATTTGGTGTGCATACTGCACTGTACAACTGAAACAGAGTCCCACCTGCGTGTTCGAGCAGGACTGACCTAGACGGGGGCGAATATAAAGATATGCCACGCAAATAGGTCTTACTTGCCTTAGGTGTACCACTATTTCTCCAGTCGCACAGCTTCAAATGCTCCGTTGCCGCCCACTTGCTTTCCATCCAGGCAGCATGGCACCCATCAAACTATTGCTCTTCAAAATTGCCACAAGAGATTGTATTCCACGGGCCAGCTCAGCCTCTGCCCGTCAAGGAGAACAAAGTCTTTGATTGAGTGATACCAGTCATGCACAGGTGTTATTTTGAGACCAATAAATCAGTTTTCATGACACCGAAACTATCAGATGTGCTTCTGGATAATGTCAGGCGATGATTATTTATAAACATTATATCTGCGTCAACCGAGAGAAATAAGGGTTGCATGATATGGGTAGCCTGGATGTAGAGGTATTGGAGGCATAGGTATTGATAGTATGTCTCTAAAGATTGTTTTAGAGACTGAGCAGCAAAAATGACGCACAGAAGAAGATAAAAAGAAAAGGAAAATTCCTTTGTATTTAGGAGAGGGATGAGAGAAGTAGAGAAGAGAAGAGAGAGAAAGAGAGAAATGTTTTCTATCCATGAAGCTTACTTTCTTCCAGATCTAATTGTGTGGATACATCTAGCCAGCGCGTTCTGCGTGCCTTAGGTATCAAGAAGCCGCGAGGCTTCAGTAAGGCAATGTAGCACGATTTGTCTTCTCAGCGACACGTTGTGAAAAAGGGAAGAGAGGGAGAAAGCAGAGGGAGGCCATCTGACCACCAGGAGGTACACAGAATATTTCGGGAAATTGAGCACTAGCTGCACACGCCATGTTTGTTTTTGTTTTTGTTGTTTTATTTCTGATTCAGCTTGGGGCACAGTACGCCTCGCTGATTTGGAGGGAACTGTCGTACTGGCGTTTATGGCTATGAGAGTGCATACAACTCTTGGCAGCCAAAGCTAATCCTTTGTCCCTGCTCCTCGCCTTTACATGGGCATTTTTTGCGAGCGTATCCCAACGCGAGCTTCTAGAACCGACCAAGAACCGAAGGTAACCATGACGGGCCTCCGATTGGCCGGATCTACGTGCCGCATGTCAAGTGGGTCTGCGGCTGCTGACAGCTTCACTAGTCAGGCACAGTGGTCAGATACTAGACTGTCTTTTCAAGCCGGGAGCGCTGAAAATTTATCGGCAAAATGGGGATTTGGATTCAGCTCCGTATTGATTCCTTCGGAGATAGGCGCTTTGATCCACTCGCATAAATCAGCACAGCCGCATCGGTACATGGCTTATTTGGAAGTTGAACAGCGTGTGGGCGCTCGGGAATAATTTCCCCTGGTGCCTGGCTAACCTCCGATCGATCTCCGGTTCAAAGCCTAGATCGAGCTAAATCGGACCCGAAGTTCAGCCACATCTCGTCAGACCACCGATCTTTTGTAGCCCCTGAACCCAAAACCAGCTTGAATTAGCGAGAGTCTTTGAAAGATGATCGAGAAAGAAAACGTTGGAGCGATGGAATAGATTGCGATCCAGTGATTTACCTGGTTGTGAAATCCTTATCTGTGATAATCATTGTCAAATTTGCAGCTGCTAAAGGCGCTATCGAGTTTAAAACGAATTTGGAGAAATCTATACATGGATCGGCCTGTAGGGAGGGTACCCCGCCGAATTCAACTCATTTCATACCAGCATTAACTAAACTATACACCCTATGAGGAATATCTCCTCAACTGGCCACAGTTTCCATTGGATGCCTGGAAAGAATATGTCAACTCGTTGGAGCCCACATAAGCATAACCATAGGTATCAGACGAAGAGCAGGTGGTTGTCGTGATCATGTAGCAAAATTTCTGGATGGATGTAGGCTCGTAATAGAAAGAGAAAGCGCAATTCGCCTTTTCCTGGCAGCTGATACAGCAAGCTTCAGCAGAGGTTGAGACAGCCACAGACGAGCCGTAACCGGAAACGGTACCCCAGGACAACGAGTAGATATAGTCTCCTGCCAAGCCGCCAAAGTCCGAGGAAAGAGGAGCACCCGCAATGTTGTTGGTAGCACATGCAGCGTAAGCAGAAGTGGTGCTGATGGCAACCGTCGCGGTGACAGTAGAGGTCACGGTATCCGTCACGGCAGGTGCGGTGGAAGTCTCAGTAATGGTGGAGGTAGTGCTGTAGCTGAGTGTGGTGGAGACATCATCGGGAACGACCACGGAGCTAGTGGTGATGGTGCTGGTCTCTGTCACGGTGGTAGAAGGAACAGCAGCCGTGGAAGTGGCGGGAGACTCGGTCACAGTTGAGATTGTGGTGGTCTTGAGGATAATCTTCTCGTGGCAGACAACCTCTTGGGCATACTTGAAATCATCCAAAACAGGAGAGCAGTCATTGTCCAATGAGGGCTCGAATGATCGCTTAAGGGCGTTGTAGACAACCGTAGAGGTGGTAAGAGTGTCTACGATAGGAGTGAGAGCTGCGGAGGCTTCAATGGTTGAGGTGATGGTGGCGGTGATCGCTGCGGTCAAATAGGCAGTCGAGGTGATGTCATTGGGGGTGACGGTCAAAGTGGCAGTATCAAACTCAGTCGAAGTTGTTGAGAATACATCTGTCACAGTACTTGCGGTGGAAGTGACAATGGTGGTCTCATAGTCTGTCGCTGTCAGGGTTGATACCGATGGAGTAACGGTGACGGTGTCCTGAACCATGGAGAAAACCACAACAGGAGTTGGGTCGTGAATGCGGCGAGTAATGGTAGTTGTAGGTACTGAAGCGACTGAAGTCAAACCAAGCACCGTAGTACAGACAGCCGTGTGGACATGAGCTTGACTGCTGACGGGCAAGCTACTCGACTGGACGTTGCCAGCAGAGGCATAGCCAAGTAGGGAGGCTGCAAGAGCCAAGCGAGAAATCGACATTCTATTTTATTTTCCACAAAGAATAAAAATGTGTGCAATTTTGAGATGATCCTGGATATCTATGCGGACTCTAAATACTTCAGGATTGTGGTTAGGGGAAGCTGGTTCGCCGGCTATTTTGACCTTGACCCACGGGTCCACCAGGAAATCCCCGAGCCACGACTCCATCGGGCGTCAATAGTCGGTGAAATGGGGAGATGTAAACAAGGAAATCTGACGTGTCTTTGAAATTTGAAATCATTTTAAGTTCCACTTCGTCGGCGTTGTCCGTGTGCACGTTTATGTTGAACCCTTAACGATCTATATACAGCAGGCCTGCTCTTGGGTTCGCCATTCTCATCAGTCATTCTTTTTTGTCTTTTTTGCCTTTTTGCTTTCTTCTCTAGTCACTCTTTTAACATGGGCCACTTGTTGATTCGAGGATGGGTCCTCGCCGCATTGGCTGTGCAAGGCTTTGCCACCGTTACTCTAACATCGACTGCTGAACCAGTCGTAACTGTCCAGCCAACTGCGACTCCTACTCCTCAGGCACACCACCACCAACACCATCATTGGACTTATATTTCCAGGGCCTTGCCCAGTCGCAAGCCTTGCAGCACTCATTCATCATCTGTTCCCTCTTCCAAGGCAACACCGGCATCATCTGCCAAAGTGGTGTCATCGTCTTCGGTAGCGATTAGCGTGTCCACTCCTTACTCAAGACCTGTGACCACTCACTCGGTGCATCACCACCATCACCACAACCATTGGACTTATACTTCTCTACCGCGGCCACACCGCACTCAGTGCTCATCTTCCACGCCTATTTCTATCTTGTCGTCGTCGGCTCCTAGCTCGACACCTCTCTACCAGACCACAGCCAAGGTTTCTGTACCAGGATCTGTTGCCTCTGGAAAGCCTCAACCCTCTGGAGGCATCCCTGCCCCGTCAGGTAGTCCCTTGCCAGATGCTACAGGCGCACCTACAGGGTCCGAGGCTCAGTCTACTACTTCCACGATTGTCTCCACTCGTACTGCTACCATCACAGCCTGTCCGTCAGCTACACCTAATTGCCCGCCCTCTTCTAAGACTACCTTTGTCACCACTGAGACTGTGGTCGTTTCGACCACAGTCTGTCCAGTGGCTGATGCCACACAAACTACATCTTTCCCTGCAGGAGGACAGGCATCTGTGAAGCCTGAGGGACCTGAGTTCACTACCTCTACTGTCTTCAGCACCCGCACTGCTACCATCACTGCCTGTCCGTCTTCTGTCACCAACTGCCCTGCGCGCTCCAAGACGACACTCCTGACAACCGAGACTATTGCGGTGTCCACAACGGTATGCCCAGTTGCCGAGGCCACTCAGATCACAACCCCTTCCATTCCGGGAGGCGAGGCCCCTACAAAGTCTGAGGAGCTTGGATTTACCACTTCTACTGTCTTCAGCACCCGAACTGCTACCATCACCGCATGCCCATCTTCTGTTACTGACTGCCCTGCACGATCAAAGACGGCCTTCGTTACCACTGAAACTATTGCGGTTTCTACAACTGTCCGCCCCATAACCGAGGCTGCAGGTGCTACTCAGACTTCGTCTGTTTCAGCATCTATAGGCGAAAGCGCTGGTTTCCAGGGCAATGGAGATGAAGGCTCTGATTCAAATATTTCTACTATTTGGACCACTAGAATCTCGACTATCACTGCTTGTCCAGCCTCTGTAACCAACTGTCCCCTGCGTTCCAAGACAACCTACTTGACCACCGAGACCCTGGCTGTAGGAACTACTACATATGCTGCACCCGCACAGGCTACATCTTCCTCCGAGGGGCTGTCAGTCACCGCCCCAGCTAGTGTCGTCGATTCCCAAGCTACCAAATCAGTCACTACTATCACCACCGAAACTGCGTCTGGACCTTCCGGTTCCACTGGTGGCCAGTCAGGCTCGGGAGCGGCTACAATGTACACTGCTCTCTACACTGTCGAATCATGTGGCAACAGCGGTACTTGCACGGAGTATGTCGAAACTGTGGTGATGACACAGACAAGCGTTGCTCAGCCCACTATGACCTTCTCCATGTTCAAGCCCGTGTATGGCTCCGGAGCTGCCGGCATTCCTACTGCCTCTGCCTCCTCTGCACATGTTGGACAACAGGCTAGCCAGAGCAGCGGATTGGCTGCGCATGGCTCTTCAAGCACGAGCAGTGCGGCGTACGCTGTCTACACTGGTGCTGCATCTGGGAGCCTCCAATGGTCTTTGCTGAAGATATTCGGCACCGCCATGGTTATGTTGGTAGCATTGCTGGCTTAGTGGGTCATTTAGACTGACCTTCATCATTTTCAATTCAATAATTATATGTTCAAATCGTGCTGTGAATGTATTTAATCAGCTTGGATTTTTCAAGGCCTATTACAGCCATTAATGCTACGATTTGTGAAGAAACAACCTGGTGGTCATGATTGCGTTAGTATCACCCTCATGGCGTCGTGTTGTTATCTGTAACACTTTGATCTTGAAACCTGCACAACTATATCGTCCTTTTCAATATTGTCCTACGACCTCCGCAGAGAATAGGACTTGGGTAATGACTAGTGTTGCGAGTGGAGTGACCCCTCTAGGTAGATCAGCGCTTTTCTTTTTTCTTCCTCCTTTCCTTCTTCTTCCTTCTTGCCCTCGACGACCCACTCACAATACAACTTCTTGATTCGTCTGTCTTGTCCCCTCTGCGTATTCGTACTTCGTACATGTACGCTTTCTTGTTCTTGTCTCCTCTGACCGCTTCGACCGGCACGCGACGTGCTGATAAGTAGCTTGGCCATGTTCTTAACTCTCATACTAATCTGGCCTAGAGACCCCATGTCGTGGATCTCATCTGGCGCGATGATTTCTTCTCTAATAACGTGGTCCTTTGATTTGCATCTTGCGCTCGTGTTTTGTCCGCTGTAGAACCTACTTACATGAATCCCAGATCTCATTTTGTATCAGGCGGTGATCCAAGAGCCTGTAGTTATGAAGTTGGCATTTTGATGAACTCTGAAATTGTGGATATTAGACGAGCAAAAACTGGTATCTAAACTCGACAAAGACGCTGCCGTCAAAATTCTCAAGTATCACATAACCCAGTGGACTATAAATGAATTAACATACCATGGTCATAACCTGCTCTCAAGACCGCTTGGATTCAGGACACTGTCTCGCTCGATTATCTACAGGGACAATACTTCCTACCGGAAAGTACTGCCCGATCTGACTAGAACCATGAACGGACAGCGTCAGCAGCAATAGGTCTACAATGTTCAATGCAACTACCTCTCCATCCGAGATGATTTAAAAATAACTGAGCCACTGTTGAAAACAGCCAAAAAACATACAACAGTTAGGATTCGCATGTGGTCACCCACCATACTACTAACTAACCGGCGTGTGGCTTAAGTACGGCTGAGCGGACGGGAAGCCCTGTTCTCCACACCCTATGGTCGTATGTACTTGAGAAGGTGCTGAAGAAGAATATATAATCCGATAAGAAGAAACTGGATTTCCTGGACTTTGATCCAGATCTTCCGCTGGACACTTTTGTGGAGAATCGGGATGTTGGTCAAGAGAGTGAGGAAAATGCGTTTCTTCAATTTTTGCCTGGTATGGTGGGCGTGGATGAGGCTGATGAGGGACTGGACAGGTACGATGACAGTTTCCTGATGCTTGAAGATGTGTATTAGTTCGTGATAAGCTTGCTAGGTAAAGCTACGTCTTGAATTCTGTTGCTACTTAGCGAAAATCATTCATATAAAATGTCCCGTAACAACATGGATGGGTCTCTTCCTCCAGGAGCTCACTTGTGCATGGATGACATTCATCCGCAATCATGATGAGGCATGGTTTGTCGGACTCCTCTCGATTCCGCCATTTCAGCTTTTTGCGTAGTTCCTCCAGTAAACCATGGAACATACCAAATCGTTCCAAGTTTTCCGAATCGCGCCAGTCATCGAAATCACCCTGGCCAAAGAATCTCAGCCGGTTGAGCTCAATTGATTGACATGATCTTGTAATTGACCAAGTGTCTCTAGCAAGTCTGAGGGCGTCACCTCAAATCGAGTGATACCGAAATGAGCAAGCTTCGGCCACTGATCAAAAGGGGATAGCTTTTGTAAAGACAGGGGTATTTGCTCCCTATGCCCATACATACGACATGCAATGCCAAGCATCGTCGAGAAATTGATCTGTGTTAAATCTTTCGCCTGGCTAAGAGCCCGTCGGAAGTCACCTTTTGCAAGGCTTTTCCAGCCCCAATCATCGATAAACAGAGTCAGATCAAAGCGGCGAAGTCCCGGCAGTTTCAGCAACCTCATAAAATGATCGAATTCTTCACACGGCCGAGTGAACATCTCATGATGAACTCCTGTCTTCAGTAAGATCCTCACCGTTAGCAAGGGCAACGCTACATCCCCACAACCTGCGAACGGAAAATAATCACTAGATTCTAAAGACTGTAGCGAAAATAATGAATCGATGCAATTGCTAAGGTGGACAACCGAATAACAATAATGGCCAATAGAAGGTTTCGCTCTTCCGTCCCTATATCCCCATCCATGTTGATATGGAGTTCTGTGGCTTCTATGTCCTCGTGTAATGATTGCTAGTTCTGCAGGACATTTTGCAAAACAGATAGCGTTGTCCTGACAGATTATCTAGGTTTCCAGACAGTATTTGGTGATCCCAGAGAATCAGGGTGGTCTGGATTTCCCCTCTGACCATCCAGGAAAAAAGACGAGAATAGGAACCCTGCAACAACAGGGGCGGCATAAATACCCACGTTTAACTAACTGGCCATCCTCTCAAGTGCGGTTAATATTATGTAGCGAGTACTAGCGAGAAGCTCACCTGAACAGGCGTGTTGTGACCCGCTTTAATATTCCTAATTGGGACTAGCAACTATCCGCTGCCAACTGTCTAGGTGACATTGCCAGGCTGCCTAGTGATTCCAAAGTGCGTGGGCCTACATAACACTAGGAACGCCAAGTGATCAGAAAATCCTAGCCGTGCAGTTTGGTAGGAGCACCGCCAACTAGTGTCAACCAAGAGCCAGATGGTTGCCTATCTCTATTATGATTGTGACATTGTTGGACTTCCAACCAGGTAAACTAGCCAGTGGAGGCTATTCGCTGCGGTGAATATTAAATTATCATCTAAATGCACGGCTCGAACCCCTTGTCGTTGAGGATATCAAGGATAAGAAGCCCGGCCCGATAAATCAACCGATAAATCGACTGAGGGTGGCTTCCGTCACTCCCGCTCCTTCATTCTCATCTCATCCTTACCTCAACCCATCTAGCAGAAGATGGCACAAACCATCCCAGACTGGCTGAGAATGTGCGTTACTGAAGACCTATCTAAGGAACAAGACTGAATCCAATTTAGAATTCTGATCCTGCTCAGCGGGGCTTCTTACCTGCCCCAGCTGCACCGCATCTGGGTGCGCGGGAATGGCCAGGGCATCTCGCTCGGCTACCTCCTGCTAAATCTCATCAGTGCGACCGAGCAATTTACAATAGGGTTCTTTCTCTTAGTGAATCACGAGGGCGGGACGGATATCTTCATTCAAACTCCCAAAACGACCGGTGACTGGCTGAACCTGGCCCAGCTCACCGTGGTTTGGGTCCTGCATCTCCTCCTGTAAGTTGCTTCTAATCCCTTCTATATCGAAAACTTGACCAAAAAAATCTTAACAAGAGTAGCTTTATCCTATGTCTCTGGTTCCCATCGGATCACCACACCTGGTATAAGCTTGGGCTGCTGACGATTTACATTCTCTTCGCTTTCATCTCTGTTATACCACTCTTCATTGACGCTATCGATCGTGATTACTTCAATGACCCGGCATTCCCCGGATGGGGTCAAGCCCTCTTCAGCGGCTACCATGCGATGTTCATGAACCCGATCGTCACGATCCTCGCTCTCGTTGCGCTCCCTTGCCAAGCGCGGGCTATCCGTGCCCTACCCATAGGAGATCTAAAATCCCTCAGTCTGCTGGGGCTACTAATTCAGGGCGTCGTATTTGGCGTGATGGCGATCTCGTGGCCGTTGCGGGTGAGATTCATGGATCTGTCTTTTAGAGAGGTAATTGCGCACGGGTTCTTAACATTCGTGAGCTGGTACCAAACGGCCGGGTGGGCGGCAGTGGACAACGCGGTGTTTGCGTTAGTGCAGTCATCGTTGTTCTATTTGGCGAAGAACCGGGGGACGGTGAAGATGGCCGCGGTTGATAGGGAGAGAGAACCTTTACTAGGGGCGCTCGCATAAGTATTACTATTTACTGCTCTACCAGGAACCACAAATTGAGAAGACTATGATAAAAAAGAAGATGTATATAAAGATACATCACTATAAGGTGAAATTCATTATATTCAACACCATAATCACTAACTGTGGTTTCCCCATGTTATCTGCCGACTGAAATGTCACCCTCGTGCTGGCATGGTCTCTCTTCTCGCTCCAATCTCACCAGTCAACAGTCCTACTATTGTATCGCACATAGAAAATTCCCCCATCTGTACAATGTGGGGAATATCCATTCTGAATATACCGGGAAAAAGCACACGATCCCCCGGTCGCAAGGTGATCAATTCATACCTACGTCCTCCTACTGCCATTCCCAGTACTCTGGCAAGTCTGCCTGAAAGAATACGGACACTCCTGTCTCTCCCAGAGACGTGGAGCTCACCCGGGAGTCCGGGTACAACTAGATAGGAAAAGAACAGGACCGCAATAGGGATCTAGTGCAATTTCCACCTTCAGTAGCGTGATTCTTTTGTCGGCAAGTCCAGCCACATTAGCAAACCGAGATTGGTAGAGGACGAATCCGCCAGATGTGAAGCAATCGCCGGCAGGCCTCCAGTAAAAGCAAACGGTCTGCTATCAGTGTCCCAGGGCAGACGGCCAGTAGCGCAGAAGAACTTAGGAGGGCTCTTTATGTTCAGCCACAGGATTCTAGTCTAGCGATAGTTAATTCGGAGACGCTCTCTTTCGGGATCCTCGACCGAAATGAATAAAAGGACTCAAAACCGGTCGGCGCTAGTGAATGTCACCCGGGGGCGAATGTTTGGTCATTTATTCGAAGGATTGAGGACTGCTTGGCAGTGTTATCCGGCTACTACATAACTGTACATATCTTGGGCATTAGCCGACGGTTAAAGCCGCGGTTCGCCTATCAAGACCCACTGGAAAGCGGCCTGTGCGCGATGGTTGGACCCTTTACCCTGGATCGTCGATGCTAACTACTAATTCTCCATCAATTGCAGTTTCTCACGTTTGTATAGCCTCATTGATCTGATTCTTCGAACTGTCGATGCGCACCACATGATCCTGATGATCCGCAAAAAGGGGGGGGGGGGGAAAGAAAAGAGAAAAAAAAAAAGAAAAACTTCAAAATACAAAGTGCAAGAACAGAAAAGACAAGAGAGATAACAACATAACCCCTGGATTCGGGTTCGGCTAGTCTTCATACACCATGTTCAGGATCCTAATAACGCCCCAAAGTGGCCAAGACCCGCTACCAGCACAGAAATGGGGATGGACTATGGCTGCCTCATTTAGTACCGTCCAGGAAATTGCACTGCTCATTTCGCTTCATTGTTGATGGCACTGGGAAAGTATTTAATGCACTGGAAGACCTAGCAATGGGGAACCAGGGTACACCAAGATTAGCACTATGCGGATTCTCCTTCTGTCTGTGGGTGTGCTGCTGCTACAGGCCTGCCATGTGCAGGCCAAGGCTGTCTTTGCTCATTTCATGGCACCATTATCCATCCAGTATCGAGATTCTTATGCTAAATTGAATCCTTCCAGGTAGGAAACACTCCGACTTGGGAACTGTCCGATTGGAAGAGCAACATCCAGTTGGCTGTCGATGCCCATATTGATGCCTTTGCCTTGAACATCGCCAATGGCTGGTACGCCAACGATGCATCTCTCGCTCTGGCCTTCGAGGCGGCAGCTAGTCTTGACTTCCAGCTCTTCTTCTCCTTTGACTACGCCGGCAACGGGTCATGGGCCCAGGCAGATGTCATCAGCCTTATAACTCAGTACGGCGGCTCTGGTGCTTACTTCCAGTACAATGGCGGACCTTTCGTCTCGACCTTTGAGGGGCCTGATCATGCAGACGATTGGGTTGAGATCAAGTCCCAAACGGGCTGTTTCTTCATTCCGGATTGGTCGTCGCTGGGTGCGATCCCTGCGGCTGCAGCGGCCAATGGTGTCGTCGACGGTCTCTTCAGTTGGTCTCCTTTCTATCATATTTTCCTTATGGAATTCACATGCTAATGAATGTAGGCTGGGCGGGCTGGCCTTGGGGTGACAAGAATATGACCACGTTTGTAGACGCTTCGTACATGCAGACACTCAATGCTAGCGGGAAGCCCTACATGATGCCGGTGTCGCCCTGGTTCTACACCAACTTGCCCGGCTACGACAAGAACTGGCTATGGCGCGGCGATGATTCTTGGTACCAGCGCTGGCAGCAGGTGTGGTACCTACAGCCCGAGTTTGTTGAAATCATCTCGTGGAATGACTTTGGCGAGTCACACTATATTGGGCCACTGGACAGCAGCTCCTTCGACGCTTTCACTGTTGGCGAGGCGCCGTTTAACTACGCCAAAGACATGCCGCATGATGGATGGCGTGATCTTCTTCCCTTCATGATCGATACCTACAAGCACGAGCGGGCTCTGGTATCGGATGAGAGACTGGTGGTCTGGTACCGCAACTCGCTGGCCGGCGATTGTAGCAACGGCAACACCACTGGCAATACAGCCTCACAGCTGCAGCTCGAGTTCGCGCCCGAAGATGTCTCACAAGACCGGATCTACTTCACCGCGCTGCTGTCCGACTACGCGGGTGTCTCGGTTATGGTCGACGCATACGTTCACAAAGCCGAGTGGGACTTCCTACCCCCCGGCCCCTTAGTAACTGGGGGTCCTGGCCTCTACCATGGCAGTATCGCATTGACCCATGCGGAGCGGATCGAGGTCATAATCACTCGTGACGACGTCGACATTTTCTCCGTCTTCACGGTCCAGGACGTGTCTGCGGACAATTGTGTCGATGGCCTAACCAACTGGAACGCGTGGGTGGCCTCAGGATCGGGCGGCGAATTACCAGAGCCCGTCTACTCGGCCTTTGATCTGAGTGTGCAGACATGCGTGTCTGGCTACAGCGTCGATACTTTCACGGACCTATGCGAGTTCACCTGCGCTTGGGGATACTGTCCCGTCGGTGCCTGCGTATGCACCAATATGGGCATCATTCTTAAAGAGGCCAACCAGACCGATGTTGTCGGATACCCGGCCAACGGCGACGCTAACTATGCGGGGCTATGCAGCTTTGCTTGTGCGGCGGGCTATTGTCCCTCAGACTACTGCTCTCTGGAAGTTCAAGCAGCCTATGTACCAACCAGCTCGCCCTTCGACCCGCCCACCTGCACGGGGGGCAGCAGCACTAACGACAACTTCTTGGGCCTGTGTAGCTATGCGTGCAACTATGGTTTTTGTCCCCGGAACTCCTGCTCCTGCACCTCTACGGGGCCTCTCATTCAACCTCCGGCTCAGACGAGCAGCTCCGGCACCTCCCTCGTCGGGCCAGACTCGGACCTTTGTAATTTCGCTTGCACGCGCGGGTATTGTCCCAGTGGCACATGTGCTCAATCTGTCGTGGGGTACGTTCACTTTGGTGACTCATACGCAGCCGGCATGGGTACGGGTACAACGTCCACGGACGAGTGTCGCGTGGGCTCCAACAACTACGGCAAGCTGCTGTATCAGTGGTTTGACGACGAGAGCCTCTCGTTCGAGACGCTGGCGTGCTCGGGTGACACCACGACGGGCCTTTCCGAGCAGATCGACAAGTGGAAAACGTCGGACGTGGCGAATGTGGGTACGCTGACGATGGGCGGGAACGACCTCGGCTTCAGCAACCTGGTATACTACTGCGTGATTACGCCTAATATGTGGTATTCCAAGGAACAGAACCGCCAATACTGTCTTGAGTACGAGGCAACTGCCCGATCGTTGCTGGAGGACAGCAGTGATGCTGGATTAACAGCAAAACTCACTAATGCGTATCTCAAGATCCTCACCAAGTCTGCTCGAACGGTACATCCCTTCTCCTTTAACCCTTCCTCTTTTGGTTTGCTCTGAAATCTAAGAAACTTAGGACTTCAATCTCTATGTGACTGGCTACCCTGGCTTCTTCAACTATGACACTGCAGACTGCGACCTCTCAACATTCCACTACTGGTACCCCGGATATAACCAGGGATGGGCGGACACCGGCTATTACGCCTACCAACGCCTCGTACTACTGACTCAGGACCTACGTACCGAGCTCGATGCGCTGGTTGACCAGCTAAACGGGGTCATCCAGCAGGCCATCAACGACGCGAATGCCCAATACGGTGGCTCCCATATTCACTATGTCAACATACAGCCCTACTTTGACACACATCGCTGGTGCGAAAATGCGGATGCCAGCTATCACGAACCGGATCCTAATCTCGATTCGACGTGGTTCTTCCTAAGTGCCTGGGATGATGTCGACCTTGAGACAGATACCATCGTGAGTCCCTTCATTGTTCCTGTTACCTCTTCATATTCTATCTTCTGCATTATCTGATCACCTCCCACAACCCCCCGGTTCCTTCTGTCTGCAAACTGCGCTACGATAAAACTAATACACGGAAGACAACATCAGAGGCAGAAGCCGCCGAAATGGCTACCCTCATGTCCCAAGGCCCTATCGTCCTCCCCGACGCAGAAAACTGCACTGAGTCCCTTGGCACCGATCCCGATCCCTACGCGGTGGCTATGTGCCGTGTCGCTATCGCAGTCGCCGACAACTCGACTGGCTTAGAGGCCACGACTTTGGCACAAGCGAATGCGGATATTGCGAGCGGCAATTACGCTAGCCAGGCAGTTCCGTCATATTTACCTACTCGACAGATAAAGACATTCCATCCGCGCAGTCCGGGAACGATGGCGTACCGGAATGCAATTATAAATGCTATGTAGCTGCTCCAAAGAGAGCTTTAAGTTGTTCAGAGAAGAGACCAGGCCCGATTCTGGGTCTCTGTAAATACTACTCAGGAATAAAAGCTGGTGTGAGCTGGAACCCTCGATCTATCATAAATAGCGAAAAATTAGTGATAATTCATCTTATCTGTTATATCACCCATAATCCCATAGACCAAAAATAAAATCTTCAAACCCGTCACGCTGAGCTAAAATAGTGGGTTTTTAGTGCAGTGGAGAGTAGTAATATTTTGATTGGAAAAGGATATTTAGTCGCCGGAGCGCTGTGTTCATGCAATAAAGCATCCTTCTGTGGTTGCAGATGCTTTGAGTGGGAGAATGGTAGGGTGTGCGAGGTTGCAAAGTGCGCCCCATGCAGACTGGCATGAAGTGATTGGCAGATTAATTTGACGGCCTTGGTCAATGTGGCAGATTGATGGTGTTTGAGTAATTTTGCATTTGTGAGAAATTGAACAGAATGAAAGATAAGCAGCCAGTTGGAAAAGTTATGGAAGATATCCCATTTTGGCACTCACTATTTCTCTTGTGTGTTTTTACAATTTGGTTTCATTGTCAAGTAGATTATCAAGTAATACTTCAGATCAAGTTGTTTGGTCTATAAGGCAAACACTGACCAACTACTCATAAGGGTTCCCAGGCTCAAACCTTGGTACCCACAGGCCCTTTCTTTCTTTGACCTTGAGCCGCAGTCCCTTCATGATAGCGTATATCAGTTTCAGGGTCGGTGCTGGAACATTTAGCCTTTGAGCCTCGCGTAACGGCTCACCAATAAGGTTCTCGATCTCCATGGGGTTCCCTTTCTCATAATCTTGACACATGCTAGGTTTAAAGGCCGTGTCGTTTGGATCTTGATGCATGACAGCATCAACAAGATCGGCCTGTAGTATAACGCCACTAGCCTCAACAATGGCTCTAATCTCTAGCATTATGGGCAAGACCAAATCATCGATAATATGCTGGCTCATCCGCATGCGGGGCGTGTCCATGCGGAGGATGGATGCGACAGGGTTCATCGAGCCATTGTACGCAACCTTACGCCATCTTACTTTGGCGACATCGGGCTCATAGATGACATTTAGCTTGCCCTCCGGATTGTAAATGTTCACATAGCGTTTCGCCGCCTCTTCAGCCTCGCCAGCGGGGATTTCAGGACTATTATAAGCGCCGATCTTCTAACAATCATTATCATCATTGTAAATCTTTGCGAGGGCTGTTTCGGCCGCGCCTGTGTAGGCAACACTGCTGATGATAGGGTTGGTGGGAAACCGGGCAATGAGGGGCTTCTCGATGTTAATGCCGTTTTGAGAGAGGACGATGTCTGTTTTGCCGGGGGTCACAGCTGACGCAATAATTTCTTCGACTGTGGGAGAAACATCAGGGATATTTTTCGTTGTGACCAGAATATAATCGAAGGGTGCTACGTTGCTATCGGAGATGTTGGGAACTGTCTTGGTGACTATGTGCGGATAAGCTTGGGTCACTATCAGCTCTGTGTATTCACATACTGGCTGTCGGTCTCCAGGCCTTGATCTGACCCCATTGGAACGAATCGATGTCGATTCCGTCTTTCACTGCATCATCGTGGTTTGATCGCATCACGGCTGTAACTTCGGCCAATCCGCTCTTACCTGCCATGTGAATATAAAGGTTAATTCCATTCGCAGTGAAATCCCTGGGTTGCGCCAGTCCCAGCCAGGTGGGGTAATGATTGACCCCATGTCCTTAACATCGATTGCACGCGTTAATTACAACAGGAAAGCCACTCCGGCGATTGACTTATTCCTACAGTGTAAAACTAGGCGCTTTGTGATCTTTCCGCAAGGCAAACCCAGATTAGATGTATATCTACGCTTCACATGTTTATCTAGGGTTTTGCAAGGTCGCGATTGTTTGGCTTTGCAGCCCTTGTGATGATTATCAGAACCCTATGGGCATTTCATTGAGACATTGCCTTTTCTATGAAGGCAGATTATCGTAATGAAAGATATTCCGCTCATGTCCATTTGGGAGATCCATACTGTGCGGGGTCTCGAAAGACATTGGCCAATAAGGGAGCTCATGGGTCTTGAGTGGATCCTTTCGCTATTGCTTGCCAATTCTCGCGCTTACTTGCCATCGCAAATGGATATAGGTTGTTTTGATTCTTGTTATCTTCTGCAGTTTCGGTCAAGTTTCTCAACTACTTATTTAATGTTTACTCTTTCTCCGTCTCAATCACTTGAAGACTCGTGTAATTTTCCGAACACTAACGCTCTCGTTGTGATGCTGACGCGGTTGTACTCCTGGGTGCCGAAGCTCGAGATGCCAATAATGAATCTTTCACTATGACATACCCGGTCGCTAATTCTCATTGTTTGCTCTCTAAGCTGGTGAATAATCCAGCGGAAATGAAATTGTGAAGTCGGCTTCTTGCAAACCCTTGTTCAGCCTTCCCCGGGCATCCGGTGATCGACACGTTAGCGCTGAACAATGATTGGCTGATCTTATCTCCGAGCATAGGGACTTCACTCTGCAACAGAAGAATGACTGCTAGAACGGCATTGTCGCTTCTATCGCCATTAATCATTACAGTCATTTTGTCCTTGAAGTCACTAGTTAACCCACTAAGCCTTTTGCAAGACTCGCCCCGAAAACCACACAACTTTTCCTCTGTCTCGTCAGCTCATGAGAGCGTAATTACTAGACCTATTGATGAAACCCGGTAAAAGCCGCCCGTTGCAACGGAACCCATGACGCGCTCCACGGCGCCTATCAATCAGCTCACGGAAAAATCCTTCAATGCCTTTTACCGTTGTTGTGGGACTCGTCGTCATTGTACGAGGGGCTACTGCGAAGAGCATATCCTCGATTGAATATTAGCCACGGATCAAGTTCAGACAAGTCCATGGCCAAGGCTTGGCGTAGGATGATCAATACCAGATCAATAGCCAGTTGGATCACCGTACGTGGTGGGAGGCCGACTCTCTCTCGTCTTCACCACGGATAAGATTGTCTTACAACCCGAAAGATTATCAGACGCCGTGGCCGATACAGCTCACGCATCATTGATACGAGAGAGCGAGTAGATATGATCTGCGGGTGTTGACGTGGATCTTCGGAACAGCAATTAATTAACGTTGTCGCATTAAGCAATGATCCCCGACTTGTGATGCAAAATGTGGGGCGATGGATAAAGTCTTACGGACATTCCGTAACGATCTCCGAACTTTCACCGATCTCCCCTTTCTCTCATGTCCCCCACCCCCATATGATCCCGTGAAAACGTGGACGAATGAGCCTATCATTTGACACGCCCATATCTCCCGCTAGACCCTTGCATCTTATTGCGCTAAGGGTCCTGCACCCACAGCATTCTTCAACCTCCGGTTGCATGCACGGGAGCCGACCGAGAGACAGCCCCGGACTCTCCGTCCCTTCACCCACGCGCCAAATGCACAATGTCATCATTTGCGCACTTGATCGATAGCGATCAGGCGTGGGACCCAAATTCTGCGCGATCATTCCAGCATTTTGGTCCAGCACCCGGAGAGTTATCTGCGCCGCACCATGTAACTTCCGCTTCCACTGCGGATTGGGCGGATGCACCGGTCAAGAGGCCGTTCGCCAATATTATACACCCTGAAAATCCAGACGGCTCTCAGGGCAGTCAGAAGCATTTGGTCGAATCAACGCTAGACACCCAAGGGTCCTTCAATGACAGCGGGAATGAAGACGATCCTGGAGATAAGCAGCGTGATTCAAAGAGGCCACGTATGGCCATTTCTTGCTCTGAATGCAGACGACGAAAAATTAAGTGCGATCGCAATGTCCCTTGTATGGCATGCGTGAAGAGAGGTGTGCCTGGCTCGTGTAGATGGGAAAATGCAAAGGTCGAACCGTCACCACAGCCATTCGCTTTAAAAACCCAAGTGGATGAATTACAGAGGCGTCTCGATACTCTCCAGGAGACGCTACAAGTACTGCCTTCGCAGATTGCTCAAGCAGTGATTGGCGCTCAGCAACAGTCAGGTACACCTGCAACCCAATCGAAACCCAACGTCGATCATGATGTTACCACAAATATACCTCGAGAAGCAGCAACCAACAAGGCAGAAGCCAGCAGTGCCACTTCTACAGGCTCAAATGGTTCAAGAGCTTCTATTTCTACCTCTAATCCTAATCCTACTATGCATTCTAATGGTGGTGCTTCGAAGGGCGTGACCGATTTCTATGATGATGCGGCTGAAAATGCAGCCGTAGTCCTGGAGAGTATCGCCTTCAACCCTCAAGCAAACGAGCCCGGTAGTGGGCATGGGTCAATGACCTCTCACGAATATTGGAGAGGCAACATGCTTACCCCTGCCTCCGGGGCAGCATTAGCTGGGACTGCAAAAGATGACCCACATTCGAAACATGGCCAAAGCCAGCAGCAGATTCAGGAGCTCACCTCGGCCCTGACTAGCGTCATAGCACCGCCATGGGACATCGCGCTTGATCGATATAACCCTTTGTTGATGCAACAACGAGGTTTTGAGTCAGACAATCACCAGGAGCTTCTCAAAAACAGGTTTGATGCTATGCATAGCATTCTTGAACATCTACCAACTTTACGCCAGAGCTACTATCTGGCTGAACAATACAATAATATCCTCCATTGGCGGTCCCGCATTTTGCAGTGAGTTTAGAAAAATCCCGCTCCCTCATTGAATTCTCACAATCTTGCTGATACCTTGATGGTATTAAAGTTGGCCTTCTTTTCAGGCAGAGATGAATTACTTTTGGGAGATAATGGCGCAGCAGCGCCATACTGAACTCGACCCACTATGGCTGTCTGTCTTCTTCATGGTGATGGCTCTGGCACTTGACAATCGGTCAACAGCTGCAACAGGCCCAAGTCATCCTTTTCACGGATACACACACCAGAGACTCAACGAGCTCACCAGTAAATATCATGCGGTGAGCATCAAGGCACTATATCTTGGTGATGCTATGTCTACCCCACGAGTCAGAACGGTGCAGTAGGTTAAAGCATCTGAGCCTTCCACGTGTTAATTGCAGTCTAACTTCAAACAGAGCCGTAATCCTATTTAACCAATTTTTCCAGCTGTCAAGCGCCTGGAGAAAAGCCGATACCATGCTGAACTGGAATGCTTTAGCCATTCGTACAGCTCAGTTGATGGGTCTACACAGGCTAGGAAGCAATCCGGAGACGTGAGTATTACCTGTCTGGAAGATATCGCGTTATCAAAAGCGATTCTGATGACTTTTCTCATAGAATGCCTCCCGATGACCCTGCCTGGCCTCCAGGCAAGAACGCCGTCAAGCGTCATATGGGACTTCGGATCTGGATGATGTTGCAATGGGCTGATTGGATGTCTGCATCGGCACGTTTCCGCTGCTACACTATCCATCTAGATCAGTGTACATCACAACTGGTTGATAATGTCAATGACTGGGAGCTTTCACCAACAGAATGGCAGTATACGCCTCGACCCGCTCATGTCGTGACGGCCAGCTCCTTTGAGGTCTACAAATGGAATATCGCCAACATGTTGCGTCTTACTTTTGATAAGCTCATTACTTATGCTGACAAATTTTCGTACTCTACTGGTGGGTTGCACTGCTGCAGGGCGATAAAACGAGATTTGGCGCTGATGACCCTACTCATGGATAGTTTTGGAACTGGATGCCGGATACAGGAAGATTTTAGAGGGCTTGCCGTGAGTATCATCAAACCTCAGTTTACGAAGGGATCTTTGCAGAAAGCTAACGACTATATCGCTCACAGCGAAGCATATCAACGAGAGAATAGTGTGGTTGATGGCAGTGATCCTAGAATCCGCCGCCAACGAAGTAAGTTTGCCCAATGATGAATACAATGCTTTTGCAACAAATGACTAACATGTACCTTTACCACCAGATATTGCTCTAGAAGGGGTATACAACCTTCTAACCCTTTTTTTTTCACTCTGCTTCACCTTACTAAAGTGGTCTCATCCAGATACATTCCCGCATTGTGCGGCTGAACAGGCCCTTCCTCTCGCGAGGTTATGCGAAAGGCTCCAAGTTCGCAAATTCCAAAGATAACTGTCTCAACTCAGCACGCATAGTGGTAGATTGTCATTATAATCTACGTGACTTGACAACAAGTGGCTCATTATGGTAAGACATTCCAGCATGTTCTATCAAGTCAAAAACTAATGAACATTAACAACCCTTCAGGTTTGTATATTCACATACACTAAGCTCGGCTATGGTTCTATTCTTGGATCTCTTCTGGTCCATTGATAAGTATGTATTCTTGACAGCCACCGGAAAGTCATTTGTTCGAGTAGAGCTAATCTGGCCCAGTAATTTGCCTACCGCCGAAATTGATGAGAGGACACGCACCATCTTCATGGTTCGAGAAATATTTTCAATGTACAGTGAGATAAGCAACACTCCTCTGCGTAGTATTGTTGAGTCCGCTTTTCGCATCATCAGGTACACTTACCCTCACCTCTAGACACGCAAATCCATCTAACTGTATCTCACTTTACTATAGTGATCTTCTATCCGAGAGTCAATCTCGTCGATCAGCCAAGGCTCGCAGTTTCAATCAGCAACAGCCGATTCCAAAGCCTGCTTCCTTTTCTGAGGTGCTACGCCGCATATCTCGCAACATGACACTGGGCACGCGCAACACTAGAATCGAGGATCCAGGGTCAACATCCTCGTCCTCTTCACACTTCCCATCCTCAGCTTCAGCTTCTTATAACCAACAGCCTTTCTCAGATAACAGCCCCGCGAACGGCCCCGAACAACCGATGCCACAGGCATATCTCGGTGCTGGATTCTACTCAGCGCTCGGAATGCAGATGCAGGTATGTACACTTGACACCCAAAAAGCGAGCCTTTAACTGACACCAAATCTTCTAGGATGACTCTGATCCAACCTACGCTAACAACATGTGGAATCTGAACACGTCTCCTGCAGATAGCCAGTCCGATCTGTCGTTCCTCAATGTGTACCAAGGTGCTGGGCCGGACGTATCAGATCGATATGGACTCTGGCAATTCTTTGTTGGGCAGGATCTTCTTTGATCTCCTGTATGTGATAGTAAAAAATTATGATATCCGAAATGACAAGTACCCTTTCCAAAGAGAATGATTGAAATGAGGTATCATGTATGGCTTGGAACGACGTAGTTCAAGGATCTCATATAGTAGACGGACGGTATATTCGGATCACATCATTTTGTCGCGTATATCGTTTTCAATCTTACCATGGAATATACGCTATAAATAATATAATATAGATTGAATGGGCACAAATTGGTCACCGTTACAAAATAGGTACGAGTGTGGATCTGAAAGAATCCATATGGCTTGATCTGATAACGGACCGATGGACGGAATGTCCGACCTGTGGAGCGTGCCGACCCCGCGATCTAGTTGATCAATCTTAACTATGGGGCCGGCGTTCACGCTTATCATTAGTTAGTGGATCCTATAAGTCCTACAAAATTTAAGCTTATATTTGAGGGCGAAGCGGCTTAATCTACCCATCGAGCGCTTCTGGACAAGTATTTCATACGATTCTTCGTCAATGGTATGCATCCGGACTCTTGCCGACTCGGGGATGGGCCTCAATTGAGAATCAAAATCATTCATTATCACATTGAAATTCACATTAAGCATGTTAGTAATGTGCTGAGGAAAGTTATCAAGAGGGACAATTTCATAGCGCTGCTCATCCTTACGGCATCCGATGATGTCCCACAACAGTCGCTGTTGTAAGTGACATTATTCATCTCCGCGGCAACTTCAAAAACAGAGCCGGCGAAGTTGCCATCGTTGTAATAGTCAACTAGAAGGAAATTTGGTGGTCGGTCCCAATCACCTAACCGGTTAGTAAAGCTTCATATGACCATTTAGGATGAAAAACTCACTTCGACAGTTATTGGCCATCAACCCCAAGCTTCCGTAACCAGACACCGCGTTCGTCACGTTGATTTGTGCCGAGTCCGGGATCAAAACATCGAGATCATCGAAGACAATCTCTAAATTGAGGTTGTGGTTGGCCATGTACATCCGATCCTTGGCCTTGGTAGTACTTAGACCAGTGGGTCGTTGAACAGTACAAGGGAAGGACCGATTCAGCGGAGAAAAGGGCGTCTCCCACATTTGGGAAAATTCGTCCAAGAGATAGGGATATTCTGTTTGGTCGGCTTCGTAATCCATGAACACGACTGCGCGCTTTCCGGTGAGGATCATGTCTGATAAGGTTGGCCAGTCGTCTAGGCTCATTGGGATCTTCCAGGGCTCGTATGCGTAGTCGACCAATCCGGAGTTCTTGATGGGGGCGCTGAAATTCGAAGGAGAGACATAGTCGGAATTGACGATCAACACGGTGACAACATCATATGGGTTTTTCTTGATCCATTTTGTCACAGTCGTCAGATACGCCTCTAGGGTACCCATGTTAAGAAGCTCGCAGGAGGTGTGGCAGAGATAGATGTCATCTTCATAGTAGTGTGCCTCGAAGGATACTGTCTACTGTTAGGGGTACGAATCCACGTTATCAGGTAAACTACACTCACCCATCCTGATGCCGTCGTCTAGTTGTTGTGTGACTTTGTAGTCCTGGTTTGCTGCTACATTGTTCTTTTTCACAAATGGGCTGTTATGCGCGGTCACCATCGTGATGTTGGAGTACTTCCTTTCGCAGAACTCCGTATAACCATTACAGGCTTGTGTGTTTGTTGCACTGGCGGAGGAGGATGTTGCCGTGCTGTTAGAGCTACTTCCTGTCCCGACGAGAACGACATCTGTGGCAGTCGTGGAAGTTGTAGCATTGCTCGTGGTCGTGGCATTGAGCTCGGCGGATGACACGATCTCAGTTGTAGTATAGGTGATATAATCGCCAGTGGGAACGGCAACTGAGGTTTCTGAAGTGACAACGACAAATCCAGTAGTTGTGTCCGATGTGGTAGTGGTTGTTGACGTCGTATCAGTGCTCTCTGTTGTGTCTGTCGTCTCGGCCAATGTATATGCACATTGCGCCAAGATCCAGAAAGACAAACAAGGTAAGATTTTCATGGCTATCTGGATAGCAAATACTGTAGATTATGGAGAATGCCAATTTTCGGTCCTTTTTGCTTGTGGAAAGTGACGTCAACCTCGAGAGAATCTCGAGAGCGGCTCTATTGGGGATGACGCGTCCGCAGGAACCCGATCGCAGCCTATACAAATGACTTTTCCGGGGTGGGTGAAAAGCAAAGACTCAGACAGCGGAAAGGAATGAGCTGAAAACCGTGACATCTGTAATCATTTCTTTTGCTTCACGTCGACTCTAGCCGATCGGGTACTTTGCCGTGAATTTGCTGGACGCGGACTTGAGTTGACGCGTCCAGCATCCACCAACCTTGGAATAACACATGAGCCGAACACCAATGACGACTGGGCGCAATATGGAACTAGAGGAAATTTCCTCCACTGGCACTAGCCATAATCCTGCTTTGTGACCAAGCTAGCGGGCGAGACGTACTAGTTTAGCGCGCCCACCGCACCAGTTGGGGGCGTGAACTTCTGGGGCACTTAACCCTAGCAAAATACAAGTAGCAAAATCGACCCAAATAAACATCCTCACTAAAAAGGGCGGCGATTTGCTTCACCGATAAAGTTTTGGATATGTGTTAAGAGCTAAGGAGCTTTGAAACATTGAATTAAATGCGATGTCCTTCACTTAAGGATCCGTTTATGAGCTATTGCCTCAACACACGCGTTGGTTTCTTTCAGCTACTATTTGCAGGTGCTCACCTCGATGCCTACACCCAGACCTTGAAGTCTGCTGTCATGAATTATACATATTCATTAAGATACGTGCTTGAAGTCGGTAATTCAATACCTATTCAACCTTAGAAATCGAATCCCTTGAAAACGCGGCGTCAAGCTCATCATGATATTACTAGAGCATGTTTACTTCTAATCAGGGCATCAGCTCAAGTGTCCAATCCCTCCCATTCCTGGATAGCCCGACCAATTTCCAACCTCCGCGCTTCCGATTTTCTCTGCGGTAATCTAGAAATGGTGGAAATTGAGTAAATGTTCATCGGGAGCACCCGTTATGGCGCGTGCACGTCCGTGAAATCGCCTAAGCGATCACGGATTTTTATTCAGATGGTGCTACTATCATCCTAAAAAACTTGCTTCACCCCTGCAACCTCAATAGATCTAAATCCAGGCTTAAAATCAGAAGCAATCGGTTTAATTACTTAATTACTTAGGCTCTTGGCGGTCAGTGTGGGCATACTTGTGCGATCGGGTGGCGGTGGTTCTATGCAGAAAGCCACAAGAATATATCTTCCAAGGTTTACCTGATGTCAGGGACTGTCCACCCTGGGACTCCACCCCGCGGTCATCAAGCGTCAAAATAGCATTTTCATACCTCAAGTTGACAAGAAAAGGCATTACAAGAAAATTTGCTGATATTTCGTGAGCAACCTTTCGAAGGTTCCAAGGTTGAACCTCCCCTCCAGGGCTGGGGCTTGGCTTGATTACCTGGAGGGTTCCCGAACGAGCGGATTCCATACCCTTGAAGGGTTGCCCACTTGTGCGAACCTTTGAAAAACATACCTAAATAGATCACTCGAGTCTAACCCTGCCCGTCGGGTGTGGTGGAACTCCAAGGTCTAGGGCTCTTAGGTGGGCAGGTCTATGTGCGATCGAATTCTTCATATTTGCTACCTATCGTATACTCAAATTGGGGACCTGTATCGGGTATTTTAATTTACCAACCAAACCACACGAACGCCATATATGGTACATATTTATACAAGGGGATCAAACTATACATCTAGATCAGGGCCTGTCCACGGAACATACCCTCACGAACTTCACGAACAACGTCCTTGCGGTCCTTCTTGCCAACCAAGACAACACCACGACCACGCTTGCCCATACGACCGAGACGACCCAGACGATGAATGAAATCAATAGTAGTGTGAGGAACGTGATAGAGCACCACCGTTTTGACAGCCAAAGTATCAATGCCTCGGGAGGCAATGTCGGTCGTAACGAGAACCCTGGTGTTGGGAAGACGACGGGTCATTTGGGATCTCAAATCAGGAAGCTCTAGAGGGATTTCCTTTTCCATGCGATGTTGCTTTCGTGCCAGCAGAATATCCTCCGACGATGGGGGCTTTTCAACATCAGTGAATTCTGCCAAGATTTCCTGTTGCTTTCGGGAGCTAGAGTCGCGAGACAAGGAGGTGGCATCGATACCCTTGGTCTGGAGGAACTGTGCAACCTCATCCGCTTCCTCACGCTCATTGACAAACACAATGATCTTTTTGACCTTGGGCCCCATGTATTTGGAGAGAACAGGGCCGAACGTTTCGCCGTCAGTTCCATCGCCTGCCTTGCCGATTGACCAGATGACGTCAGCGCAGGCAAGCATCCGGTTTCCACGGTAGGGCTCCTTGTCAATATCCACCACACCTAGCTGAACACGTCGGGGAATGGCGTGCAAGTTCGGGGTTGTCAGGCGCTTGACATCGGGATAGCGCTTCCGAATTTGAGTATCAAGACTTTTAGGGATGGTAGCAGAGCAAAAGATCAGTTTCTTGAGCGACGGGGCGGCCTTATCCACAACTTCCATCGTAGTGGGGATGAAGGAACGATCCATCAAAGAGTCAGCTTCGTCGAGGACGAGGTGACTAACGCGACTGAGCACGTAAGGGTTGGTTTTTGCGATAGAGGCGAGAAGGTGAGGGGTCGAAACAAGAATGTCAATACCGTCCGGGTGGAAAAGAGTGTTTTTGATCCGGCGGGGTGTAAGGTTGGAGGAGATAATACCCGATCGATACTTGACAGTATGCGCAAGGGCCTTGACCTTCTCTCCAACCTGAGCCACTAATTCCGAGGTCGGTACGAGGATGATGGCTCTCGGGCGACCTTCGTTGGTCAAAGGGGCCACTTCCGGCTCTAGGTCGTATGTCCGAGTTTTCAATCTTTCCTCCCGCTCCTTTGCTTTCTCCTCCTCCAAAAGCTTTTCCTCTTGTTTATCCAATGTTTCTGCGCGCTTGACCGCATCCACCACGGGAAGCAGGTACGCCAATGTTTTCCCAGAACCTGTTTCAGCCGCAAGAAGGAACTGATCATATTGGAATTCATCGTCTGTCTCCTTGGCGGCAGTCTTTTTATTCGGCTTCTGACTCAGAAGTTGCGGAATGGCAAGTCGTTGAATCGGCGTTGGGACGACGTCCGCTAGACCGGGCAGAGCCTGGGTGAAGATCGATTGTCGAACGGCGGGGAGGAGAGGCATGTGGTCGAAGCTGGTGACGTTGGCAATTTTTGATTTGATAGCGGTTCGACGGCCGTAAGTGACCGGGGATAATGTAGTTTGCATCTTCAATGCTTTATACAAAGGGCTTTCGGGCTTCTTGGACTTGTTGTCGTCGCCGGAACGTCTGAGGGCGGCTTGGGAACGAGATCGTGGCGCATCCGGAATACGAGCTTCGGTCTGATTCATGCTCGCAAAGGGCCCAGCAGGGCCGGAGCGTTTCTTTTTCAGAGTGTGTTTTGCAACATCAGGCGATAGTGCCATACGAGAGGCCTTGCGGCGCAAACGCGCAGTAGCCATGGTTCGCGTGGCCTGCCATGTTGAGAGAACCGCTGGTGAAGGAAAAATGCTAGGCCTAGATTGACATAGGAAGCATATCGAGGAGCGAACGGGCAGAGGCATTCTGCCTGATCAACCAGATGGGATGGATGGGGGATATTGGTAAGGTGACGAAGTTGAACGGTCAAGGTCCAGATCAAGAAAAATCGCGGGTTCACGGATTCAGGATTAATTCCACACTATGCCTATCCAGGCCTAGCGTCGATCATTGAACCTGACATTCGAGGCATACAGATCACATGACCATTATCGAGGATGAGTCATCTATCTGTCGCGCCTCAAACCGGGAAAGCGTCACTCCACCTGAAACGCGTTGCCATGGATACTCCCGGCAGACTGTCAACAAGCGCAACTTGCTTTGGGGTAACAATCCACTTTCTGATCCATGGAATAGATATCGAGATCTGATCCCCTCCTCTTATCCTCTTCCACTCGTTATTCCTTCGCTTTCGAACTTTATTTTCACTCTGTGTCTGGCTTGGAGAGTTGAATGGCATTGTTTTGGTGAGGTACCTACATTCCTGAGACGATCGTCACGACTTTTACGCTTTCACGCCGGTACCTGGACTCTCTGGCGCAAACATTTTCCACGCGACTCTCGATATCCATACACTAAAGTAGGTTTCATGCTGGCCTTGGACTAGACATCAGTTATATCTGTTCGCGTCAGCGACGAGTGTCGAACCTTGACCTGGTGAACTGCGGCTGACCACAAACAACAACAGTCTTGATTTGTTTACACAAGAACCGACTGTTCCATTTGCGACACCGACAACGAAAATGGCTGGTGGACTCGGCCAACGGCCACTGTCCGAAGTGAGCCCGATGGCGCAGCGACGCAACTCCCCTAGTTGGAACCAGACTAGCAAGGTACGAACAGTGGTCGCTGATGCATACGAGCCATGTAACACTAACTATCGCTGGCAGGTGCCGAGTGGGGAGATGACCACTTGCGATGTTTCACCTAAGAACAATGGGGCCTCCCCGCACCTCTTTTGGAAGGGTCGTGAATCCCCATCTCCTTTTTCCAAGGGCGCGGAAAATCGTGCGCCTTACGACCCAGAATCTGTGTACCTGCCCACTAGACGTCCATCCCTCGAGGATTTGAAGCGGGTGTCGCGAGTGAAGAACCACAATATGTTCCGTGAAAGCGGACAAGAATACGACCCTGCGCGGGTTTCGGTGCCTCACCGGCCATTGGCTGCGGATCGGTCTCCTAACCGAGAGAGCCAAATGAACCTCGCCAAGTCGCAGTTCACGGATGAAGAAGCCGATGAAATACCGCGACCACATTCGCCTAGCAAGGAGCAGCCATCCCCGAGCAAATCATCGCTGTCCAAGGCCACTCGATACGGCAAGGGCTTTGACCCGCAAAATGATATTTGGTCCGAGTATGATAGTGCTGGTCACCGCCATGCTAAGAGTGTTACCTTCGATGCTGCCCCACCTCAGGTTAATGAATATGAGATGAGAACTCCCGATCCAGCTTCCTTGGCCTCCGAGTCCCGCGAGAACAGTTATGATTCAGAGGACTACGAGGATGTCAGCTTTGAACACGAGTCATCCGTGGAGCGTGATGACAGCTTTGACGCATCTCTCGAAGACATTGAAAAGACACCGGTTGTTTTGCCAGATGAATGGCGCTTCATGAGTCCTGGATTCGATGGAGAAGGTGACTCCTTCGCAGAGACAGTGGATGATGAAGCCGTCGAAGACCGGCCAGTCTCGCGTGGCGGTGAATCTTCGCATCACTCTCGTGTTGAGTCATTAGATTCAAATGGCGAGAGACGGCCCTTGCCACCTTTGCCCCCATTGCCTTCGGTGTCTCGTACGTCTGGTTCTCGACCCTCCTCAGCAAGCAAGACATCAGATGCCTTTGAGCTAGGTAGCGGTAGTCAACGTGGACTGCCTGCTCCCCTCGCTCCGGCTTCCTGTAAAAAGGCTGATATCGATGGAGATATGTCCCTAGAGGACAGACTTTCCCTCATGATGCTGCAAGATCAGAAGCCCTCTGGTCACGATGATAACGAAGAGGAGACAGCCGAGCGTGGCGTTAGCCCCATGCCCAAAGAAGAGGACCCTGAATCTACCCTTGAAGATGATGAGGCTGATGAACCGACCACCAATGATATTTTCTCCCCCCTCGAATCTCCCGAGACTCGATTTTGAGGGACATTCGCAAGGGGGAGAGCTACGAGGATGACGACTTTTTTGGCGATGACTCCCACATTGCATCAAGCCCTCATGCTTACGACCATTACGATCCCGATGTTCCCATCCCGTCATTGGAAAGCGATGAAGATGATGCTTCCAGTGTGATTATTAAGGAAGAAGCCCATGATGATGACTTATACGCCATCCCGGATTACTATCAGAACTCCTCGGATCACAGCCTTTCGTCTCGCGACCACCGCGCCAAATATGACGAAGACAGCAACTATTCGCTAAAGTCCGCGGCTGAAGCTGGTGCGAATGAGAACGCCAAAGGCTCTGGCCAGACTACTCCAGTCCCTGCTGAGGCGAGCCCTGCTCCTCCAGCATCCACCCAAGGAAACGAAGTTGAGAAGGCGGAGTCCCAGGAAGACCACCATCTAGACATAGCCTCTCTTCGTCAATCACTTGGTCGCCCTGCCACTCCCGAGATCAAAGAGGAGCCAATCTCGGAGCCATCCACCCCAGACTCGGTGATCCGTCATCCGATCGAGGGCGATGATGATGATGAGCAATTTGACGATGAACAAGACGTGGAGAGCTCATCGGACGAGTCTGTCCCTGAGCCGGTGGCTACTATTCGGGCCCCTGGCGCTGGATTGAAGACTCGTCCATCACTGACCCCTGCAGATATGGAGGCTATGGCCGCTACTCGCCGAAAGATTAGCGGTCAATACATCCCTCCTGTCCCTCCGATGCCGGCTTTCAATAAGCAGACCGCCAACGATGCCCAGGAGCCTGAAAAAGAAGCTCCCAAGACCGACAACGCCCCACAGCTGGCACTTCCTGCTAATCTTACCCAGCGTCAGTCTAGCTTGATGCAGTTGGACATTCCGTTCAGCATCCAGGAGGAAAGCCTTGGATCCGGCTTGACTAAGGAATTTGATCGTGTCATTGAATCTCAAAAGGTGGCGTTCAACCTAGCTCTTTCCATTCTTGATGTTTCCCCCATGCCGGTCCGCCTCATCCAACTGCTGGCTTCTCAAACCCCAGGACATTTCACCCCAGCCAGCCCTAAGTCACCAGCTAACAAAGAATCAATGAAGCAGAGAGGATATTTGATGCGACAGAACACTAAAGTCGTTATTGCCAGCAACCGAAATGAGGAGGAGCCTGCTGTTCCAATCGATTCATCCACACAAGATCCCCGTGGCACTCGTTCTGCTGGCTCATCACCCCGCAAAGCCAGCCAGCAGACATGGACAACAGAGCCCTGGAATGGACAGCCAAGGAAGCCCAGTGTGAAATTGGCAGGTGGCCTCCCGAAGAAGAAGCCGGTAGGTGGAGCTGTTCCTCCACTTCCTGGTCGTCAGAGCAATGTACTGGAGACTCCAGCCACTATTGATGAGAATGAGCCGCTTGGTCAGGAGGTCTATGAAGACGGCGAGGAACGTGGTCGCATCTTCGTCAAGGTTGTGGGAATAAAGTACATGGATCTGCCTCTCCCGCGTGGTATGTCGTCCCTTCATAATAGACTAAGACCCATCAGTACTGACTTGTGGCAGGCGAACGATCTTACTTTTCCCTTACTCTTGACAACGGCCTGCATTGTGTGACCACTTCATGGCTTGAGCTTGGGAAGTCAGCTCCCATCGGTCAAGAATTTGAGCTGATTGTGCAAAATGACCTCGAGTTTCAATTGACTCTGCAAATGAAGGTCGACGAAAATAAGCTGTACCCACAGGAGGCTGCCAGCTCTCCTCGCCAAAAAGCCTCAACTCTCAGTCGTGTCTTTGCCTCGCCTCGCCGTCGCAAAGAGTTGGACTTGCAGCAGCAGATGCAATCTCAGCAACATAAAACAAAGGACATCAATGCCCCTGTTTGGGAGCGCCTGCGCAACGTTGTTGCACGGGACGGCAGTTTCGCTCGTTCATACGTGGCTTTGAGTGACCACGAAAAACATGCATATGGCCGCCCTTACACGGTTGATGTTCCTTGCTTCAACGAGTGGGCAGTCGATGAGCAGCCCAGTAGCGTCAAGAGTAAGAAGAGTGCAACCAGCATCACTGCCCAACGCCGCCCACCTTACAAGATCGGAAAGCTGGAGTTGCAGTTGCTTTTCGTCCCCAAACCCAAGGGTGGCAAGGATGATGACATGCCCAAGAGCATGAATGCCTGTATTCGCGAGATGCGCGACGCTGAGAGTGTTGCATCCCGCAGCTGGGAAGGGTATCTCTCTCAGCAAGGTGGAGATTGTCCGGTAAGTCACTTCCGTCCTCGAGTCGACAGTCAACATCATTTGCTAACTGATATAATAGTACTGGCGTCGCCGTTTCTTCAAGCTCCAGGGCTCGAAACTGACCGCCTACCATGAAACAACACGGCAACCCCGTGCTACGATCAATCTGGCTAAGGCTGCTAAGCTAATTGATGACCGCTCATCTCTCATGCAGAAAGAGCCCAGTGGTAAGAGCGGTGGCCGACGAAAATCTGCATTCGCCGAGGAGGAGGACGGCTACATGTTCGTGGAAGAGGGATTCCGCATCCGGTTTGGCAACGGAGAAGTCATCGATTTCTATGCGGATAGTCCATCTGCTAAGGAAGGATGGCTTCGGGTGATGTCAGAGGCTGTGGGCAAGGGCTCCACCTCCAACGGTCCAATCAAGGCCTGGGCTGATCTCGTTCTCAAACACGAACGAAACATGAAGTCTCGACGACAGACTGCGGATCGTTTCCCTCCTAGTGGGATTCCCACCCCTTCATCGCCTGTCAGGCCAAGTGCAGTCATGGCACCCCCGTCTTCAGCGGGTTCGGCGGCGCCGGCGCCCCAACCCAGTCGTCCCCGCCACAAGCACACTTATTCTCAACCTGAGATGCCTAGTGCTGAAGCTCGCCGACAGAAGACTCGATCCCTCATGTTCTGAGCCCGTCTTGGAATACCTTCCCTGCACAAAAGCCCATATTCTCTTCTTCTGTCTATGATGTCAAGTTGTCACAATAGGTTTTTTTACTATTCCCCCTTTGAGGATATCATACCATACCTCGTCTCCGCATGTGCGAGAGATCCATTTTCTTTTCTCTTTTGCTCTGTTGTTTTCTGCTTTTCCTTCATGATGCGGGTGTACGATGGACTGTTTATTTTTCTTTTTGTTTTGCATTATTTTGACCGAGGCTTTGTGTGTGAGCAAGGGCAATACGACAACGCTATGACCCATCACAGCAGGACACCTCCAGATGACTCCTTTGAGATCCTGCCGTACGTTAATGAGACATACACCTGGTTTCCCCTTCATCAGTTGATAGTTTTATCTACAAATTTGCTTTTAATTCTTTCCATACGATTCCATTCCTAAATGTAGTTGAAAAGATGTTAGCAATGCTTGCCCTTTTCTTTTCCTATTCATGGCGTTATTTTTGGAAAATGATTCCATTGTTAGGGTCCAAGCTTGATTGGTAAAATTCAACCCAAGCTCAATGCAATAACTCCCACTAAGCCCGACTACTTAGACATTAACCGTAGAGTATGTTCTCACCATGGGCTATATACAGGTTCAGGAGCATTTTGACACTCAGAATGAGATAGATTCCACTGAACAGGGTCTGATAGATCCAACGCACTATACGCTTATAAATTCGTGCCGAGTCATTATTAATCCATGTAACCCCATTCTACATTACACACGCGCCCATGTCGTTGTCATTCGCTTTGCGTTTTCTTTGCGAAATGAATTTGCCAGTATTTCTCCATGTAAGACGAATATTGCGTGCTGTTCTGACAAATAAGAAATTCAACCCCGCAAGAGTAGGCAGGTATAAAAGCACTACAAGTAACCTCTCATCGAAGTGAATATAGTTCTCAACGTATAGAAAGAAAACATATCATAATCCTAATCATTCGTCATGACATCGACAGCTATTCAGATCTCGAGTGGCCACGATTCTCTCCTGGCAGAGAAAGCCACCGTCCCTCTGTTCGAGAAGCCACATCACGTTCAGACAACGCTCAACTTCTTCAAAGAAAACGAAGATGGATCTCCTCCCCTTCCGAACTACGTTAACAAGCCCCAAACATACGATAGAGAAGCTGTAGTGCTTACTGCAACCATTCGCGATGTCAGCGGCAATGAACTGAACTACTCCCTCGATGGCCAGGGATTTCAATTCTACTACCACGAAAGCAAAGAGAAAGATTTCTTGGATGACGAGCAGATCAAGCGAGAATACTACCCGGAAACAGAGCAGCTGCTCAAAGATGCGTACGTTTTCGGTTATGATGCTCGACAGCCATGCCTATCCATACCCAAACTATCCTCTAACCAATCCTATAAACAGCACCGGAGCTTCCCGAGTATTTATCTTCGATCACACAATCCGCCGGGGAGCAGGCGGTGCTCAACTCCGTGGACCCGTCCAACGTGTACACATTGACCAGTCCTACGAGGCCGCCAAGAACCGTGTTTCCTATCACCTACCGGATGATGCTCACGAGCTTTACAAAGGACGATACCAGATCATCAATGTCTGGCGTCCTATTCGAACTATACTCAAAGACCCACTCGCTGTTGCAGATGCTCACAGCGTGCCGGACAGCGATCTCGTCCCCATCAAGCTCATTTACCCCGATCGCGAAGGGGAGACCTATGCCGTCAAGCCTGATCCGGGGATCAAGTGGTATTATCGATATGGACAAACGCCAGACTTGGTGACATTGATCAAGTGTTTTGATTCAAAGACGGATGGTAGGGCGAGACGTGTTCCTCATTCTGCGTTTGTGAATCCCGATACTGAGCATGAGGCTGGAAGGGAGAGTATTGAGGTGCGGGCTTTGGTCTTTCACCCAGAGGATCGTGACTGATTATTACATATATGTTATTGGATTTTGTTTTACGAATTTGTATGTCCATTGATAATTCAAATTGAAACGAGAAATGGCAAATTGATATTGAAATGTATCTTTTCCGTCATCTAACCTGCAAGCGTATCTTCGTAAAGTCTAGCATGATGAAATTTATTTACCCACAAGACTCTTGACAGCTTCGACAATGTCGTCAGGACCAAGTCCCTGGGCATTAATCTGCTCGTACAAGCCACCACTACCCTCCTTGATAGCGCCAATAGACTTGAACTTGGGAGTCAACTTGCGCTCCAGGAGATGAGTTCCAAGACGCGAACCGAGGCCGGTCTTCTGGGCAATAGACTCAACAACCAGGACGAAGGGAGAAGATCCGTAGTGCTTGATAGCTTCCTCGTCAACCACGTTGAGAGTAGGCTTGTTGATCAAACCAACATCCAGACCGGATTGGCGGAGACGCTCAACAGCATCTAGGGATCGGTAAAGCATGTCACCGTAAGAGACGATGTAACCGGCAGTTCCCTTGCGGATAGTCTCCTCCTTACCCGGCACGAACTTGTAATCACCTCCATAGAGCTTCTCATTGGTGCCCTCCTTGAGAATGTAGGGGACCTTGGAGCGTGTGGAGAAGATGAATCGCATGCCAGTCTCCCAGAACACCTTGTTCACCACGGCCGTCATTTGCTCGCCATCGGCGGGGAAATACAAAGAGGTGGACTCAGCATCCATCAGTCCGTTATCAGCGAAGAAGTGGTTCAGCCCGAAGTGGCATGTGTTGTCTGCCATCTCATCGACACCACTGTGCGAAAAGTGGGAAAGAACGGTACAGCCGTTCAGGCGTGCCATGGTGATTTCAGAAATGCACATCTCCAGGAAAGCAGAGAATGTCGAGAAGACACCTTGGCGCGTGCCATCACTGCCAAAGCCGAAACCAGCGGCAGCGGAAAAGTTGCCTCGTTCCATCACTCCTGATGGCACGAAGACTTCTGGGTGCTTGGACTGAATGGCCTTCAACCCAGTCGAGCCGGCAAGATCAGAGTCAATGACCATGACCCGACGTGCGGCCTCTTCCTTGCTCAAGCCGTCAAGGATACCGTTGACTGCTTCACCGAAGATAGAGCGGTTGGCACCCTTGTCCTTGGTAGAGCCCTGGTACTGGTGTGGGTTGGATCGGCCCTTGATCTCATCGTAGAAGGCAAGCTGCTCCTTGCTGTAACCACGCTTGGTAAGGTACTTGCGGGCAATATCGACAGTAATGACATCGTGGGCATGGGTTTCACCCTCGATACCCTCAATGCCAGTAGCCATCGTCCGGTCCACGATGACAGCGGCGGGACCATTGTGGTTGATAACCTCGCACACGGCCCCATACAGCGAATCAATGTCCTCGCCTTGAGCACGCACCACGTGAAGGCCGTGACCAGTCAGGGTTTTTCCAACATCATAGCCCTTCTGGTATTGTGATGGATGTCCCGCAATAGTAACGTCGTTGTTATCAACAAACACCTTAACATTCAAGTTCCTTGCGACAGCGATCCGTGCCGCCTCAGCATCATTTCCTTCCATCTGAGATCCATCCGAACCAAGCATAAGCACGCTCTTATCCTTGTTGGCCATGGCAATACCGTTGACCATGCCCCACATGTGACCGAGACGACCGGAGCTAAACTTCACGCCGGGCGTAAGACCAAGTTCAGGGTGGCCAGGAAGCTTGGAGTCGGCATCGCGGTAGTTGAGGAGGTGGTCGGGGGCAATTTTACCATCTAGGGCTGCTAGGAGGTATTGTGTGGCCACTCGGTGGCCGGCTTCATCGAAAAGGGCGTCGTAGAATCCATTGGGGTTCGCGTTCATGAATGCGAGCAAAATACAGACTTCTGGAGCAGTGTCATATGGGCCTCCTGTGTGGCCTGAGACACCGCGGGCGGCACCTGTTGCCGTGAAGGCGATGATCGCATCTCTGAAGACGTTGATGTTGTGCAGGAGATCCTGCTTTTGCTCGGAAGTAAGACTAGTGTTTTTGGAGTCCAGCTTCAGCTGCTTGAACTGCTTCAAATCGACGGGGAATTTGTGACTCGACATTGTGAAAAATTTTGTTGTCAAACTAGTCAATGGAGGGGCAGATAGTGAGTTTTTTAAAGAGAAAAGGGCTTCACCGGAATTAAAAAGTCTCAGTTGCTACAAAAAACCGGATGCATTTTACTGAGGGGGTGGTTGACGTCATAGAGAGCTGCCAACTACAGCTTGGTGGGGTTGAGCGTACATGATTGGAATCCGATAGCCTGTACATGAGATGGATTATTTCGGATTATTTCATCATGACATAGACAATGAAGATTGAACAATTTCTAAGCTCTTTTTATAATCCTACATCCACTAATTTAGTGCACGAACCCTGTGCATCCGGCCCACACCCAAAACCTGGCTGGCCGTGATCTAGCGACCGAGGGCTTGATTAAATTCCAATCTATGCCCTTCTAGCAGAGAATGAAAATTTGCAGAACATTGTTGCGTGAGATGAAATGCTACGAAATTTGGTTATTCTATTCATGTTGACTTTGTAGTTGAGTGGGGGCATGAGGCTACAAGTGGGGACATACAGAGATCTTCGGTATATTGAAGAGAAAGGCCATGGAATGTAGAAATCTTACCGCAATTGATGAGTATTATTGGACAGAGAGAAACTCAATTGGGGTGTCAACATACACGACTGCTAGGCTCCACGCCCCCTATTTTTGTCATGCCAATTCAGCAACAAGCTAATCATCGTCACCTTCAAGGAATTGGCCCACTGATAGTTGATTAACAAAGGATAGTGATATTAATACATTCATATATTACTCTATTGTAGTCATTCAAACTCTAAATAACTTCTCGGACATGCGCCGTTATCTTGAGCGCCATAGAGAAGATAAAACCGACATATCGGTTGACTTGCCCCCTGTCCGGCATTGACTCCGGCTCTAAGCCGGGTCTAAGCATTTCGGTGGACGCACGTCGCTCATCTGGACTGCAGAAAATAGGAATGATGACGCGGTGGATGTAATCACTAGAAACAAGAACGGTTAAGCTTCACTCTACTTAAATAGCTCGCCGTTTCTGCCCCACAAGGTCACAACCATGGAGAGTGCTTATCAGAGGAATTTCATACTAAGCAGATATCCTCCATGTGCCAATATTAGAGGTTACAATTGATCAAAGATAGAGAAAAATCAAGGCACATTTCAAATTGTTGTCCTTTACAAACGGAGTAATATCCAAATTGATACAAGCTTAATAGTTCCGGTGGAACCCCCGCATGAACCCACACCAACTCCCGTTCTCCCCTCCACTAATCCCGAAGTACATCCCCTTGCACTCTCCATCAATCATGTCCTGCAGATCCCCCAGTTCACAGGGAAACTTTCTCTACCTCCACCGGCAATAAATGAGTGGTGGCAAAAAGAAACCCCGTTCATATGATCAGGACACGTAAATCGCGGAACGGCCCGTGCTCCTATTGGCATGAAACAGCAACCTTCACTGGTCGGATGTGATTTACGGATCGAGTGTTGCTCCGGATTCGGTGGCGCGTAGTGGCGTTTCTTAGCTCAGAGTGAATTGAAACCATCAAGGTTTCAGTTCTTCGGAGGATATTCTTCCTATTCGCTAGTTCCCCTGGATTTCCTCAAGAATCCCCATATTTACTTGAATTCTTAGTCAAGAATGAACAATCTAGCCCTTAATCAACCTTGGTGTTTGACCACCAATTACGACTTCGCGAGTTAGTGTGGTCGCTTCGGGATTGGAGGATAATCGACTGCGTAGCGTGCGTGATGTCGGGTATTGCGGATACTGGACTTGTTTATCAATTGTCCGGTGCAGGGTGATGGGTCCGGGTTGGCTATAAAACGAGTGAATCCCTCGGTCAAGCTCCAGGAGAAAGCAAGCAGCACAGTATCATTGACAAGAAAGCATAATATCCTTAGTCACAATGGCCAAGCTCATCACTCCTCTCGTCTTGGCGGCATTGGCTGCTGGCGTTGTGGCTTCGCCCGTTGCCGAGCCCGCCATTACTGAAGCGCCAAGCCTGGCCAAGCGAGCCACCAGCTGTACGTTCTCTGGTTCCAACGGAGCTTCCAAAGCCAGCGTTTCTCAAAAGTCGTGCTCCACCATCATCTTGTCCGCTGTTGCTGTGCCTTCCGGAACTACCCTGGACCTCAGTGACCTGGAAGATGATACTACGGTATGTACAATCTGAATGCGGTCTCCTCAAGCCTTGTGCTAACGAATTTCGATAGGTCATCTTCGAAGGCGAGACAACCTGGGGCTACGAAGAGTGGGATGGTCCCCTGCTCCAAATCTCCGGAACTGGCATCACTGTCAAGGGTGCGTCTGGTGCGTACCTGAACGGTGATGGATCCCGCTGGTGGGACGGTGAAGGAAGCAACGGCGGTGTGACCAAGCCCAAGTTCTTCTATGCTCATGATCTTACCGACTCAACCATCACCGATCTCTATATTGAGAACACTCCCGTCCAGGCTGTCAGCATCAACGGATGTGATGGACTGACCATCACTGACATGACCATCAACAACGAGGCTGGTGATGACTTGGGTGCCAATACCGATGGTTTTGATATTGGCGACAGCACTAGTGTCATCATCACCGGTGCAAACGTGTACAACCAAGATGACTGCGTTGCAGTGAACTCGGGCACGGTATGTCTAACGATAGCGGCCAGCTTCTCCATCCAAATACTGACATGATTGCAGGATATTACTTTCGAGAACGGTGTTTGCTCTGGTGGACACGGACTGTCGATCGGCAGTGTTGGCGGCCGCAGTGACAACACTGTGGACACCGTGACCTTCTACAACAACGAAGTCAAATCATCGGTTAACGGTGAGACATCCCGGGTTTCATGAAGTTTGCCTTGTGTCTAACCCAAAATGAAACTAGGTATTCGCATCAAGGCCACCGAAGGAGACACTGGAACCATCAAAGGCGTCACTTACAACGAGATTACACTTTCGGATATTTCCAAGTAGGTTGATATAAGAACCTGACATTGTCAGCAGTTGTACTAATTTGGAATGACAGATACGGTATTCTCATTGAGCAGAACTACGACGGTGGCGACCTTAAGGGAACAGCTACTAGCGGTGTCCCCATTACTGACCTTACCATCGAGAACATTTCGGGCGCTGATGCCGTTTCCTCGAGCGGTTACGACGTTGTCATCGTCTGTGGAAGCTCTGGATGCTCTGACTGGACTTGGTCTGACGTTGATGTCACTGGCGGAAAGACATACAGTGGCTGCACGAACGTTCCCAGTGGAATTAGCTGCAGCTAAATAACATAGGGCTTCATCTCTATCGCTACGCATGCAAATCCGCAATTAGTGATATCTGGCCTCCAATTATCCAGGTGGTAATGGAGACAGCAGCTTGTATATTGTTTGTTGTTATTTTATTTTCTCTTAGTATGCCAATATAATCTCACCTACTTGTTTACGTGTTATCTATTCTCTTCTTTTTTGGCGGGGCCTTCTGATTGAACGCCTTCACCGACCGACCTTAAAGTAGCGCAGTAACTAAAACCCAGACAAACCGCCATCTCAATGAAAGGCATACATATCAGTCTGCCAAGCCTAAGTGGAAATGCAGGATCATGCTTCACGCGAGCCGTAATAACGACCGGCAAAGGTGCTGGCTTTGTGGGCATCCCACCTTGATCACCTTCACATTCCAGGGTAGTCTAGTGTGATCCAGAAAACACCCGCTTTTTTTGCTTCAAGGGTAGTACCCTAGAGGGTAGATAAATATGTCAAAAAATTGGGGGGCCAAATTAATATACATGCACACCAGACAGGGCTGAACGGTATTTTTACGTATGATCTTCCGATCGGCACTAGAAAGCTAAAGTGGACCGATCTACCACAATAGAATCCTTGTGGAGACAAGGTACATGGAAAATCTCCCGCAAAGCGAACTAAGAACACTCAAATCAAGCTTAAAGAAGCTCTTTTACACAAACACTCACCTGTGTACCGTGGCCCCGTGACCCACTAAGCCAGCCTTGCGACCCCACTGCGCGAGCCTTGCGACTTAATATAATCGGCGTCAATCCTTCAAAGTCCTTCCCCTCAGTCTCCTTTCCCTCGGCAATCATTCCTTGCTCGCCCCCAATGTCTGACATGTTGAGCCCAATATTCAGGCTTCTTCCATCAAAGAGTCAGCTTCTCATCCCACCGCCCCTGCTGATCGGCATTGGAGCTCTAGGATTCGTTGGCCTTTGTTCTCGAGTCAACTCGTACCTATCCAGACGAGCTCTTAATGGTGTGACAGCAACACTGCCCTGGGACTCGGAGCGGGAGGTCGTCGTCGTGACAGGTGGCTCCAGCGGAATCGGTGCAGCAATCGTTGAGCTGCTAGCGCACAGGGGTATAAAGACCCTCATCCTGGACGTGACAGAACCCCGAGAGGAGCTGAGTATGACAAAACATCTCCCGCGATCTCAATCACAGGTGAATATCACTAACGATGGCAGGATCGAACACATTCTTCTTCAAAGTCGACCTCGCCAAAGCTGAGGCAATAAAATCAATTGCAACCAATATCCGCTCGGAACATGGAGACCCCACAGTCCTTATCAACAATGCAGGCATTGAATTCAACAAGCCTTTATTGGGCCTCGAAGAGTCTCAAATTCGAAGGACTTTTGATGTCAATATCCTCGCTCACTTTCTGCTTGTCCAGGAATTTCTACCAGCGATGGTATCTCTTAACCACGGCCACGTGGTGAGTGTAGCCAGCCTAGCGTCATTTACCACAAGCGCTATCAATGTGGATTATGCGTGTACGAAATCTGCTGCTTTGGCTTTTTATGAGGGACTAAGTCAGGAGTTGAGGCATATTTATAATGCTCCTGGCGTACGGAATTCGTGAGTTGCCCGGTCATCGTTTGATTCGAATTCACCTTGCTGATAGTGACGATGTCAAGTATTTTTCATCCAGGTTGGGTTCGGACTCCGTTAATTCAGAAAATGGTTGATAGTGGTGTCCGTGATGGACAGATCCTTGAGCCGAGGGATGTTGCAGAGAAAGTTGTTAACCAAATAATATCGGGATTGGGAGCTCAGGTTTTTGTCCCATCAAGCCATTGGATATTGCCGTTTGTGCGGGCTTTGCCTTGTTGGGCCCAGGAGGCTATCAGAAATCAGCTTTCTGTGAAGAGGATAGCTGCGCTGACCTGAGTCAACACGTTTACTGGGTAGCCGATTTTCCGAAATTGAGTCAACTTGGAGCGAGACCGGGGACCAATGAATGCCGTCCTTTGAGTCGCAGCTCTCACTCGGTATCATGGAAGAATAGTTGACTCAAAGTTCATTCAAATGCTAATGAGAAGACATGTATGTACCTGAAGTCTAAGGATATTATACAGTATTATATAGAGGTAATATCATACCTAGTATTCCTGTTGATCATTCCAATAGAGCGTACCATGCTGGACCTCTCCCATTGGCTCAAGTTTCCACCTCATGACCAACCGCGTCCACTGCAGCAAATGGCTTGCTAGTTTGATGTGGCCCACATCTGTCGGGTGGTTCTTCGGGTTGATATCATTGTGTTGAAGGATACCGGTGGTATCGAAGTAATAGACGAATCCCCGATCCTTGAAGTGTTGGTGTACTTGCTTTGCCTCTTCTTCGTAGACCATGTTCGGGACATAGGAGAAGCCTTTTTTCTCCCATACTCCCCATTGGGACTGATATAGTTAGTAAAAATGGGCCATGGGAGAAGATTATGGTGCGAGTAACTCACCATGATGAGAATGACGGCGTGTGGCCATGTGCTATGGATGTCCTCGATTAGGTTCACGTAGGCATGATAGAAATCTCGTGGGGGGATCTCATTGGGGTGGCGGTGGTCGTTTCCGCCTAGTTGGATGATGACAAGATCGGCAGGTTGCTCGGCGGAGTTGTCGAAGATTTCGGGGTCTTCGGGGTAGAAGGCGCGGGATCGGCTGCCGGGATCTGATGCACGGTGCCAATACCAAGTCTATTCAGGCAGGTCAGTCACTTTCTAAACTGGTGTGAGATAGACGACATACCATTCCGTGGGCACTGCCACCATAACATTGCTTGTCTACCAGGCAGACACCAGCATACGACTGGAGTTGTGAATTTAGTAACGGGTAAAGTCAATATAGAGTGTCCAGATCAGATGAACTCACAGTGAGAGTATGCTCAACATTGCCCAGGCCAGCCACAAAGAGATAGGCCCAAGACGAGAGAGTTTCATAGGAGCCATACTGTCCCGATGCAATTCTATAGCCAACAATCAGAAGATGCGCTAGACCTAAACGCTGACGAGTTTACTCACGATCCACCGATGACTTCCACCTTTTTGGCATATCTTGGTGGGATGGTGAGTTCAGCCGAGCTGGCCGTGGATACACCGGCTATCTGAACTGTGCGCAAGATCAGCAAGTGAAATAATAATGAGAATGACATCACTTATCCAATGCCCCAGTTCGTCACTAAAGAAGTGTTAGCTGCTGTGCAATAATCCCAAAGCACGTGAACATACCTCTCATCTCGAAGAGCTTCGGCACGTCGACCATATCGTCACCCAGCTCTGACCATGGACCAATAAATTGGTAAGTAGCATCCGCAGTCACATTGGAAAATTGCCAGTCAAGGGAACCAAGTCTATACGATATTAGCAACGAGCCTTAGGAATTTGGGTCGCGACGCTTTTTACCTGTATGCAACAAGCACGCCATCACTTGTGGATGGCCCGAAACTAATTGCGAGCTAATAAAGTACTGAGGTCAAAATATTGAAATTTAAGATTGACATTATGCCAAGACATACCTTATTCCCCGAGAACTGGAGCTTGATTCCGGGTGCTCTAGTGATGGAGGTAAGACGTTAGATTTCAGTGAGATAAAGCGATAAGGGGCCTAGCACTCTAGCACAGCTACTGTGTTACGAGATTGGGAAGACACACGACCACCCTGCACCCATGTTAGAAGCGATCATATAGAATCATCAAAGTACGTACATGAAATATGTTGACTGTCCCATCGTCCCTTGTAGGCGATCTCCGGCACATCGGGCGCATAGCTATGCCAGGAGTCGTCCAGGGAAATCACCGGTGCTTGTCCGGGGTACGGGTCCTCCTTCGCTTGCCCGTTCTGCAAGATCGTGGCCGAAGCCAACGACCACAACAAGGTCAAACCTAGATATACAATTCGCATGGTCGGGAACCTGTTGATGCGATGAGAGTAAACAAGGTCAAGAGGCACGAGGTCAGTTCTCCATTCTCGAATGTGGTCAAGAATACTAATAATGGCGTGATGGGATCCACACGCGTAATTCCCTCTTTCTTCCAGGGGAAAATGCAAAAACCCCCCAGCAATGAATAAGACCCGATAAAACCGAAACTGTCCGCTCCCGGTTACGTTACATGTCTATTCCCGTGAATGAGCCAAGAACTACATCTGGACCAACGAAAGTGGCGCACTGCATTCGTACGAATCAATATCGGGGGATGGATCCCGCCAAGTATTAGAAGAGTGGGTGGCCTCAGGGGTCATATCCCACGAGCGCCACCAGCCGCCGCTGGGCGCCGGGAACTCGGCTATAATGTGTGATTCGCTAAGAAGTCAGGAAAAGCCAATCCAGACAAGGGCTAGGTATTTTCCAGGTACTAAAAAAGGGGGGCGGTCGGAGACCCTGCGCGCCCACAGAATGACGGGATTGAAAACCCAACGCGAAATCGCAATTGGGGGAACAATATAAACTTGGCGACAGGCAGCAGAGAAAAAAGCAAGCTGAGAGTCTGCGAAGTACATATTCGTCCATGCATCCTGCCCACTTTGGCTGCGTCGTTCAAACGACGATCTTGTCAATCTTTCCGCGAGATGGACCCTGAACTGGTCTCCACCCCGACGTATCGGAGGCCGGAACGAAAGAGAAGGGGGGGAACGACTTGGCCCCTGCGAGCCTATGAGGATTTAGTACCCGAAACTGCTTTGATCCTTTCGCCTGGATTCCCGTAGGGCTTAGGGAATTTCACGGGAGTCCGACTGGTGAGGCAGTATATGCATCGAAAGTTTTTCGTCCTACACTAGTCAAGTAGGCTTGACAAAGTATTGTCTGCCTTTTCAAAGTCTGGCCCCCATCATTCGTTTCCGTATCGCGGACCTCTTTTTGTCTCACATACTCAGGGGGCTGACATTGATTTCCTTCTTTTTTCTTTTCCCCAAACCCTGAATTTGGGGACGCCAAGAGCAATCTTTGACTAACGGTCCTAGTCCGACCGGTCCAGCTTCTTGGCGAGAGATAACTTGGTCCCGTCTGAAATCAACCCAGAACTAGGACCTCACGATTCAGCCCTGTAGATCGCAGGGGTTCGAAGCAAATGTTGCGTTAACACGAAACACCAAGACCCCAAGCACATTATACCCTGCATTCCGAATAAGAAATTAGTGAAAAATTAGTTTTGCATGAGGCGTGATTGCCAAGCCCCGAATGCGGTATTATAATATCGTAATCCATGATACGGGAAGCTCTGATAGGGTTCAGCGGCCTATCGGTTTGCCCCAGGCCCATCGCCGATCTCGTTTGACAAAGGATGAGGTCAAATCGCGTCATTTGACTTCGACCTCATGCCATCGTGGTATCGTAAAATGAGGTTTCCAAGGTTCGCCTGTGAGACATAATCCGCCCATCTCCCTGTACGAAAACGACTTCGTTTAGGGGGCCTGATGGTGGGGAAATTGAGGAGCAGACGCTTAGAATAAATTCGAAGGCAAAGCCAAGACAGAGGACCCTTTTTTTTTTTTTTTTTTTTTTGGAAACAAATCACACCCCACGTTGTCCATGCGGGCTCGGGGATCCATCGCGCCAGTCATTTTGGTATTTGTGTTTCAATCGAAATCTTGCGCCATTCGCGCAGGCTTTTGCACATTGCTGGAGGCGCGGCGGGGATTCATGTTGATTGGCAGGGATCCATTCGTTGTCAATTGAGCTCGTAGGCTAGTATCGACTATTAATTTCATCCCGGGAGATGGGATTTGTGAAGCTTTTATCCGACTCATGAGCTCGGGCATAATATCCATTTTGGAGCCATGTATACGAGCTGACAGCGGGTTCCAGCGAGCGGATGAGACGGATCCCACTATAGCTTTGGAGGCAGTGGATGTATCCTTCCGGATAAAACAGTGATCGGTGCCCATGTATTGCAAGACATTAATGGAACCTCCCACTATCGACACTACTACGCTATCCAATGAGATCCCCAGTGGAGAAGAGCACAGTCGTTGCTTCAGAGCACAATTGCCATTCTCCTTCTGGCAACTGATCTACCCCATGGCTGTGAAAACCGAGCCAAGGATGCATGTGTTGGGTCTCATGCATCCCCACTTGCGGGAACCTCCTATCTTCCGCCCTACTGCTGTAAATTACTCAAAACCCCCAAGCCTACCCACTCTTCCTGCTTTGTCCAGGTCCGTTCTCTTTCGTACCAGGCGTATTTAGATCTTGGCGCTTCCTTCTTGAAGTTATTGCCGACCCTCATTTCACTCTTTCTTTCCTCACGTCGACTTGCGACCCCCTCAGTCGTTTCCTCATATTTACCTCACATTCCAACATTCCCTTGCGAGGTCTCACCCTTCTGGTCAAGAGGTAGATGCATCGATGACTGATTTCTGATCCGATTTCATTCTTTTTTTGATTCGCTTAGCGACTACAACAATCATGGACTATGTCCAGCCGAGTCACCTCTATACTCGGATCCTGGAGAACCTTCCCTGGAAATCCGGTGACCCAAATGCTAAGGGTGACCCAAGGAAAAGCGTGAAATGGATTGATGTAGGTTGATCTCACTAAATTTAAATCTGAGATTCATCAAACTAATGTATTGATCAGGGGTTGAGAGGTATTGCCTCATTCCTGGTGGTGATGACCCATCTGGCCCGAGCATGGGATTACGATCTATTCGCCCCTCGGGATGATGTCGATCTCCCTCCACGCATCCTCCAGTGGCCTGTTTTCCGTATTCCCTGGCAGGGACGTCTAGGTGTCACCATCTTTGCATTTCTCACAGGTTATGTCTGCGCCTTGAAGCCCATGAAGCAGGCTCGGAATGGTGATCACCTGGGTTCGTTTACGTCTGTTGCCAAGAGTGCCTGGCGTCGTCCACCTCGTCTCATTTTCCCCGCCACCATCGCCTTGATCATCTCGTGGGTGATGGCGCAGTGTGGTGCTTTCATTGCTGCGAACCGTTCAGACTGCTGGTGGTGTCGTTATGCTGCTCCCGATCTGGAGGACTCTCTATGGAAGGAGTTTATCCGTCTGTTTGAGAACTTCTTGGGCGTGTGGACAACTGGATACATGGCATATGACGATCACCAGTGGGCCCTGCTGCCATTGCTTAAAGCTTCGATGCTTGTCTATGTTATGATCTGCGCTGTCCAGTTTGTCAAATTCCGATGGCGCTTGGGTATTTACCTCGGAATGCTTCTGTACTTCCACCAGGACGCGGCCAAGAACACAGGTAATTTGGTCTAGACATGGTTAATTCTTTCACACGGCTAATATGAATGATAGAAACATTCCAAATGCAAGCCATCTATGGCATGGCTCTTGCAGACCTTTCCTACGAGATGCCCTTCCGAGAGTTCATCGAAAACCACAAATGGCCTCGCAGAGTCGTATGCACCCTCCTCGCCTGTGCTGGTCTGTTAATCTGCTCCTACCCCGGCGAGCATCCAGAATGGGCCACGTGGTCCAACTACATGTATGAGCTCGCACACTACATCTTTCCCCCAGATGTCAACATCGGGAAGCGCTACTCAGCAATCGGAGTCGACCTCATCATCTTCGCAATTTACATCTCGCCCTCAACCAAAGACTTCCTCTCCAATAGCCTTCTCCTTTGGCTCGGCAAGCAAAGCTTCGCGGTCTATCTTGTCCACGGCACCCTTCTCCGTACAGTGCTGTGCTGGATGCTCTACGGCATCACCGGCCAGCCCTGGGATGGTTATCCAGTTGATGGAAATGGTCAACCCCTGCTAGATGACAAGGGTCAGCCGCTCGAGCCTCACTGGATCCCGATCCGCCCTCCGTGGGTCGTGGCTATCTCAATTCCAGCGTGGATTGCGTTGGTCTACCTATGCGCGTCCCTGTGGACGTCGTACGTGGATCCCTTCTGTGCGAAAATGACGCAGAAGTTGGAGAAGATCATGTTTGAGCAGGATGAGAAGTCTGCCGAATCTTTGCCTCTTAACTCCATGCCGATGACCACTGCATAGGCAGTGTGTTTGAAGCCATCAGTTCTCTTTCATTCCTGTCTATATCGTGTTGTACGTTTAAGTTATCGGACGACTCTGCATTTCGAGCATTTCTGATGAAACGAAGCGGCTTGGAGTTGGGTTGTTTTTATTTTCAATGTATATATATTATTCTTGGATACTTTCTTTTCACATACTTTTTTTGGGAAATACCATCTACCAACAATCTTTCTCGATGGTTCCTTGGTTTGTTGTTTGAGATTAATGTTCAGCCCGATCGCCGAGAAACGGCTCGGAGTCCGACCATGGCCCGTTGCTCAGGTACAGGAGCTGTAACCTTGAATGATCTGCGCAGAAAAAACCGAGGTCCAAGGGTGACACTGAATTCAGTTTTCCCTATTATCTCAATGAATCTTTACCCGAAGAAGGGTGTCGATCAACACCGCTGGGCAAACGACGTGCACATTTGGTGGCATCAAACCAATCCTGAAGAAATCAAGTGAAGCAGTACACTTTATTTGAAACAACAACCTAGGAAATGCAAGACCGACAAAGCACAAAAATTCTCATTTTACCGCCCTTTGAACATGTTCGAGCCGATATTTCATTTCGTCAAAACCTACAGTTTTCATCTCCAAAAATAGCTCAATCCAGGACCTCGTTCAGTTCCCCCCGCTGCAAAACCTCAGGCACCAACAATAGATCCCCAGGATACCTCGTATCAACGAAAATTCGTCATATTCAACTTCGTGCGCTTTGTTTTGGCCGATGGGGATGCTGGTATTTTGACTGTGCTTTGACACGATCTAGACACAATCACTAATGAGCCCCGACATCTCGTTTAGTATGTCGCAAAACCGTACAATTCTAAATGGCAATGGAAACTGCACAGGATGACATCTATAACAGTCGAACTGTCCTGACTATCACGTCCACTGTACGGGCTCTTGGAAGTGGTCAAAGCATTGTTCATTTGTGATAGACCAAGAAGCGTCAATGAAGTCATGCCGGCTGCCAGAAGTTAATTCCAATGATATTTCCAATAATGTAGATAAAGTCAATTTCGGAAGCATATACCATGCGGACTACCAAGCCTGTTCCTCAGCTCGAACCTAGGTTTGACTAGAACTGAGTCAAGGTCCTTAAAAATACTTTGGGCTATCAATCTTATCTCAGGCTGTCAAGGAATATGACATGCAACGGTGAACTCGTGGGTGAGCCTGGGTCAGACAGCAGGGATGTATCGAAAGGACTATGTCTGCATAAGCCTCTCCAAATGCCGTGTTACATTGCTTAGCGTAAGCCAATCTCTTTCTGACGGTTCGGCCGCGAAAGGCAAGTGGGTATCCTTTTCTTCATGATGTTACTTCGGTTTCCCCGGGTTCCAGATAAACCCCGCATTGGCCAATAGTGTTTGCAGACACACGGGCACGTGGTGGGGCCGAAACAGGGTCCAGGGTCTCAAGGGGCAAGTCAAGCTGTAATGAAAGCATAGTTGGATGCGTGGCTTATTTGAGTCGAGCACAGATAATGGAAATAAATCCCCATGCTATATGTTCTCTTTCGAATTTTGGCTTGAGGTGTGATGCGAATGGGCTAAATGAGTTTCTTCGATGATATTATCTGAACATACTTTAGCTGAGCAGCATGCTTTCTTCAGCGCAAACAGCAAGTTGGAACTTAGCGCCACTCGCTAGCTATCTCTAGGCTTATGCGCCCTCTGATGATTCAAAGTAAGAAAAGGAATTACCCCTTCGGGTTAGCTTCAGCTCACCATGCAGGGACCGGGAATCAGGGACGCCCCGTTCGAGCATTCAAAACAGCATGTGAGCTCGTGGCAAGCCTTGTGAGGACTAGCATAGCAGTTTCATATCCACAAATGTGGGCCCTCTAATTTCTGACAAGAATTATAAAAGAGCGGCTTTGCCTCACTCAACAGAGTAAACAGCCAGTGCCTTGGATATTATCCTCAACAACAGTACGTTTGACCAAATGGCATTTATATTCTCTGTCTTAGTGGTATCTTTGGCTGTGGTCAACCCGACGTTCGCTCAGAGCGTTGATGGTTCGAAATATAACAACCCCACTGCTGGACCTCCTGCAAGCTACTTTGCGGCTGCCACGTCTATCCCCGTTGCTGCTTTGAAGAGTGCTGCTGCCAAAGCTAGCACGGCTGCAAAAGATGCAACCTATCCTATTAATAATAGCGGTGGTGCTGCTAAAGTTACGATTCACAGTGATTGGTCCAAGTTCAGCGAGGTAAGTTGACCTCAAAGCTTTCCGAGAAAATGTGATCGAGTTACGATTAACGGCGGAAATAGGGTGCTGCCTTTGTTTGGGTTGCCGATATGGATGTTGACTGCGATGGTATCGATTATAAGTGCAAGGTAAGTAAATCTATCATTCTCAATTTAGGTCGATGGAAACTAAAAGGTCTGCATAGGGAAACCAAGACGGACAGTCTGAGACCAATTTCGGTGCTCTGGCCGCCTATGAGGTCCCGTGGATTGTGATACCCGACAAGTTTGGCACTACTTATCAGAGTGTTCTTCCAGGAAATAACGTTGGTGCGGTGATTTGGTAAGTGACCATGCTTTTGAATGAGAAAAACTTCAGAACTAACGAAATTTTAGCGATGGAAAGATGTTTTATGGTATTTACGGTGACTCTGATGGCGATGATCCCGAGGTCATTGGAGAGGCTTCGTGGCTCATGGCCAGGACGTGCTTTCCCAACGATGATTTGAATGGAAACGCCGGTCATGGTAGCGTCGATGTGACATGTAAGTTCAGGAAACGGTTTATGTGCCTGTGCACGAGGCAGAATGCTGATCGTATAAAGACATCTTATTTACGGGTAAAGACGCCATACTCCCAAGCAGTGCGCTCAACAAGAACTATATCACCAACTTCAGCACTCTGCGGTCTATGGGTGATAGCTTAATGGGCTCCCTTGCGAAGAATTTGGGCTTGTCTGGTGGCTCTGGGACATCAACTACCACTGGCTCTTCTCCTACGACTACATGCTCTTGGTCCGGTCATTGCTTGGGCGCCTCTTGCTCTACTGAAAATGATTGCTCTGATGATCTTGTTTGCAAGAGTGGAGAGTGTGCCAACCCTTAAGTCTGGGTTGATTATAATAGCAAAGGCTCGTAGTGTATTGTTGGAGAAACAATATTCAGTTCACTAGGTCTATGGAATTTAGGCTGGGGTTTCAAATAGACATCCCAAATCCTTTCCGTCAAACCACGCTTTGTTCTTATTCCATCCATGCAAAATAAGGTCCCTCCCCACTTTAACAACTTTTTCAATCTGGTCCTGTGGGCCCCATCCTTGAACCCGGCTTCCCCAAACAATGAGGTGAACACCAACGTGGATCGCAGTCCTGAATGCCATGTCATCGTCAAGAGGCCCATAGCCTTTCACCAGCCCCTTGATGACCCACACTCCGCAATCCACGCCCTTGAAAAGCTTTGTTTCGTACAACTCGGCGATCATCTGGCCGAGGTCTAGAGCCCGGGGTCCGACTTGACACAGTTCCCAGTCAATAACGAACAGTGTAGTCTCGGATTTCTCATCTAGTGGGGCGTTTGGGATAAGTACACTGACCATATTAGCACTCGTGTAGCTCGAGATGGATAGAAAAACTTACTTTCCAGTCCAGAAATCACCATGAATAATTCCAATCCCATTCTGCTGGTCGGTCTTCTTCATCTCCTCCGCTGCTGAAAGCTTCAATTCTTCAAAAACACCTCTACTCTCCTCCAACACATCAGGGAAACTCGCAATAGTGTCCATCAGCATAGGGTAGTTGATATAGAACTTCAACTCTTTCATCGAGTCATTCTGGGCAAGCAACGATCTACATCCCGCTTGCTCGGGTTGACCTGCCCAAACGTGAAATGCCCGTAGCCAAGTTCCGACCGAGCGACCGAGCGCATGGCCCGCAGTTTCTGGCACGGCTTTGGCTAAATCCGAAAGAAGAAAACTCTTCAAATCGAGGGAGTTGGGAAGGTCTTCCATTATTTGTGTATTCGTTTCCTTGTTAAAGTGGAAAATGCGGGGCGTTTTCACGGTGATATTCTCCTGGGAGTGTGATGGTAGGCCATCCAGTGCTTGTAGGATGGCTTCTTCATAGTGCTAATTTGGCGATTAGTACGGCTGTTGTTGCTCCGGTAGGGAGAAGAAAACAATAACTAACGCATCGCTTTGGATCAAGTTTAAAGCTCAGATTAGAGGCAACATAACTTTTTGTATGCTTGATTATGATGGAATCCGGGAATGAGGCGGTTGTGCCGCGGTAGACAAAATTGGCGGTGCCGCCAGACAGCCGAGTCAGCGAGGAGCATGCAAAGGAAGTTTGCGACAGCTCTTGGGCAATTTCATCGCGGACCTCGTCTTTCTCTTCGTTGTTGGCCATTTTGATCTATTTTCTGGAAAGAAGGGGGGATGTCTGCATTTTCTGAGATGTATGTATCTAGTTCCACGGTTGAATCTGCGCTAAGCCGCATACAGTGCCCGCCACGGGTGGGCACGCCTACCCCTACACCCCCGAAGCTGTTAGGTTTAGCCAAGGCCGCTGCGCAACGGAGAGTCCAAGTTGTCCTAGGGCGTCATGGCTAGTAGATGGCGTTAGTGAAGTGTGATACACCGCTTTTGAGTCAAGTCCACCGCTGTCCACGAATCGAGCTTACCTAATATACTGCCCGGCTTTACCCGGCAACTGGTAGTTTTCAAGCATTCATATGCCTTCCATCCTTGGAAGGTTTCCCTATACCAAACCTTTGAATATTCCAGGCCCCAAGATTCTTATTCAGCTGATCAAGGAATTGCAGGACTTTCCGTGGTTGAGTTTTGCCTTTGATCAAGAGTCTCGTCCAATTCGAATACCTTTCGTCATTAGATTTTGATTTACGTCTCAATTCCTCAGCAACACAATATAATCGTCGACGGCCGAATGTCAAGTAAGGAGTATGAACCAGGTTCAATCATCACGCGTGGAGAAGGTTCGATGTGCCAAGGTTAGACGACAATGGCCAAGCCTTCAAGTAAACACGCTAATATCTCTTTAGGCGTGCACAATATGTCGACGGAAAAAAGTCAAGTGCGATGGTAAACGCCCCATTTGTTCTACGTGCCATACTTTTGGTCTCTCTTGTGCATATAAAGACGTTATTGAGGGGACTCAGAGATCAAACCGGTTGGTGAACCTAAGTTGCATTATGAGCCAAGCTCAAGTCATTCTGATATTCCATCCCCGCACAGAACGTATGTTGAAGAGCTAGAAGATAAGCTCAAGCGCATGGAAGACGATTTGAAGCGGAGAGATCAATTTGGAGAATCCTCTCAGGAGATCGTCCAAGACCCAATCCCATCTGAATACAGTCCCGGTATCAGTAAACGACCCCCTGAGTCCCATCGACCGGGAGATATGGCAAATGATCGGCTCTCGCAAGAGCGTGTTCAATTGCGAGATCAAGAAGCCTCTCTGGCTGGCAATGACGATGTTGATCAGCCCTCATACGTCATTCAGTCACAAGATGGTAAAATGCGATACTACGGTTGGTCTAGCCACTTGCTTGAATGGTGAATTCTCAATTGCTTGATCTAACATCTATTCCCCAATATAGGAGCTTCTTCCGGTTTCAGTGCGCCATATTCTGAGCCCGCTGGTGAGAATGCTACCAGGAAATCCCGAGCAGATGGAGAGACTGTAGTTCAACGCAGTGCGAATCGATGGCCTTTGACAAACTGGATTCCCAGGATGCTTCAAGACCCGTTTGAGCAGCGGATAACGCAAACTTTGCCATCCAAGGAAGCTACGTTGGCTCTGGTAGACGAGTTTCTTGCCACATTTAACCAAGCTATACCACTTGTTGATGACAGGTCTTTCATTAGATTGGTAGAAAGACAATTCTCCTGGAACCCAGATGAAAACCCTTCCTCGTGGGCATTGCTCAACGTGGTTCTCGGCTTCTCGTATAGGGAAAGGGCACAAACAGCGTCCGATGAGAGTCATGCCTGGAAGATGTCCTTGACACATATTAAAAATGCTCTAAATGTCGTTGTTGAGTTATTTTTGCGAAATGCAGATTTATCTGCTGTCCAGGCACTACTGGGCTTGGCACTGTACTTCCAAGGTACGCCAAATGCCCAAGCTTTATTTATGTTTTCTGCAGCGGCAATACGTCTATCGCACTCTATCGGATTGCACAGGAACACGACAATCGGCATGGATCCGTCTGAAATTGAACAAAGAAGGCGGATATTCTGGATCGCATTTATTTTGGATGCAGACATCTCCTTGAGAGTTGGTCGTCCACCAGCCCAGGAGATGGATGATTATAACACCCCATTGCCAGCCAATATACCTCCCGACAGACGAGGCATTATCTGCCTTGCTGGTATTGAAATAAACTTCCTTTGTCTTGCTGCTCAACTGGCGCTTGTTCAGAGGCGAATTTATCGACATTTTCAAACCGTTGCTACAACTGAACAGCCCCGAGAGATGACGATAAAGTCAGCAATGGACTGTGAAGAAGCTCTTTTCGCTTGGCGAGACTCTATTCCTGAAGAGCTTCGACCACGACCATCTTTCAGTTCTGAGCCAAACTATTTCCTGCAGCATCTCATCCGGATGCATCTCGCTTATCACTCTTGCCATGCTAACCTCCGGCAATTGCCAAAAATATCATCTTCAACCAAAATGACATCGCCGGATAGAAATCAAAAGACAGATGCCGACACTGCAAAAATTTATCAGCGATCTTTGGAGTCAGCCCGATCAGCGGTGGCTTTGCTGCCATATACTCGTTCCTTTGGATCTAATTTCAAATGGTATGTTATCAAGCCTGGCTCTCCAAATTGATCACCCAGCTTACCATTTTTTGCCGAAGGAATGTTCTTTACTTTTTTGCCACGGCGTCTGTGGCCTTGGCATCGGAAATCACGTCTCATCCCTCCCATCAACTGGTCAGCGATGATCTCCGAATGGTCCGTGACACCGTCATCTTCCTCACAAAAATTTCATCCGAGGAGCCAAGCACGTATGTTGATTTTATTCTGGGTGTTTGCTGCGACGTAGAACACTCTGCTAGGCGAGCCATTCGCCATTGTAATCGGGAGATGTCCCAGCGACCCGTATCAAGGACTAATGGGCATTCTCATGGCATGAATCCCGATTCTGCTTCTGGCGAAGAACATGCGCAAGCTGCCGGGGATAATCTGCTTCAGCAAGTTATCGAAACCCAAGGCGAGCCAATGATCGATTTGGTGAATCCACAATGGTCCATTCCTCCGTTTTGGAGCTGGCAGGACACATACTCTGGCATACTGCCATCACCAGGGTTCAACGAAGGCAGACCAGAAGATTTTATCTAGTCTTCTAGTCTTTGATTTTCGAAAAAAAGATGTGGGCTGGCCAAAATAATATTTATATTACCGAAATCCAAGATGAGGTCCTAGGCTTTGTTTGCTATTTGCTCGAGGATGTTTTGAATCACGTATGGATGATCACGCCCAGCTGATCCCCCGCTCATGGTGGCAGTTTGGCACCGGTGCAGAGGTCCAGGTGGGTGTCGCCTCATCAATGCCTAATCTTGCGACGGGCTTCAAAAGCGACTGGCGTCCCCAATAGCCATCTTCAAATGTCATCATAAGCTTCGAATCTTCATCCAAATAACCCGGGAGTCCCCTCTTCCAGCCATCAATCACCGAGATCAGGACCTCTGAAACAAACTGGTCCGGCGTAATTGGAGGAAAGCCGAAACGTTCAGCTGTCTGCTTGACGACTTCAGGAGGATACAAGCCGACTTCTTTCTCGAGAGAAATGGTATCCGCAGCCACCAGTGACGTCGAAACATGATACGAACCCCCCTTGACAGCACGGTCTCGGACTGCAATCATCGCACCAAGTGCTCCCACGATGCCAGTGATCATATCCGAAACAGGAAGAGGTGGCAGCACACTCTTTCCCTCATCATGGCCCTGCGATCGGCCCATGACATATGAGCTTCCAGATGCCGCATCTCCAATTTGTTGCCAACCAGGCCGCTCAGCAAAAAGACCATCTGGTCCGTAGCAGTTCTCGTCCACATAGATGATTCCCTTGTTTCTCTCGGCTGCCACCTTTAGAAGATCATAGAGCCCAAGCCCCTTGCGACCGAGCGATCCCCAGCGGAAACCTTGAACAAAGATATCAACATCTGCAACTAGCTCCTGTAAACGTGCGATATCCTCGGGCTTTGTGATATCAAGATCGATTGTCCGCTTTCCAGCGTTGAGCGTGAGTTGCAATGCCTATATCCGCATTATTAGCGTCAATTGATTAGCTCGCCATTGCAATCAGAACCAGGCATTTCAAAATACGTTTAAATCAGCCAATCGGCTACAGTTAACCCGAATCACATCGGCTCCGTATGACGATAGCGCAACACCTGCTTGAGGACCAGCGATGATCCGGACCATCTCCAGTACCTTAATCCCAGCAAGCGGCCGACGATCAGATAGGTTTTTAGGCAAAGGAACCTTTGGCGTAGACTTCGCATATGTCTCCTCAGTGACATTCACCAGGGGATGCTTCGCCAATCGTTGTCCAAATTCGGTCTTTCTCCACCCATCCGGCGAGTAGCAGATGCTTCCACAAAGGCCATGGCGCACATTGTGCATCTCAAGCTCATCGGGGCTCCATTGAATTACATGGCTCTGGATGTAATCATAATATCCCTGTGCTGTGTCGAAAGAAACATTGGTATCGATTCCCATGCTCTCGAGTGTCCTTTTGGCATCCAGGGAACCGTGGAGCTGGTACCACACTTTCAAATCTTTTGTTTGGTAAATCGCTGTGGTGCGGCCTGCAATCCCTGCACTGAATCCCTGCTCCATGTCTTTTTCAAACAGAGAGCCCAATTTGCCTGACCGTGCCAGTGCGGAAACGTCTGAGCCATTGATGTAGGTGGTGAATACAGAACCAAGCCAGATCCCGGCATGGTCTGTGTCAACTGTGACTTTGTTGTCAATCACCTTCGTACCATCCCGAAGCTCCAGCAGCTCGTTTCCAACCAAGCCTGCCATTGCATGCAACGCAGCTGCCACTACCGGCGACTTGATTGGTCCTTGGACCATGGGCTTAGGTTGTCCTTCGAACTTCACAGTGTCCCATGCTGCCTTGTCCTGTGTAAAGCCGGGGGTACTAGAAGCCAAGAATTCGAATATCCGGCGGGCATCTTCGGGCACGGGAAGGACTTCCTTGTCGATAAAGGTGCCTGGGCCGTATATATCGGTACCAGGGAACGTTTCGTGTGCGCTCAACATGATGGATGTGGTTGTCTGGTGATGTAGGACGGAGGGGGGAGGTGGGAGGAAAAGCAAAGGAACTTTAATGCGCCCAACAATTGCCTCGGACGGATAACTCTTCCTTCTTATTAGAATAATAGCGGGACCCTCTTTCCCCTATTAGTTGAATTATATTCATTTCTACTGGCCTTCCGCAGTTCCATGGGGAGCCCGGGCCATGGGCCATGGGCCGTGGGCCACGGGAAGTCCATCCACTCTACATAACGCCACGATGCTTGGTTGCCGTCAAGCCGAGGCGCCTTTTACCCCACATTAGACCATGGGTCGATCATTGTTGTCTTTCCCTTATATTTCCATTGAGCCCGGTGACATACCATCCATTTCGTTAGAGAAGCAGCGATAACACCCCCTCCGACCATTCCAACTTTCGGCAGTGGTCTTATATTACTCAGCACTCAACGTTTATACATCATATAAACAAAGACATTTCATCTATCTCCAATGGCACCGAAAGCGGAAAAGGGCCCCGTAAAGGTGGCCAATTGCTCTGGGTTCCATGGTGAGTGAGCCAACCGCAATCACTTCTATCACTAACCCAGTATTCATGGCAGGCGATCCCGCATACGAGATGTACCGGCAAGCGACCCTGGGAGATGTTGACTTTATAACTGGCGACTACCTCGCAGGTATGCACATTCTTTACCTATACTTTCTTGATCATTCTTTGAACGGAATCTGACATGTGCACTGGTAGAGGTTAATCTCGCCAACAATGCCTTGGCTTGGAGAAATGGGAAGCATCCTGGATACGAAGAGACAGCCTGGGAAGGACTTCGACAAACGATCGACATCATTGCTGAGAAAGGTATTCGAGTGGTCATTAACGGGGGCGCCCTAGATCCTAAAGCTTTGGCTCTGAGAACGAAAGCCCTGGTGAGCAGTGAGTATCCTCAAAGCACAAGCTTCAATCATTAACTTGAGAATACTCCCAGGTTGATGAAAAGAATCTCAATCTTCGTGTTGCGTTCCTGTCTGGTGATGATTTGTATCCTCTAGTGGGCCCGAATATGCCCACTACGAAAGAGGGGCTGCTTCATCTTGACTCAGGAAACCCTTCCATAGTTCCATCAGACCTCACCTATGCATTTCTGAATACCAAAGATGGAACCCCAATTCCGATGGTATCCGCACACGCATACTTGGGAGCTCGTGGGATCGTCAATGGTCTACGAAGAGGCGCCGATATCATCATCTGTGGCCGAGTGTCAGACGCCAGTCCCGTTATTGCTGCAGCTTGGTTCTGGCATAACTGGTCTGAAACCAATTATGACAACTTGGCAGGTGCCTTGATTGCAGGACATCTTATTGAATGCTCTGCCTACGTGACTGGAGGTAACTTTTCCGGCTTTGAAAAGTACCCCTCAGATAACCTTGTTTCTCCGGGTTTCCCAATTGCAGAGATCAGTGGTGATGGGAGTTGCATCATCACTAAGCATCCTGGTACACAAGGCATGGTAAATGTGGATACTGTTCGGTCTCAGTTCTTGTACGAGTTACAGGGAACAACGTACCTGAACAGTGATGTCAGTGCTCATATTGCCAATGTACAGGTGAAAGATGTGGGAGAAGATCGGTATGCGAATCTCGACGTAGCTTACGATTTTAAGGATTTTTGTATCCCATAGGTATAACTAATGCTCGGCTCCATTAGTATCCGCGTTACTGGAATTCGCGGTAGTCCACCACCATCGACCACCAAATTTGCCGTCTTCTATCAAGGCGGCTATGAAGCGCAGATTCTGCTCAATGCGACAGGCTATGCCACTACCAAGAAATGGGATCTCATCGAGAAGCAAATTCGTCATTTCCTTCCAGATGAAGCGAAGAAGGAGCTTGAGACTCTTGAATTTCAGAGGTAAATAACCAACCAACGCCTTCCCAGTGTATTAAACATGCATGCTGAAGTATGACAAACTTTAGAGTGGGAACTCCTTCCCCAAATCCGGCTTCTCAATTGGAGAGCACAACGTATCTTCGAATCTTCGTCGCATCTCCTAATGATAAAGCCGTCTTAGCGGTAGTTCAGGCCCTGAGGAACATTTCTCTAAAGCACTTCTCAGGTAAGTTATGAAATCTTCTTATATTCACCCATCTTAGAACTGAATTTCATATAGGCTTTCATCAATCAACGGATCTCCGCACTGCCCTTCCTCGGCCCTTCCTCGCCTATTACCCCGCGCTAATTAAACAGTCCCAAATTCCTGAGACGATCAACTTCATCGATGGCCCCAGCACAATTCACACCTACGAGACAGGTCACTCTCCGCGATATGAAGAGCTTGGCGTTCGGGAAAACTACGACACTAAGGCTCCAGAGAACTTTAATGGCCCGTTCAAACAGATGAGACTTGGGGATATCGCTCTCGCTAGGTCGGGAGATAAGGGTGGAAATCTCAACGTTGGCTTCTTTGTCACAAACCCGGCTCACTGGTCCTGGCTTCGGACTTACATGAGCAGAGATTGCATGCGTGAACTTCTCTCGAATGACTGGAAGGATAGCTTCTTCATCGAGCGCGTTGAGTTTCCTCACATCCATGCTGTGCACTTTGTGGTCTATGGTATTCTGGGGCGTGGTGTGAGCAGCTCTAGTCGCTTGGATGGTTTTGGCAAGGGGTTTGCGGACTATATCCGAGATAAAGTAGTTGATGTGCCATTGGAGATTTTTGAGGACTAATTCTCAGAATCACTCACGCCCTTAATCCGGCTCCAGCGATACGAAAATTTTCAAATTCGATTGTATCACTAAATCCATTGAATACTCTTCCTTGACCCGAGCTAAACTCGAGGCTGCATTCTAGAGTCTAGTAAACATATCGGAATCGGAGGTTTTCCTTATCTGTCAGATCTTCAAAACCATCAAGATCACCGTTATCCGGAGATTCCACGTCTTCCACACCCTGCAGTTGATCTTTCATAGTGTTCTGCTTCTTGAGGTGGAACCTAAGAAACAAGAGGATAAACTCCAAAATCGTGTAGCAGCCAAGGTGGACACTAAAAGCCGTGAAATAGCGTGGCGCATCTTTAGATCGGAAAATTTGAGGTCCTGTAATCTTATTTAGCTCCGTGTTCAATGATTACCAGCAATGGGAGGTGTTTCTACCGATCGCATTTCCGATTGCCCAAGCGATAAAATTGGCTGCGATAACAGTGGACTTTTTCGTCTGTCCGGCAACATTGCGGGAGATCAACGATAATGTCAAGGTTTGTGCTGCCCAGAACGACAGTGTGATGTAGTAACTCATCAACAATCCTGCCTTTGTTGCCACGGTAGTATTTTGAACGGTCATCAGAACAATAGTACCTATGAAAGATCTGAAAACCCTCAATATTCAGTATTCAAATAAGGGGAGAATCAATCTATAAGGTTAGCAGGCAACTTACGGTATACAATAAGCTGCCATGACAATTAAGTTTTGTTGGGTTTTCTTCACCAGCCATGTCGAGGTAAGAAGCACAAGAATGATGTATGCTCCGAGAACCATCGACAGCAACTGCGTCTGGAGTGTGGTGAAGTCAAATCCTTTGATAATGATGTTCGCAAATGTGCCCAGTCCGCTAGTGGGCATAGTGGTGAAGAGCTGAATTCCGCAGTAGCACCACATCTGAAGATCCGACAAGGCCTCGTACACTTGGTATTTTCGAAACTTCTTGTTCTGGATTCCTGTGCGATTGTCTCGAACGCGCTCCACCATTAGTCTCTTATCTTCTTCGGAGAAACACGTCGCTGTCATGGGCGAATCTGGCATGAAGAGAAGAACGAAGACACCAAAAAGAACCGAGGCGCATCCATAGGTAATGAAGAGAGCTTGCCAGGATTTGATCACTTTGTCGGCGCCGATCAGGCTGAAGAGGTATGCCAAAAGACCCCCGATCATTTGTTGAAACCCGTTCATCATATACCTATGACACATCAGTAAATGGTCCCACTATGCTTAGGTACCACATACCAGAATGTGATGGTTTCCGCCTGTTCAGAGCGCTTATACCACATACTTGATAGGCGAACAAAACTGGGCTGGGCGCATGCTTCAAACACACCAAGTAGAATGCGCACTGTCAGAATACCGCCGAAGTTCTTCACGGTCGAGTGTAAAGCGAGAATAGATCCCCAGATGATAATATTGCATCCAAGGTACTTGGCTATAGGTACGCGTTGAATGATCCAATTGGTTGGGTACTCGACCACAAGAATCGAAATATAGACACATGTTGATAGCCATGCGTACTACATAGTGTCAGTCTTTTTCCTGAAGTTGGTGTCCACAACATACCTGATTGGTGTCTACGTGTGTATCATCCAAAAACCCCATGATAGATGTGAAGGATAACGTGCCCTTGTCGAGCGCTTGAACCAGATATGTGAGCACCATGATAACTAGCACTCGACGGTCAATCAGACGACGGAGACGACGGTTTGTGGGCTCGTCTATTTCCACGCGGCCCATGGCAGCGTACTTTTGAACCTGATCATCAACGCGATCACCGACCTGGGCAGTTTTCAAGTCTTCTATGTCGGTGGTAACATGCTCCAGGTGCGCGGGCTCCACTTCTTGCCTGACATCGTTCGTCTTGCTTTCTTCTAAAGCCGACATTCTTCCTCAAATTCTCAAGTTCAACAAATTTCGGGCGTACGTATTGAGTTACAAACACAAAAGACCAAGTCCCAAGCTCCCTTTCCAGCCGGAGCTGGGTGTCGAAGGAGCCCTTTCCCATATATACTGTGTTATCCTGTGACATGTCACATGCCAAGAATGTAAGCTCTAGAAAAATCAACAAGACTTCTTGTCCTGCGTGTGTACTCCACTGATCCGTGATTTGATTCTCTTGGCTATTGCTTGACCCCGCGTTCTCCAACCCCAGATTTGATCCCGAGAAGGGTCAGGATTTGCCAAGACGGAAAAATAACGAACGAAACGAAGATGATCATGGGGAATCGCGCTGTAAGCGAGCGCCATCCTACACTCAAGCCCTTCTCCTCTTGCTTGGCCTTTCTTTTCCTCGTATTCCCTCGGTGCAACAACGGCCGAAAGTAGACCGAGGATTTCAAACTGGCCTTGATCGATTGCAGACTGGCAAACGGACCACTGCTTGTATTTGACTTGAAAAGAACCCGACATACAAGCACATCCACTGATTCAGTGCTTCCCTGCCGATGAATTAATTCTTATCTCGCTAAGACTTACAACTAAGCAAAAACATGTCGGCCATCAAAACTACCCTTCCGGTCGATCGGCTGAGTGCCGTAGATGTTCACAACACCATCAAGAGTCTCATAAACAATCTGATCAACATCAAAGATGAAACCGGCCGATTTCTCCTCCGCCTAGAAGACGGTCGCGTAATCGACACAAAATCCTGGAAAGGCTGGGAGTGGACACACGCTATCGGTCTGTACGGAATCTGGAAGTACTACGAATTAACGGGAGATGCTTCTCTGCTTGCCATTATCGAAGATTGGTTCGCAGCACGGTTCGCCGAGGGAGGAACGACGAAGAATATCAACACAATGGCAGTATTCCTCACACTGGCCTACGTTTACGAGAAAACCAAAAACCCGATCTACCTACCTTGGTTGGACACGTGGGCTGAATGGGCAATGCACGAGCTACCTCGTACCCGGTACGGCGGTATGCAGCACAAAACCTATGCGATGGAGCACAAGCAGCAGCTATGGGATGATACACTCATGATGACGGTCTTGCCACTCGTGAAGATCGGCAAACTACTCGGTCGCGAACACTACATCGCCGAAGCCAAGAAACAATTATTGATTCATGTCAAGTATCTTTGTGATCCGAAAAGCGGCCTGTTTTATCACGGTTGGACATTTGACCAGGGTGGTCATAATTTCGCGGGCGCTAAATGGGCCCGTGGAAACAGTTGGGTCACCATCGTTATTCCGGAAATCATTGAGTTGATGGAGCTTCCCACTGATGATCCGCTTCGGTCATACCTCGAAGACACGCTTGATGCTCAATGCCATGCCTTGCAAGGTCTACAAGAGCCATCGGGTTACTGGCGTACATTGTTGGATCACGATGATGAAGGTTCGTATATAGAAGCCTCTGCTACCGCTGGGTTCGCGTTTGGTCTTCTCAAGGGTATGCGCAAACGCTATATTGGAAATCAATACCGCGATGTTGCCGAGAGTGCCATCAAGGCCGTTCTGGACTCAATTGATGAGAATGGTGAATTGCAAAACACCAGCTTTGGAACTGGTATGGGTGATACGTTGGATCATTATCGCAATATTGCTGTCACAGCAATGCCATATGGACAGGCAATGGCAATGATGGCTCTTGGGGAGTATCTGCGAACTTATATTTGAGAGAATCTTAGCTTTCCGCTGATTTGTTAGATAAGCATAGAGGAAGAAAGCTCAATGAACACTGGTTTTCACAATTGGTTGGCATCCATCTTCAGTCCATGAAGTTCAACATCCCCACCTGCCAGTTGTCCGCCTCCATCAATTCTTCCCAATGCAGTCGCTGCCAGCGATGATCTATTTTCACCCAAATTTCAGACAATTACCAAAACACCTATGTGGGGGTTGTGGAGACATGGCTGACAGCAGTCAAGGGTGGCATCCACTTATATTCTCCGAATACACTGGGTCATTTCACACTCTATGTTTAAAATCACGTCTTCGCAGCATTGGAAGTCTTGCTTCTCAGGAACGAGGGCGGTCTGGAATTCGTCAGGGTTCATCTTGCTCTCAATCTAGCTGCATCATTGGATGTTCATGCATATTAGTGGACCACGACAGTGGGTCCCAACTGGAGGTTGGCACTCGGCTAACAAGATTTGGCCCCCAAACCCAGCACCCTTTTTCCAGTCTTCGCCCCCCAATTTACCCCCGGCCCCATGAAACCCAGCCGTCGTGCATAGTCCCGTGAATTAGTCTACACAAACATGGGCGGTAAACCATGGCAGTCGACAGGCTGCGAGAATTGTAAGAAGCGGAAAGTCAAGGTCGGCGTCTATCCCCTTGATTACGTGATATCAATGCTAATGACCACCCAGTGCGATAAACAAGAGCCAGAATGTGAACGTTGCATGAAGCGGGGCATTCAATGTCCTGGATATGATCAATATCGGATATTTCTCCACAATACATCCACTACCCAACCAGAAGAGAAGAAGAATAAGAAGCCGACGAGTTCGAAACAAACATTTGCGACTCAGGCCCGGACTCAGACCCAGCCTGGATATCTTACCCGCGCAAGGCCGGTGACCATACAACAGCCAACCACCGTGCACAATGGCCCGTCAAAGCGTGAGCAGCTCTTCTCAGTATACGTTAATACATACTTTCCTGGAAATGTGTCGGGGAGTACCGCCCTTGATCCGTGGTATAGCTTGCTTTCAGGGGTCTCTGCCCTTCCGAACAAACCTATAATGCTGGAAAAGGCCGTTGCAGCCAAAGCCTGTATTTTCTTGGGCAGAGCCAATCATGATGATAGCATGTTCTATCATGGACTTCAGCTATACAACAGTGCAATACACCATATGTCACTTCACCTTAGGCGGAAGCGCAATATTTACACCGATGAGCTTGTCTATACCATTGCTGTTTTCCATCAACTAGTGGTAAGCCTTGTTTTATATTTCTTCGCCTTGCAACCTTCCCGAGCTAATATCCATTCAGTCAGCTCATTGTCCTCATGGCCTTGAAGTGTGGCTTGACCAAATGAACGTCACGAACGGAATTTTGAAATACTGTCTCAACCGAGCAAGTCAAAATCCTATCATAAAGGTTTTAATTGTTGCATTCCGTAGAATGCGATTGGTATGCCATCATCTCCCTATTCTGCTGTTCTTGACCTAATCTGTGTTTTTCTTAGCTTCAATCATTATCACCACTACAAGCGAAAGAAGCGATAGACCCGGTCGCACATGAGTTCCATTCTTCTTTGATGTCAATCGAAGACAAGTCGGTCGATGAGATGTTACAACTCATGTCGGAGATTTCACCTCTCATCACTGCCTTGACTATGGTTGATGGCTCTGATCACGATGCCTGCAAAATATTTTTATACGACTGCATAATGCACAGACAAAAGCTATTCGATTGGTACGAGTCAAGCATCAACCTGCTTGGTGGCCGCCCATCGATCTGTGAAACAATAATCACCAAACTACCTCCATCAACCCATCTTTTCGGCACCCCGTACATTTTCCACTCGCTTGACAACGCTAGGGTGCACACTATTTACTGGGCTGCGTTATCTATACTTCAGACGTTGATGGGTCAAGCCGAGTCGTACCTCAATTGTCTTTCGCCAGTAGAAGCCGCCACCAACGAGGAGACCTTGCTTGCGGAGTTCTATGCCGATGAAATCAGTCGCTCTCTTCCGTACTGTCTAGCCGATAATATGAAGTCCTGGGGTGGCCATGCAGCGATCTTTCCTCTAAGTCAAAGTTGCAAGTTTTATATGGAGTTCAAACGACGAGACAAGTATATCTTCAGCCAACAGGCCATGCAACTTCTCGGTGATCTTGGATCCGACTTTGCTAAGCGCGTGAGTGAGATGCTTTGGTACGGGTGGAGTCTCATTGAGAGTGCCGATCAGAGGACCACTGCATCCTTGTCCCCGGTCGAGGAGATATCTCCCTTGGCGGAACATGTGGCGATTACGAAGGTGCCGGATCTTGAATATATCACACCGGAAAGCATCTGATTATGCATAGTCAAGCCTGGGCATAAATTACTTAATATATTTTAAATAGACTCACCTGCATCTTTCAAGGTGGAGAAGGACAAATAACACTAGTCTTTACGGAATGCCATTCATCGATTTGATACTCGATAATCTATACTTATGACTCGCAGCAGTCGTCACAACAGTAGCTGATAATAAACAGTGAGCGTGATATACGTGGAAACGATGCCAAGATTGTGGTCGCGACAAAAAAGTTTGCGCAATTAAACATTCCCCCAGAAAAGTAAGCTAGTACTTACGCAAGAAATGGACATGGAGAAGAAGGCCTCATAACCTTTGACGATAAAAGTGATGCGATAATTGTCGAACATGACAAACTCAGCCTCAACTCGACCTAAAACGCCGCAGACTCGTCCTCAGACCGCCAGCGGGAGCGCTGTTCTGCCACTTTACCCCATCAAAGCTCCAGTCCCAATGCTCATTCAATATGCTGGCTCCAAAATAGCTCCTTCCATACAGTAGCTCTTTTCACCATTTCAATCCATACACTACTCCATCTCCTGCCTCCCTTTCATAGCTCATCAGATCTGTTAGACTAGAGCAGCTCCAAGCTCTTAGCCTTTACAAACAACTGACGGTTGATTGCGTAATTACCTAAGTAAGCTTCAGAGTCCTACAAGCGAAGAAGAGATCGCACCGCCGAAAATTTGGTATATGTTAACAAACGCCCACCAAAAGCGAGAACAAGGTGGGATACAAGACATCTTAAGTCCTCACCGCTTTAGTGGGATATTTCAACAAAAATAAAATTCACTTTTGAACATTTGCGACATTTGTGCGATACCAATCCTTCACATTACCAACATCCAGCATATCAAAATCATGTCGAGCGTCACAGCCACTCGAGTACGGGCATTCAATGCTCTCCGTCGGCCTGAGTTTGGACTGGGCGATATTCCAAACCACTACCACTTCTCTGTGAGATCGCTGCCTATGGTTCCAGGCAACGCCGTCTTCCTCGCCAATCCATTCAACGGCCACAGACATTGCGAGGGCCGCACCCGCATCACACCTCTCACCCTCGAAGCACAGGCCAATGTCATCGTTCCACTACTACTTGAATCGTTCGTCACGCGATTCGATTCTGATCACCAGCTTCACTTCGTCATGGACGACGGTATAACTCCCTGGGCACCATGGAGTTGGAGTACTACTGACGAAGGCCTCGCCCGGGCTGTCTCCGACCGACTTGCGGCTGTGGGCGTCCGACCTGAATTATGTACCGTGTCTGTCGCTTCAGTAGAGGAGACCCAGGCAGCTAATCTTTCTTGGCGCGGGTTCTATGGCGAGGTTTCGGCGGCCATGGCGGGGATTCCGGAGGATCAGCTTGCTGGAAGCATCACTACCTGCTGCGGTGTTTGTGGGTTTACACCTTCTTTGGATCTATCTTTGTTGCGCTGTGGTCGGTGCAAGCAGACTACCTATTGTTCGAAGGCTTGCCAGAAGGCAGATTGGTCCTCGCACAAGGTCGGCTGCAAGGCGCCTGCTGCCTAAAAAGTTTGGATAACATGAGCGTCCCCGGAGTGAATTATTTGTTGGCCTAGGTATGGGCTAGAAAAACGTGCTCCTAGAAGTCCAATCATTCAATCATTTAGAAAACTTTTGTAATCATGACCATTTTAATACCTATATGCGACACAGTCGGGATGTAAAACGATCAGGCACTTCCAAGGATTTTCCAAGATTGAAGTTGTGTCCAGGTTTGCTAGTCGGAATGTGGCGTATTGTTCATCAATGAAGTATTTACGAGGTAAGTTAGATGATTCTCGCGGCTTAATCTTGGGCATAATCTGGTAAAGTTTCCACGATCTGCTTCCGGCCTAGCCTCAGCAAGCTGATGCTCGTATTGAGGGGTCGGTCCACGGGTGCTCTTATCTAGCACAAGCCCCTCAGTGAATCGTATGCATTTTCCGTATTAGGAATCAAATACAACAAAAAAAGGTCAAAGTTTAGTCTGTTCACGGTGTTGTCTCCACCCGAGCCACTGCGGACTGGACATTTGACTCTCAATATTCAACCATCATGTATGCTAGTCTGTCCAACGTTGATTTCTCTTTTTTGAAGATTAGAAAAACGACGAAAATTCATTTTGAAAAGCTTGCTCTCTTAATTTGACTTCTCTAGTTTCTCTGGGACAGCGATCGTGGCTCCGAGCACCCACAGAGCCGTGTGGAGGCTGAATGGGGGGCCTAATCGCCTTTTCTCATTATGGGCCTGTTCCACGCTACTAAAGTTTATCTCATACTGGTCTGTATTCATACGTATAAATATCAATACGTTCTCTAACAATGCACATTCCTATCGTATACCGCACGCATTACCGCATCGAGGCAAAGTATCCATTCTGATTGTCCGTTTCATTATTTGATTTATGTGACATGTCCAAACAAGTCCAATCTCGAGGTGAGTATCTGCTGGTGAGGACGATGGCAGAAAGCGAAAGGTACGTTTAGTATCGATCAAAAACTCGAAAAGCATTTGATTACGGAAGATAACCGTTCAATTGAGCCCTGATGTAGACTGGAAATGCAATATAAAGCCTGGCAAGCCAATATCAAGTACCTTCTGCATCCTCTCATAGAACGACATGATACTATGCGCATTGCAGATGTTGGCACAGGGACTGGGTTAGTAGCGAATAGACCAGTGAGATGAAAGTAACTTACCTGGCTTCTCAAGAATTTGGCTATCGGACCTTGCAGATGCTCTCCCAAAGACCTGTCAGCTTGACGGTTTTGACCTCTCGGATGCCATGTTTCCCAGCAAGGATGCATTGCCAGACAATATCACCTTCCACCACCAAAACCTTCTCGTGCCATTCCCAGATGAATATCTGGAGAAATATGATGTCGTCAATGTTCGAGTGATGGTGGTGGCTTTGTCATCTAATGAGTGGGAGCCTGCTGTGCGAAACATGATGACCCTTCTTAGTGCGAGGTCCCCCAGTTCAAACCCGTTGATTTACGATTATGAATCTGACAATGACTAGAGCCTGGAGGCTATTTACAATGGGTTGACTGCGCTGCACATGAATGTGTAATCAAAGGAGTGCCTGAGGGGAATTTACCCATTAATGCACAACGCGGAATCGACTTGTTCCGGAAGACATTGAATTCGCTTGGGAAAACAGCCAAGTAAGCTTGGCCTCTTTCTTTTATGCGTGTTTCACCGATTCTTTGGAGACTAATCAAACTGCCCGCGTCTTTAGTATCACTCTTCTTCGTGGCATTTTTCAGAAAAGTGGACTGCTGTCTTGTGAAGAGGAAATATACACACTGGACAATCCAGAGACTCGGGAGAGCCTCAATCTCTCAGTTCTTGTCGGGATTCAACATATTCTGACTGCTGCTTTCAATTTGCATAAGCTGGATGAGATACAATCGATTGACCAGATATTGGAGCTGAAGGAGGCGGCTTTGCGGGACTTGCGCGATACGTCGTGTTATTATTGTTACGATGTGTACGTTGTTGTGGGGAGAAAAGCTTGACTGCGTTTCTCTAGCTCCAAAAATCTACATTGTACTTCAATCTTGGATTTTAAGAAATTTCCTTTTTGACGAGAAATTTTCTAAAGCCCGAGTTCATTCGTACTAGATTGGAAAATCTTGAACAATAACGATAAAGTAGATATGCTGCTGACACCCAGAATTGCTCCGAAACCCGAATGTCAATCGACGTGGCCACGCCTCACTAGTGGTGGCCTGCAGGGAGGCTTGAGGAAGGTTCGAACGATCGGTCAGCACAGCTCAGCTCTTACCAGTTTAGGAAAGGAGATACGCATAGCCAATAGCAGCCTCAGTGAGAATCACATGTATACCACTCGCCCAAAAATATAAATACCAGTGTGTGGACATGATTTGTTTGTCGAAGAGCGTGTTCTCACAACCATAACTTGACCCCACCATGTCCCCCTTGCCAGTAATCGTCTGTGGCAGCACCAATCCCCAGATTTTCAACGCTGTCAAGCCTCTTTACTTACCTGAATATGAGCGTATGAAAGAAAATCAGCCTGATCTTTACATAGGCTAAATACTATCCGCAGTTATACATAATGTGACTAGCAGCACCTCTGGAGCAGTTGAAATACCGCTCTTGCTCCAAGGTCTCGCCCCTCCTGTTGCTGAAGAGGAGAATCGAGGCACTATGGACTATTCTAAGCCACCCGTGGCCATCTTTGCAGGTGCTTTGTACGGTGATGAGGAAATCGACGAGATGCGCCAGGCGTGTCAAGGGCTCAGTTTTGTGCCTTGGTTAAAGATGGATATGACCGTGCCCAAACCGCCAATCGGACCGGGGTATGCGGAGCATGTCGTGCAAAGAATCAAAGCATGTATGAAGAAGATTGAAGCTGAAGGAATGTTAGAGCAAGATGGCTTGTGGCTTTATTGAGAGCGAGAGGGGAGGGAGCGTACAGCCACGCCGCTATGTATGGCGATAAGATAGGTAATTAGGAAATGAACACAAGCTTCTGCTATGCGATTATCTATCTTCTAAGAGAAAATTAAAGAGCAAAACGGATAGCGTTCTTGTTATTCAATGTTAATTCTTACTTGGGGACCCGAATCTGCCCGCTGGTCAATAGCCACAGGTTCAAGTTTTTATACTTTCGTTTGATTAAGTAATATTTAGCAAGTCATAACGCATTACATCTTCGGATATAGACCGACGGAAACTTAATTAGATCTCAGGGTATACCGAAGCTAACGAGTCGATAATCAAGTCTCGTTCATCTGGATCAACATCCTTGAACATGTCCCTAACATGCAAATTCGACCTCATGAAACCAGATAGATCGACAGGACCACGGTAATTCTCATCAAGAGACCGGGTCGTGATAGAACTCAAGTTCATATCACCAGTCACATTCTTCAAAATATCCGTCAGATTTCCCTCCGACTTGAGATAATTGATGGTATTTTTCAAAAGTGCGCCCAGTCCGATAGACGTTGTCAGGGTAAGCTCATTGAGAATGTCTGTATAATACGGAACCAAAGTACCATTCCAGACAACCGAGGTTGCCACAGCATTGATACTGAGATTGCCGTTCTTGATTGCGGAGGCCTCTGCTTTGAGCACGGCAGCTAGATTTTTGATCACTGTTTTCAGATCGAGAGTTCCTCGCAAGGGAAAGACGTTTTCGCCTGGCACTAGCGTCACGTCTGATAGTGTTGTGTTTCCAATGGTCAGGTCTCCGGCTTTGATGTCCATGGTGATTACACCGACCTCGAGGGTGATCACTGAGGGATTGGGGAGCGTCGCGTTACCGATGAGGTTTGTTCCATCCGATTCGGCAGGGAGGATGAGGGTGGCGTCGGCAATGCTGAAACCATTGAACTTGTTTAACGCTATTGATGTTTGTTAAGAAATGCTTTTTGTAGACCGAAATGAAATATAATTGAATGCAGTGTGAAGGCAAGGGGGACGAGAAAAAAAGCAAAACGCAACTATTGACTTACTTGGTGTGACGATGTCCTTGTTCAAATGGACGTGAGACTTCAGAACCCCTAGATAAGCGTTGGTCTCACCCGCTACTGCCAGGGATGTTTTCTCTTGAAAGACGACCTGGTGCACAAATTCCTCCCAAGCCGTCATGTTCTGCAATGGCGTGTGTTGATCTGTCACGCCCATAGTGTGGTTACCTTTAATCGTCTGGCCGGGGAGAGTAACAGAGGCGTAGGCATCCTTGACACCGTATGCGCGCTGAAAGAGAGACAATGGAAGGTCCTCGATCCGAGCCGGAATCGCAAGCTTCAAATCGACTTTCGTTTGCAACGTCAAGATCACGGAATCTGGCTTCGGTTGGTTCACCACTGCATTGACAAGCACGAGATCGGACTTGTCGACAACCAATTGCGCGATCGCAGGGATAACGACGAGGAAGCTTGACAAAGTCAGTCTCGGAGAAGCGCCTTGGAAAAGAGAGGAGTTCCTACAAAATCGGAAGGAAAATTGCTAGGAAAATAACATTGCCAATACAGTAGAGAAGCCAGAATCGTTTCCAATGGCGACGGATCTTTTCAGTCCGTGTAGGTGTTCTAGTCAGTGAACGCCCCCCAGCTGAATCTAATTTTTCAAGCCCCTGGCCACCATCTCCAGGGGTAAGAAATGGTCCCCGGTTGTTTGCGCCCAGCACATACTTCTCGCTTAAAGGCATGTTGTGGTTGAGCCGGAGTAGGGTAAGCGACAACGCAAATCGTAGGATTTGCGAGACGCAGAGTATAAATGACTCGGAGCTTGAAAGCCATGACCTGCAGGGCTTTCTGCGATGCATTATCTTATTGCGTATTGCATCATTGGCCGGACGATTAGTACCCCACGGGGAAAGTCAGGATCTGCGATTATCATGCGGGGAAGTAGAACCTTGGAATTACGAGAGCGCGCATTGGACAGCAGCTTCATAGCGACGCAGCCACGTCTCCGCCAGCTCCTCGGTATCTTGAACAAAGTTAAACATCTTGTGATAATGTGGCCAGTTTACGGTATGAGGCGTCAGCTTGGACCCTCTATCTCCTCTTTCAGAAGCCAGGTACTTCTCGCTTGCAGAAGCCTCGGCCTTGCGACCTGTTCGATCAATGATCATCACAGTGGCTAGCCAATAGACACAGCTCAATGAGCGAGTCACTTGATTTCTTGACCGGGTTGGTGCTGTGGTCGCACGCCAAATCTGCGTGTTGCTGCAGGAGATATGCAGGCCAGCCGACCATCTGGACCAGTCGTAATTCGCAAATCATGCGCTTTTTATCCACAGATAAGGGTAATGTGCTTACCCATGCAGGGAGCCCTGAGGCCCTGAAGCCCTTAAGCTCTGGAGTTCATGGGCATCCCGAGAAACTGGTATTAGATTAAATTCCTCCCCTGGTCCTGATCTTGGCCCCTCGGGGCTTTCATTTTCTTGGTGCCACTTTCGGCCCACGAGCCCCTCATAGATAACGAATGTAACAATTTGAGCTCTGAGACTCATAACTTCCTGCTCCGATCATTGCCTTTTCTTTATCTGTCGGGATCTTTGACTTTCTATTGCGTGCATCCTGGGAAGGACAGCATGACCCCGCCTCCAATACTGAGCGTTCCAATTCTTCAGACTTGGTACCCATAGGGTAGGACTGCCTTTCATATTTTGATAACTCAAACTTCATATTTCTCCCTCTATTGAGGGTTTTCTCCCCCTCTGAGATCACCTTTTGTCTGACGCGTACGTAAATGCGGGGGATCTCACGCTAGTGGCAAGTGGGGATCCTATGTGGGGACCCAGTGGGCCGCATATAAACGGCTCAGGAAGTCTCGCGACCAACTTTGGGTCTCTCAAGACTATGAGCCACCATGCATTCTGTTGCATACATGAGCTCAATCAAGCTCTGCGCTTTTTAACGCAATTATTGGTTGTTAGAAATCATATTTCCTCATACTTTGCTGTCACCGTAGAAAGTACTAATTCTACTAGGTCTTTACTTTTGCTGCGAGGCTGACGAACGAAGATCGAAACTATTTCATTTCTACGTAGGTTGAATTCTATACTTGATGTTTCTATTCGCCTTGCGTAGGAATAAGCACTCTACAGAGCCTTATCGGATTTCCGACTATGTTCCTGAGATCGGGCCATTTCCATCCCGTCGTCCCGGAACACCCCGTAGTACAACGTAAATCACGCGCTAGTCGGTTTATCTAAATGTGTCTATAGTGGAGGAGTCTCGTTCTGCAGAACAGCCATCGTTCTGAGTGGCAGATCAAGGTTAGTACATCGGTGAAACAATCAAAACACAAGAGCACTTACGCTGTAGAGTACTGAGAACCTTCAATCTCCGTTTGCTCCACTATACTCCGAATCTCTTGCAGCTCAGCGTCGCTAAGCTGAATCTGTCCAGATGCCGCATTCTCATTCATCCTCGCCGGTGTCTTCGTGCCAGGAATCGGGATGATATCCGTTCCTTGGGCCAGGAGCCACGCAAGAGCGACCTGTGCAGTGGTACACCCATGGACTTCGGCGACATCTTTCAACTTCCGAACTATGTTCAGAACCCCTGGGAAGTTTTTCTCGGAAAATTTCGGCAACGCGCGACGCAAGTCATTTTCGGGGAAATCATGGTGTGACTGGAATTGACCAGTCAGGATGCCACGGCCGATGGGACAAAAGGCCACTATCGCGACGCCTAGCTCGCGGCAAGTTTCTAAAATTCCCGAGGCTTGTGATTCGATATCTAGTGTGAAGAGGCTGTATTCCATCTGCAACGCGGTGATTGGGTGGACGGCGTGTGCACGACGCAGCGTGGACGCCGAGACGCCAGATAACCCGAGATAGCGAATTTTGCCTTGGCTGCAGGATAGAAGTGTCAAACAACGTCACTTCTCTTTTGAGATATTTCAATCTTGATGCATCTTACTTTTTCAGGTCGACCATCGCCTCGATCGTCTTTTCAATGGGTGTAACGCCATCCACCCGATGACAATAGTAAAGGTCAATAGTATCAACCCCAAGTCTCTGGAGACTCTTTTCACAGGCAGCCTTCACATGCTCAGGGTCCGACCGGAACTTATGAGTTCCATCAGCTTGACGCAAGAGTCCGAACTTAGTAGCGAGAAAAATGTCATCGCGGTTTCCCGATCGCTTGATCCATTCACCCACCACGTCTTCGCTGTCCAGATAAACATCCGCCATATCCCAGAAGCGCAGCCCTGCCATATTTGCATGGTCTAAAAGGGCGACTCTCTCATCGGTCGTACCTGCTGATCCATAGAATCCGCCGATGCTACCGAGCCCAAGCCCTACGGCGGAGACCTGGGGGCCATCACGACCCAGGGTTCGAAAAGCGAGTGACATTTGGAAGAATAGTTCAAGATGAAATGAAGAGGTTTACTTGATCAATTAACATTTATACCATGGATTTCCGGGTCTTAAAGCCAGTTTCAATCCAACCTGGACTGCACAAGGCTACGAGCCCCGACTATACCCTTTCGGCTCCCCGCCAACGGAATCACCTGACACTACCTCAAGATCTACCAACACAAGAAACTTGGCACTGAAAAGTTACGACTCGAATATTCATCTGTCTTTCACCCAATGCGTCTAGAAAATTTTAAAGACCTTGATCGTGGCCCGTGAATTACTATATTCTATTACCAAGCTCTGCATCCAAGGATGGTCATATCCGGTGAGCCAGTGCCTAAAGTGGAGTGAGAGAAAATCAGACCCATTTCATGGTTTTGTGCGAATGAGAAAGACATTTGTCTTGTTGATGATTTTCTTTGATTCCTTGAGAAGTGACTGTCTTCTCCTTCGGTGCTAATAAAAGACTTCTTTGGTAAGCAGAATATAGAAACAACCTCTTGGTAGTTCTTCTATGCACGAGATCAAAAGATCCTCTCGAAGATGACGAGACCGAAGTCTTCTTTGAAGATGCTAGTACACTGCACATATCTTGAGATGGCATTTAGCTAAATGACCTTTCAAGGTCACATTGCTGCGATTTTATTGGCTGTGATCTATGCGGCTCTGCCTTTGAAATGGCCTTATGACCACGTGTAGCAACTCGGGTCGGCAAATGAAAGACAACGGCATGCTCGACTGATAATTGTGTGTCGCTTCATTTGGGGCCGTTTCATTGTCATCATCCGATCGGGCCCGGTGAGTGTGACGGTGATATCAGAGATACTCCAGAGGTCGTCGTTCATCTGAGTTGCATTCTTTGTCGACAATCCCACAACCGCATCCCCGGATTATAAGAACAAAGAGTCTATCCTTGACAAGTCTGGCCCTTGCTACAGGGAACCGATGTTTCCTAAATTAGTATCTTCCAAGTTTCATGAATTCGCCCCCACGTCAATGAACGGCATCATCGGCTTCCTCATCCGGCAATGTAGTGAATTGCCCTTTCAAGAGAGAAAACAAAAAGAAGCATCCTCCCACTACCTTCCAACATCTTTCTGTGTGTACGCATGGAATCAACATGAGGATAACTATTCTTCGCAGCATACTCGCTTTATGCGGGTTCTTCTTGGCATCAACTACTGCTGCCGAACTTCAAGTCGGTATTCTCTCGTCAAGCACATTTTTTCTTTTGGAATCTAACAATTGTCATTTTAAAAGCGTGAAACTGCCTGCTCGTCAATTCTCATCAAGCCTGGCGATACCTGTGCCACCTTAGCCGCAAAATGTGGTATCACAACCGCCGAATTCTACGACTACAACACAGATTCTTCTCTCTGCTCATCTTTGACCGCTGGGAAGCCTGTCTGCTGCTCATCTGGAACACTCGATATCCCTCCTGAAGCAAGCCCCGATGGCCTTTGCTACAGCTACACACTTCAGGCTGAAGATACCTGTACGAGTATCGCAGACGGATATGAGATCACAATTGATGAGATCAAGGCGTACAATAATGCTACATTTGACTGGAACGGTTGCAGTGAATTAAGTCAGGGTGCATTTATTTGTCTGAGTTCGGGATCTCCACCTATGCCGGTGGCTCTTCCGGATGCTATCTGTGGGCCGCAGGTACCTGGTACTACGCGCCCGAGTAATATGGCAGATCTTCATGATTTGAATCCATGTATTGCGACAAATTGCAAGGTAAGAATGAGAATCAGAGATCATACTTGACTTTTTTTAGCTAATAACATTGCCAGTGCAATCTGAATGTGGGACAGTGCTACAGTACTGTTGATTCTAATGTAGGATGTGCCACGGGCACAGCTGCTAGGGTTTCCACTAGTACTGCGAAGGCTGCAACGACTACTTCATCGAAGTCAAGGGCCACTTTAAAGAAAACCAAATCCACTTCAACAAAACCAATACCTACCTCAGCCAAGATATCGAAAACCATTCTAGAGAAAGAAACAACTGATTCAATCTCCAAAACAGAGTCTGCCACTACCTCTACCACATCAATCGCCCAAATCACAACAGCATCCAGGACAATGTCCACGTCAATAACACCAGAAACCTCCATAGTCGAAATTACAACTGCTTCCTGGACCTCAAATCCCTCAAAACCCTCTTCAACCCACTCAACAATAACTCACACAAACTCAGGCACAACTTCTGCCGCAAAAACGACCTCCACAAAGTCCACCTCGACAACCACCTCCGCCGCTGCCTCAACATTAGCCTATAATCCCTGGGAAGTGGCAATGTACAGCAAAGAAGACTGCGCAGGCGACTACTATCTCCTCTCGGGAATCAATCCGGACTTCGGTTCAGATTGCCTTGACATCCACGGCGGTCTGTCGTCTGCCTTCACCAAAACAGGAACCTGGTGTCGCTGGTACACGGATGGCGGGTCCACATCAACGGATTGTGATGCAGGAACGCTGGAAACACCTGCATCCTGGTATTTTACCAATGCAATGTGTGAAGTGTTTCCTTCGAATGATTGTACCAATACCAATGGAACGGCGCAGGCCTACACTTCTGCTGGTGGAAGTGGAAGTGTAAATAGATGTACCAATTATGCGGATGCGGCGTTCAAGGTTTCACCTTGGGGTTCGCTTTGGTGTAGTGGGATTGATGGTAAGTTCTTGTAGTTGTTTTATACCCAGAATGAGGACTGCGTTTTCATTGATTTTTGATGTGTTGGGTTGTGTGGTGGGCCTGTCTAATTTATGACCTATGTTTTTTTTGCTATTATATTGAGCTAATCTAATGTCTGTCAAAATAGTCTAGGAGCATTTCGGCGCTATTTTTTGGTTAGGGACGAATTTGTAGTTTGCGATATAAGAAATTCGAATCTATCGAAGTCTTTCCGATAATCTAAAGAACCTTTCTTATATACAAGTCCGTCAAGGGTGTATGCGCGTTAGTAGGTATGGAGTGGTCCATGTTCAAATTCAAGTAATGGATAATGGAAAATGGAAAATGGAACAAACAATAATAAGAAAGATAAACGATGAAATATGGAAGAGAAAGATGAATGTTAATGCTCAGTTTTCCGGAACACCAGCCCCGAAATCAACACCAACCCAAGTAAGCCAGCCTTAGTAACACCGATTTCCCATGAAAAATTCAAACTTTAGTCCTGGATGTATGCTGCTCAGAGAGGGGTATTGTAAAAACAGAAAAGAGGAAGCACATGCATGAAAAAATAGGGTATTCGGTCGTAGCAGATAAAAAACGAAAAGGAAGAAAGAAAAGATAAAAGGGAGCTTAAAACCCAAATCTCCAATGAGATTGCGAAGACGGTAGGGGAGGCCCCTTGCGCAGAACATTGGCAGGTGGCTCCAGGTCAAACGGGTCACTGCGAATGCTGTCACGTGTCTTGGGTGTACCAAGAGATTTCGAGGCCTGACTGCACGTATCAGGGAGGGTCAGGCTACTTTCACCAGGTCGATAGAAGCTTGCATGACGAGAGCTAGGGAGTGATTCGTCATGGTAATCCAAGAAGCGCGTCCCGCCCCCGCCTGACTCCTGGGAGTAGTTTGATACCGAGCGAGACGGGGGGTAGATCTCGATGATCGGTGAAGAAGGACTGCGCTCAAGGTCTTCATTTGGATCTCCCATGTAGACATAGTGACCGTCACCGTGTGGATACACCTTTTCCAAGCACGGGCTCGGGGCTGAGGCTCCGAAGGCTGGATCAGAGTGACTTGGGACTGAGTAGTTCCGTCGAGGAGGAAAAACCGGGGCCGATGGAATGCAGGCCGGGCCGTCTTTGTCGGAAAAATATGGCTGAGAGATTTTGCGGGTGTGACCGCGAAACGAGCTTGTGGAGTCTCGGTTTGGGAGCAGTCCTTGTCTGCTGTTTTGGCGTCTGTGTGGGTTTGTCCATCGCCTGCGACGAAAGAGGAAAAAAGCTAGGAGGCCAAGTGCGATGAATGTTATGGCTCCAACAGTTCCGCCAACGATTGCGCCTACTTTTTGGTGGCTGGTTTGGTTTCCTGTCGACTCTTTGGTAGAGGTGCTTGGGTCCGCGAAGGCACTTCCCATGGTCATAGAAGGCGACGCTGTTGGTGAATATTGAGATGAGAAGGTTTCAACCGGTGCCATTGTCCGAAAGGCAGATGCTGTTGACATAATGGAGGTACTTGGCCAGGTGGAAGATGGTGTCTTTAAATTCGAGGTGCTAGCCAATGTCGCGTCGGCAACGCTCAGGTGAACATCTGTACTGGAAGAGAAGACAGAGATTTCAGATGTACGGAATGGCTCATGAGCCTGTAGCGACGATGAGCTGGATGTAGTCCAGGTGGTCAGATCTTCCGAGGATGTTGACGACTGACTGGTCGATGAATCGACAATCGTCGGAGTGGTCTCTATCTTGGTCTTCGTCGACGTCTGAGAGTTTTGCTGAGGATCTATCTCTGAATGAGGGGTCTGGGAAGGGGCAGGTTCTGTATACACTGTCGTTGGACTGCGCGTAATGGTAACCGCTTCAGTGATGGCCTGGGTTGGGTGAACCGTTTCAGTCAAAACCGACGTGAGGGTCACAATCGGCGCCAGAATCGTGTGGTCCTTATTTCGCACATCGGTGAAGCTCGTCACATACAAAGGATTAGCCGAAGAGGCATTAAACATGTCGATCAAGCCTACAGGCTGTGAAAAAAGGTGTAGTCGAGTCCGGTGTGGTGGGATGTAAGTGAAAGAGTCTTTCTTCTCTCAGCATGAACGCACAACAAAGCGAGGGCGTATTAGCAAAGAAACATCCTTAGAACCACCACGTTGTGGGAGTAAATCGATTGCACAGCAGTGCCATAATCGTATTCATTCTATCACTCAAATCCAGGCAGATTCTTCTGGAATGCCAGAATATTAATACCACCTGTGCTAGATGCTGCGAAGCTTAACCGGAGAGAACCAGAGATAGAAAGCACCCCCTCATGCCGGATCCTGGTCACCGGATTCCTTTATACCCTCCGAAGCTTTCCTCATACTTTCAGTTCCCCCTCCATGACCAGGGGTGGTTTTCCCGTTTCAAGTTTATGTTGGCGCTACCAGTGTGTGAGTGACCAGCGCTTAGCATCCCCGGACCAATGGCAGGGCCCACAGAGTGCCATTATGGGGCGATCATTACCCCGGGCTCGGGGCAAATGTGATACCCTGCAGAACAGCGTCTCGTGTAGCAGATCTGAAGATTAGGGCGAAACAGCGGTTTTAGCTTTGGCAACTGGAGTCCAACCAGACTTGAGGCCAGAAAGTTGAGTTTCTCACAATATTGAGGGGATTAGTCAGGTTATGTAATCCCACGCTTGTCACGACGTTCAACCACAACGTTCCCTCATGATGACGAGAACATCCTGGTGCTGGCCTGCTGACAGGTTGCGAGGATCCTCAGCATCTCCTTCGTATAGACAACCACAATGATCGACATGAATTGACGTGTAGAGAACTGGCCAGACTGTAGTGTGTCGTTCCCCACTTTCAAAAGTCCCAAATCCCAAATCCACTTTCTCCTTCATTACCGAGTTCATCATACCTCTGGTTCGGTTTCCTGATCTTGGGGATTTTTAATTATTGAGTCCATTGGGATTGTCTTCTGGTAACCCCCAGAGCATGTGAGACGTTCTACTGCACTACTTCCCCCGTCTCCATCATGTTTGGCTGGGGCCCTGGGCTGGGTAAACTTCCCCTCCTCTCCGAGCTCCGACGAGATGTATATGAAACTAATCAATGACTTCAACATCCAGGCCTGGCCTCTGTTAGCAAAGAACCCGAAGAAGAACGCGAAGCTCCTGCTCAACCAACCCCGCTGGACTTCCCCATCTACCAGCTCCCCGAGGTGGTCCCCCACCCCACCGAGTCGACCCTGCATGACCTATCCACCCTCCTGGCCTCCATCAAGCGGCCCCAAGATATCACCCTTGAACGATTCGCCGCGCTAAATCTCAAGGTCGATCGCGATGTCGACATCCAACAAATGTTCCCAGAGGACGTGGTACAGACCTCGCCCATGCCCTGGGACCCAACACCGGAAGTCCCCGCCGGAGAGACTGAACCCCGTCCCTTGATGAGCAATGGACTGCCATACCCGTCAAAGGACCGCTTCGAAGTACTGCAGACGGAGCTATTGCTAGAAAATGACGATGTCTTCAGAGAGGTCTCCCGATTGCCCGTCCGCGAGGGCCGCGAACGGGTCCGCGTGACACAGTCACGCAAGTTCTGGGCGGCATTGGAGCGAATGGCACAATACTGGGATACAAGTCTGGATAACTACTTTGAACGCCCGGCAACACCGCAGCGCACCCCGCCGTCCGAGAGTGATACCAAGGATGATGAGATGCAGATCGACAACCTGCCCGATGTGACGGAGGGCACGATGGACGTGGATCAACCAGTTTTGGTCGGCAGCGCCGATCTTGAAAAGGCTCCACAGCCTATCGTGAAATTGTATACAGGTCGTCGCAGTGGTGCCGGTCATGAAATGCCCGAGGATTGCCGCGAGGAGGTCGTCAGAAGCTTCATCGAGATGGCCGCCTGGCCGTTTGGATGCCAGGTTACGATTCCCACATTGCCACCCCGGCTGACAGTGAAGAACCTACTTTTCCCAGTCCGACAGTCTTTGCAGTCGGCGCGGTCTCCGCGAGACCGCGAGACCGCGCGAAACGGTATCCTAGAGGGGCCCGTTCTCATCGCGCAATGTCGTCCCGAAACTGGTTTCCGGAACGAAGGCGATGCTCCCGGCACAGGTCTTGGAGAGATCTGTGATCTATTTCGTGAAGTGGGAGGCATGCTGTTGGCTGCGCAGGAGCGCGCCCGTGAGGGCGGAGTAGAGCTGCGACCAGGAGAGGGGAAATGGTGGACAATCAAACCGCGGTTTGGTGGTGCTCCCGCCGATGGAATTCTGGAAGGTCTCATGAATGGGCCTGGCATTCACGGGATACCTATTCCGGACTCGCTGCTCAGTTCTGGTCAAGACAAGCCTTCAACATCCGCCCCGGAGGCGGAAAGCGCGCGCAAGAGACATAAGTTCGAGCATCCTTTTGTGACTTCTTTGGCGCGCCGGCCGAGCGCCATGCGGAAGCTTTCTAGTGGTGAGAAATGGCAGATCATTCAGCCTGGTCCCAGTCTGTGGGATAAGCGTATGCGGTATATGCAGATCGGTAAGGCTAAGGATAGCCCATTTGACGATGTATGATACCGTGATCCTCTGATTTTGTATGCCCCAGCTAATCTAACTTGTTCAGATTTACATGATCTCAGCTATTAACCACCATATCGCTATCTTGCATCTCCGAGTCCACCGCAGATACCTCGAAATCCTCACTAACGGCGAAAGTACTTTCCCCGAGGAATCCCCCATCCCAGACCAACCATGGCACGTCCTGAAACTCCAACGTACTCGGTGGTACGACTTGCTAGATGCAAACGACCGCATTGAAGGATTGAAATGCGTTTGGAGGTTATTCCATTACCAGCAGAGAACTATCTGATGCTAAGCGCCAGCAGATAAATCGGTCCTTGCAAATCCAGGGTCTGGAATTTCGGCGTGGTGTTTGGCGAGTATTGAAGATCTCCCCCGTCCACACCTTTAGATGCGGTGTATCAGGTATATACCACGGACTCGTTTCGATATCCGTGTCATTGCGATTGCGCTTTCCCTGGTTATTTGCTTGCTATTTTCACTTTGCATATGCCTGATACCATACATGGAGATGATTCAGGTCATCTGCGGCCGCGTTAGCGGCCTATGAAGATCACTGACAGTTTATTCCCTCATGAACATTGCTTTTCTCTGTCAAACAAGAGTATAGAACAAAATACAATTGATTTTGCTGTTGATATTCTTAAAGTATATATTAACGTAGATTGACAGACGAAGTGCCTTCCAGCATTTACTGTGCGCTAAACACCTTATTTGAGCAATCGTGAGCACTTGAGGGCCTGTTGGTTGCGGTTTATCATATCTATCTTGTTATTTCCGAATCCACATAGATCAGTACAGCCAAACTAATTACAAGAACACATGGCCGTCCATACATGACTGCGTTTTGTACCTGTCGTACTAATCATCATCTTCACAGGAATTGCTCATGGCCACATGGTGTACAATTTTAGGTTCTAATTTCCCTTGAGACTTCTCTGGTGCTGCTTTTGAGCTTATGGCTGCCGTGCTGATTTGTATATTGGAGCCAAACCTATGCTCTATTTTGGATTCGAGATGCGTAGACGATATATACCTACTAGTTGAAAACTCGGTCCCGATTAAGTGGAGGCAGACACACCTGCAAGTCCAATCTACTGAATACAGCTCTAATGACATTAGGTGTTGCGCTTTCAATCAAGCATGGTACAGCTATGTGCAGGCAAACGTACTGAAACCTGAGATCTCATGATCATTGGGCTTGATGATGGCTTGCGAATGATTCTGATTCATCTATTTTTTTCTTGTCAGAGTTTCAAGTCGAGTTGTTTCAACAGCTCAGTTGGGGGCCATATTCTGGCCTCGGATATGGCGGGCGCTATCTTCGTTGACAAGGCAACTATGGACCTTCTGCAGCTGCTTTCGGATTCAATGTCACAGAGGTCAAAAATACGATTGTTGGTAAGTCAAGTGGCTTCTTTCAGACACTGACGACGTGACAGTGGACTGCCGTTGATACAGCATTGTCTCGGCTGTTGCTGAAGTGTAGGTTCTTTTGTCGGACATATTAATCATGATTCCTAGGATCCATCTTACTACTAGCTCATCAACAGGTACGCTCGGTGCCCTCCTATCGCTTTTCTTGAAGGTGGGCTTTTGGGTTCTCTTGACCACTCTCTATTACCATACTCTAGCATTCCCTTATCTAGCGCGGGACATTGTTTATGGAAGCGGAGCTGGTAGTGCCTAGACCTTGCAGCCTAGATACAGGAGATATGGATACGGTGAAGCTGACTTGTTTAATGATTGGCGCATTCCAGCTCCCGGAGTCGCGGATTTTTGCCGCATATAAGCTAGTCCCACCTCCGTCGTGATGGCGTCATTTAGTTCCTACGCTACGAAGTACTAGTCCGGAACAGATGTTCTGTAAACACGTGCGGGTTTGTCGTGTGGCATTATCCGAATCCACGTCAAAGATCGAAACGCCAGAAATATACCAGAACTCTTGATCACTGTAAGCAGCTGTAATTCGAGTGTAAACATTGAGATCCCAAGGCCCGGACCGATCCGGGCGGGAACCGTGGAAGTGAGATTTCAACGATGCCACGTCACAACTGGTTATCGTCCATAAGCAATAGATGTGGGTACAGCATACCAGACGCGTGGCGGAATCAAATAGAAATTCATCAAAGTACAGGGTGCCACAGCACCCAATGGTATGTTCGTGAGATTGGAATACACCAGGCAGTCGTAACATATAGGTACAGGGATCCACAAAGGAAAGAAGTGTGGCAGACAGCCAGGACAGGAATGAGCAGGCAAAGACGTTCCCCTGCCTACCAACCCAGACATCAAATCGTAACACATAGCCAAGCCCACAGATGGATTCTGTACAGTGAAAAGGAAAATTAGAAGAAAAATCAGGCACTCTTCATCCCGCGTGTCTCGCACTAGCTGCTACGCAGCAGTTGGTCATCAATCAAAAAGAGAATAATATCGCGAAAAGGTATACAGCAAAAATAAAAAAGCAAGCAGACAGCGAAGTATTGACACACAAGGGCTTCTTTTGCTTCATTCGGGCTCATTACATCGATAAAGGGGAAGTAGAAAGGCAAGGAGAGCAAAAAAGGCTGTCGTAAATAATGCACATCGTTCTATCGCTAAAAGGGACTTCAAAGTTATGCCGTGAACTGTCGTTTAGATGCCCGAACCCGACCTTCAAGTTGTGAATCAAGGTCCGCGAGGGGAAGAGGATTAGGGGGTGTTTTTGTGTTTATTTTAGCAGTTCCATTGCTCGGGGGCGTATTCGGATTATGGCTTTCGTCTTCAGGATCATACCGAACGCTTCCACTGAGAGGCGCGGAGAGGTAACCAGAGCTGAGCGGAATTTGGTACTTGATAACTCCCCGAACGATCAGGTCGAAAGGGTGTTGAAGGACTCGCTCCCAACGCTCGGTGCCGCCTGTTTCTGTTCCGTTGCCTGGTTGAGGTAGACGAATCTGGCCCTTGGAAGTAGACGCATCGTAACTCCAAGGCGATGCCGGAAACGAAAGTGGCGAATCGAAGACCATAACTCGACCGAGCAACATAGTCTGTAAATCATGTTCCGGGTCCTTTATGGGATCAGTGCCCTCGTCGACACCACCTTTACCGTACTCCTTCTTGAACGTTAGCCAAGAATGACCGGACGCGGCCGCTTGGACGCAATCCATGTCCCCAAGACATTGAACAATCTGGGATAACTGCCAGCGGCGTCGGCTTTCTTTGACCCGGGGGAAATGATCGAGGTCCTTTGGGTCATGCTCGCGCCATAATTTGTCTGTGCCAACATATTTGCTTCTAGCAAAGATGTTGAGTTCAGCGACATCAACCGTCACAGGGAAGATGTTCGGATTGACCGCGGACACTTCTAGATCTAGCATAATTTCTTGTTCCGATGCGAGAACGTTTTCGATAGCTACAACCTGCACTTCCAAGAGTGATTTGGTAGCAGCTATGAAAAACGACGTCGCACCACCAGCAACGATGAGCAATAGCAAAATGATCACGACACACGAGCCAAACTGTGAGAAGTACCGACGTTCTCGTTGAGTGATATACTCAACCTGTCGTGAGCTTCCACCGGGTCGTCTACTGCTGCGTTCACCCCGACTACTGCGTGGTGGACGGACCAATGGTGTTCGTTCATCATCAGCCCCCTCTGCATCGAAGTCATATCCGTAGATATCGCTCGCTTTCTTGAGCCCATTAATGGTCTTGTAGTTCGGCGACGACCGAGTATTGGTGTTCCGTGAATGCCGCTGCCCGCCAATAAAATGCCGTGGAGATTTCTGGCTTTGAGGTTGAGTGAATGGTCCATCGCTATCAAAGAGAGACCTGTGGTCCCCATTGCGATTCCGGTGCGCAAAATGGTGCCGCGGAGTAATGGTACCGCTACCTTCAACTCTAGAGGCGCTTCGTCCATCCGCCTCGATCGCCTCACCATCCAAGCTGCTATTAAACGTATTATTGGTAAATTTCATGCTGCGCTTCCCAGTCACGCTGTGCACGCCTTCTCGCAGGCGGCTTCGACCAGCCAGCTGGTCAACCTGGCTTGCCATTGAGGTTGCGCTTGGCGTCCGAGAGTGGTATCGTCGTGGAGGGTAATCTATCGGGTTCGATTCATACACAAATGTCTCGTCAGAATCAGAGACGTCAGCCTCGTCCACAGCACTAGCAACTTTAGCTTCAAATATATCTGCTTTGCTTGACGTGGGACCAGGTTGAATAGCATTCGGCCTTCGCTTTCTTTTCTGGGGATTACTGCGGGCCACTGGCGCCCTGACTGTATCTGTCGATTTCTTGTTCTTCAGAGTACCCTGATCAGCGCGACCAGTGTTTCCACGTTCGCCAGCCCCAACTCCCAATGATACCTGTGGGATTGAACTGACCGTCTCAGTCTCCACAATCATGTTGCGCACTGAGCCATCAGCAGGCTTCCCGCGAGCTCCAGCGCTTAGCGAGGTACTTGAGCGTTGCGGCATGAGGGTCTTCGGGGTCTTAGCCCCTCCAGTAGCCTGAGAACGTCCATCTTCTGCCGGCTCTGAACTCCGGGTACCACCACTCTCACTCCCACTCTCGACGCTTTGTTTTGACGCCCGAGGCGTTGGGTCTTCATCGATCGTGTGTAACCGAGAGTCTTCCGGAGTCATGGGTTTGAGAGCTGTATCACTCGAGGGCGTCGAAGGATTACTAGCCATCTCCTCAACTGTCTCCAGGGAGGGACCTTGTCCACTGACACCCCTGGTAGCCACCCGAGGGGTACTTCGCTCCACCATTCCTTGTTCTTCGGGAGGTGGCAAGGCGATCCTCTTGTGAGAGGTATTTGAAGGAGTCGACTCATGCTCCGCGCGACGATTCCCCGCCCATGATGGCATGTTAGGCTTTTCGGGACTGAGGACATTGGCCGGAGGATCGGGGTCAGGAGGAGGTGAGAAGATCGGCGGATTGCTCAGTTGCGCTGACGGACGTGGGCTAGGCGAGGTAAAAGATTGCGTAGGTATACCCGAGGAGTTGCTGTTGAGGGATGATCGGTTGGGACTGCTTCGATCTTGGCTGTTTCGTCGAGATTGAGAGTGCACTCGACTAGTCGTTGACGAATTGCGTGTACGTGAGGAGATTCGGACAGGGGAGGATTCGCGGGACGAGACGGCGGAGTTGGTTGTAGATGTCGTAAAAGACGTAGGGATATTGGTGGTGAACTTAGGCATCTGTGACATAGCCTGACCATGGGGTTTCATGGCCGGGTGTGGTAGTTCTGTCATGTCTTCCCTGGCCGACCGATACGTGGGATCCGAAGCCGTCTCCGCATCTTTGGGTCCTCTGGTTCGACCAGAGTCACCATTGGAGTAAGGCGGCCTCTCGGATTCCGCAGCCATAATGTGCTGACACGATGCAGACAAGTCAGGAGACCGAGAGGGAGCCGGGGAAAGTTGGGCAGGAATGAAAGTCCCAAAAAGGGCACCGAATAAGCAAGGTGCAGCAGTAGGTATGTAGGTAGGGAAGGGTCAACGGTGAAGAGAAGTTGTTGGCAATCAGAGAGGAGCGAATGAGGGATTGCCGCGGTTTACAAGCGAAAACGTGTTGCAAAGATAATGGGACTTGTTACACGAGTGACGGTGCAGCAAAGTAAATGACCGATATCCACATGCTCACGACAAAAACTGGGGCGAGGGGATTGTAAACGATGGGGTGATTTTGATTGTACCAAGTGCAGGGTGAGGAGTTCGGTGTGGATAGTGGATACGCGATGGAGCAGTGCTTTGGATTGGGAAAGCGCATGCTTTGTTTCCCACAGAAGCCAGAAAAACAAGAACGTCTAGAACAAGGTGGTTCCGAGCAATACCAAACGCTGGTTGGCGGGATTTTGGGGGCTGATGGGGGCCGCCGATCCGGCTCAACGTTGGACCAGTTTTCCTTGTTGTGTAAGAAGTGAGGAGATGTGGCGTCCACCCGTTGCCGAATGCGCCTGCAGAGATGTCGGTGACCAAGACCTCGGGTGAAAAATGTTGTCGTGGCTGACAAGTGGAGGGAGTCAGGGCCGGGCCCGAGATGAGACCAATGATAGTTGCCCACGTCAGGGTCGAAGGGGCACTTGCACTGCAGGGGACCACGCGGATGGGTCTAGAAGGGGTATGCGGGCCTTGGAATCCACTGGAAAGATGTAGATTTAAGTGGAGGTATTTAAAGAAAGAGAAAAGAGAATGATGGAGTTGACAAGCCGAGATGCAAAATCTGGAATCTGGGGAGATGCAAAACGCGAGGATGACGCACCGCTGGTAATACAGGTAATAAAACAGGGCACCCGGACCGCCACTCACTACTGGATGCCTGGGTTTGGCCTGAATTACAACGGTATCGAGAATACACACTATTCACGATGACTTCATAATTAGTGGAAATTGCCGAATCAATATAGCGAACAATACAGTAGGCTCCATCACCTACATAGGAACCGGGTTCTTGATAGTCCAAGACCTAGTTGATGGTATTGAACTAAGGAGTAGCTAAGAAAGCCACACTTTAGACCATCGCTAATTTAAGTACAGTAGGGTGCCAGGTAGACTATGATACTGTACCGAATCGAATGTGTCGTGCTGTGGTTCCTGGTACCTGCTTAGGTTCCAGGACTACATGTGAGGTATCTATAATTGTACAGTATGTAAATGTCAAGCAAGGAATCAACGTCAAATGATGATGTAAGGAAATTTGTGAAGTTCCAAGCGTGCGGCAAGATATGATTGCCGTGTCAAATGTGATAGGGAACACAGCGATGGGTGGGCCATTTCCTCTCTAGGTAAGGCACGTATACAATATGCCAACTGGTAGGTCTAACATATGAACATGATTTGATTGGTTCCAAGTTGGGTGGTATATACAGTTCTAGACACACCAAACACAACATAGTGTACAACAAAAGAATTTTGGGCAGAAATAGGCAAATCCCCAATATATGACCCGTTTATCGTCACAAACCCAACGCCGCCGTATGCTCTGAGCAACCCCATAAATCGTGTACAGGGGGAAAAGAATTGAAAATCACATTTGAAGCAAGAAATAAACCCAGGGTATCTAGAATTTCCAAAGGTGGGAACCGCAGCCTTGTCTACACAATCTTGTAGACTCGTTTGGCAATCACAAATGAGAGCAAGGCAAAGACGGACAAACCGGCCGTAACTGAAAGGTTTTAGAGGTAGAAGTAAAAAAGGGGATAAAGAAGACTTACTCGACCAGAACCAAGACAGATTATCGATATCCTGGCCCGGGACTTTCACGTTCATACCCCACATACCACAAATAATATTCATGGGGAGAACAATGGTACCCAGTACAGTCAACTTGCCCAAAACATCAGCAGTCTGCTCCTGGCGCTCATTCATCAAGATGTTGATCTGAGCTAGGTAGTTGGAATGCGCCCGAGAGAGTATCCTGTCCAATGAAGTTAGCGACATGTTCAACCGAAAACTAAACGCAGAGCGAAAGTTTGAGAACGTAAACTCACGTTTCGTAGTGTGTCAAATTGCCTGTCATGGTCATAATATGGTCCTGAATATCGCCCAAATACAGACCAATCTCTGATTTAGGTGCCACTTCCCATTGCTCGTTGCAGCGTTTCGCAAACCCTTTAACCACATCTGCCTTGTTGCTGAGCAGCCGGTAGAGCCCCATCACCTTCTTGCGGCATTCGCCCACCCGTCGAAGCATTTCGCCAGGTGCAAAGGAGGGAAGTACATTGTCATTCGCGGACCCCTCTTTGCTGGATGAGTGCATTTGCATGATCATCTCATCGATCTCATCGACCTCATTTTCGATGGCTTGGATAAGTGGACCGAACACATCGGTAATATCATCAATCAGGGCGTACGAGATCCAGTCAGAACTGAGGATCAAATAGTCCATGAGCTGTCGAATACGCCTCCGTACATTGGCGGGATGGGGTGTTTGTGAAAAATGGAAGGAAATCACTCCCTCGCGGAAAACAACGACATACATGTTGACAGGTTCGAGGTAGTCTTCGCTGTTGGTGTCCTGTTCAAAGGTACGGTAGTTTACAAAGTAGTAACTGCGAAATAGCTCTACCTTTTCTCGTGCCTCTTGCATCATGATATCCTCAGCAGTCAATGCATGAATACCAAATGCCTTTGCAATAGCTCGCATCTCCGCATCTGTTGGCGAAAGAACATCGAGCCAAAATGTCGGGCGGGGGCCATACCGCTTGGGCTTCACGCCGTTGTTTGAATATGTCGGCGAGATTCCTCGGTTGGATTCTTGGTGTACTTCACTGATAACAGACAAACGCTGATGTCCTTTGGTCTCAGCTGTGGAGGCTGTGGTGGCTGTCATGGCATTTTGGCCATCCTTGGTAGTATTTAATGTCCTCGGGGTATTTCCACCATTCGTAGCACGCAATTCTTCATGTGACGTAGCTACCCGGGGCCCACTGCCGGGAGGATGGAATGAATGACCAGCAGTATGCTCGTTGGAAGAGTGGTTATCATCGTCTCCTTCCTCAGACGAGGAGTCCTCTAGTTCAGGAGGGTCAGGAATGAACAATTCTCGAAAACTACCACCCGGTTGCACCAGCTCTGAAATAGTCTGTGCGTGGATAGTGCTCGGGAACTCTTCGTTGAAATAGGTGAATCGATAAGGGGCCTCGTCCTCTTCACGTCGCCATACCTTATACTGGGGTCGCAGTCGACCCTCAATAAGCATCGGCTCGTTGATCTTTTTAACGCGGGAATCCCCACTGCGCTCTTCCTTTTCTTCTCGACTCCATTCTTCCAACACCGAGAGGTCAGGCCATCGTCGGTGTCTGCGCCGTCGTTTTTCACCGGTGTCATCCCGTGGCACATGTAAACTTTCATCTCCGAGTTCTGACCCATCCGGGGGCAAACAAACATCTTCCGGGGGGGCCTAGATTTGCCACGGTGTGGCGTCGTGAACCAAATTCCGGATGTGGGGAATATAAAGGGGAGCCACGTGCAGACGAAGGCGCGGAGTGTTGATGTGGCATGCCCTCTATATTGATCACCGCATCATTCACCCGATTGAAGGCGTCCATGTGATTCTCCATAGATTGCGCAAAATCAAATTCGACACCAGTCATCATAGCATCATCGTAATTTATATCCGGCCCTAGCTTCGGTGTCCCGGGCATCGACGGAGGGTTGTTGACATCAAAGTCGCGTTCTTGCTCGGGGAAATAGGATGAGCCGTGGTTTGGCGAGCATTGAGACGATGTTGTTTGACCGGATGTTCTTCGTGGGCGAGAGGAGAGTGGACTGGTGCGCATATCTGATCCATAGCGAGTTCGACCTGATGTCGCCCCTGGTGTGGTTCGCACCAAAGGTGTGCGGTCTGTGGGCTCGAAATAATCACTGTCTTCCTCCTGGTATTGTTGAGGCCATCCTCCTGCAGGGCTGGTTCGAGCTCGTAAATCGCCAGACCGCAAGGCGCCGGATATCAGAGAGCTAGGACGGAATGTTGAAGTTTGGCGACTGTCACGACGCGGGCGCATCATAGGTTGGTCTCTTTAGGGGAGAAGTGGGATTAGCAACACTTCAATTCATTCAATTGACGACACTCCAGATATGAAAGTGGGGAGAACTCACCTATGATCCAATAATGCCTCGCTCTCCAAGCTGGTATTGCTTAAATTCCTACCCAATTTGAAAAAAGACTGACCATCCTTCGAGGGTGGCCGATCGCCTTCCATCGGCTCTCTAGCAACATCAGCTACCGATGAGGTTCCAGGCCTTTCATGCGACGTCTCCGGGGCGGGAGTGAGGAAGGATTGTTTGCGATTTTTGGGTCTGCGCCGGCGGTTCTTGCGCTTATTGGACTTGGATTTGCCAGCACTGCTATCGGGCGCGGGGGTTTGTAGGCGGGCCTTGGAGGACGTGGCCGAAAGTTGGTCTTGGCCTGCACCGCCCATTGGACCGTTCCCGGGTCTGCTATCAGTGGAAAGTGGGTAGTCGTTGGGCTGGGGGCGCTTCCTTGCACCAGGGGAAGAAGAACGCGAAAGTGGAGATCGAGAAGCTCCATGTGCAGGAGTTGGTGTATGAGGCGGATCCATAACGAGAGTGTATATTAAAGCAGCCCAATAGTCGACCAGGTGGTGAGCTTTGGCCGTCTCTGGCCTCGGGAAGGGTTCGTAGTAGAATCCGCCGATTGGACGCACCCAAGACTTTATCGGTGTGACCGTACTGCCAAATTGCCAATATTGAAAGCTTCAAACTGACATGGACCAGATTGGAAAGGCGTTCACAAGACCACAGCTTATAGACATGTCCAAGATGAACTACCAGCGGCTGAGGATCACGAAGCTCCAATGAGACGTGGACCTGGAGCTGGTCGCTGAGGATGACGCGTGTGGCGAAACCGTGTGGAACATCAGGGACTCGACTCGACCAAGCAGAGGAATCCAGCTGTCACAGGTTACAAATAAGAAAAAGCAAATAAAATGATAGACGACAGAGCTCTCGTAAGGAAGTTGCACAAGTCCAGAGGGTTGGAAAGGGCTGTGTAGCGCCGAATCATCCCAGGAACTGGATTGCCTAAAACGGATCGATGAGGTCAGCGAAAATTACTTAATTGCAACCACGGGCAGTACAGTGGATGTGAGAACCATAGAGGTAACTAGGAAGGATAACGTAGCACAGACCAGAAATGTATGGAAAAGATTACATTACAATTGACTTGCCAGAAGTACAAGTTCATCACTCATCAGACATCAAAGATAGTAAATACATGTCCAGCGGCCGTTAATTTTCCATTCAAAAGCACATCTCAAAAGAAATCAAAATCATAATATCAAACAACTCTACTCCATACCAAAGTATCAATCCGAGGCCAGCCGCGAGAGGGAATAACCGAGACCAAAAGGCCAGGACGCCGAGGTGGCATAGCACCATGAATTATTCAAGAGAAAAGAAAGAGAAAAACAGAACAAGACAAGATCTGATGGTGAGCACAAGGTCAATGGTAGAAGCCAATTTGAGTGTGACGCCTCAAAACTGATTACTACCCATGTCCATTGTGAAGGTGGAAGGTGCCACACTATGAACGGATTTGTTTGCGTCCAGCGACATCCGGTCACCACTCATCATTCGAGAGATCTTTTTGTCTTTGCCGGGGCGGGCGATGAGGACTTGAGCCGGGCAGACGACAACCTCGTCGTCGCCCTCACCAACATCGTTCCCCTTCTTGACAACGAGAGGGAAGAGGACGATGCGTACAACAGCCTGCTGCGACTCCAACTCATCATTCGAGCTAGTTTCGCCACTGCGCTCATTCATCAATGAGGCATTGAAGTAGACCTGACGGGCGAGATCCCCATTGGTGTCATATTCAGGCTGGAGGGGCGGCAGCATGATGAACTCAGCCAGCTGAGTACGCATCTCGAGGGAAAGGTTGACAGCGACACGAAGCACCTTGCGCAGGGAATCTAGTAATTGCGCTTCCATTTGAGATGGGGGTGGGAGCACGCGTGATAAGGTGCCGAAGATCTCCAAGGCGACGGCTTCAGTGTCGCTATCCCGCTGAGAGGCAAATGCTGGCCTTCGGGACAGCAAGGTCAAGGTGGTGGCGCGCCAACGATGGACTGCCCGACGGGGGCCAACTTCCGCCAATTGCTTCTCCAGAGACTTGAGTTTCTGGCGTTGTTCCCGATCCATACCAAATAGGTATCGGGTGAAGATGTATTCCCATACCATGGTCATCACGACCGACATGAACACATCACGGCGGCGCACTCGATCAGAGAGCAAGGAGTCAGCATCGGTGCCATCAAGAAGGGCATTGTCGAAGCGATCGGCGATTTTCTCATCATGCAGTTCACTCAGAGCACGGCAGCGACGGTGGTCAGAGTGCTTGGAGAAGCGGAGCACCCACTGTTGAACATGGCCACAAAGCTTTTGGCATGCAGCGTCGAAATAATCCTCATCTCGAAAGACAAGGGCATTGTCGTGGACCGACGCAGAGATCTGTTGCTGTAGTTCCTTGACTTTATCGCGGGCGGCTTCAAGATCTTCGCGCAGGCGTCGCAGCTCAGCATCTTTCTGTGCTAGAGCGGATTCAATTTCTTGTCGGACGCGCTCGTCTACCTGGCTCGACAGGTCGTTATGTTGCGACCGCAGAACATCGAGCTCGCGAGTTGACGATTCGCGCACATTGCTCACCTCGGCAGCATGGGCAGCAGCGAGTGCAGCATTGGATGCCGTGAGGCCTTCATTCTCCTGTGTGAGGCGAGTTGTTTCCTTTTGTAACCAGTCCACAGAGCTCTTCAATTGTTCGATCTCGGCTTTGCTGTCTCGTAAGTCGGCGCCACTGGTGTAAAGGGCCTGGTCGCTCTTTCGTCGAGCGACGCTTGAATTGCGCAATCTCTCTTCAGCTTCATCGCGGGCAGCGGCGAGCAAACGGTTGTCTGAAATCAGTTGGTCGAGACGAGATTCGAGATCTTGTAAGTGTTGGATGCTTCGGCGATGACGGACACTAGGCGGTCGGCTGGGCGACCGCGGGGAACTGGGAGTCTCACCCCATCCTTCCTGTAGAAAAGATTAGTAAACAAACAAACAACAGCTAAGAAAAAAAAAAATTTAAATCACAAAAGGAAAATAATGAATCGCAATCAATAATAATCAACTTACATAGACATCCGACATGTTGCGCATAGGACGCTTGCCCTTGTCGGTGACGGGGTCGTAAGAGGAAGAGGAAGGAAGCTGATCGAGATCGAGATTTGAGGGAGGCTGGGAGTCTAGCGCACGACTAGCCGCCCGCAGATCGCTACTCGTACTCCGATTCGTGCGACGCAGCTTGCCCTTGCTACCAGAGGGCCTCAACACCGGCATCCCCTGCTCGGGTGTTTTCAGAATAGGGGATTCGCCGCCGCTGCGGCTTTTGGTCAACTCTTCCTGGCTGCGACGGGCTTCATTTTCTGGTGTTGGCCATGCTTCCCGCCCATGGGAATTGTCTGTAAACTTTCGCACGGGGGAAATACTTCGTGCAGTAGGAACAGGTCGCTCGGGAGTAACTGGTCGTAAGACATGCTCTGGCTTGATCTCCAGGCGGGGCGTCCCATGCTGAGCCATGGTCGCTCTGTGTCCGTCCCCTGGTTCCTGTTCCGCAATCGGGTCTAGTGGAGTCCGGGGCCGAGAAATTGAATCGTGCTCTCCGAATGGTCCTCCAAAGAGAGATCGAGGTGGTGAAGGGGCCATCGCTGGGATAGATTGTTCATCCAAGTTCCACGTGCGGGGAGTATGCTGATGTCGCCCGTGGATAACTGAAGGAGTTCGGCGCAATTCACAAGAAGAGTCAGCGGCAACCTCCATTTGGGATGGCAGGAGATGCCGGGGCGAAGACGGCTCCTCGGTGTGAGTAGACGGAGATGAGCTGAAAAGCATAGAAGATCGTTCTAACGATCCAGAGTGCACCGGTTTTGAAGCCGGTTCCTCCACGAAAACGTCATCAGGCACCGGAAGTTTTGGCTCCTTTGTAGATTCCTCGGAGATAACCTTGGCGGGTGGAGCATAATGCTCCACAGGCAGATCGATCTCTTTTGTAGCTCCAGGGAGCGGGTCAGGAGTGGTTTCGAGTATGTCTTTAGGTTCGGTAGCCGCGGAGGGGGGTGCTTCCGAGACGGGGATCGCGATGTCGCGATTGGCTTGCAAGTCCTCTGTCGTCTCATCCTCAGCACTATCTTTTACCGACGCGGCTGTCTTCTTCAATCGAAACCCTGCACGAGGCAATCCAGGGAAAAGGTTGGCAACGCTGGATCCTCCGGGGGTCAGAGATCTGGCGGGAGGTTCAACTTCAATTTCGCCGGAGGCCGAGAAATCTGCTGGTGCCTCTGGCGTCGATTCAGTGGCTAACTCAGTCTGTTCATGTGACGGCTCCTGTGCAGACTCAGCGGACTCTGCCAGGGTTGCTTGCTCAGACTTCCTCTTGTTCTTCTTGGCCTTTTTCTTGGCGCTTTTACTCAGCGGTTCATCCGATACTGCCTGTAGCTCCTTGGCTTCCTGCAATGCCGCGGGGATAGCATGCTCATCATACTCCTCAATGGCTTCGAAAGCTGGAATGGCAGTGTCAGGCTCATGCTCAGGCTCAGCAGTGTGATCGTGAGTAGGAGCGGTACTTGTAGATTTGCCTTGCTCCCACTCAATTCTAGGCCACTCCTCATCTTGGTTTGTCTCATCTGACGTCGGAACTTCGAGCTCGAGCTGTTCTTTGAGAGACAATTCTTTGTCGATGGGCAATTTAGTCTCCAGGTCGTCGGTCACCTCGGACAGTGGCTCGATTTCCAAGGTTTGGCTCTTTTCGGCTTTCTTCGCCTTCTTTGAGGTCTTAGAATTCTTCCGTGAGAGGGAGGGTTCTGGATCATTCGTAGCTGACTCAGAGGGGATCGGTGCTGACTCTGTGAGAGTATCGACTTCTGGCCGGGTTTGTAAATCCTGTTCTTCGAGTTGCTCAGGTTCGGATGCGGGCTGCTTTTCATAGAAAGGCATTTCTTCAATTTCCACAGTGGACTCTGGTGCTGAAATTTCTGCATCTCTTGACTGTGTAGTTGAGCTTTCCATGCCTTGTTCCTCCTGATCTGCTGGCAAATTTTCCAGTAGAAGGCCCTTCTTCTTGGCCTTGCGTAATTCCTTTTTAGACATTTTCTTTGAATCAAGGATGGTACCTTCAGCCTGTTGAGGCGAGTCTTCGACAGAGTCTTCAGTCAAAGGCTTTTTATCTTGCTCCTGGGCTTGTGCCTGGCTTTCAGCTTCCGGCATGTCATTTTCCTCTGCTCTCTCAAGGGAGAACTCCTGGCCCGGTGTCTGAGTGGTTTCCTTTCGGACAGGCTCGGTAGAAGCAGTTGGCACTTCAGTTTCAGCTGGCGAGGTCAAATCAAGAGGACCTGATAGAACGGCAGTCTCGGTCTTCTGAGTATCGTAATCTTGTTGACTCTCAACCTTCTCTACAGGCTTTTCATATTCGAGGCCTGCGGCAGGTTCGATCTCCTCAATCTCGCGAACGTTCTCCACCACGGGCTCATCGGTCGGGAACTCTGGCTCAGGCACAGTGTCTTTGGGCTCCTCTGTGCCCAGCGTCTCGACATTCAAAGCGACCTCTGGTTTTTCAGCCTCGGAGACACGGGCTGCTAGCTCATTGGGATCAGAAGTCAGGTCAGAAGATTCCTGTCGAGATTTCTTCTTGGCCTTTCTTTTTTCCTTTTTCGAGAGTTCGGGAGTAGCCGCAACTTTCTCTTCCACGGCATCTTCAACCGGTTCTTGCGGTGTCTCTATCGTATTATCGGAGACATCCTCGGCGGGTTGAGAAATAGACGATACAGGCTGCTCGCTGGCATGCACATGTGCAGGCTCTGGCTGCAACTGAACATCTGGAACAGACTGCAGATCTTCCGGTTGAGCTGCTTCTGTAGTGGCCTCTGGGACATGTTCAGTATTTGAAACCTCATCAAAAGAGAAATTTGGTTGAACTGATTTTTCGCCGTCGATAGCAACGGAGGCGGCGGCGGCAGCAGCGGCAGCGGCAGCCTTCTCTGCCATCTTCTTTTTCCTCTGCTTCTTGCTCAGGCCCTTAAACTCATCAACAGATTGTTCTGTAACGGTGTCCACAGGAGCTGTCTCTGGCATTTCCGAAGTTGGAGGCGGAGCTTCCTTTGCTTGCTCCACTGCGGCCTCCTGGGATGGGAGATCAGTAGAAGGCTCAACAGATTCAACTTCATTGCTTGCAGCTGGCGGCTGTTCCTCTTTGATGGCCATCGGTGAAATATCCTTTGTCTCCTCCACATTTTCAGAGAGAACTGCGGATTCTGTAGCCTCAGTAGCATCTTCTGCCTCCGGCTTATCCTGCGGATCGGTATGTCCTTCGGAGATTTTGAATCCTGTGGCAGAAGGCTCAAATACTTCACCTGGTGCGTTGACTTGGGCTTCGGCGTCAGACATTTCTTCGGTCTTCTCGATTTCCCCGGAAGGGCCGACGGTTTCAACTGACTGGGTCTCGGGCACATCGCCTGTGGCCTGGTCCAGATCAACCGGAATGTCTTCGATAGCTGGTGCGGACTCAAGGTGAGGGATCTCCTTGGTCTTGGTTTCCTCTAGGGCAACGGGCACAGTCTCTGGCTGTTCTTTGTCCTCTGCACCCGGTAGCTCTGGCTTGGCGGAGAGCTCTGTTTCAACGCTTTCCTCCTCTTGGAGCTTCTTCTTGTTTTTCTTATTCTTTTTCTTTTGCTTTTTGGACGTCTCCGGCCCTTCAAAGGCAGCTGGCTCAGGGTCAGGAGAAGCAGCAATATCTTTGGTGCTCTCAGCAGGTGTCTCATCGGGCACCTCTGGTGCCGGCTCCTCGTTCGCGGCCATCTCTTTTTCTGACGTTGGTAGCTCATCCTTCAAATCAAAAACTTCCACGTTTTCTTCTCCACGTTCCTCCTCCTTTAGCTCCTCCTTTAGTACATCTTCTAACCCTTTTTCTCCTGTCTCTCCTGCCGTCTCTTCCAGGACTTTTTCAACACCAATCTCCTTCTCCATTGAAGCCGTTGCTTCCTCTGTCTCATGCGCAATGGGGGTAGTCTCTTGGCTTTCATTTTCAATACCATTATCCGCTTTGCCAAAATCATTCGAACGCTCAAGCACGGGTTGGGGAGGATAATCTGAAAGATTCTCTAACTGCGGCTGCTCTACCTGCGAAGATACGATGTCATCAGTCGAAGTCAAAATTTGTGCCGGTACGTCGGGCGTTCCAATGTCGTGGGACTGATGTTCTTTACCGTCATCTTCCGCAGGCGAGGGAGCCGTAACGGATGCAATGGGTTCCGTAGTATCTTTTTCGGTTCCCTGAGCGATGATTGTGGCGTCGGTGGGATCGGATTCAGCGGTGGCGTCATCGGTACTGAGATTCTTCGACTTGCGCTTTTTCTTCTTTTCCGCCCTCTTTGCTTTGCGACGCTCCTCGGCAGTCATTTCAGTGTCGGGCTCTGCCTCGGTGGTAGGCTCAGAAGGTCCCTCCGGCTCCGGCAAGGCATCTGCTTCAACGGGGGGCTCGGCTATGGTCATGATTAGCTGTTGCTCATCCAGCTGAGCTGGCTCTGTGACTTCCTTACCGGTGACTTCCTCAGCACTGGTGGTTGTCTCGGGCTCAGTGATTTGAGTAGCTTCGGGGGGTTCGCTCGTCTCAGCCTCTTGCTTGATGTCGGCGCCTTCTGGTTGAGCGGCGTCGGCATTAACGAGTTCAACAGCCTTGTTGTCCTCTACAGTGGCAGTTATGTCATCCTGAGGTTGAAGAACTTCGGACTCGGGTTCATGGGGCAACTCTGTCGGCGTAGAAGGCTCCTCTGCGGCCAAGTCCAAAGACTTAGCATTCTTCTTCTTCTCTTTTTCCTTTTGCTTCTTGCGCTTCTTCTTCTCTTTGGATGACAGACTGGCATATTCAGGGTCTTCCTCTTCCACTTCTGCGGCTGCATCCACCGCGGCGGGATGCTCGTCGAGTTGAATAGAAGTCGATGCATCCTCTATTTCTTTGGGAGCTTCTGATATACTCCGCTCTGAGGTTTCGATTTCGGGGACCTGATCGCTAGTTTGGACAGCTTCAATAGGCTCAACATCGTCCTTTGGGGCTTCCTCTAACGTATTATCCGGCTCATTCAACTCCTTGTCTGTGGACGTTTGAGTTGGTTGCTCTGTCAGCACAGTCCCTTCCGGTGTATCGTCGCTCATGATGAGCTCCTTGGCGGGCTCGTGTTCTGATTGGGAGTCGGCAGGGGTCACATCATTGCTGTCCTCGAAAGCGACGGACTTGCGCTTGTTCTTCTTCTTTTTTGACTTCTTGGAGACAGGCTCAGACTCTACTTGATCAGCCTCGGCACTTGATTGTTCGACTATGAGAGGTTCTGTCTGGCTGTCTTGCTGCTTGGACTCTTCGGTATTTTCTGGCTCTTCTGTCAAGACAGCCGCATCGACATCGGGTGTAGGCAAAACAGTTGTGCTGATAGCAGGGTCATCAACATCTTGCTCTTCCTTAGAAGGCTCCTGGAAGTCCGGTTGGGATTCTTGCTCGGTAGGAGTAGCCTGTCCCTTCTTCTTTTTCTTGTTCTTCTTCTTTGAGCCCGTGTCGATCAATTCATGATCCGCGGCCTGTTCAGTGGACACATTGTCGATGACTGGTCCACCGGACTCCCCAGAAATAGCTTCAGACGGCAGCTCCGCCCCAACAACTGTCTCTTCAGCAAGCTCGTTGGGGATAGTTTTATCCTCGGTGAATCCCGCGGAGGGTGTTGGATTCTCCGTAGATAGAGCATCCTTGGAGTCCTCCGGCGTTTCGATAGCAGCTACATTCTCCGCGGTCACAGCTTCAGAAGAGATCTCTTCAGATACAAGCGGAGCATCTGCGACTTGCTCATTTCCAAGCTCAGGGGCCAGACCTGGAGCATCATCCGTTGACGCTTCCACAGGAGCTTCCTTGTCAAGGGCAGATGCATCTTGGCCTTCTTCGCTGTCTTGCTTCTCGGTGGCGGTAGGCTCGGGATCTGTCGCAGCTGGGGCAGCTTCTATAGCCACAGGCTTAGTAACGGCTGGAGCTTCGTCGAAAGTAGAAGAAGCGACATCAGCAGGGGCTGCAGGTTCGGCCTCTGTCGGCTGCTCTTCCACCTTGTCGGCGGTAATTTTCTCAGGAGAGGGCTCGATCTCGGCGGCGGACTGGCTCTCAAGCTGCTTGGATTTCCGCTTGTTCTTCTTCTTCTCCTTTCTCTTTTCAGCAGCAGACATTGGCTGTTCGGATTCGACTGCGGGCAGCTCAGGATCTTTGCGTTGGGTCTCAGCCTCATGAGAATCAGCTGGAGTCTCTGCGGAAGTCTCTGCCGGAGTCTCTGCAGCAGGAGACATAGTAATCTCATCTTCCTTGGGCAGTTGAGTCTCGACTGGCTCGCGAACTTCCTCCTCTTGGCCTACCTCGGCAAGGGGAGCGACCGCCTCAGCCACAGACTCAACTTGAGTTTCTTTGCTAGGCTCCACAGCGTCAACGTCTGTTGTAGGTACTGCAGCTTCTTTGTTCGCGGGTAATTCAGTAAAATCATTGCTTGGCTCGACAGCTTCGCTCTCTAGTGATTCTTGGACTTCATTGCTGGATTTCACGGGGATCTCAGTCGCAGGCTCAGAAAGGGCCTCTGGAGCTGGGCCTTCTATGGAAGGAGCTTCAGTCTCATTGCTTGGCTCAGCGGCAACAGTCTCAGGCTCGTGGGCAGGCTCAGCTGCAGGTGTTTCAGGATTGGAGCTCATACTCTGCTGCTGTAATTTCCGTTGCTTTTCCCTCCACTTCTTCTTCTGGGATTTTGACAAGCCAGCGGGAGGCTCTTCGGATAGCTGCTCAACTTCTGGCTTCTCTTCTGGAACCTCAGAGGGCTCCTTAACAGATTCAGCTTCTGTGGGCTGAGCAGGTGTCTCCACGACGCTGTCCAGGGTAGGCTCAGGTACAGCTTCCGGTTCCTTGATCTCCTCAACTTCTGCTTGGGGAGTTTCAGGGACAGAAATTTCTGCAACAGTGTCCTTAGGAGGTTCGGGGTCGGGGTCTTGAGCAGGCTCAGGTTCAGGTTCAAGTTGCAGCTCCCTTGTCTCCTCAACTTCTATTGGAGTCACTTCAGGTGCTGATGTCTCCTTTATTTCGTCGACAGGGGCAGCCTCAGCTTCAGGAGTGGGCTCAGCTGCTTCAGCAACTTGGGACTCAACAGGCTCAGGCTCATTGGTCTGAGGTTCGGTAGAGAGAGCTTCGGCTGGAGTCTCTGCATCCGGAATAGAAGAAACGCTCTCTTGCTTTGCCTTCTTCTTGGCGGCCTTCTTGGCAGCCTTTTTCTGTGCTGCAGTCAAAGGCACTTCAGGCTCTGCTTCAACATCGGCGGTGGGCAGATTTCGTGGTTCTTCAGTTGCCGTGTCGGGCTCAGTAGGCGTTGCCGTGGCTTCAACTAGATCAGATGGAGTAGGCTCGGGCTCTTCAGTGTTTATTTCCTGCTCGGAAACGGGAACTGCTTCATCCGCTTCTTCGGAAGCTAGGGGTTCCTCTTCAAGCTGGATGGGCTCATCAAGCTGAGGTTCGGCTTGCTGACTCTCGCTGGAGTGAGCTTCTGTGGGGTTCTGCTCATCCGGCACGGAAGTAACGCTTTCCTGCTTTGCCTTCTTTTTAGCGGCCTTCTTTGCAGCCCTCTTTTGTGCTGCAGTCAAAGGCACTTCAGGCTCTGCTTCAACATCGGCGGTGAGCAGATCTCGTGGTTCTTCAGTTGCCGTGTCGAGCCCAGTAGGCATTGCGGTGGCTTCAACTTGATCAGAGGGAGTAGGCTCGGGCTCTTGAGTGTCTATTTCCTGCTCAGAAACGGGAACTGCTTCATCCGCGACAGCTTCTTCGGAAGCTAGGGGCTCCTCTCCGAGCTGGACGGGCTCTTCAAGCCGGACGGGCTCATCAAGCTGGACGGGCTCATCAAGCTGGACGGGCTCATCAAGCTGGACGGGCTCATCAAGCTGAGGTTCGGCTTGCTGACTCTCGCTGGAGGGAGCTTCTGTGGGGGTCTGCTCATCCGACACGGAAGTAACGCTTTCCTGCTTTGCCTTCTTCTTAGCGGCCTTCTTTGCAGCCCTCTTTTGTGCTGGGGTCAAGGGAACTTCAGACTCCGCTTCAACATCGGTAGTTGGCTGATTTTGTACCTCCTCGGTTCCCCTCGCGACCTCACTGGAAGGAGCCAGATCGACATCGACCTGATCAGAGGGAGAAGGCTCAGGGTCCTGAGTTGCCACATCTTGCTGGGAATCCAGGGGTGCCGCCTCCGCAGCAATTTCTTGAGGTATCGAGGCCGGCACATCTGTAGCAACTTCTGTGGCTTCAGGTGACTGAGCATCTCCAAGCTCTTGAGCTTCAACAGGGGCAGTGGAAGCTGAACCCCAAGGGTTGATATCTTTAGTGAGCTGTTCTGTAGCAGAAGAGGGTTGGAGCTCAGAGTGGGGTTCTCCCTCGTCAAAGACCACAGATTTGCGATTTTTCTTCTTGTTTTTCTTGCTCTTCTTTGACTGGGTCTCTGGAGTGTCCTCTGGGTTGATTTCCTCGGGCTCGGCAGAAGCAGGAGTGGCAATGTCTGCAACAGTTTCAGTCAAAGGCTCAGTCTCAACATCCTTCTTCTCCTCAGTCGGAGTAGACTGTTCCTCAACTGCTTCATGGAAAGCATCAGAGTCTGTCTCGGCTGGCTCTTCTGAGGTTGCAGCAGCGGCATCAGGAGTAGCTTCAGGCAGTGAAATATCCTTGGCTTGTTCTGTGGCCTCGACCTCCTGCAACTCTGGAGTGGGCGCTTCGATGGCCGTGAACGAATCAGTTGACATGCTCATGTCTTGAACATTTGGTTCCTCTGAAGCTTCTTGGGTGGGAATGGCAGCTGCGGGCTCTATAATCTCCCAAGAGTCCTGAAACTCGGATGATTCCTCCTCGGGTTGCACAGCTATATCGGCAAGACTGGAATCTTGGGCAATGTCTTTCTCTGTGGATTCTTCCAAGGCTGGGGTCTCGCTGCTCTCAACAATATCCCCGGTCTGAGCTGTGGATTTCTGATCATCTTGCTGAGATTGGCTTTCTGAAGGGCTAGGCACCGTCTCTTGTGGCTGCTCCTCAGTCAAATTGTGTGAAGTACCCTCCTCCGCGGTAATAGAAGAAACACTCTTGTTCTTTTTGTTCTTCTTCTTGTTCTTCCGTGCCTCCTTCTTAGATAGACCACCAGACTCATCCTGATGTTCATCGGCGGCAACATCGGTCACAGCAGCTTCAGACTCGGGTTGTACCTCAGGCTCAGGAGCAGTTGCAGGCTCCACAGGGGCAGTCTCAATTGGCACAGAAGAGCTTGATTCAGGCTCAGTAGTGGGTAGAAGCTGTTCATCGGTGGGTGCCAAGTCTTCAGTCAAATCAGCAGAAGGAGTGGTTTCCACGTCGAGCTCTCTAGACGCTTCCGCTGGTGCAGACTCCGGCTGGGCCTCGGGAGGAACTTCGCTGTCCGCAACGACTGCTAGTTCAGGCTCAATGGAACGTGACTCATGTTCTGCGGTATCTAGCGCGGGGATCTGTTCTTCGGTGGTCTTCGGAGGCTCGGAAGGCAAGTCAGCGCTTTCATCGGCCTGCTTCTTCTTTGCCTTTTTCTTCTTCTTCTTTTGAGACTTCGTCTCCTTTGTCTCCTCGACGACCGGCCCCTCCTCTGACTGGGATGGCTCAGTAGGCTGCTCAGAGGATTCGGGAACCAATTCCTTGTCTGCTTCAACTTCAACTGGTGGTTCAAGCTCAAGTTGGGTGGGTGGTTGTTCTTCAATTGCTGTGCCAGGCTCACCTAGCTCTTCATCATCGGGCTTGTTATTGGAAGAAGCCTGGGCAACAATAGCAGCGTCGACCACATCAGAAAAGCCTGGGAAATTTGTTCCAGAAGGGACAGATGATTCAAATTCCGTTTCGGGCAAAGACTTATCAGTCACCTTATTGTCAGCAACGTCGGCGGCATGTTGATTATCCGGCTGAGCGAGAGGCTCAGAGACATCTTTGTCGGTACAGTCAACACACATGCTGTCATCCTTGGCAGCAGCAATAACAGCGGCATCAACACTTTCAGAAAACCCAACACCAGTGGCGTCAGGCAGAGATTTCTCTACAGAAGGTTCCTCCGAAGGCTGGGCAATGGAGACTTGTGGAATATCAAGTTCACCCTCAGCCTCCGTATTAGCGCCAGCATTGTCGGGCTGGTTTCTGACAGCAATCACAGACCCTTCGGGGGAAGGGAGATTCTCAATGTTTGAAGAAGAGGGATCTGGATAAGCTGCAGGGTCCCGGAGGAGGTCGGATGGAGAATAAAATTCGGGCTTTCGCTTCTCCTTCTTAGCTGACTCAAGAGATCCACCAAAGTTTTCTGCTGTTGGGGTAGCTTGTTGCGAGCCAAAAACATCGTAGTCTACTTCATGCTCATTGGCTTTCTCAGTGGATATTTTCAGACCAGTCGGTCTTCGGCTCTCCATCAACGGACTAGCATCGAGAGGCTCCCAGCTTCTGACAGCATCCTCGTCATTGAGGTCCCTAAGGTTTTCGATAGACGGAGCTCGTGAAGAAGCCTTGCTAGATGGAAGCGAGGGTAGCTTTTCATCAATCTCTGGCTCCACCTTGGCTGATCCATGTCTTTCCACTAGAAATAGGGGGCGCATTTCCCCAGACATCTCAACAGACTTCGGGCGACGATGGCGGGATTGGGTTGGAGAGCCGGTAGAGCCAGGCGGAGTTGGGATCTCAGGTGGCACTGAACGGGGCAGACCTGGGGACATCGGAGGTCGACGGAAGTGCAAAGGCACTGCAGTTGGCGATTCTGTCGACCGGTTGAGGGACATCCTTCGTGATTGATCCTGGTCTCGGGACATCTCTGGCGAAGACGGTCTACTCTGGGACTTCGGGGCAAGGTCATGGGCTTTCTCTGCAGCACGAGGGGAAGTTGAACGACTGCGTGGTCGTTGTCGGAAGAGCTCTTCTCCCAATGCTAAGCTAGCAGCTGCAATAGCTGCACCCTCTGCCGTCTCCTCAAGCCCCGAAGCACCGTGTTCATCGCGCTCAGCCGCGGGTAGCATTTCGGGGCGATCCCTTAAAAAAGACTTGTCGCTGTCGTCATTATATTCCGATCGTTTCCCGTCCTGCACATGGAGTAATACCAATAAAATGCTTAGTATAAATTCTTTTTTTTTTGGTTTGGGGTTTCATGTGTTTTGTGCAATTGGATAAATCAGAGTGACTGCAACCATCCAGGAAAAGCAACTATATGGCACATAACAGTGTACAAAAAGCGGGCAACATGATCAATAAGTTAACAAAGAAAGGAAATTCAAAATATTATACCTTCTCAGATTCCCGACGTCTTCCCGAGTCGACAATGTCACCGTAGCGTTGTCGACGCTGCTCTTCCTTCTCTTGTCTCTTCGATCTGTATTCCTCCAAATTTGCGTCGTCCTTTACGCTTACCTTGTCCGAATCATAGCCTTCCAACTTATCGCCGCTAGAGCTGTGTCGAGAGCTTGAAGACCGCTTCTTGCGTCGACGTCTTTCATCGTCAACCCCAGCTTCAGAAACAGCATCCCGAGAGACGCGCTTGTCAAGCGATGAAGATCTCGAGGATGAACGACGCTCTTCTGGTGCTGAAACCCGGGAGCCAAAGAGACTGCGTAAGATACCCCCGGACTTTTCCTTTTCGTCCTTGCCGCGACGCTTATCCCGGTCATCAGCTATACTGTCTCGGGAGGAATGGCGACTATGCGTGCGGCGTTCGGACTTCCCATCATCCTCACCTACAGATCGGGTGGAACGGGTTGATCGCGCATCATCCTCAACATCGCCATGCTTAGAGCGGTGGGAACGCCTACGGCGCTCGGACTTTCCATCATCATCCTCAACAGTGAATGTGGATGCAGCATCATCGTTGTCGTCGCGGGAAGAGCGGTGACGGCGTCTACGACGCTCGGATTTGTCATCATCATCAACAGTGAATGTGGATGCAGCGTCGTCGTCATCACGGGAACGGTGAGAACGCCTACGGCGCTCGGTTTTTCCATCATCGTCTTCAACGGTGAATGTGGATGCCGCATCATCGTCCTCCCGTGAGGAGCGGTGACGGCGCCTACGACGCTCGGACTTATCATCATCATCCACAGTGACTACAGATTCAGCATCAACTGAGAATGTGTCGCTGTCACGCTTAGAGCGACGCTTGCGATGCTTCTTCTTCTCTTCATTATCGATGACTTCGGCACCTTCAAGGGCAGCCGGCGCAATTTCACGTGACAAATCAAAGTCATCGCTACTTTGGCGAGACTTTCTGGACTTCTCGATTTCTTTTCCAACGGGGGCAGAGAAAACGGATCGAGAATCATTGTGAGACTGCGCAAACTCTGCAGGCTCAGCGGGGGTATCAAATCCACCGGGCATGGAGAAAACATCATGCTCAGCGTAGCTGGGCGGTGAGGATTTCCTATCTAACTCTTCCATGACCTGTTGTGCAATCGACCCCTTTTCACGAGCTTCGGGGAATGGAGCTTGATCTTTTGTGATGTACTCAGGCTCAGAGTAGAAAGGCTTGTTCTCAATCACATGCTCGGGAGGTTGGACATCTTTCGACTGATCAAGCTCGTGACTCTCAACTTCTCCTTCGACAAAGCCATGGGGCACTTCCTTCTCGTAGCCCCACTTCGAGCGAGGAGAAAAGACTCCCTCATCCTCTGATCCAGGAGGTGAGGTACGCGTGTGGTACTTGGGATCGTTGAGGACGACAGAAGGGTCAAATCCGGCTGCTTCGGTTCCAGCGGCGATGATAGCAGCAAATTCAATGTCATTACCGAAGTCCTTGTCACTGACTTGCTTCTTGTCTTCTTTCGAAGTAGTCATGGGAAACTCTCTTGTCTGGTCGTCAAGGGGGAGATATCATTATCAGTCGGATCATGTTCAGAGGAGGAAGGAACTTCATATTCATGGGTCTTGTCGTGGCCCCAGGAAACTCGGGAGCCAGTCGTGGATCGCTCAGGTGATTTGACTTCTGGTTCAGGTGCATATTCCGGTTCATGCTCGGGCTCAACCTCAGGCAGATGTTGGGGTCCGGGCTCAGCTTCTGGATCTGCTCGACGCTCGTGTTCGTACACATGTTCGACAGATGCATCAGGAGGAGCGATGGGAGAATTAATACCGCATGCAGATCCATTGACACTTTGATCAGGAGTGGGCTTGGTGTAAGTGAGTGCGGGCACCCTGAACGGAAGAGCATAGCCTTCATAAGGCTCCCGTGCGAACGGGTGCGGATCCAAATCCATATCTTTGGAGATATCGGGTTGCTCTCGCTCACGCTCGCTAGCAGGCACTACTTCAACAATGTTCGGTCGATCTTCCGAGTCACGACTGTGTTTGTCTTGGTCAGAGCTGCCATGGAGGTCGGGGGCGTAGAAGTCTGCATAGCTTTCATAGACAGGGGATGATCGGGGGCTGCGATGAGGCAAGTTCTTATTTTCCTCCTCTTCGTGCAGCACAGGTGCCACTGGCTCTTCAACGGGCATAGTCACATCAGGCCTTGAGACCATGGATGATTCCATGCGGCTCTCTTCTCGCTCTTTGCGGCGCTTCTCTCGTCGCTTGCTGTAACGATCTGAGCTGGCCTCCGAGGCTTCTGGATAATCGGTCTTGCGAGATGAGATAAGAGTACTAGTAGCAGCACCACCCAAGGCACTGATGGCGGCAGCCTCGACCCAAGATGATGAATCTTTTTCTGTAGGAGCATCACGGCGACGATCTTCATCTTCTTGTTTTCTGCGACGACGATCCTCGTCTTCTTGCTGTCTGCGGCGACGATCTTCAGCCTCCTGCTCTCGGCGGCGACGATCTTCATCTTCTTGCTGTCTGCGGCGACGGTCCTCATCCTCTTGCTCTCTGCGACGCCGCTCTTGACGCTCAAACTCCCGTCGAGCTTCCTCTCGCTTAGCATTTTCCGCTTCACGATCGATCAACTGCACAGCTGGATAGGTATTGTCCGCAATTGAAGGTGCGTGCTTTTCGCGAAGACGTTGCTGTTCCTCTTGCTTTTCTGTCAGGTCAAAAGACACAGAGGCTGCTTCTCTAGTGGTAGATCGACGCTTTGGACCAGAGATGAAACTCTCTTGGATGGGGAAAATGGGGGAAGAGTCACTGCGCCGGTGCTTCCGGCGATCATATTGACGGTCTTCAGCGACTCCTGCCGGGTCTCGGGAGCCTTGGAAGTGCTGATCAAATACAGAATCGCTGGCAAAAACAAGAGGCGCCTCAGGAGCACTGTATGCAGGGATTGAGGCTGGTAGACCCCCTTGAGTGGTGTAGACGGCTTGAGAAACAGGCGTAACGGGTTGAGGCTGCTGCAGCGGAATAGGACCAGGGCGGACCAGAGGTGGTTCGCCTGACATTACCGATGGAGATACCCTGGTAGCGTCAAATCGAGTCGGGTCGGAGGTCGCGGTGGGATAAACTTGCTGGAGGCTTCCAGAGCTATTTGAGACTCGGCTGTCGCGGTCACGAGCGATAGAAGCTAGAGCGGCACCTCCAAGGGCACCGACACCTGAAGCCAGGGCAGCATTGCCAAGAGAGGATCTCTTATCCTTCTTGCTCTTCTTCTTCTTTTTGTTGAACCCGAAGAAACCCCAGCCACTGCGGCTCGAGTCTGATCCCGAATCAGCGCTACTACCTCCAAATGCGAGTGCAGAGGCGACACTTTCAGATGATTGGTCGTCCGATTCGGCATCAATCCATTCTGATTCTTCGTTGCCCGAAGACGTATAGTTGGAACGGCGAGATCGAACGTCTTTGGTAGTGAGTATCTGGCCAGTGGTTCGACCACGACCAGGGGACGAAGCAGCAAGAGCAGTTGCTGTAGCCCCTAGACCCAGGAGCGCCGCATCCACATTCTCCTTCTTCTTTCCCTTTTTCTCCTTTTTGGACTTGAGCTTCTTTGAGAAGCCAGTTCCAAAGGCCAAATCAGCATCAAGCGAGGATGATGACGAGCTGTTGAAAGAGAAAAAGCCTTTGCGCTTGGTCCGTTTCTTCTTCTGCTTCTTGCGATTATCCGATGAAGAAGTAAAGAATGAGGTAAATCCACCGCCGGATTTGGAAGGCCGAGAGACATCAAGGAAAGATGAGCTGGAAGAAGACTCTTTGCGTCGTTGTACTCGAGAAGGAGAACGGCTGCGGGATCGCTGGTTTGATTTCGCAACAGCCAGCGCTGCACCACCAATTGCAGCTCCCAGCGCTGCCTCCTTCACGAATGAATGACGACCAGAGGGCGACGATGATCGGGACCGTGAGCCGGCTCGATGAGAATGTCTCGATTCGGGATAATGCTCTCTTGGGGAGCCAGGTCGGCGGATCACGCCTCGAGAAGTATAACTCCTGCGGTCGGAAACCGAGGTAGTTTCAGCGTCGTAGGACGAAACACGGTCATCTACGACTCGGCTAGGGCGAACACTATAAGAGTCTTTGAATTCTTTACCAGCAAAGAGACCCAGTGCTGGAAGCCAGGAAGTAGACTTGTTTGACCTGTGTGACTTTTTGCGTCGACGGCTTTCGTCTTCCGACGATTGGTATCGACTGAGCTTGCTTACTCGAGAAGCACTACTACTGCTGTAGCGATCAGAAGAGTGCCGGCGCCCATGATAATGGTGCTTGCGAGGAGCATCAAGACAGCTAGATCCAGGCTCAAAGCAGTACTTGCAGACACCAATGAACTCTGTGTAGTCTTCGAACCTGCCGACACCTTCTGGGTCACGCCAAAAGTCTGCGAACTTCGAAAGAGGACCTTGTGGGCGGTGTCGCATAGCAAGGGCACCAGTTCCATGGGGATAAAAGCCAGGGTTTTGCATGGGGTACCCTTCGGGGCCTCCGGGTATGACGGCATTATTAGGACCAGAGCCATGAGGGGGCAGACCAGCCGAGTGAGGCTGATCATAATTTTGGAAGGTATATTGTGATGAATGCTCGGGGCTAGATGAATGATGTTGATGGCCAAGCATGTATCCGGCAGCCGCGCCTGCAGCTGCGACGCCAACACCAGCACCGATGCCATGGGATTGAGGAGGCTTGTTGGCACTTGGAACGCTGCTATTTGGGACAGCGGGCTGCGAGTACGAGTTAGATTGATGGATAGCTGTCGTTGCGTTGTAGGATTCGCTGTGGTGAGAGGACATAGCATTGCTTAATCCATAAGCAGCTGCTCCAGCTGCTGCAACAGCAGGGACAGCGCCTGACGATGAAATCTTGCTAGGCTTGGATTCGACCTTGCCAGGCTTGGGAGGCTTGGAAGACGTGGTATTCGCTGGCACAGCGGGGACTTGAAAATCATTGTCAAAATAAGCTGCCGCAGCCCCAAGCTCACCAAGACTACTGGGCTCGGGAGGGGGGTTGGCTGACGGCGAGGCCGCCATCAGATGCGCCTGGCTATTAGGGATTATTGCCGGCTTGTGAGGCCGAACTCCCGGCTGCTCACCAACAGATTGTCCTTGATCGCCATAGTAGTCCGCAGCAGCGCCAGCAGGGTTGTTTGGGGGATAATAAGGTCCCGCCGACGTGACCGGAAACTGGCCAGGAAACTGCTGCTGGACATGTGGATCAAACGGAGCTGGCGGTGAGACAACATGATGAGGTGAGGCATCATGATGAGGCGAGCCAGAGGATGGTCCGGGGGGAAACTGTCCGGGGAATTGCGAAAATCCCGGCGCGCCCATGTCGATAGGAAATTGCGCAGCCGGTGCGCTAGATGGCATAGCTGTAGAGATAGGTGGCACGTACGGTTCCACAGGCTGTGTGCGCTGGCGCTCACGACGGTCGCGTTCATTATCCACGTCATCATCATATATCCCATCGACAACACTGCGACGACTCTTCCCTTTATCGCGCTCTCGACTTTCCGATCGGTCGCGGGTGCGGCGGCGAGAGCTCTTGCTCTCCCGGTCACTGTCTCTGCGTTTGGGAGTCCGTTCAATTATCATAGGATCCGGGCTGCCAATGGGTTCTGGCTCGGCGGTCATGTAGGTCGATGCGACAGAATCGCCAGCGACACTAGAGGGACCGTGTCTGCTGCCCGAGGCCGACGGGGGGTAAGGCGGTTCATCCAAGCCACGGTCACGGTCGTCACCCCGTGATGATTTGCGGCTATGTGAGGATTTGGAAGAATCGGCTCTGCGTCGGCTTTTCGAGCTGGAGCTGGTCGTGCTTCGGGTATCGGACCGGCCCCCGCCCATGAGGGCTTTGAACATGGTGGGCAAAAATTCACAGGAATGCCCAAACGGCACAGGCCACCATGTGGGATGTTAGGAATGTGTAATATGGGGAGGGAAAGGTGGTCGGAATGTAGAATGGGGAAGTGAAAGGTCGGGGAATATGGCGTTGTTATGGTTTGTTTTGGGTAGTAAACAACGGAGCTGAACCGTGGATCGTCAAGCGGAGACTGGGTGAACCCACGGTCGGTTGCGCCAAACGATCGGGGAACTAGCTTATCCCCAGTTTCACCCTTCACCACGCGGGATTCTAGACTGATATCTAAGTTTTCGAATAGGAGCAATGCATGCAGCAATCAAATGCTAATGCCTGATTAAAAAAGAGAGACAAATGTGAGGAATCGAGTCGGTGGCACAGGATGAAGTGTCTCTGCACTAAGTGGAACGAATCAAAATCGCGGTGAAGCTACGTGCACGTGCCACATCTGGACGGGGCTGGGATTTCGTCATGACTGTCAACTGGTAGAACTACATGCCTCCGAGGTTCCATCCAAGTCGTCGAGTCTCACGCTTTTAGGATGCTCTATTATCGAAGAATATTGAGATGCAATTTGTTCTCCACTGCCAGGGGGAGCCTTCCAAGGTTTGAGTTCGAGTTGGAAGTGCATTTCATTCGTCGCTTAAAGCTGCCATGAACATACATATATAAGCTTGGGCATGACTATCCGCCCAGCCTGGAACTGGAGGTAGTACAACTCTACGCCTCAACCCCCATCCAATCAAATACATATAGAACTCGGAAACATATCGCATCATATCACTACACATTAATCAGTTCGAATCAACCGCTCCAGCCTGCACCGCAAGCTATGCTGGAACCATAGCGGATAACCCCGAAGCCTCTGAGAAATAAATCCGGCTGAACCGGGCAAAAGTACATGTCCGCTCTCACCCTTCAATACCTGGTTCACTAATCCCTCAGCTACAGTCTCGGGATGCAGAAGCGGGTTAATAAAGGTATCCTCGGGAGTCAATGTATCAATAAGCGTGGTACGCGTGAAACTTTGCGTAACAAGCACGGTACGCACACGGGGGGCATGGTATCGAGTGACCAGCTCCGCCGCCAAGCCCTCATGGAAAGCAATAGCAGCCGCCTTGGTAGCAGAGTAGTCAATCATATTTGGAGCGACGGCGTACCCTGCTTGCGAAGCCACCGTAACTACCATCCCGTGATTACCAGCGATGATATCTGGAAGAAATTCCTTGGCCAGCCAGTAGTGTGCAAATGTGTTCACCTCGAACATGCGGCGCATTTTTTCGGGGGAGACATCGAGAATGGTCGTAGCCGTAAGAAGGCCGGCGTTATTGATGAGGATTGTTGGGCGGCCAAACGAGGCACGGATCTTAGCGGCTACCTCACTGATATTCTCAGACGACGTGATGTCGCATTGGTAGAAGCGGACGCTGTTCGGGAGCTCGTCGGCTGGAGGCGAGATGTCGAGAACGGCGACTTTGATGTCGCGGTCGCCTAGGAGCTGGGCGATTCGCCGACCGATGCCATTACTCCCGCCAGTTAGGACGACTACCTCTTTGTTCCAATCATAGTGGTCGGACACCCCATTGTTGATCGCTCGGCGGTCTAACCAGGCTGAGAGTCGTTGGATGACGGCTAAAGCAGCAAGGGACCTAAGCGCCTTGAGGAGGTGAGGGCGCGACTTGGTAAGCTCGCGACCCTTGACAGTGTAATGTGCCAGCGCTAGTAGAGGCACCACCTTCCGTGGGTCAAGTACGGTGCGTTGGATCCACCGGCTCAGTACGTCCGCCGTGAAGCCTGGATATTCTTAGCGCCTGGGGTTTCCAATGATGGCGGTTCCTTACCTTCTCTCGAGGGCCATTTCCTTACTTGCGATGTCATGATGAGTCTCGTATTCAAATGCAAGACTTAGTTTTGAAACACATTGGCAAGATGAGGGGATGGCTGAAATATCAATGTGGAGATGGGCTTGATCGACAGGATTACTTCGGCCTACGGTTTGTGCGGGGTATCCGAGGTCCGCATGCATCAAATGCATTTGATACGAGAGCAACGCAAGTTATGCACATGCAGTTCCAGCCTATTTCACCTGAAATGACTCAATAAGTCTCCCGGGATCCACTATAGCTACTTGATCATGACATCCCCCTCTGTATCTTTTCTATGTGTATTGATCTGACTTACCCCAACCTAATAGGCAGCTCACCCAGGAGACACCACCCATATCTGTTCTCAGAGAAGTGAATACTACAGATCAGCGTCCAGGCTCTCTAATGATGATTTTGTAGATTCCCCTCGTCAACACGGATGAGCAAACATGAAACCGCACTTTCAGAGTAAATGTATTTCTATTGCTTCATCTAAATCATAAACGCATAAATCTCATCCACAGTCCAACCATTCCTATACACTCAAACCTCAACATCTCTCCCGAAATTGCACCCAAGGCCCCTCAACAGCAGAAGTGACCCACCCCTTCAACCGAAAATCGCAATCCTCCCTCTCACCCCCACAGCACCGCGCATCAGGAGCCAACCGCATATCATACCTAAATAGCGTTCTCGCAACCGCCAGATTCAGTTCCGTCCAAGCAAGTTTCCATCCCACACAAGACCTTGCCCCAACACTAAACGGACAAAACGCCTTTTTCGCAATCTCAATACTCTCCTCATCAACCCCGGCCTCTGCATCGACGATCCATCTTTGTGGACGAAACTCGTCTGGCGCAGTGAAGTAGTTCGGGTTCCGCTGGATAGCGTACGTCGTTGTTCCCACCATCGTTCCTTCAGGGATGAATTCTTGGTCGATGACTATGCCGCCTTTGAGGACGGTACGTGGAATAGTGGTTGAGACGGAGGGTGCTAGACGCAGTGTTTCATTTATACATGCTTGAAGGAATTCGCACGAGTTCAGTTCTGCCCCTGTACGGATTTCCTCTGTTGTGGTGAATGTGCTGCGGATATCTTGGGTTAGGCGGGCGAGGAGGTCAGGTTTGTGGGCAAGGTGGAAGAATGTTCCTGCCAATGCCGTGGCGGTGGTATCGGCGCCTAGATTTCAGGGGTGAGCTTGGGTTGGACGTGACATTAGAGAAGAGTGCTATCGTACCTGCAGTCATCAGGAGCATTGATTCCACCCAGAGATCCTTATTGGTGAAGTGAAGGCCAGTTTTGGGATCTGCTGTGTTCATCATTGAATAAAATAGATCTTTTTGCTTGATGTCATTCCCTAGACGTGTGCGGGCCTCAGAACGCTCGCGAATTCTGATACCGGCGTTGACAATGTCCTTGAATTTGGATGACATGAAGAATTGGTCGATCTTCAGATTGCAGAACTTGGGCTGCATGAGGGTCTGGGGAACGTTAGTAGCCGTTGAAGGTAAGGGACACGGCACATGGCCTCGACATTTCCTACCGTCATACTGCGCTGCGTGATCTTTAGTACCACAGAAGGGAACCATCGCATGTCAGGTAAATGCAGCATATCGAAGTCTTTTCCATAGCAAAGATCGCCGATAACATCAAAGGTCATCCAATCACACATAGGAGCTAGATGCTTCGTGTTCGACCATCCATGATCCCTCTCAGAATCATGGTCATTCTTGACTTCTCCATATTCATCTCCTTTCTGTCCGACTAGATCGACGAAATCGCGAATATTTACCAAAAGACGCTCTTCAATGGCTTTGATCCCCTCGGTGGAGAAAACCTGCGCCAGAATGCGACGCTTAAAGCCGTGGGTGGCTTTGTCAGTAGCAGTGAGGGTATTAGGAGTTTGTCGACTGGCGCTCAGTGAGCTGTAGCCCTCTGATTTCACCACATTTGCCCTGACACCGTAGATAGTGTCTAGTCCGGTGTGGGTATTAAAAGTTAAGGCGTTTGGAGCGAATCGCACGATATCGCCTGCACAAGTATTAGTATTGGGAGTAAGTAGAGTCCAGTCTTGTGGAGCGTACCATAGCGATCATGCCACTTTCTGCTAATGATATGAAGATCTCCCTGCCATGCATAGTAGGCTGCATACCAATGCGTGATGGCTCCTAGACGTGGTCCGGGGTATTTCGCCAAGGGATGGAAGAACAGACGGTAACCCACAAGTGCGATACTCTAACCGGAACCATTAGCTGAATTACATTTAGAAAATCGAATCAACTCACGTATAATAGTAAAGCAACGGCCACAGCCACTACCATTTTTAAAGCCATGGTGGTTGTTCAGCAGGTGCAACAGAATCTTCCCGATGAAATAGCTTTTCGTTCAGAATAGCCTGTCATCGCGATCAATGGAACTCCTGAATATCAAATAGTGCGGGCATCTATGCAAAGTTAGTTTCGTCATGCCCCTATGTCGTCAGGGTGTCTCAATTGATTCGATCAAAATCTTGGCGTTCGTCGATTAGGCCCGAGGATCACCGACCAAGATCTGATTACGACCCAGTAGGGTCCGCATTTTAGCCAATCAGATTCTTTTGAATGAATATAAGTTGTGGCCATCTGCTCGCAATTCCTCAGCCGACCCACTCTGCGTTCCTGGTATGCGTGTTCGGAGTGCAGATCGGGTCGAGATACTGTCTGCGGTACGGAGTTGGACCACGTCAGTGCGGACCCGAAATCTCTGCACGATCGTCAATGGTTTCCCAGCGCTTTCCATTTGCCGCATTTGAGCGGGTGATCGCTGTTTCATAAGTCCCATGGAATCTTCTGCAGAACCGAGCCGTGATTTCACTTATCGAATTAGCAAAATTCTATGATGTGACCCTATTAATCTTGAAGTTATAGGTTTTAGCTCATGCAATGACATCGACACGCCATTTCATTTCCAAGTTGTATAAATCGGTAGTAATATCATCCAAGAAAATGTTTCAATTCTGCAAATATTCCGTAAAAACACCGCCCGCATTCGCAGCATGATCAAACCCCAAATACCTTTACTAAGACATGATCAAAACCTTAAGGGAGCATACAAATGACACTAAAAATCGGATTGCCAAAGGACTCTCATTGGGGAATATGGTCGGAATAAAGAGAAGATTCAAGAGAGAAAAAAAAGACACCAAGCCGACCAGGGATATTGCCGTGAGGTCGAAGACAACACAAAACGTAACACAATGCGCCCCAAATAGAGAAACAGAAACATGGTAATCAAGATGAGGACGACGATGATATGATGATGATGACGATGATGACGATGATGATTTATCAAGATGCAATATAACGGCCACACTGGTATCCCCACTTAGAGCATATATCCATGAAATTAGGCCGCGTATCAGAGCCACCAAAAATGCAAAAACAAGTCCACCCAAGTTGGGATCGAAAAGTGTCCACTAACTCAAGAAATAAGGGTATATTGGGGTGGATGTGTGAAGATGCGATCACTCCATTGTACACCGTAGGCCGCTGTGGGCTAAAACTGAAAAAAAACATAGAACAAAGAATATAACAGAATAATAACTCGAACAATCATGGCCACGCTTCTGGTAGTGGATCAACTGCCGCATTAGGCTGGAAAGTCTTTTCGAAAATCTTCTCGTAAATCTCTGTCAAGATCCTGGCATCGGCTCGGAGTGTTGGCGAGATATGCTGGCTACGTAACAGGAAATGGATTGTTCGTCGGAGGAGTCGCTCTAAAAGTGATGCGTCGACGAGGTCACTGAGACTGGATTTGTAAGTCGCTGACAGGACTAGCATGTTACCGAATTGTCTGGAGGGGGGGAAAAAAGCGTTAGTTGGATCTTCCCTTGCGTGTACGATACGATCTGAACTCACGCGTGAGCGGTTCCAAAGATATTTGTCACCACAAGGCGGTCTTCGATTCTATCAAAAGCCTGTGTGCTCTGGATCGCAGACTCGATACAGGCCTTACAGGCCTGGCGGAGTTGCGGTGGAAGATCACGGTACTTCACAGTGGGTTTAAGCAACCCATTCGGGAAGTATTTTGAAGCATCATTTGGTGTGCTAGTCATATCACTCATGATGCGTGTCATGGGTTGGGCCCGGGGATTCTGAGTCATAGATGGTGACATCTGCTGGGATGAGGTGTTTGCGGAGCTGGTGGGGGAATCCACAGAGGCTTCCACGCGACGTCCATCCACCCGCGCACCATGCTGACCGTAGTGAAGAGCGTGGTATAATAGTGGTCGATGAATGATGTACCGAGCTCCATAATACTTTGCTCTCATACGAGCAGTATTGATTTCAGTAGCTGGTGGGTCAGAGTCACTCCACGTCATAGAATCTGGAAGGCTGGTGCGCCAAAGGTCGAGGTTCACACTAAGAGCTTTCTGCACGCTTGATGACCACCGCTTTTCGTCGGCTTCTATTTAGGGGTGAGTAAAGATCACATCAAAAGACACTCACACAGGAAACTCACTTTCAACTTTGTACAGGTCGGTGTGAACACGATTGAGAACCTTGCGGAGATGGATTTGCGCGGAGTAGAAGAACATCAGCATGGGATCTGGTGACATAATCCCACCTGGGACCATGGTGTGTTTCCCCTTGGGAATAGTGATCCGACCCTCGGATCGTGAGATCCCACTAGCAGGAATGTCGAGCTCCGCGAGGAGATCACTCTCGAGTTGTAGACAGGTCCAGTAGGCGAAGTTGTACATGTCTTTCACATGGCCCTCTTCCAGCCTCTCATACCGCCGCTGTCGCACAAGAACTTGACAAGCACGAGCAGCCTGGGAAATCCAGCCATGACTTTGGAAAGGGTGAGCCAGTTGTCCAGCATATAGACCAGCAAGCAAGCCTGCGTGTACGTGTTCCAGCTCTACTCCTCCTTGCAGAGGACCCAAGATTTGCGTAGCATATCCGTAAAGAGCCAATCCCGGAATGACCTGGAGATTTTTGACTTTGCCATACTCATTTTGAGAGGTGGAGATGTGTCGCCTTGAAAGGTTGATCCCGGTAGTGTCCTTTCCTGCCGTGGACGAAAATGACGAGGCTGCGCTTTGGGCGGTATTGGTGTATGATGGCGGAATGAGTATGTCTGAATCGGCGGGGGAGAGGCCTGCGTACGATTGCGTGCCGTTCGCTTTTTGCACACTTTGTGGTAAAGGAAGCGAGGGAGCAGGAATGTACTGGTCCATATAGCTGCCCTTGTCGTCTGTGATCGGCCCTGGTACCGGTGACTTGGCCTCGCAAATAGCTCCCAGGGCAAAGACCAACAAAATCACAGCGGTATCAATGTTCTTGCCAACGCGGGGTCGAGAAGTCGGAGCAGTAGGGTCAACAGAAGCACCTCGTACACCATCCATGTCATCATAGGAACGTTTCCGCTTAGCACCTGGGTTGTCCCGGCACATGGTATTCATTCGGTCCCGTTCATAGGGGCTGGGACAATAGATCCGACAAAATTCATCGATTTGACGTGTCAATACTGATGGGTCGAGGAATGGATGAAGCCTATGCAGATGAGTAAGGTAACTCCGGTAGTAGCGATCTGCGGTGTGCGCATCGAGGCGTAATAGGCCATGTCGGTCGATTTCTGCGTCCAAGTCATGTGCTGCTCCTCCGCCCTGGACTATGGAAATTCCATCTTCGGTCAAACCCTTACGGTCCCAGTTGTTGATAGCAGAAGCCAGTTGTGTATCGTCAGCGGTGTACGAATTCTCACCCTGTCCATAGATACTAGTGAGACCACGTCTCTCTTCTAATATCATCACATAATCCGCATCGTATTTGTGCGGACTGAGAAGTCCTTGAATGGAGGGCCACATCAGAAGCTTGTGTGCCGCAGTTGTGTGCTCCACAGGAATGGACAACTCGCCCTCGCCGTCATCTTTTTTCAAATCATCAGCGAGGGCTGGAATATCATCTGCCGGTAATCCTGGAGGCGGAAAAGATGTACTCTCGTTAGGGATCTCCGGCTTTGTCAGTTGAGACTCAACCTTAAAAGACTGTTCAAGCAAGTGTGGTTGGTGATTCGCTTTTTGTATAGGGATGCCCAAGAGAAGCTTTATGTTGTGGTCCAAGCTGTCCAGCTTCCTGCTGAGCTCCTCTCGCATCGATTCTACCCTGTTTTCCACTTTTGCAGTCGATACGTCCAATTTCGAGTTCTGGTGATCAAAGTTGTCCTGAGTATTGTCCTGGAATTTATCGATCCTATCGAGGAGTACTTGAGCTCCCTTATCTTGCCTGTGGAAAAGTCAGTATTTGATCACATCACCATTTCGGAAGGAGACAGACTTGTGCGGCGGCACTTCCTTGTACACGCAAGAGAGGCTATTTTCTTTGCAGTGGCTACAAGCCGGTCGTCCTTCATCGCATTTGGCTTTCCTTGCGCGACATTGATCGCATGCCTTGATCTTGTCAGCAAATGCTATTTCTTTCCTTGGGCATAATATAAGAAACTGACTTGTGTCGCTCGAGCCGCCTTACGCTGTTGTTGCTGGCGGGCTCCAAATGCAGGGTTCTGCGCGTACCCTGGGTCATAAGAAAACGATGCGCCAACGGGGACTTGTGCAGCTGGTGAAACGTAGTGTGGTGCATGGGCCGGCACAGAGATGGGCGGGGTCGATTCACTAGGTATAGATCCTTCGTTGGATTGATAACTCATACGTGCGCGATAGTCCGCCGGAGCAGACTGTGGCGAAGCCTCATGCGGGGATCCATTGATCGGTGGGCGATATCCGGTGTGTATGGGACCCGGCTCCGGAAGACCTTGACGTGGTGAAGGTGCTGGCAGACCATTGCTAATTCCATTTGGCATACTATTTGGGCGGCCATAAGGTCCATCTTCCGGAAGCTGGGGTAGCTGGCGGCTTGGATTGACGGGAAATCCTGGTGGGGGATGCGGGTGGGCTTGCGCGGACAAACGACGTGGCTCCTGGGCATCGTAGGGCGGAGGGGGAGGGTATGGCGCGCGATATGCACCCTCATAGACCCCATGCGGACCCGGGGCATGGTGGCCCTCAGTTTGTAAGCGATTCATGGGGGGGAATATGCCAAGGTCACGTCTGAGTCGTTGTCAAATAGGATCTGAAACTGGTGTCAGGCGCATTCATCTTCAGGCACCAATAAGACCGGCGCTTTTTGAGGAGTGTTGGTACCGTTATTCAGAAGCAATATAGCTTGATGATCCACCGCTTAGGCACACATGACGGAGTTGCGACTAGAACCTGGGGGACGAGGACGGAGTGGAGGGGAAGCTTTCGATGTCGCGCGCAAGAGGAAGCTTGGAAGCTCCGCGTTGACCTGTGGCAGTATGCGGGTATGCCGATTAGAAACCGGAACACGTTCTGTTCTTTTGTTCTTTTTCTTTGTTCTTCGGAAGATTAGGTCGCAAAAATGGGCTCACGCCGAAGTGGATTCGGTGTTGGAGAGCTTTCTTTGTACGGAGGAACCGGGGGTGGCGCGGCTAGAAACAGAGAAAGAATCAGATACTGTCGAGATCGGACCAGGGGCGCTTTTTCTAAGATCGTACAGAAAAAACAAGAAATCAAATAAAACCAAGGCTCCACCGTATCAGATAGATCGCAGGTTGAAAGTACAGAAAGTACAGAAGAAAAGAGTTTGGGTAAAGACCAGAAGGAGGGGTGTATCGTATCCGTACCATGGACCTGAGAGTGGATACGCGACTGGTATGGTAACGCGGTGACGTACCTGGGACTTGTGATCTGCCTTCAAATTAACAGGGGCCTGTGATGTAGCTAAGCCAAGCTGTCGGGTCGATCAAGTGTCTTCAAGGCTTAGGGGGATCCGAAAACGAGGTTCCAGTTACTCGGGACTCGAGAAGGAAGGAAAAGAGAAAATATAACTGGGGAGGGGATGGATAATTAATCGTATAATTACGGAGATCGACACATCTTGTGAGCTGTTTGCCCCTCCCTGGATTGCTCTCCCTTCATGTAGGATCCTCGCAGAGAGTTTCTCACATAGAGAAGGCTCGTCCAGATCGGTGTACAGTTCTTTCGTTATAAAGTAGCTGTTGAAAGTCGACAGGTCTCCCGTTTCTTACTCTTGGTTTCCATCTTGGGTTTTTTTTTTTTTTTTTTTTCCGTCTGTTTTCTGTTTTCTGTTTTCTGTTTTCTGTTTTCTGTTTTCTGTTTTCTGTTTTTGTTTCTCTTTTTTCTTTTTCCTTTCCTTTTTTTCTTTTTTAATTTGCCTCCCGAATGACAAGTGGGTCTCACTGGGTACTCAGCTGGGGAAATGCATTAGGAGAGAAAAACCAATTCGGAATTAGCAAAATATTATGATCTTAACATATGTACTCAGCCACGGTTGTCTAGCCCCATTGATTCATTCTAAATTAAAGACCAGTTCTTCAGCCAGACAGCTTTTTGAGGCTAGGCTCTCACCCTGCTGCGGTCTTCCTCCGTTCTCCCGGTAATCTTACGCTATGAGAAGTTTCAGGAAGTTCGTCCCGGAGGATCTCCGCGTGTGGGGACCACAGGGAAATCATAGCTGAATTGCTAGCAGCGTAAAGAGGCCCGATGACGCTTAACAAGACAGGGATCGTTTCCCAGGAGCCTAGTTCTCGGGAAATCTTAACACTCGTCCATCTTGTCAATTGTGTCCGCGCCACTGGAGTCTATCGCTGCCAATTCCTCGCGATCAGACAACCTATACTGGTAGCCCATATCGGCCCAAGCACTGGAGGTTTAATTCACTTGCAAGGGGCGTCAAACAACGTCCTGTGTGGCAAACTCTATTGGACTGATTTGAACCATCAGGGTCCACTCAGATCGGCGTTCTCGAAAACATTTGGTTCGAAATTTAGAACACCGGGAGAATGGTGTAGATCAAGGTCAACATGAGCTGAAACGCGTGTGGTGGGAAGGGTATTGTAATTACCAGGCACACCCGCACTGATCCACGGGAATTAACCAGAGGTGACATTTTTGACAGGTGTACCGTACCACATTGCTATAACATATGATCCGGGCCTACTTATTTTTACTCCAGTGGGATCCCAAGTGTGCGGAGCGAAACGGCCTAATCACTCCCCGTGAAGATTCCATGGAAGCGCTAGAACTTGGGGATAAAAAACCCCCGGCTATGGATACACCGCAGGAAATGACTTCATGGGCGATGTGGGTATGCTTCATACCAATCACCGATGTCCCATCCCCGAATGATATCAGACCGCAACATTCAAAAGACCCAACAACCGAAAATTCAATTTTGAAATAAAAACCCGCACAAGTGGAAGGACAACAGTAGCACAGAACCTTGGTCCCGGGGATCATCACGATTTTTTTCTTTTCTTTTTTTCTCGGCCCGTTGGAACGAGTCCAACGCGGGGCAGGATGAATTCCATTCTTTGCTTCTTTCAACCGTTTACGCGCGCTGTCATCATGTCCGGATTTAATAGACTGTTGGTCATCCAGTCAGAAAGCAGGATTGTGTGGTGGAGTCGATGATGGACATGATACCCGCATTCGCGGCTGGTTACAGTACAATAGTTCTGACTCGGCCCGTCTTGGGTTTGTGGAGAACTCCATCCAGTCCCTGTGGGAAAAAGAAATTAAGGCCAAATCAAATTATCAATCAACCGATCCTAGTTTGGGGCTCACCTGTACTGTGCGAGATAAGATGTGAGGTGGGTTTGTTATTGGTAAGTCTTTGATTCTCATCATTCGTCACTTTACCTTAAGAGGCTGTACAGCGCCCAATCTCTAAATTGTAGACTTCCCCATCCTCCCAATTCCGATATAGTAAGGCAACAAACACTTGCCTTATCTTTCCACGATCGAATTTTTCAGATCTCTATGTTCCTCTCCGCTGGGCCCGGTTGGGCGCATCCTGCCCGAAATTTAGTGTTGGGCCCCAACCCCAGAACACACTAGACCGGACCGGTGTACGGTATATTGATGTACTATCACATAAGCCCCGTTTAAAATACACCCAGGTACCAGCGCCAGGACCGATACAAGAAAGTACGCATCGAATTTGCAATATTCACGCTTGCAAATCCATCCGGTCTGAAGCCGACTCAGGGACACGGTTGGATAAGAATGAAACTAGTGACCAGTACGTACGCTCTTCTGTGCTCTGCACGCCATGCAGGATACAGTGTTTACGCATCTAGCGATGATAGAGTTTAGTAGGGGACCAACTCGGTAATGCAAGGGATAAGCCCTCTACGTAGGGCGAAATCTGGAGATTCATTCCGCAGATTCAACAAATGCAAAGTCCATTTGAAACGGCATGAAAAAAAAAAAAATTTTGAAAGAAAAAAGTCCGCGGAGATAGTTCGCCAACTGGAGTGATGCAGTGCGGCTAGAACCGGACATATCGACATGAGTGTTTTTCATCCTGCTTGGACTCCTTCCGATGCCGTTCATGACCTGGTGCATGCACAGGTACGTTGTATGATGTATGGATTCTGGCATTCTATCATCCGTAGACACCAGACACACTGATATGCAGGTGAAGTCTCCACTGCATGTCCAATGAGCTACAGGTATGGGGCTCACAAGACTGGTGGAATGCGTGCCGATGCAGCAGATGATCATCTTTCGCACAGGCATTTCCGCAGGTCTACGATATAGGTATGCTACATAGCACAAGTCCATAGCCGCGGGATGTCACATTAGATCTTGATGGCGGTAGGGGTTGGATGCGCGACGCCCAAAGCAGGTCTCAAGTCCTAGCGTCAATACCAAGACAGGAGATATGCTGCTGGATCTACAATACTGCGGTAGTGGCGGTCGACGATGCAGATGATTATAGCTATGAATGTTGTCCAGAAGAACACTTTGAACAGGGATGTGCTGGTCATGACAAATCTCTCCAGAGATCCTTGTAAGTGCAAGTCACAAAAGTCGGAATTCTCATCTCGGCTTTCCTGCTGTCCATGGTGTATGGGATTGCTCCCCAGACCCCATACTCCACCCCCAAGGGGGCCATGCCAGTCGCGACGATCGCCCCAGAAAGTCTTGGAAGGAATCTCTGGATCCAACCCCCGCATGGAAGTGTATCTCCGTATGGCATGAAGGTTCAGATTCAGATTCAGATTCAGATCCCGGCATACCGGAGAGTGGAGAGCTACGCGTCAAATGACTGACCAATGTCAAAGGAGATGGAGCCATGCAACCGTCCATCGACCATGATTATCAACATCTTGATCGGCGATGCGGACCTCTGATTCGCTTTTCGAATAGATCGGATGTCGGCTCAACCTGAGGTTGGATAATTCTAGACCCTGGAGCGACGTGTAGTCTTCTGTCTGCCAACTTTTTCCCTGAGAATCATTAGTCATGACAGCGGGTTCGACCTTGTTTTCTTCCGAGCTTTGTGATTGATGGAATGGAATTTGCTGCGCCCAGGCAGAGTGCATGACAGACATATCAAATAAACATCAAATGAAATGAATACAAGACATTGGTTTCAATTTCTCCATCGTGCAGGCCACTCTTTCTCCCTGATTTCTTGCAGCTAACACGGTCGTGTACTGTATCCTTGAAATACAATTTCATCGAAAATGTGATATGTAAAAATGGTACAGCGCAGGAACTCGCGACATCTGGTTGGTTCTGACGACATTTTTCTTTTTTGATCCCCGTTGCCTTACCGGAGGGGAAATTGACAGGTCGTACGGGCCCGATATAGCAAGTTTCATGTTTATCCAATGAGATCCTTGGGGCATATCGTCCCCACGTGGTCCATAATCCATGTGGCCAAAGACACCGACTAGAGCATTTGATTGACGTGATCCGTGCGGTTAGAATGTATACAAATCTAGGACAAACTGCTCAGTACAAGATTCTCCTGTTCTCACGCACCTAACTGAGCCCTGGCGCCTTCGATTAGGGTTTTTGCATATCAGCCTCCTTACACTGCAGCCCCTTGAGGCGTGAAGAACCAGCAACAGGGTCAAGGATTTAGGCTCACAAGAACGGCTGGTCTGTTCACTCTACTGCAAGGGGAACCATAATAAAATGGGAAACTGAGTCGGGGATCTTGCAGGCACCCTAGCGGAGAACCTGTGCGGCATCAAGATTGCAACTCGAGTTGCAGAATCAAAACAAACAAAGATCCACTGGGTTGGAAATCGGGTACTTGCTTGGAGTTGGCCATTGGTCCAGTCATGCTTTTATAATTTTTAATAAACCTTTCTCTATGAGCCGCCCTTGACTGGTTTTTTTGCATCGCACCTTGCCGAAGTGGAGAATGGGGAGAAGTTCAAATTCAAACCCAAACCCAAACCCAGACCCGGCTCGAGGGCACACTAGAGCCCGCCTCCCGGGGCTTCCAAACCCGCGGGTACAAGATTCACGCAAGTCATCATCGGGTTGGATCCGCTGGGATTCTGTTCTAATTCTGACTTCAGTACTATAGGGAGTGATGCAAATTTCGCGCTTAACGTCCTGTCAACGATGTTGCAGCTTTCCCTTGATTTTTCCCCCATTCCCTACTGTAGAACGCACATGGCGTTTGCAAAAGTACGAACTATTCCCATTCTGACCCTTGTCCGGGCATGAGCTCGTCATTGTTCCACATGGCAGCCCGTCCTTCGTAAGGGAAGGGCTCGAGCATGGTGCTTTGGAAGATCAGACATTCGAGTCAAACAAAAGTACAAGAAAAGATTGTGATCCCCAATTTCGTAATGAGGCGAATTGTTACTGTAACATCGCCCCCCTTTTCCTCGTGTCAATTTCAAACTGGACTGAGCTGATTGTCAAAAGTCCAGTGAACTCGATGGTTCGCGCAGTGGCTTACTTGCTGTGATATACATGCAGAAGTCGCTCGGGAGTTGGCATCGGTTGAAATCGGGTGGTTGATTTCAATCAAACAGTACTCTCTGTGCCAGTGCGTTGTTTGAGGCTTGTTCTCGGTAATAATACTCCGTGGACAAAGTCATGAAGATTGCCAAACATGAAATTATCTTTGGTACAAGCTACATGCGTGGCCTTGATTTAGCCCCCGATGCTTCAACATAAACTGGGCAAACCCGGTCCTCAGAATACATAAACATGATGCAGCAGATCTATCTCGACGATTAGGCTTTCCAAAAGGAGAAGAAATTGACCGGTAGTTTTGAAGCTTGCCTATGCATCGCAATTGTACTCAATGCATCAACCCCTCTTAGAGAAAAACCTACTTCCAGGGGTCTGATATCACAACTGCATTGTAAGCGATCTTCGCCTGACCCGAGCACAAGGAACGTACGGGGAGAAATCAGAACAGACCGCCGGTCGCGATAAGCGAACCCCGTACAGTGGAAAGTTACGGGGGGAATCCATCCACGTGCCCCACATCCCTCTGTATTTTTTGTACATTTGGCCTTCTCTAGTCCGTAGCCTTCGTGTTCTCCCAATGAAACCCCCTATCTCACACTGGATCTCTTAATCAACCCGAGCAAAAAGTACCAACAAATCCCAAATCCAGGATCCCGGTCCATAGCTCAGAACCCAAGCCCTAAAGTCATCGGACAATAGTGCTCAGCAAGAGGTCTGGGCGCAACCAACCCCCTCCCATCACCCACTCCACCCCACCGACTCGCCAGTTCGAGCACTCACCAAACTGATTCATCACATTTTCCGCGTGAGATCTGCGATCATGGCCGCCTGTTGGCCGAACAAGGCCGGCTATGTACACCCGACATGTACAGGATCTATTTAGGGACAGCTTTTTCCAACCCGTGCCGCCGTTACAGTCACTTATTCACGGAGATTTTGATTTCTCGCTTGCAGAGCCGATTGAATCTGACTTTGGCCTGGCATGGCTGATATGCTTATTGGGAGATCGAGGTGAGTGGTGGGAGTATGATGTACCATACTTTTGGGTGGGTTTGGGGTGATGGAACGTGTCACTAGGTACTTTTGGTTGAAAATTGGGGTCGACTCTGGGTTTGCGTTTTTCAGATACCGTATGTTTGAATGTACAGTATGTATTTGTGCAAATATTGGGTACAGTTTGCGAGTCAGGACTTCTACAAGCTGTTTCTGGCTATGTGAAACAGGATAAAGTCGGTGAGTGAGGCTTTTATTTGGATGAGACATGCAGCCACACTGTCACCTTCACTTTGGTGAGAGCTTGTCATTTGTCTCGAGTATAATCGTTCAAGGAGAATTAGGGCGCGCATATAACATTGAAGCTTTATTCTAGAACATATGGCAAGACCACTATATATTTTGGTAGCTAATCTCATCAATGCAAACCTCTTCGCTTTCGGCGCCTTTTACACCTAATCCATCTACGCCGTTCTAGACAACTGGAGGTATTGAGACCTAGCTCGATACTGACATGTCTAGATGGTTCCATGTTGTTTCATTCAAGCAAATTAGTTGTCGGAGACAAAATTGGGTTCTTGTGCTACATGCCAATGCAACCTGAGTCTAAAACTGGTTCTTTAATTCAACTACCCTGGTAGATGTTAGGTCATATCATGACGCTATACCTCATACATAAAAAGCATGTGTTTCATTTTGAAACACATGTATTCCAGTAGGTATCCGAGCCTTCAATGTAACTAGGATCTAGGGAAGTCGCTCGATTTATGAAGATGCAGGTATCTAGAACCCTCTGGAGGACTATAGGTAGATGGCAGGTGCTCAGGTGGCAGGTGAATCTTGAAAGTTTCCAAGGTTCAAGGCTCTTCCTCCAGCTAGCAATGCTTCACAGGTGATTTAGATACTCAACCTTGAAGTCCTGGAGACCCTGATAAGGAGGCATCGGATTGAACCTCCTGGGGAGCCCAAGAACGCTTACATTTATTGAGACAAGATGTAAAGAAAAAATAACAAAAAAAAAAGAAAAAGTAAGATCATTGTGCTATATGAGCATTGGAATTCATAATTCGTAATCGTTGAGCGCAGCATCAGGTCATAATAAAAAAAAAATGTACCAAGGAAATAAAGGCAAATAGGTAAAAGATACAAAAACATTGCAAGCTGACCAAGAGCACAACGATCAAGGGGCATCACAGTGGGGACAAAGAATAGATGGAAGCCTGCCTAAACACAAAAAGACATAGCACCAGATCCGGAAATCTTTTTTTTTTATCCATGACCAAGCCCCAAACCTCTCGAGAACAAAGAAAAATCACAACCGTCTAGAATAGGACCTTTGTGAACCGATTGATAAAGTCCTCGATCTTTGCGACAGTAGGATCATCTTCTTTTTCCTTGAGCAGACGACCTTTTCTATCGAATCGCTCAGGGAGTTCAATCGTCGAGTCGGAGTCTTGCTCTTGGGTTTTGTATGGTTTTAAACTGGCTGAAGAATGGCGCTGGGAGTTCGCATGACCGGGGTAGTGACTAGGGGAACGGGCATGGGACATAGGGGGATGAGGCACAGAAGAGGAGCGTCGGGGACGGTGGCGTTGATGATTACGTCCATCTTCAATGGTGGAGTCACTGTCCTCCGTTTCATAGCCGGGATCAGTGAGTTGCCCATTATCTGAATCCAGATTGAATGAGACGGATTTAGATGCAGGCGATTCACTTTGGCTGCGAGGTCGCGGTAAAGAATTCGCTTTGCCTATTTGGGACTCATTGGCTAGACCTACAAGATAACATGTTAGCTTTACTGTGCCTTGCGGTCCAGACCCGCTTTAATGAACCCACCATCGTACGTGTGGTGATCAGTGGGTAGGGTGGAGCGCTGCTGGGCACTCACATTCTCATCAACCCTCCTTGGCCGTGGGGCATACTGCTCGGTTCCTGGACCTGGTGCTCCGTAGTTGTATGGCTGAGGCTGCGGTGCTGCACCGGGGGGAGGTGGGTAGTCCGCCGGATTGTATGCATTAGGTGGAGGCGTCTGATTCAAGTTTGTCGTGGATCCTGGAGGCGGGGGAAAGCTATTGGTGTTGGGGTAGTAGTTGGCTGGAGGCTCCTGGTAGTTGGGGCCGGGACGAGGTGAAGCAGGGTAAGGCTCTGGATCATAAGACTCCTCGTAGGGATCGTGGTGAATAACGTTATCATACCCTGCAGGTCTGTCAGTATGGTAACTTCAAGGTTGACGTGACTGTAAATGGCAGGATTTTAAACGAACTTACGAGCCCTATCTTGTTCCCGTTCAGCCTTCTTCCGCTCCCGAGATTGGGAGTATCTGTGTGCGGCATAACCCAAGCCGGTAGCACCAAGTGCGGCTCCAGCTATGTCTCGCGAACGACTGCGGTGTTTTCTGTGTCGACGACGGGATCCCCGATCTGAGCCGGAGGAGCTGTCATTGCGCCGGCCACCACGGCTGCGGCTGCGGCTGCGGCTGCGGCTCCGGCGACGGCTGTATTCTCCACCATCCGAGTAGTAAGGAGCATCTGCACCGGTTGGAGCACCGTAGTAGTGCTCAGCAGGAATGCTGCCAGTGACAGGGTCTTTCCCGTACTCGATCAAGCCTGCAGAGTCGCGCGTTGGGTCAGGGTAAGCGCTGTCAGGGGCCCCACGGCTGAGAGATCTGCCTGATCGACTTGTCCCACGACTTCTTGACCCATTACCTTCCTTCTCGGCCTTCTTCTTCTCCCAGAGGCCAGTAGCAGCTGCGGTTCCCAGGCCGGCGGCAACCACAGGAAGCGCCTGTCTTAGTCGGCTGTGGGAGCGCTCGCCTTTGCGAGAACGAGATTTGCTTCGGTGATGCTCCACGAGTCCTGCAACAGCCGCACCAGCCAAGCCAGCGCCTGCGATGTGCTTGTTGCGCTGAGACGCGCTGCTCGCGTCGTCCTTGTCTGCGCGAAGGCTGCTGCGGGCTCGAGAACGGGAACGGGTACGAGAGCGGCTGCGACGCTCATCTGTGCTCTTTTTGTTTCGCAAAGCCGCGACACCGGCGGCAATTGCCGCAGCACCTAAGCCAACCTCCATCAAGGTCTTTGCGCGGGAGTGGGAGTGAGAGCGACTGCGGCTACGACTGCGACGTCCATGGCTGTGGTGGCTGTGACGGTGAGAAGAACGATCATCGTCGAATGAGCGAGCGCGGTGTCGACTACGGCTCTTGCTGCGGTAGTAATCACGGACATGCGAGGCTGCATTGACAGCCACTGCACCCAATGCACCAGCACCAGCTGTCTTTACAGCGTGGCCCATACCATGGCTGACTTCCTCGCCTTCACGCTTGCGGTGGCTGCGAAACAGCTCTGCTGCACCAGCACCGACCAAGGCGCCTTCTGCCAGGTGGCGACGATGATGGGGGTGGTCGCCATCGTAAGTGCGGGTCTCTTCGTGATAGTAGTAATCATCATCGCTGCTATAGTCGGTCCGACCACGGCGACGGCTGACCTGCGAGACCGAATCGCCCGGACTGAGATCTCGGCGGGAATGGCGGTCATCCACACGGCGGCGGTAGTACTCTTCGTCTACGTCGTACTCAGACTGGCGGGGGCTGACGTAGCGGGCTGCATGATCATATTTAGTGAGTTGTTGAGCGTGACTAGAAGGGCGTGAAAACCGGCTGTCCGGGTGTGTTGGGTGCCCGAAGGGCCTGGTGTGATGGCTGAAGACTGTAGGCTGAAAAGACTCACGTTCATAATACTCTCGCTCATAGCGACGAACAGGTGGCTCATACTCGACATCTCTTTCGTAGCGCTGAATCGACACAGGTTCCTCGCGTTCTGTTTTGCGCCGAATGACCAGCTCATGGTCTCCGTAGGAATCGTCCCGACTCATCATGAATTCTCGTCGGTCATCTCTTTCATCGGATGGAATGACGTAACGCTTGATAGTGACGTTGCGATCATCATAATCGCGGTCGCGCTCACGCTCTCTATAGACGTACGACATGGGAAGTGCAACAGGTATGAGGAAATGAGGGGCTGTGTAAATTGGGATGATGAGAGAAACAGTTGAAACTTCAGGAGTGACTCTAGAAGCAGTGAGGGGCAGAAGCGGGAGGAAAGATGCAATGCAGGGAATTGGAGGGGGCGCAGATAAGTGGGGTGGGCAGGGCTGTGATCGACTAGCGTATGATGTCGGCAGGAATACGGGGCGGACACAGTCGAAGGATCCGATTGGCACTTCTCTTCCAGAAGGCAATCGAAGGCAATGATCCAAGACAAAGGTGCGTAGGGCAGAACAGCGGAGCCTATTGTTTTAGGTCTGAGGCTCTGAAGATTTTCTGGCGGATTTTGGCGTTGCGTTCTGAGAAGTTGTCTTGACCGGCAGGCAACACTCAATAATGGTGGGGTTATTGAGGGCGACCAATGTATCCGAGAAATCCAAACTGTGCCCGGATGGAAAGCTTGGAATCGAGGAAAGACTCCCAAAAGAGAGTGTCCAGGCGAGGTGATGAGATGTTGAGGAAAAGACGAGAGGTTGAAGAAGAGAAAGACGAGAAGGTGACAGAATCGACTTTCTATGTAGATAATGCAAAGACAAACGGCAAATGCCACGTGAAGGATGATTCTGTTATTTTTCACCGACTTCGACCTCATTACAAACCAATCGGTACTTTTAATTGTGGCAAACCCATCGGTGTATACTACTATACTACTGACTCTGTGGCTTAGACGTCTTGACAAGAACAACAAAAACAATCCGCAGTTCCAAGGTTCTCGCGTCTCCTCCCGCTATCCAATCCACGGTTTCGCTTTGTGTGGATCCATACACCGGGCGCTTCATGCAACAAGGCAGACTCGTCACCATAATCTACTATGCCGCAGCAACGGGATGATTTCTGTGCGCGTGCATCATGAAGAACGTGGAAAGTCTCCACTCTGACTGCCCGACATCCGCACATGGCAGCGCCCGGCAAGATTCCAGATTCCCTTGGATCGCCAACACCAAGTATTCTATTTCCGCGAGACAAGATGATACTCCAACCTAACATCCTAGGAAACAAAGAGTCTCGGCAACCACTCAAAATGCGCCCGTCTTCTTATCGCCAGTCCAGTTTGAAATCTCCACGCGCGGGTATCGGGATTGTGCTGCTTTCCAATGACGTCATGGATTTTTCTCTCTTTCAGTAAGTAGGGTCCTATCGATTTGCACGATGTGGAGACTAGTGCGACAGGGCGCGAAGGAGGGCTGAAACCGGCACGTCGAAAGCCGAGTGCCAGACTTTTTCTTTTTTTTTCCAAGGAAAGTTAAAAATAATATGTTATCGGGCTGAGGCATACCTTGTTTATGTTATTGACCTATCCCTAGACTGCAGTCCTCCTTCGAGGGGCTTGTCCCTGCAGCGTTATACAGGTGACGACAAATGACAGCACCGTCATGGAGATGTGACTCAAGCTTTGCAGCATGACGTTTTGCCTTGCATATCCGACGGGTAGGAGCGTACTCCGTACACTGCAACTGTGTAACAACTTTCGTGAAAACCCGAAGGCATACTATCTGGTAATAAATTGAGTCATTAAATTAGCTGCAAAACACGCAAGTGAGTAGATTCCGGCCTTTGGGTCAGCTGGCTGGAAATCCGAGCACTTCTGGAAATCTTTTCAGATGATACAAAGTATGAAACGATCTTCCCTTCAGGCCATGCAGGGGAAACAGGCCGGGATTAGAGACAACAACGGGGCGATGAAATAAGGCCCAGATTTCTCACCATTTGCCGCCGATTTGATGTAGGTCAGGTTGCTTGGATGGGGTAGCAGCGATAGGAGTGGCTACTCTCGCCAGAAATGAAAATAAGCAAGGTCTGGCTCCACTGCGGACCAGCGCGTAGGTTGTCGTGCACATTGATAGTTGCTAGAAAAAAATCGCTGCTTAAGGCCATCTGCATCGGAATCAAGAAAGTCGTCGTTGCTACGATCAGGTGAGGTGCAGAAGAGAGGTTCATGAACAAGCACAGAAGTAAACCCTTTTTATAAATTTAAATGAAATCTGATAGCAGATTCCATATCGAACTCACATTCTTCTGAAAATCAAAAGACTATCATTATAGGTATCATTCATTCTTCATGATCTCATCAACGTAGTAAAATCCCAAACCTAATCTATAGTAAAATGACCAAATCCAACCATCCAACCACCCCCAAACACCTATCAAGACTTTTACCCAAAATAAGGAAAAACTAATCAGATCAGGATAGAAAAGAAAATCCAGTAATAGTTATGCCACGTCAGACTCAAATGCATACTGCATTGAAGAACTCAACGTTTCCCACGGCACAGAAGTTGGACCCATCCAATGCTGAGGATGCAAATTGATACCAAAACTAGAGTGCATCGACGGCTCACTCGTCGAGGAGGCAACGGTTGGAACAGGAGATAGCGATTGAGCATGTGTCAGAGTGTAATTATCAGACATCGTAACTGCCGAGATGGAAGGTGTCAAAGTCGCAAACATCTGGGCTTGGGTTTGTTGAGTTTGGGACTGTAGCTTTGCTTGATGGTACTGTGTGGATGTGATTTCGCTAAAGAGGATGGGTCAGTCCTGTGGTTCTGCTATCAAATAAGGCAGTGGGGTGAGGAACGTACATGATCTGGCGAACGACTGGAACTGCTTTACTGCAGAAGATACTTCGGACAGAGAGTGAAGCGAACATGTCCAGTGCCTTTGTCAGGGATTCTTTGATCTCGTCGAACTCTGATGCATTTTCTGGGTTTAGGAGACCGACGGCAAGGACGACTGCAGCGTGGAAGGCGTTGAAACTGCCTAGGCCGCTGGTGTACCACTTGTAAGGGGCAAATTGTGGAGACTCCAGTAAAGTTTGGAAGATTGATAGAGACGCTTTGGCGGATGCCATGCATCTGGATCGTGATTCGCAAGTCTCGGGTGTGATCTCGCCTTGGATGAATCGGCAGAGATTTGAACGGAGAAGAAGGAGGAGCAGTTGGTGGATTTGGCCGTATAGAATGTTGAGGTTGGCTTGGTGATGCACGGGGAGTGGATCTTGGCTATCGGATTGATACCGAGCATCGCATAGATCGCGCACTGTCAACAGTTCAGCTTCAAGCTGGGCGATGGTAGACCGGGAAGCTTGTGGATAGGTGAAAATTGTCTCGCAGATCCTGGTGGAGATTCTGTATAGTCGGAAGCTCAGCAGGAGGTAGGTCATTTGTGTAGGCCGGCTAGCGGACGGGGAGGATGATGGATCGGAAGTGGGGGCGTTCGGGGAGGTAAGAAGGTCGATGTCGTCCACATCGGCTGGCATTTTCACATCCTGGTTGATGAAATGTTGATCCAGACTGCCGAAAGATGTGTTGTGGATGGTGTAAAGCATCATTAATCCTGTCCACACTCGTCGTCGCTCTTCGCGCTCGATGGGACCGAGAACAAATCTCTCCGGGTCTAGATGACAGCCCATCGAGATGGCAACATGATGGGTAAATCCTAATAATGTCCAGAAAGGCAGCCCACGATGGAGTCGTGCATAGTTTATGAGGACCAATGATTGCAGCGAGTTGATAGAATGCCGAGTCATAACACCATCTGCAGCCAGACATCGCAGTGCGGCAGACCGGTAGCGTGCTGAAAGCACTTTGATGTTTCGACTGACCGTCCTCTCCCGGCCAAGATCGGATAGTAAAGGATCATCATCCTCTAGTGCACTGATTGCAATAGCAAGAATGGCGAATAAAAGAGCGAGCCATGAGGTTGACACGCTACCAGGATCATGACAAAATTGCTGATACTCGGCTTCAAAAGTCAAGTCGTGAAGAATATGAAAGACCTGGAGAAGGAGAGTTGCATTAGCGATTTGGTAGCCGTCAAGTAATATTATGGAAGACATACCGGCGAAAAGACACGGAAGTATACCTCTTTCAAAGTGTCACAATACCGGCCTGGTGGTAACAAGGCCAAAAGCTCAGCTCGGGAGATACTCCCATTCCGAGCTAATGGGATCTGCAGATCATCGTCGTCTACAATATCGGAGTCGGAATCGCGCAAACACCCCGCAGCGGGGCTCTTAGCAACAACAGATTCCCACTGTGAAGCAAGTGGCACATAACGAACATGCCCTGATGGGGATGTATGGAGAGTGCCAACATTACCGAGCATAGTACTGCGCAAATCCCGCTCCATTCCCCCACCAACATCAGAATCCGACAAGCTGCCAGTGGCACTGAGTGCACCAAGTGGAGACTGAGAGCCAGCAACAGGTGTTCCCGCTTGCGAGTGCACTTGCTTCTGGAGGAGGGCTTCTAAATTGCGGATCCGTGCTAATAGTTCATTCTGAACATTTGGATCTCCAGACTGTGACTGCTCTGTTGACAGACGAGGTTGGCCGAGATAGATACAATCCTCCGCACCCAATCCTCGACGCACACAGGTTTGGCATGGCCGTCCATCCCGGGAACAGCGGATTTTTCTTGTTCGACATGCCTGACAACTGATGGGCAGGCGCTTCCCGGTTGATCGGGAGGAAGACATGAGCGGCGACGGGGTGCACTGGCCAGAACCAGAAAAAATTGAATATGGTATTGCGTGTTTCTAAGGTTGCGGTGAAATGCAAACTCTGTCAAGCGGACATAAAGTCAATTGACAGTCCGAAAAATGGATACTTGATGATGGGCCTGGGCCTAGTGGACCAGTGGCGTCTCCAGTTCAAATAAAACTGGATCGTAGAAAGAATATCCACTGAAGCTGGAGCTCTTGACAGGGTGGGGGGGGAAAGGACGATGCTTTAAAAGTTGGGGGAGGAAGGTAGAAAAGACAAGCACAAAGCGTCATTGTATGTCTCCCCGGATTAAGAAAAATAATAATGTTTTTTTAAAAATAAAAAATAAAAATCATTTGTAAAACATGCAATCGAAAAGGAGGCAACCTAACAGCCTTGGAACAGATCGTTTACCCGGAGCTGAACAACTTGCCATTTGCCCCTTTATTCGAGATGTTT